TGTTGAGTTACCAAAGAGGTCCTTCTGTTTCCATTTGCCAGGTCCACCTACTTGACACGAAATTAAGACCTCATTCTTCATAAAGCATCAGGCTTTACAAACATAAAGGTGCCTGTATCTCCAAACTTTACATAATGAAATGTGGGGTTTTTATTAGAGCAGGCTTGGCTTGGCCAACAGCACCTTGTGCGCACGTTTCGCGTTCAATGTCGCAAACAGCCGAAAAAATATTTTCTGGTCGTCGTCGTCGAAGAGGTCGACCTCCAGATCCAGTTTGGCTGGTGGCGACATTGCGCTCCGGATTTCATGTTTTGATGGTGAAACTTTCACACAAGGTGTTGTTGGCCAAGCCGAGCACATTGCTCTAATAAAAACCTTTCCCACGTTTGATTTTAAAGTTCGGAGATACAGGCACCTTTATGTTTGTAAGCATGACGCTATATGAGAAGTGGTCTTTGTTTAATGTAAAGTAGCTAGACTCTGGAGAGCCAAAGATGCAGAAGGACCTCTTTGGGTAACTCAGCTAAAAAGTCTGGACTTCAGGGACGATGCATGAAAGGTACACAACCCTCACTTTTATGTCATACATTGGCAGCCAATAGCCACTTTTGTGCATTCTATTGTAGGTGGACGATGCTCCTGCTCTAGACATTCATTTCCATGATTAAAGTAGGTTGATCCGAGCTGATTTGGTTGAGTTACGGTCGAACAAGATTACATCGGTTGAGCTACATCGAGCGTGCTCTATGTCCAGAGTGATGTAATCTCTCTTTGACCGCAGCTCAGTCAAATCAGCTCGGATCAACCTACTTTAATCATGGAAATGAATGTCTAGAGCAGGAGCATCGTTCCCATGCAGTGGATCTCACAGCAATGATGATTGGATAAAAGTGGCCGTTAGATAGCAATACATGCCTGTTCCTAGATGATCCATAAAGTAATTATACATTGACCCTTTCATTCATGCAAAAGTAGCTGTGTTACACAACACAACCCTCTGCATCTTTTGCTCTATTATAGTCATACTACTTTACATTAAACAAAGACCACTTCTCATATAGCATCACGCTTACAAACATAAAGATGCCTGTATCTCCAAACTTTACAATGAAACGTGGGGTTTTGAATAGAGCAATGGGCTCGGCTTGGCCAACTGCACCTTGTGTGAAAGTTTCACGTTCAATGTCGCAACTAGCCCAAAAAATATTTTTTCGGTCGTCGTCGTCGAAGAGGTCGACCATCGGATCCAGTTTGGCTGGTGGCGACATTGCGAAATCTGGGATTGGCAAGCTTGATCGTGAAACTTTCACACAAGGTGCTGTTGGCCAAGCCGAGCACATTGCTCTAATCAAAACCCCACGTTTCATTGTAATGTTCAGAGATACAGGTGCCTTTATTTTTTACATATGCTGTAAGCATGATGCTATCCGAAAGTCTTTGTTCATTGTCAATTAGCTAGACCCTGACAGAGCCAAAGATCCAGAGGGGCGTGTTTGTGTAACGCAGCCTTTCATGCAGGGCTGTAGGGGTCAATGTATGAAACGTTTACATTATTCAGTAACAGCGCATGTACTGCTAGCTAATAGGCATTGCCTTCCATCCCCAACTTACGTCTATTCCATCACAATGGAACAATGCACCTGCTCCAGACGTTTATTTCCATGATTCAATTATCTTGATCTGAGCTGATTTGACTGAGCTACGCTCAAACGACGAGTACATGATGTATGTAGCGTATGTTGTATACGGGCTGGTGTACTTTTGTTCGTACGCAAGTCAGTCAAGTCCACTCGGATCAAAAAAGTTGAATGATGGAAGTGATGGGCTGAAGCAGGAGATTCGTTCACATGTCATAGAATGAGCAGCAGTGCCGATAGCGAGGAAGTGGCGGTTAATAGCTCGCAATAGATGAATTCATGTATTGCATGAATGGTATTGAAACTGCCCATCTACCATCCAAGCATTGACCAAAAGATGCTTTCGCGTATGCTGATCAACTTTGTTCTAATAAAGACCCCATGCTTCATTATGAGATTTATGAGTGAGAGGGTGCAAACGTATGAAAGACTACAAATGAATTGGACATAGATGGGGTGAAGTGCTTGCCCGTGCATGTATCAGCTCAAATACAGGAGAATTACAGACACCAAAATCGGCTTTTGATGGTGAAGGCATAGGCATAGGATTGAGAAAAGAGGTCGACAGCAACATTTTTTGAATTGCACATCATGGACGTGCGAGTCTCTATACTCACAACAGGAAGGTACATGGATAATAAAATATGATTCATGCATAATGAGAAAGGCACACAATCAGCGTATGGGATACGGGAAAATGCAAACATGCAATCAATTGTTCATTGAAGTCTTCTAGGTTGGGGATGATAGGGGGGATTGGTTGGTGTACTAGCTATATAAATGGTACTACTATACTACAATTTATGCGGAGGCGGCAACCTTTTCGCTAATGAGATTAAGGGCACTGCCCTTTTGGAACCACTCGATTTGATCCACGCTCATGGTGTGCTTGGCGTCAATGGTGACCTTGGAACCGTCAGGCTTGGTAACAATCAATTGAACAGGTTTGCCAGGTGCGATATCCTTAACACCCTTGGTTTCAATCACATCACCACCAGCGATCTTTTCATAATCGTTCTCGTTGGCAAAAGTAAGTGGCAAGACACCTTGCTTCTTGAGATTGGTTTCGTGGATACGTGCAAATGATCGAGAAATGATGACAGGGCAACCAAGATAACGCACTTGAAGAGCAGCGTGTTCACGTGCAGAACCTTCACCATAGTTGTGCTGTATCATTATAGAATTAGTTTGTGTTGCCCTTCCCCACTATGATTTTTAAATTTACTTACATCAGCAACCACCATCCATGGGATATCTTGGCTCTTGTAGCTCTTTGCAACAGCAGGAATGGTGTCTTCCTTGCCATTGGTAACATCTTGCACCAAGTTGACTTGACCATTATCCGCATTCACAGCACCAATCAAGGTATTCTCGGCAATGTTTTCAAGATGACCCTTATACTTGAGCCATGGACCAGCAGCAGAAATGTGGTCAGTGGTACACTTGCCTTGAACCTTGACAAGCACACGCACATCCTTGAACTCTTGACCATTCCATGCTTCAAATGGCTCAAGCACCTGAAGACGATTGGAGGTAGGTGAAACAACGACATCCACAGAAGGATCGGCAGTAGGTGTAGGCGAAGGTGGTTCATAGGTATCACGGCCCATCTCGAAACCTTGTTGAGGAAGGTCATCGCCTTGAGGAGGTTGGAAACGGAATTCATTACCATCCTTGTCAACCAAGCTATCCACCATAGGGTTGAATGAAAGCTTGCCAGAGAATGCCATAGCTGTCACAAGCTAATCACATATGAGTGAGTTTACATTGATCCATCTTATCCTACTTTTTCTCTTTCTCTTACCTCTGGTGCAGCCAAAAAGTTCATGGTCTTGGGGTTACCATCGTTTCTGCTTCGGAAGTTACGATTGAATGAAGTCATGATGGCATTCTCTTCCTTCTTGTTCTTGTCAATGTCAACACGCTTCCACTATTATTTAAAGTTAGCTCATCCATTTTTGACGTTCTTTTGTTATCCTATATTACCTGACCAATACAAGGACCACATGCATTGGCAAGCACTTGAGCGCCAACACCTTCAAAAACAGCCGTTTGACCATCACGTTCAATGGTAGCACGAATTTGTTCGGAACCAGGGGTGACCAAAAAGTTGGACTTTAAGGGAATACCAGCTTTGCTAGCTTGTTCCACAATGGAGGCGGCACGTGACATATCCTGGTAAGATGAGTTGGTGCAACTGCCAATAAGACCAGCGGACAATTCATCCTTCCATCCATTCTCCTTAACCACATCCTTGAACTTGGAAAGAGGTGTGCTCAAATCAGGGGTGAAGGGACCATTGATGTGAGGCTCAACTTCGGAAAGGTTGATTTCAATGACCTTGTCGTATTGGCAACCTTGATCAGCAGCAAGATAATGAGCATTGGCATCAGCTGCCTTTGCAACTTGAGAACGACCGGTGGCAGCAAGGTAGGAGCGCATGCTGTTGGTGTAAGGGAACAAAGAGGTAGTGGCACCCACTTCAGCACCCATGTTGGTGATGGTAGCCATACCAGTGCAAGAAAGGCTCTCCACACCTTCACCAAAGTACTCAATAATATGACCAGTACCACCCTACGTATTCTATTAGTACTTTTTCTCTACTCAATCATCATCATCCACATACCCGAACAGTGAGCAAACCAGCAAGCTTGAGAATCACATCCTTTGGACTAGCCCATGGGTTAAGTTGACCGGTCAATTTGACACCAATGACATTGGGTGCCTTGAGTTCCCAAGGAATATCGGCCATAGCATCCACGGCATCTGCACCACCAACACCAATAGCAACCATACCCAAACCACCTATAATACAAAAGCATGTCAACATCTATAGGCCCCAACAAGTGATATCATCGTATTACCTGCATTGGGAGTATGACTATCGGTGCCCAACATCAAACCACCAGGAGCTGCATAATTCTCAAGGACAATCTGGTGAATGATACCACTACCAGGCTTCCAGAAAGCAATGCCGTATTTCTTGGCTGCACTCTCCAAAAAGTCAAAGATCTCCTTGTTCGTCACGATAGAGGATGCCACATCCTTGTCAGCACCCGAGTAGGCCTCAATCAAGTGATCGCAGTGAATCGACGATGGAACAGCCGTGGTGCTCATGCCGGAAATCATAAACTGAAGCAATGCCATTTGAGCAGAGGCATCTGTAGTAGACCTTTATGTTAATAACCCCCCATATTCATCCCCCACATTCTCTCTTGTTGAATAGTATACCTTGCATAGCAACACGATCTACAATAAACAAAGAACCAGTCAACCATCATTTTCCTTTCTTTTATCATTTCCTTGTCTTCTCTTACCAGGTGACAACTTGAGATAGGTCTCACCACGTACAGGGATGGTTTCTTCAGGGTTGGTCAAATGAGCATAGACAATCTTTTCAGCCAAAGTGAGGGGTCGGTTGTCAAGGATACGACGCACAGTGGAAAGCTTTTCATTCAATTTGGTATAAGGAGGAGTGATAGAACGACAATCTTTTTCAACCACGGGTTTGATGGCAGCAGTGGCAAGTGTGCGTTGAGCAGTGAGGCGAATAGGTGATGAAGGGACCTGAGTTGAATAATTTAGCTGGGTGTGTCTGCATTGATGGATGATCATATATATCTCTTCATGTGGTACTTACCCTTCGAAGGGTTTGTGAAAGATATGCGCTCATGAGGAGAAGAGTGGGGAGGAGAAGTGTGAAGAGAGAGAGAAAGAGAAAGAGAAAGGATAAAAGAAACTTGAATTGTTTGACACCTGTTGACGTTTTAGGGATCTCAAAGATGATCCAATTGGGGAAGGTAACAAATGATTGAAACACGGGCAGTCATAGTCTCCATCTCCGCTTCCAGTGAGATTATCAGCAACATTTCTGATCCATATCGCACATGCAATCAATCGTGTTTGTTTATTCTCTCTTTTTGATTACAGTGATCCGCTCTTGACGGCCGTACGCTTTGTGGATATCTTTGTGTCAGCTTGCTTTTGAGACTTTGCACCATTGTTGATTGCTGGAGGAGGAGGTGGAGGTGCTGCTGCTGCTGCTGCTGCTGTTGCTCCCTTTTGTCTTTTACGTTGCTTGGATTCAAACTCATGCCAATCACCATTCACATCCAAAAGACTATACATCATGGATTAAAATCACCATCATCGTCGTCTCTCAAAGTGATCATAACTTACTTTGCAGGCATCACGGCTTCTGGCTCCTCTTTGGTAAAGTAATCAAATTGCAATGCTTGTTCAGCTGTCGGCCGTTGCTCAGGGTTCATGGAGAGCATGGCTTCTAACAACTCTAACGCACCAGGCGACATGGTTCTATCACACTGTGTGAGACCATTGTCTTTGGCCAGGATCACATGTAACTTACTTTTCATAAAGTTCTCTGAATTTGTTTGGGTATTGTTCCTTGGGTCGTACCAGATCGTACCATGGCAACTGTGTAATTGAAGGCCAAGTTTCCGTGGTAGGAGTTCCCATGGTCTTGTAAATGATATCAAGTTGTGTGATTTCATCCACGCCATTGAAAACAGGCTTGCCAGCGAAAAATTCAATCATGATACAACTAAGTTGTATCAACCATCATTAGCGCCATCCTATTTCCCTGTCTCTCTCTCTCTCTCTCCTTGGATATTTACCCTCCACTCCAAATATCAACGGCAGGACCGTAAGCTGTTGCGCCTAACAAAAGTTCGGGAGGTCGATACCACAAAGTGATAACTCGATTGGTATAATCATGCGCAGAATTTCGCTGAAATACGCGTGCTAGGCCAAAATCAGCGATCTTGAGTTGACCTTTCTTGTTGATCAAAAGGTTGGATCCTAGTACACCACCATTCAATCAATCATGAGCTCGAATACACCCTTTTTTATACTCACCTTTGATATCTCGATGGAGGATTCCCTTTTGATGTAAGAATGCAAGACCTTGAAGCATTTGCTTGACCAAAGACTTGGCATGTGCCGGTTCAAACTTGAAATTGGGATGGCTGAGAATACCCGAGAGATCATGATCCATGTATTCGAGCACCATATATACAGATCCTTTGGCTACCATGATCTCTTCAAGCTCCACGATACGTTCATGTTTTAACCGTTGCAGCAATTTGATTTCTCGCATGGCGGTGATTGGAAACTAAGGCATGTTGTCAATATCACATCCACTCCTTGTATGTGTATATGTAACTTACCCCATCCTTGTCATTCTTCATCCTGATTCGTTTCAATGCAATCAAGTTCCCCGTTTTACCATTACGTGCCTTATACACCTTTCTAAATAATCATGTCAATAAAGAAAGCCACCTTTATCCAATCCACTCACTTACCCATAATTGCCTTCGCCGACTTGACCAATCTTTTCAAACAACAGGGCGGGGTCATCCGGTGTCTTTGTTGGATAACCGACATCATCCAATACGGTATCGGGTACTCCTCCCATAGACATAGAATCATTCCAATGACGTGGATCGATCTTTGCAGGTGGTGGTGAGGGTGGACGCTGTATTGACTTTGTGCCGTTATCTTCCATTGGCCAAGGCGATGAAGAAGGTGGTTGTGAAGGTGGTTGTGGAACAGGCAATGCATGTTGTTGAGAAGAAGAATCATTGGATGAAGATGGAGGTGGAGGTACAACGCCAGAGGATGACTTGTCATAGTAGCCTTGATAATACGATTGATAATAGGCAGCAGCTGCAGCAGCTCCTTCGGATGAATTGTAATAGGCCGCATAATCATAATCAGACCACCCATTGTTCCATTGATTGTCCTTGCTACCACCATAATATTCATTCCATTGTTGCTGATAAAGTGATTGATCCGTAGTTGGCACTTGCATAACCATAGTAGATTGTGGAACAGAGGCTGAGGGAGGTAATGGTTGTTGTTGTTGAGAAGAAGATTGTGATGAAGTAGTCGTAGGTGGATGAGAAGAAGAAGAAGGTGGTGGTGGAGGAGGAGGAGGTGGTGGTACTGCTGCTGCTGTTGCTGTTACGGATGAAGAGGATGTCGTTGTGGTAGGTGGATGATGTGATGATGATGATGATGATGATGGCTGTTGTTGTTGTTGTTGGTCATGATCATTGGTAGTTCTTCGTCGTTCATGCCTACTACTACGATGGTATCTATCGTCATTACGTCGACTACTGCTGCTGCTACTGCCATGGTCATGATAAGACGACCTGCTGCTACTCTTCCTTTCTCGACTAGACCGCCTCGAATAAGATCGCCGTCGTGACCGATCGTAGTCATGGCGCGAATATCGACTTGACTCGTCTCCATAATTCCTACGCTTCTCATGTCGATGGCTGCGGTGTCGATCGTATTCGTCTCTCGATCGTTTACTTCCTGAGCGACCATCGAGCGATTCTCGGCGTTTGTCGTGATGCTTGCTGGTGGCAGGCGATTCGGGTGTTGCTATATTACTCTGCCCTGTCGCCTTTGAAGAACTTGATTGTCGTTCCATGCGTAGGAATGGTATATGTACTTATAGATAAAGAGAGAGAAACAGTATACGCTTTGAACGAAAAAGAACGGTTGACCAAGCAATGTGGAATGAGAGTCCATTCACCTTAAGTACGCGGTTCGGCCCTTGTGACTTGCCTATGCAGCCATGCAACTTATTCACTCCACCCCCATCCACACCCCACTTATCGCCTATTATTAATGAACAATAAAAGTGTATTATCAAATGTGATATCTATATTACAATTTCACTCGAATACCATAATGTCGCCATAAAATCCACGGCAAAAGTGCCACCACTGTAATATATATAAAGCATACGGCTAAACTTTGAATGCTGGATGCGTATAATGTTCTCATGCTCAAATTCACCAATCCTGTAAGGATATTAGCCTATTCAAATGTGTGTGTTAATCATTACAACATCAACCATAAAAGAGCCTCCAATACATTACCCAAAGAAAAGTGACAAGACCATTCACATTGACTGCATCCAACAAGGAGGGTCCTCGACCAGGAACTGGATATAAGTACTCAACCCATACCAACCATCCCAAGAGCGTCAAATTGAATGCAACTACCCAGATAACATAAGGAAGATTGGCCTATTGGTGTAGGATTAGCTAAGGTTCATATGATGGTATCATTGCTTCCACCCCTTACCATTCGCCTCGACACTTTGAACATTTCATTTTCGTCTCCGATGCATAAATACAACCACCAACATCCAAGCAATGTCCATAAAGCACACGCCTGCACCAATAAATGAACACCAACATGCTTTGAATTGGGTGCGTCTGATTTGACTCCAAGCCATCGAATCAAGGAGGATTGAGAGAGATCATTTCGGAAGATAATCATTCCCGATTCCAATCCAAGCAAGAATATGGACACATAACCTACACACACACACACACACACACGCCTCAGCACACTATCCTATGTGTGTATGCGCATATATACACGTACCAATGAAGCTGCATACGCCTTCCTTATTGGCACTCAAGATATCAACACGTGGGGCATCGAGAATCCATGATTGTAATCCATAATAGAGAGCAAGTTGATACGCTAGAAATCAAATAAGAATCCATATGTCATATAAACCTTTCCCCTCCTCTATACTATACCTGAAGCGAGTACCATGGCAAGTGCAGAAAAGGAAATCCATTGTTGCATAAAACTAGCCAGTGTCACAAAAGGTGGTAGAAACCCAAGAGTAAAGAAAAAGTTCCAATGTAAGCCATATTCTGAAGTGTGTTCCTATACCATGGGGGGTCAACATGAGTGACGATGTGAGTGTTTACGAATTCAATTTACCTGGTAGTCAACTCCTTTGGTAAGTATAAAACGAAGAAATCCGAGAGTGAGAATAGGGAGAGCTGATCTGAAAGCTTTGATCATGGCCGTTATACGAGGAACGGGGTGTCGATTAAGATAAGATCTTGATGCAACAATGCCTGAAGAAAACACCACAGATCCTACACCAACATCCATCTACAAATACACATGTGAGTTACCATTTCCTATGGCCTCCTCCTCAATGGTTGTATCCATTTACCAATGATGTGCCAAATGTTTCCACCTTTGCAAATCGACGTGGAAAGATGGGGAAATCCACAGCTAGGATAGCCATGCATGTAACCATCATGATGCCTGCACGATACACCGTAAGATAGGACTTGTAGAATTGGCTTGATTCGGGTGCTTGTTGTGGTGATGATTGCGAGATACGCGAGAATAGAAATGACAAGGACACCAAAGCGAGTGCCACCAGGATAGCATGATCAGCAGCCACCGTTTGACTTAGCAACACAGGTACAACGTAAATGACGATTTGTATGAACAAGTTCTGCGATGGGATGCTCGAATGAAGACTCAAGGTGGACCAAAGTAAATGAGACGCCTAATAATAAAAGGGCCACATGATGAACGACAATGGACGCCATGGGTTCGAATGGAGCAAGAGAGGACATACCACGAGTGACGAGACCACTGAAAGTATTTCGGTTATAGAACCACCTGTGCAGTTGGATACCCAGGCTTCTTGGGCGCGTTTGTATTCCTCGTCGTCGCGAAGCATGAAAAAGGAACAAGAGGCACGTGGCCAACATCATTCAGACTTTATACAACCCGACGCATTATAATGCCATTCATGACTTTGTAAGCAGAATTAACTAGTACTTGCATCCCATCATCCATTGCTCCATCAAAAATAAACAAATGTTGGCATACGATGACATTTATCAATAAAGAAGGCTATTGTATAGTATTCAAATGGACGTTTAAGCTTGATCGTCATTGTCGTGTGAGCTCTTTTGTTGCCCATTTCCATTCTTCAGGGTCTTCTTCTTTTTCTCTTTCTCTGGCGACGCTGTTGATTCATCAAATTGCTTCCATAAGCATTCAAATTCCTGTTCAAAAGCCTGAACACAGTTGGGTACATTGGTAATGATGATGTTTTCCTGGTTTTCATAGCGAGCACTAGCAAAAGCAAGATGTGAAAAGATAAATTTGGGCAACCAAAAAGATAAGCGACTTACTGCTTGGACCAGTTATAGCTTCCTGTAATCAAGATCTTGCCATCGATGATTGCAAACTTGTTGTGCATGAAATGTTGAACGCTACAAAACACATAGTTAGCCCTTCTTTCGATCTTCTTCTATCATCCCATTAAAAGGAAAGCTTACTGGTTATCGGTCCTATAAGGGATGCCATGATCTTTATGCAAACGCTTGACATCGGCATGTTGGCCTTCAACCTTTTCATCATCTGAAATGATACGCACATTCACATTTCGTTGCTTGGCCTTGATCAAAGCAGTGGCCACATCATCATCGGTGAAATCATATACGCAAACGTATAATCTTTCCCTTGCCGCATAAATCACGCTAATGAATGCCTACACATACAACCAACATTGATATTGATGCTACTATCACGTTTGTGAATGATGGTCCACTTACATCAAAGCTCTTGCCATCGTGGTCTGGAAAGAAGAATGGCTTGACAAACATGACATCTTGAGTCGATCCGGTCATCTTTTCAACAATGGCATCATAACCAGCACCTGGTTGAAGTGATCCTTTTCTGATCTTTTTACCCAGGTTACGACGTGATCTTGACGTGGAATTTCTTGACACATCCGATTCCCCGCCGTCTGTCACGCTACCATCTGTTGTAGCCGAGTCGTACCCACTGTACCATGATGTGGGTGCTGTCAATCCTCCTTCATTGGATTTCACAGTCAAGGTATTGTTGTCTCCATTGCCTTTCTTGCCACGCTTTTGCTTGTTCTTTCTCTTTTTCTTGGATGATGCATTATTCTTGCCCGATGCTGTAGCTGCTGCTGATGCACTGATATCGGATTCTCCTTCCGAAATTCCACTACCGTTCTGCCGTTGTTGCTTCTTCTGTTGTTGTGCAATGGTCAATGCCTGCTCCACAGTTGACTCCATATCATCATCTTCATAAGGAGACACCACAATCCCAGGAAATTTTTTAGGCTTAGCTTGGTGGGAAGGTGGTTTCATCCCTCTCGGCTTAGACGCAGCGGGAGCTTTTTTGTCAACAATGGCACCATAGGTACCTTGTGTAACCATGGAAGATGTGGAGTCCGTGACAGAACGAAGAATGCAAGCATGTAACCATTCAATGATGTGTTTCTCCTTGTCATCCTTAACAGCCAATTTGGCAGCATTGAATATCACATCGATCTTTTGCGTTGTGTTTAGGGTCGCAGTGAATTCCTCAAGTCGATGGAGGGCATAGGCACGAAGTTCATCTTGATCCTCTTCGAGTAGATAACTAGCCGAGGGCGTTGTCTGGGGGGAGAAGATAGATAGGATGGAATTAAAATCAAAGCTATGCATTGAAAGTATACGTACCTTGGACATGAGTTGGGTAACGTTCTCTGCGTGGAGCACATCCAAACGAGTTACAGAACTCTTTGTAGAGCCAAAACAGCATAAATGAGAGAGGATATCCATCATGGTGGTGTACACTGGTGAATGGAAAAAAGGAAGTTGATAACTGCCATGAAGAGCCTTGTTCCCTTTATACGTACGAGCAAAAATCATGTGTGACCCAACGAAAGGTTTATACAGCTTTATCATCAACAAGAGCTAAGCCCAAGTCAAAGATGCCATCTTCATCTATCCACTCCTCCTGCATAAGACCAACTCGATTTGTCCCCACAAACACGTAGAGCTATCCCTCACACACGTAGTTACGCTATCCAATCTCGCCAATCGAATAAACAATGTTCTCTTTCATTGTCACCATTGTGGAATGTAGTGTTGGAAAACAAGCATTGTATTCACATGGGGGTTTGTCAATCTACATACTGTACAGCGAAAGGGGGGTATCTCAAACGACAAAAGGCCCACTAAAACTCATTTCATCTGCTCTGCAATAAAAAAGCTGGTTGGGATGTCGTGTAACTAGACACAAGAGCATAAATAGTAATCGCCCTGTTTCCCTTGCTCGTGTTTCCACTTTTTCTTCTTCTTCACCTCTTTATATACAAACCATGAGCGGATTCCCTGTTGACACCTACTTTACTATCAAGTCGCAAAAGAACTCATCCCTTTTGACCGTCAAGTCTGGTAGCAGTGACGTTAGTAGCAAGATAATGTAACTCGAAAGCTTGCCAACAACACGACTAACTCTTTCCTTTGTATCCAGGCTGCTGCCAACGTAGTCATTTCTGCCCAGGCAAGTAAAAGGATCATTGATGACTTTACACATTTAGCTAACACCATCACGTCCCTTTTTACAGAACGAAGGTGATGATATTGATAGCCAGTTGTGGACTTACGACGATGGATTCATTCAAAACAAGAAATCAGGATTGGGTAAGTTACAAATCGAGAGCTGTATGAGGATCATGGTACTAAGGTCGTTATAATTCTACTAGTGTTGGATGTTGCTGGAGGTATATAAAGCAGGTCGACTTTGATGGGACCGTTTTTTTTTACTAAACAAGCCCATTTGTGCATGAACCAGGCGACTTGAAATCGGAAGCCAATGTCATCCAATATGACCGCAAAATGACCATGTAACTCAACTTTTCCACCTCCTTGATATCGATGTATATACTCATTTGGTGTTGTCTAGGACCTTGAACCAACGTTTCGGACATCGTGATGGCTTTATTTATGCTCGTGCTGATCCTCGCTTGGTGCTTGATATCAAGGTACATCTCGCGAACGGGTCATGGATTGAAAAAGGAAAAGGATTGGCAACTGAGTTCGTTTCAATCATTAGGGTGCTGAGGATAAGGATAACACTTCGGTCATTCTTTACAAGCGTAAAACGGATATCGATAATGCCAACCAGCAATGGAAGGTCGAGCCATATGAAGGCTAAAATGTACATGTATCATCCTGCTCCAAGATGTGAATAAATAATGAGATTCCCTTTGGTGCAGAGTATACATCATCGTTTCACGGGCCGGTCAATGGCTTTCATTTGTGTAACATTGTCCAACTGTAATTTCAAGCAGCCAAGACCCTGTGCAACTAAAGACAATCCATGTTGATAGCATTGGAAAGCATCGTTGTGCCATTCATCATCTTGTACACCCGATAAGACACGACCTACGTTAGGACTTTTATTGGTTTGAATAAACTTGGGTCTCTTACCTCATGTCTCAGGCTTAATCCTATAGCAACAACCGCTTTGACATCGTTCATGGGTTTCTTTTTGCTCGCTGATGAGATCGGTGTACTTTTGTTCAGGATGCCCTGTCGTTCTTTGACAACATAAATTCGGCACTTGCCAACCCATCCACCAATCCAGCCTCTCGTATGATAGAACACAAACATCCACAAGAACATAGTAACCAGTGTTCCTCAACATTGGTTCTTCCCAAAACTTGTAATCATAAAGGTCGCTATAAAGACTACTATGAACAAGAATAGCTTGACAAGGAGAAGAAAAGTATCCAATAGTCTCAACGTACATTTAGTATTATCCATCTCTTTCAATCGATCAAATACCGCATTCCTTTAATCATAATAATGGCGTAATACAAGGAAAAGGGATGGGTGCTTGTAAATACAGACTACAGAGCATGTACAAATACTACGGCCATTGAGAATAAAGGTCACCCCAACCACAATCCTTATTTTTAACACACTCCGGGGCGAATTTGCGGCTATGAGAATAGCAGCAAACATAATCTCTTCCTTCATGGTTGAGCTGACATTTGCGGTGGCTGTTGCAATTGTAATCAGAATGGTCTGTGTTGAGTAGTTTACACGGGGATCCCTGCTTAGTGATCATCGGCATGCAGCATTTGTCATCGGGTCCATTGGGAACTTCGCCTTCCTTCTTACAGCCATGGTACACACATTTATAATGTTCATCGCAGCGAGTTTCTGCACCGTTGCAGTATCTCCACTGATAACAGCGACCACCGATTTCACCATGTTCGGGTTCCTTCTTTACGTCGTATTTGCCTGTGCTCACTCCATTCCCATCACTTGTGGCTATAAATTTTGATGCGCTCGTTCCACAGTCCTTGTACTTGACCAAAAGATCATTTGGAGTGGAACCTCTTGCACATACAAAGGTTGAAATGCATGATCGATCTTTGCCTGGGTCACATCTTTTGCAGCTCTTAAGATGTAACGGGAGTCCAGTGTTAAACATGCGTAAAAGCAGCAATGCGGTACTTCTGTCAGGCTTTATATGGTACTTTTCTTCGAGGCAGTTTTCATAGTTGTCCATATAAAACCGATAATAGCTGGCATGGCAAATGCCGATGAAAAACATGAACATAAGTTGTATAACTACAAGCTAGCGTAATAGATGTCCCACATTAATCACTATTCGTATACATACGCAATGTCACGAAAGGGTATCAAGGATGATGGCATACCTTCATAATGTTACTAATGTTACTGTGATATAGAAAGTCTACTCTTCCATAGTCAGGGTTTTATACTCAACGACGTATGCACTTGCTCCTTAAAAGGAGCTGCTATGCTTCGCTAGCCGGAATAACAAGATCAAGTTTCTCTTACATCGATCCCACCCCCACTACATGTCGCACTTGCAGAGATTGATGATAAAACATGGGCATATTTACCCAACCAATACTCCCCTCGACGCACAATAATAGGAGATGTGGCCGAGAGTCTCTTCACAAGTGTCAACGCCTGTATATTGAGACGCAGTTGCGTTCATTTACATACGCGTAAAAAGTAAGCTAATGCACCGGGGCTGTAACCTTGACGCCACTTGGCTGCATAGTGATCCTGAAAAATACATCTAATCGGGCTAGCACCAGTAACATGGATCGTGCTACCTAATGCAATCATAAACGCAAGCATTCGCCATGATCGTGATTGAGACATACCATCCCTTCTTCTCTTATGGGCGAATTGTTGATACCCGCAGCTGAATACAAAGGCCCATTTTTTTACTCCTCCAGTAACCATTGTATGTATCAAAGTTTACGATGCTTTCACCATTGGGAGAAATTCCGTTGCCATGATACATATGTGATTTGAGAAATGAAAAAGCAGCATAGTTATCTGTTGCACTGTTATTTCCTTGGTACCGGAAGGAAAGGGTTAAAAAAGGGGGAGGTAACGAAGTAAAAGGCGATCTTTTACCCCTTGGAACGCGTTCTACATGTCATACAGGATGGCTTGAGTAAGAACGCCCGGATGATAATAACTGCAGGTGATTATGATGCTTTCAGCAAAAAAGAGGCAGCGTCTATACGGCGAGACTTTTCTCATAGCAAACGTAAAAGCACATCGTTACATTATGCATTGAACCCATCTTGAAATCTCACTCGAGTTTTGTATGCAAAGATGCTAACCATCAAATTCTGTAGTCATGATTACAGGATTGCGTGTAGCTGCCTAATGACCGGCTCCTAGGATAAAAAACCTCACCTTGCAAAATGCTACGACGTTTTCATATGAATGCAAGCGATAAATGCGCGTTTGGGATCTTGAGGATAGTACATGACTTAAGATTGGTTGCCTTCTCTAGAAAATCTACCAACAGGCCTAGATGGGATGATACACGTAGCTCCTCAAAACCTCGTCATGAAGCGAAGGCTTAAACATGCTATCATGGTATCTCCTCCAGTGTTATCTATCATTTGCTGTGCTTGTGTACGCACGCTCATTACAAGAAAATTTGCCATTGTTAGACTATATGTAGTGGCATGCGCATAAGCAGCGATGATCCAATCACAGGATTCAGCCATCCAACACTGTACATACGGTACGCTCTATATGAGTGTGGAAAAAGGTGCAAGAAGCATGATGCAAGTAGCAAAACCCGTGTTTTCTTTATTGGATTAATCCACCCGTGTTGGATTAGACGATGTATGAAAATCGATTGCACAGCCCAACAACCAAAAACCTTGCTATAAATGTGTCATTCTTCATCCTATCCTAAAGCTAAATTGCTCTTTCAATGACGTCATCTAGGAGGGTACACTTTTGAAGCAAGCATACAGCAATAGCAAGATCAAGAAATCTCTAGAATCCAGGAGACACATCAATAGCTTGTATTACCGTACAGAGTAAAATATCCCAAATCGGGCGTATAATACTAGGAGTCATATCATGCCATGATTGCTTGATTGTTGCATATGGCGTCTATTTCACGTTGTATAAGATATCAAGAAGAAGGGTGCCTCATGGCAAGGATGATTAGGGAAAAACGGGGCTTAGGCATACATCATGCAATAAAGAACCATGGCTTGCGCGGACATGCGGTGACACACAGCATCCTGCTTTTCGGGTTCGGCTATTTTAGACTTCCGTGAGGGATGGCCCGTTCTCCGATTTTGAGTCATATGGAGGAACTTGTTGGAGTGAAACACTTGTATATAAAAAGCAAATCAATGTACCTTGATTCGTTAGATCAAAACGTTTCTTTTTCTTTTTTCCATTTATCATGGCAACAACAGCTGAAAATCAAGTTCTTATTATTGGAGGTGGTCTTGCTGGTCTTGCACTTGGCAATGTGCTTCAACATCATGGTATCCCTTACACGGTGTTTGAACGCGAAAGTTCTCCCAATGATCGTTTACAAGGCTGGTCTTTGAGTATGCATTTTGTATTGCCCAGACTCGCTGAATTGATCGACCCTGCAAAGTGGGCCGAATTTGGTCCTCGTACAGCTGTCAATCCTCAAGACCCACACAATGTCTCCTTTGCGCTGATTGATGGTGTTAGCGGCAAGCCTTTTATGCAACGTGGTGGACCTAATCTTGGCGCTGGTGTATATCGTGTCAACCGAAAACGACTTCGAGACTGGTTATCGGAAGGCATCAATGTCGTTTGGGGAAAGCAGTTTGATCACTACACTACTACTACAGAAGAACAAGATGGCGGTGTCAAGGCAGTGTTCAAGGATGGTACTGAAGTAAGGGGTCGCTTGTTGATTGGTGTGGATGGATCCAACTCGGCTGTGGCACAGCAAAAGCTTGGCACAAAGTTGTATGATGAATGCACCAGCACGCATCCTGTCAAAGCATTGGGCACACAAACCATCATTGATGCGGAGTTACGCAAGAAAATCGAGGAGATGTCTTCAGCTTTCATGATTGCCTTTGGACAAAATCCTCCCTCGGGTGGCCCTATGCCCTGTTTCTTTTCTTCGTTGAATGATGTTATCAGCGACAATGAATTTTCCATGCAATGGAGTGTCTCGACTTTGGATGAAGATTTCAAGATTGCTGATACCGATGCTGAACGTCTTCAACAAGCCAAGGATCTCGTACGGAAAGGAAATTTCTCTGGCCCTATTGCGGAGATGGCTCTCAACACAAAAGACGATACACCTACTCTCGGCTTAAGAATACGTGAACGTGCACCTCCAGAAGACCTTGGTTCTATTTCCCCAGACAATGTGGTTCTCGTTGGTGATGCTGCTCATGCAATGACCATGTTCCGAGGAGAAGGTTAGTAGCATAGAGGAGTGAATGGATGGATGGATGGATCACGGAATGCTAACAAGATGGATGTAATAGGTGCTAATCATGCTATCATGGATTCACTCGTACTTGGCGAACAGCTGATCAAATTATACAAGGATGAGATCAGTTTGAAGGAAGCACTCGATGTTTACTACAAGGAAATGATACCCCGTGGTCGTAAAGCTGTTCAAGAATCTCATGAGGCAGCTTTTACTATGCATAAATCACGTGAAGCGATCGAAGAAATGGTTCAATCCGTTATCAAGCGACACACCGGACAGGATCAAAAGGAATAAACAACACCTCTATTATCATACCATATCACTTTTTATAATAAAAAATCGAAATTTTACAGCTAAGACAATAGGATATTAAGTTTATTATGCATTATACTATAAGTTTATCGGAATCATTGGATTCATGACGCCTACGTGGGGGTGGTGGCATGCTGGATCGTGCAATGGGAGATTGGCCTCGTGCAGCATTCTTCGTATTCAAATAAGTGATAGCTTCATCTTCGACCAAATCGCCAATGCCAACCAATTCGGATATGCTGTACCCTGTTGCTGGATCAACAAGACCCGTATCTGCTCCATTTTGTAGTAGCATTTCAGCCATAGGAAACAAGTGCTCTCGATCATCATGATCCAATGCCACACGTCCATGCAAAAGTGCAAAATGAATGGGGTATCGTACAATGTACTCGGCTGTTCCCAATGATAAGCTCTTTTCCCATTGTTGCTGTTCATCGTCATCATCCGAAGCAGCACCCACTGGTATCCGTATCACATTCTTTTCATCAGTGCGGCATGCATTGACATCGGCACCAAGAGCAATCGCATGCATGGCAGCGGGTATATCATCCTTGTCAATGGCATCAAAGAGTAGTGCTTGAGGATCATCGCTGGTATGTTGAACAAAGGCTCTCTCGACGTATTTCGCCTGAATGTATTTCAACTTGGTATTTCGGGTATCATCCGGTTTGGGAGATGTTGATCCAGCAGCCGCGTTGCCTTCTATTGTTGAGGAATCGGTAGTGGTAGTGGTGGTAGTGGCTGAGGTCGTTGCTGATAATGATGATTCCCAAATTGCATTGGATCGGCCGTTTCCAAGGGCACGTAATAGTGATACGATATCAGGTGTATACGATGCGCTGTCCAATGTCAAAGATCGTACTTTGGAAATATGCGTACCCAATGATCGATGAATACCAGAGCATTCTAAAAAGATGGATTAGTCTTTCATATCAAGATGTTGTCTAAATCACTTACCAATGCAAAGCAAAATACCAAGATTCAAAGAACACCATTCAGGGTTTGGATCACCACAATCTGCACAATATCCATTGGAAGGATCTTGTTTCAACTTGCATAGCAATTCAGTATTGGGAGTAGCATCGGTGACGGTGTAATTATTGAAAGGCTGCTGATGAAGAGAAGGTGATTTTCCAAAGCTCAAAGTAGACCATCGAAAACGTTGATGTTGATGTTGTTGTTCATTGGATGATGTATTGTCGATGGATGACGATAAGAAGTCTTGTGCTGCAATTCCCAAACTATCCCCACTTTGTCGTTTCAATCCATTGCGAAGAGCGCCACTCAAAGATCGAGCATGATTCCTGTTACGTTTGCTGCTAAGCGTCCCATTATCATCTGCTCCTCCTCCTGCTGCTGCCGCTGCTGCCGCTGCCATGGCTGGTTTAGAAAGGTCCACCGAACTTCCCATTCCATTCAATAAACTTTCAATAGCATTGTTGATGGTTGCAATCCAACTCTGCATCTCTTCATGTGAGGTAGCTTGATAGACACGTCGAAATTGATTGGTAATCACTTCAAAGCAAAATCTTCTCTCTGTGTTGCGTGCTTCTCGTGCCGTTGCAAATCGTAAATTGATAGGATCAATGTGTGTCTGCAATTGCCCTTTCCAGTTGCTGTATTCGTGTAGTTGACCTCCACTCAAGACGCACCAATACTTGTGCCAATTGGCTGCAGCACCTGATGCCTTATCGAATGCGCTATGTTTGGATGGTTTGGATGTTGCAAATAAGAATCCTTCCTTACGCCGTCCACTGCCACTGATCAATTCTCGATCTTGTTGCTGCAAATCTCGAATGCCGCGGAATTTATCTTCGATTGGTGGATGCTGATCATGTGCAGTAGTTGGATCAAGATCAGATTCCATTACCAAAAGTGATGGCGGTGACTGTGCCACTTGTGGTAATTGTTGCTGCTGGTGGTGATCGAGTGATGTCCTTTGTTGACAGGGTTGCTCATCCAATTTGCCTTCCAATATCTTGCGTTTCTCATGTCGTTCCTTGTAAACTTGATTCTGCTCACGCGATGCATCGGCCATGATAGATGCCAGCTGATCCAATCCAACTTTGTATGGTTCAAGTGATTCAGCCATTGTCTGATAAAACGCGTATTGCTTTTGTTGATAGCTGAAAAGATGATACAAGAGTTCCTGATTCTTTTTGCCGCCATGTAAATCCATCAAGAAGCTGTGATAATCGAAACGAACAAGATCGAAATGCTGCTTCTTCTTTTGTTGAATGCCGTCATCTTGCTCGGTCTTTGTCTTTAGATATTTGCCGAGGTTGGTATAATACTCTTTGCTCTCTTCCTCAAATTGGCGTCGATGATGTTCAGCTGTTTTGATATCCATTTGATACAACTTCTCGAGTGGATCAAGTAAAAGAGATTGCATCGAATGCTCTAGTCGTTCCCACTGTTCATGCATTTTTGGCCACGAGTCGTTCAAATAATGTGTAAAAAGAGGTTCCACACTCGATATGTCTCGCAACACGCTCACAAACTCGGTATCCGCTTGGAGTAACGCTCGCTTGGCTTCCAAAGACGCCATGGCTGCTTTGAGTATGCGTTTCACATTGGCCTTCAATGCACCTGTGCGTCCCTCCAATTGAGTAATGGTGGCTCGAAAGAGTGGCCCATCCTCCAGATCCATGGTGGCAGATTCGGAACTTTTGATGGATGGTGCCGGATCAGACATGCTGTCGTGGTCGAGTCAAGGTTGAACAAGAAATAGGAACAAGCGACCAAAGGAGGAGAAAAGAAGAGAGAAAGAGAGAGCACCCGCAGCGTGTCACTTGAAACATCGTGTTCCCAGCATAAATTCGGTAATTGACTTGTCAATTCATATCCAATGGATCCTCCTATGTGGTACCACCTACCAATTGACAATTATTGGTGTCATAGTTTTGAATAATATAATAAGATGCGTACATCCATACCATCCACCAGCAATAAACAAAAGTACCTTTATTGACTACAATCCATCCATACATTGATGCCTTTTTTTTCTTAAACCTTGCCTCCACGATATCCCATTTTGTGGGATATCACGCAATTAGGGCTGAACATGTCTCTTTTTTCAAGCTAATCACAAAATTCCCATGCTACTGGATGACAATCTCCATAGCAACTTTGATATTGTAGTATATCAAACCCTATGCTACATAAAGCGTGTTCTACTGGAGCAATGGACCTGCTGACAACATCAAGTAAAGAAAAAGCAGTCAACATCCACAACAAGCGCTGGTCCTCAACATCGATTCCTCCATAAGATTTGTATTCATAAAAGCATTGTAAAAGCTATAAGCAATAATAGAGCGGTAAAAGCATGCAACGGTATCCACATAATCTCATTGATCCATTGTCTTTCATCAACCAAATTCGCATTCTTCATTCATTAATGTTTAAAAAAAGGAAACGGATAGAGGCTTGTAAACTCAAAGCATGCATGGACACTATCATTGGGAATAAAGATAGCCCCATTTACATTCCTTATTTGGAACACACATTGGAGCGTTTTGGCGGCCATGAGAATAGCAGCATTTATAATCTCTGCCTTCGTGATTGAGCTGACATGTACGGTGGCTGTTGCAGTTGTTATCGGAATGATCTGTGTTGAGCAGTTTGCATGGGGATCCCTGTCTCGTGACCATAGGCATACAGCATTTGTCGTCAGGTCCATTGGGGACTTCGCCTTCTTTCTTACAGGCGTGAGCCACACATCTGTAGTTTTCGCAGCGAGCTTCACCGTAGCAGTATCTCCACAATTGACACCTGCCACCAATCTGGCCATCTTCGGGTTCCTTTTCGGGTTGTTTGGGGCGGTTTGCGAGTTCCTTCTGGTATCTCTCAGCTTCGGCCTGGGCTTCGGCTCGCTTCTTTACTGTTTGCACTCCACAGTCCTTGTACTTGATCAAAAGGTCATTGGGAGTGTTTTTATCGTTTAAGCAACCATCTGGCATAATGCAGGATTCATCTTCGGAAGGGTTACATTTGCAGTCATGATAGATAGTGGCATCCTTATATTCCTTGCTGTCCTTAACCTTTTCAATTGCCTCGTTGAAGCCTTTATAGTCAAAGTTTTTAAAGTCAAAGGTTTTAGGATCGAATTTTCCAGGCTGAAATTTCTCCGGAAGCAGGGGTGACAGGTCCACGTTCATATAGTCGATGGAATACTTCTCTTTAAGGCATTGTTTAAAGTAACTCTTTATATCCATGTCGGCAGCATGGCAAATGCCAACAAGGAACATAAACACAATCTGTACAGTTGCAATCTAACCAGAAAAGATCCCCCGGTTAATCATTCGCGGTATATGTAAGGAAAAAAAGTATAAAGCGTAATCTACCTTCATAATGTTCTTGCGATTTGATAATTCTCTTGTCACTTCTAGGGTTGGAGTTATATACTAATGTCATATGCACTTGTCCCTTATCGGAGTCGCTATGCTTCATCCTGATTAGAAGAATCCAGCCGCGATGCAGCTGGTGGAGGTGCTCTCCTTTTTTTTAGCCGCTATTGCATTTGTGCTTGCAGAGATTGAAGATGAGAATATGAGGCATATTTGACCAACCAATGTAGAATCAGTTTGCCACTTGATGTACATTAAATGAAATGACCAAGCAAGCTTTTTCAAACATCAAAACCTGATTATAGTGACACAGCTACAATTTTTTTTGTATAGCATAAAAATGTATGCCTACACAGGATGCTGGAAAGTTTACGCCACATTTCCAGCAAGGGGCATCCTTGAATGCATCTCGTCGAGTCACCGCCAAGAGAATGCACGTCATCCATGCTACACGATAGCCCCGATCGTTATGCCTACTCCTCTTTCCCCCTTCGTTTGGAAGTGCTGCCAAATACAACTTCCTTTTTTTGTTGCGCAGGTAACCATTATAATCCAAGTCTTTTGTCGTTGTAGCCAGCAATTCGTTTGCCATGTATAATAACCGAAAAAATAAAAAACACCCTCGATGACTCGATCTTATCCAAACATACTCTTTCGCGGTTCCAGAAGATTGATTGGGTGAAGATATCAGTAGAAAGTACATAAACGCTGATGCCCCTACATACGTTATCCCATCACATGAGTAGGAACGGCCGAACAAAGTGATCTGCAGGGGTTATGGCGCAAGAAAGAATGCTATCAACAAAAAAAAGGGAGAGCTATACTACGATGCATATTTCGTAACAAAATTAGTGATACACGAAGTACATATGAGTTTGATGCTTTCCATCGATACCTCGTCAAACGTCCTCCGCCACTAATGGAAGTCGAGATTTGGTTTTGCCACATTTGTTATACGCTCGTAATGCTTCATGCAATCTCCTCGAAGTGCTCTTTGAAATTTATGGAGGCAGATGTAATAGAAGGTCCTTTGTTTACAAAGTATACTATGTTGTATATTGTCTACATGGCATTTAATAAGGTGGTAGTATATTATCATTAGTTAGGTATGCTATGGAATCGACGACCCCTTGAGCGTGGCGTACTCTTTAGAGAAAACGGGCCATCGTTATCTTTTTGCCGATATTCTTGAACCATGCCAGGTAATTGCCCTCTTGCCTGCCATTGTGCAATCATGGGCATACCAAATTTAGCCCACCATCCTATGCTTTCAATGGCTTCGGATGATTTACCAAAAGGGAATGCTTGAAAAACATGCACCATGTCCTTCCATTCGGATACAAGGTTAGACAATCATTGTATTCATACATTGTACCCTATGTATCTACCTACCTCATATTCTTCATGATGCACAAGGGTTGTTTTGGTAGCACCAATCTTCGATACCAGATCATTGATTTCATCACGTAATGACTCGCATCCACCCGATTGGATCAGCAAAGGCGGCAATCCTTCAAAGCTTTCTGCAAAGATGGGTGAAACATAGGGATGACGGACCATGGTGGCTGCTTCTTCACGGCCTAAGTATAAATGCGCTGGATTCATTGCTTCCAATCGATCTGGATTATTGGGTAGATAATCGTAGATAGATGCATTATCCCAGCTTGGGTAGGAAAAGGACAAATCGACCCATGGCTAAGATACATGTTCAGTGGATGTGCATGATGTTGCATATACGTTTCCCCTTACCGATAATAAAACAGCACCTTCCAGTTGTGGAAGTGCATAATCACGCAAGTAAAGCATGGTTGCCAATGCCAAACCACCACCAGCTGAATCGCCCATGATGAGGATGTTCTTTGGTTCCAAGCCATAACCGTAGTCTGCATCAATCAAGTAAAGATAAGCTTGCACTGCATCATAGAGAGCTCCTGGGAACTTTGTTTCAGGTGCCAATCGATAATTGACAGCTATTACAAATTTGGCACGTTAGCGATACCACCACCATTACCACTGCCAGCATCATAATGCCATCATGGCGTATTTACCAAAAACACGTCTACCAGTAGCCTTGCTAATCTTGTGTGTAAGGGTGCGGTGTGTTTGAGCGCTCATTGCACAATAGGCACCGCCGTGTAAGTATAAGACAATCTTTTCTGGTGAGCGTGTTCGAAGTACCAAAGCACCGCTATTGTTGTTCATCGTTGCTGCAGTATTATCTTCCACTGAATTTTCATCGTTGTCTTCTTTTCGCCCATCATAACTTGGATTAATGACGCTTTGGCACCTATCCCATATAGATCCAGCTGACATCCATTCAACGGACATGATACGATGACCTTGTTCCTGTGCATCAAGATCACTTAGGATCCCGCACAAAGATCTCCGCCTCACGCGAAACGAACCATCTTGGGTCTTTGATGTAAGAGGAGTAAGCCATGTAGGTGCGATCAACAAAAGTCGCCAAAATTCAAGGCTGTTGGCAAGCGAATGATCTCGTAACACTTGTAGAAACGACATGACAACCGTTTGCTGTATATTCCAATGGGGTCGTTTTGGTTGTCCAAGGACAAGGTGTGATACAATTTCGGAGGCCAGCCGAGAAACCACCTTGGGAGCATGCCACACTGTTTGATACAGCTCATTCATAACTGGGTTATTATATGTCAGGAGTTGTTGTAGCGGTAGCTTGGATAGAATGGCTGAAAGAATCAAGACATTGCTAGTAGAAGATGGAACGTTGTGGTTGTTACCGCTACTACTACAACATGCGGCAGCAGTGGTTGCGGTGGTGGTTGTGGTGCAACTCATTTGTGAGAAACAGAAGCGTTATAAGTTGGGACGTTACCCCGCACACAACTTGATTTATAGCACACAACACCTTTCCCCACACATCACAATCATATGAAAAAACATTGCCACGTGAGCCATTACCCCAGCCAATGCTGTATGACACCAGCATGCCATGGGACACATGTCGACGATGACGACGTTTGCATTGTAAATAGACATGCATACGATTCTCAGGGTACACAATGCCTTGTTGACGTGTGGTGGTAAAGTGCTGCTGCTGTTGCCAAAGGAGAAGAAGGCTCTTTTTCTAAAACACCACACGTGTGCTTAGCATGATGGATGTAGCAACAAAGGAAAAGCATGCACCAGGACATTTGGATTCAGGTACCATGATGTGCACAAGGTTTCTTTAAAGGCATCACTTTCCCCATTGGTTCCTTAAACAGTGGGGGAAAAGACTCACCCAGTCCACCTTACCGATGCGATCTCTTTAGTCATTTATGGCAATCTGATCATTGCTGCAAACAAATGTGAGCCCTGACCTGTCATATGTTGTGTGCTTGTACTATACTTTCTCGATTCGGTTGGGGTTGCTGTCACGGTGCTTCAGGTCGCCTTTCAGCATATGCACAAGGACCATCCCATATACATTGCGCAACAACAAAGGTATTCAATGCATTTCTATAAAGAGATGTTTGTATTGCAGCATTCTAATATTCTATGCGCTGCCTTCTTAACCAACAAATCCTAGCGGATGAGAAAGGTCACTCATTCAAAGCACGTCAACCATGCTGTGTTTAGTAATGTACATGCATAACCGCTATGATGTATACTATGCTTCCCACGACAGCTATCAGCCATGTGCTGCATGTTTGATGTTTACATCTCGAAAAGCTGCGTTTTGTATACATAATGACAACTTCAATCGCAGCCTTGCAAACCATTCAATAAAACAATCCAGTGATTATGCATTTTGAGAGAGCGAGAGAATGGATTTTACTGTAATTAAGGGCTACTGCTACTCATCTTTAGCTGATGTTGCAAGATGGCGTCCATAAAGGTGGTTTGGGTGTGCTCTAAGATAAATTAGATGGGAACTGAATAAAGTAAAAAGATGGGGGATATATATTCTTCTTCACTGCTGCGGCAACATGCAAATTGCAATACAAGTAAGGAGTAAGGAAAAAAAGGGAAGAATGGCAATGTACAAATTATTTGGATTGATTCCGCTTGGCTGCTTGTCGCTCATGCGTCTTGAGATGGCGTGATACTTGATCGGGTCTTGAGAATGCTTTTCCACAAGGAATCACCGAGCAACGGAAAGGACGTTCACCAGTATGGACCCGCATCTACATAGAATAGTTCCATTGTCAAGTAGGGGGAAAAAGAAAGAGAAAAAGGAAGGTTACTTACATGTTTGGTGAGATTACTGCTTTCAGCAAATCTTTTATTACATCCATCATATTTGCAAGAGAAGGGACGTTCACCCGAATGGACACGACGATGAATAGTCAATGCACCTGATATAGAGAATTGGCGGTTGCAACCTGACTCGGGACACTTGTAAGGCTTTTCACCCGTATGAGTACGCATGTGCTGTGTCATGATGTTGGATTCCGAGAAGCGCTTTCTGCAAATAGTACATTCATAAGGCTTGTCACCTAAGAGAGAGAGAGAGAGAGAAGATGAGTACATGGATGCATATGTATGTGTGTGTGACGTGAAGCGTCAAAGAAGAAGATGACGCACTTACCAGTGTGCGTCTGAATGTGTCTCATGACCTTTTGACGTTGTGTAAAGACTTTGCCTTGACGATCACAGCGTTCCCATAAGCAACTGTATTTGCTTTGACCAGCGCCCACATGCTCTTCCGATAAATGACCCGTCAACTCGTCAAACGATGCAAATCGCCGGTTGCAGTTAAGCCATCGACACCCGTGGATCAAACGTTGGCCCAAATGGTTTGTCAAGTGAGAAAGTAGCTCTTCAGAACCATCCACTGATACGGTGCATGAACCCCATCGACAATGGAAATCAATAGAACGGCGATTGTTGAGATGATTTCTAAACAAATGAGGTGCCAAGTCGTCCAAGGTACTGAACTGCTCGTCGCATGCTGCCCACTCGCATGTGCATGTATCATCATCATCTTCGTCATCATCATCCGGTGCTTTACGCTTGAGGGAATTCTTTGTATCGTCAAAAGAAGAAGTTGAAGGAGCTGATGGCACACATTGATCGGCCGTATCAGATGTAGCTGATTCGTTCATTGGGGAGGTTGAAGGAGAGTGACATGTCGAGTCATTGTTGTCGTAGTTGGACATTGGGTTGTTGGAGGTTGAGATGGTGATATCGACCTTATGAGACGACGATGCCATTCAGCTGAAAGGGAGCGTATCATAGAATCATACGATACGCCAACAAAGGAAAATAGAGACAAGAAAGAAAAGGCAAAGAAAAATAGTCGGAAGAGGTCTGCTATGTTTTTCCCAAATGACGCTTTTGGTAAGGAGAAAGCTCGCCATTCGGTAAATCTCTTTGTGGGTTGCCGACAATCCGCGCGCTTATGCATGACATCCCCCATATTGATATTGCTTTATACTATTACCCTTGTCTGACCCATACTAATATTATCGATATGGGGTCCTGGGGCATCCTCCATTGATTATAAAAAGAAGCTTTGTGAAACATGCACACCAAGAGTTAAGACAACAATGATGTGTTTATCAGATCTTCAGTGCTAGCATGTGTAATAGCAGCCCTGAAAACTGTATATGTAACAAGAAGCCAGCTGACTCGTATTTTGCTATCTGCTGTACCGATTTGCTGGGTCTCGTAATCAAATCCATCACGCCCGGCACATGATCCATTGTTTGCATTGGTCGTGTTGGAAAAGCCATGGGCTTGAAACATGAATTTGACGACTCAATGTTACGGTTGGCAGTCATCACTCTAGAAGCTGAAAAATGTTTATTCACTATAAAGCTTCACGCACATTGATGCTTTGAAAACTAGCCATACATACTCATCCAGTGTATACGACATCATATACGACCTTTGTTAATAGTACTAGAATAAGTGGATTGTGATACCAATTGACCGATTATTAAAGGGCAACAGCCATCGATCGATAAGTGTGATCACCTGGCATTTGATACTTTTGCTCATTATATTGCTTTCTTTGTGAACGAGTTGCCTCTAGAATATTCGTAGGAGTGCATTTTGGTTTGAAGAGTTGGCAGTAAAAGCTAATTGGCAATCATAGATGATAATGGCTCCTTGATCAGATCATTGGATAACCAGGCCCTATGTACTAAACTCTTTCAGCTGGTATTTGTAAATGCGTTGTAATCATCACCATCATCATTAAGATATGCATCTATTATAGGTAGTAGAGGCTGTTGACCTATCAAATGAACGCTTGTGGCAATTGTAGATCCTCGGCACCAGCACACGAGGAGTAGCTGGTGTTTCTTGTGTCACAATCATGCACACTACTCGTCAACAAAAAGCATCATCAAAGCTATATCCAAGGCGCTAGGCGTTCTATGGCCCTGCTCGATACGTTAACCACAACCTCCCTAAACTTTATAGTCAAGTCGACATGGCCACCGCCATGCGATGGAAAAGAAGGATCAACCGCATGACTACAGATATGTATGTGATCGATGTGTGTCCGCAAAGGTTTGGCGTATTCATACTTAGGGAGTCAAACGACGGCTCACGTATTGAGGAAATTGAAATCAGAATTACAGAAACCCTCCCATAATACGTGAATTACATATTAGCAGCTTCTAGTATCCTAGCGCCAAGAACTTATCAAGTACCCTTGATGATTGACCTGAGGTATAAAAGAGAAAATTGTGAAAACCGATATGTAATTTAATAAACGGTCGATTTGTGTTGCCAAGGGGTCACCCATGAAATCATACAAACAAAACGCGACTTATAGTGGCGCTATAACCTTGCTTTGGCGTTTTGCTCTTTGTCCGGTTATTGCCATGCCAACAAGGCCTCCTTGACAATTGTGCCAGCACACATACAGTGTTATGTGTAAGGTTTACCAAGTTTGTTGGCCGATAAGAAGGACAGCATACTACGTAAGGAATGGGATCATTCGTCAAAGATATAAAAGGCACCCGTTCTAGGAAATGATTTCGGTAACACCTTAGCTTTATTTTTACACACAAGTCATACGAATGCATTTCTTTACATCAATCGGCTTTGCCGCCCTCTGTCTTATGGTCAGCATCCAAGCCGCTCCTACGCCGTATCTCGTTCCTGATCGTCAAGGCTCGAATGGAGAGAACGCTCAAAAACTGGTCCCACTCACGGATGTGCTAAATTCCCCTGGTAGCTTTATGTATGGCGGCGTGCGACCAAACCCTTCTAGTTAGATACAATACATCATAATGTCATAATTGTTGTATAGCTAGGACCGATCAACTACACATAGTATAGCTTAAATTTGCCTTGTGTTATAAATCGTGTTCAATCATCTCATTTAATTGGTGATAAAGTACGCGCATACAACTATGTAAAAATGCTATGTTTCCTTGTCTACCAACATGGACCAATAATGTTATCAGGCAAAGGCTGCTTCTGCTGCGGAGGACAATTTGTGGGGGGAAGGTGCTACAAGCATGAAAAGTGAGATCGTTCCTTGAAAAAGTCGCGAGTGCTGCGCACATACCTCTTCCTTATCTTTGCTCCACTCCTTCCTCCATGCTTCTCAAACGCCCAAAGTCATTACAACTACATAAGCAACTACAGCAGCAACAACCAGTAGAAAACAACAATAGACACCCAAAGCGGAAACGTACAGTAAAACGCTATATCATTGACGACGAAGAGGATTGCGAACAAAGCGACGATTCCGATTTCGAGAACGATCATGGAGCGAAACGACGATTGACGCTGGGGGATCTTTCCAATGCACCACCACTCAAGAACCCACTATCGCGTATACCCAAAGACTATGATCCAAAGGCTATCCTTACACAGAAATTCAAGGTGCCCATTGCCAATGGTACCAGCAGCAGCAGTTCGAGTGACTTTAATGGCGGCTTTCGACGGACGTTGGGTATGCGACGACGACCTGCGAATATGAATCGACTCTTGTATGACCCCAATGCAGACGACGTTATTATCTTGTGGGACCCCAAAGATGATGAAACCATTCCGTTACCAGCGAAGCCAGCAGCAGCAGAGCCGACAAAACAATCAGAGAAGGATGAGGAACCACCCAAACAACAAAAGATACCCGGCAAATCACTCTCTGAGATCCTTGGACTGAAGAAGCAAGAGAGCAAAAAAGCACCTGTCATGCTTGATCCAGTCTTGACAAGAATCTTACGGCCTCATCAGCTCGAAGGTCTCAAGTTCCTTTATCGTTGTACCACAGGCAAGGTGCATCCGGAAGCATTTGGGTAAATTCATCACAATATCATCCGTTTTCTTTTTGCTTACACATTGCTTTTAGATGTATCATGGCAGATGAAATGGGATTGGGAAAAACAGTAAGTGTTTATCTTTTCATGTATAGAAATCATATGCTGACTTGAAAATCATGCAGCTGCAATGCATTTCTCTTGTGTGGACTCTATTACGGCAATCAGGTGAAATGGGCAAGCCAACTATAGAAAAGGCCATTGTCACATGTCCTTCAAGTCTTGTGCGCAACTGGGCAAACGAATTTGGTATGTTGCTTTCATCTCTTATGAATCCTCACCTTTTCTTACATACTCATCTCCCTCTTTACTTTAGTCAAATGGCTTGGTGAATCACGTGTACGACCACTGGTTATTGATAATGCCGGCAGCAAAGAAAAGATCACAGCAGTCAAGAGATGGTCCGCAGCACAAGGCCAAATTGTCAATCCAGGTACGTGTCATTGCTTGCTTCTATCTCAATCATACTTATCCTTTTTGCATAGTTCTCATCATATCCTATGAAACGTTGCGTTCCTATACCAAGTACTTGAAAAAGTCGCCCATTGGCCTCTTGCTATGTGACGAAGGTCATCGCTTAAAGAACGGAAGTATGTATAACCAAGCTATCTTTGTGGGATGAGTGTGAATTAACCTACTCTTTTTTAGCCTCCTTGTTGTTTCAGGAACTGAATAGCTTGCCTGTGCGGCGACGTGTCATTCTTTCAGGCACTCCGATTCAGGTACATGACACACGCATGGCCCTTTCCTCCTCAACCTCTAACACATTTACATTTTAGAACGATTTGAGCGAGTATTATTCCTTATTTGACTTTGCCAATCCTGGTCTTCTTGGTACCCCTAGCGAATTCAGACGCAACTTTGAGACACCTATTCTTCGTGGTCGTGATGCAGATGCAACTGAAAAGGAGCGCCAAATCAGTGATGATAAGGTGGCCGAGTTTTGGGGTATCGTGTCCAAGTTTACCATTCGACGCACAAATGACATTCTCACCAAATACTGTAAGTAAACCTCTTTCACCTACACACATATACGATGCACACAAGACCAATGATTTGATGCTTCTATAGTGCCTATCAAGTTTGAACATGTCGTGTTTACAAAATTGGCGCCATTACAACGAAGCATATATGATGTGTTCCTTACATCGCCTGATATCAAGCGTTTATTACGTGGCCAAGGCAGTCAGCCTTTAAAGGTATGATTTGTTATCGATCAAGTAGATCTTTACGCTCACAACGCGTATGTTGTAGGCTATCACCATGTTGAAAAAGTTATGCAACCATCCTGGGCTTCTCAACCTACCTGATGAATTGGAAGGATCTGAGGATGTATTACCTGCTGGCTATCATCAATCGGGACGCCACGTGTCCGTCAACCCCGAGTATTCAGGGAAATTCATGCTACTTCAAAGGTAATGTCCCAAATCTTGCTCTTTTCGTGATACACTTGTTAACGGAATATACTATAGAATGCTTGCCAAGATTCGGAAAGAAACCAAGGACAAGATTGTCATTGTGAGCAACTATACACAGACACTGGACCTTATCCAAAACTTTTGCCAGCAAAAGCAGTACGTATTAGTTACGAACAACAACCATCATCGTGATCCTAAAGGATAGGGTCTATTTTAGGTATGGCGCATTACGACTCGATGGTACAATGACGATTCAAAAGCGGCAAAAGCTCGTGGATCAATTCAATGACCCTGAAGGCGATGAATTTGTGTTTCTCTTAAGCAGCAAAGCTGGTGGTTGTGGTTTGAATTTGATCGGTGCAAATAGACTCATTCTCTTTGATCCTGGTAAGGAAACTTGGACATGTGTGTGATATAGCGTGCAGGTTTTCTTACATACATTGCATGGATAGATTGGAATCCTGCTGCTGATCAGCAAGCTTTAGCACGTATTTGGCGAGATGGACAAAAGAAAGACTGTGAGTAGGCTAGCATGATGGCTGTTAATCATGGGTGCTGATGATCAATCGGTTTTATCTAGGTTTTATCTATCGCCTTATTGCATCAGGTACCATTGAAGAGAAGATCTTTCAACGCCAATCACATAAGCAATCCATTTCAAATTGTGTGGTGGACGAGGCAACTGACACGGAGCGACATTTTTCTTTGGCTGACATGCGGCAATTGTTTCAACTCAATACCGAAAGCGAGTGTGAAACGCACGACACCTTCAAATGCAAACGATGTATCCAAGGAAAGCAATTCCGACAGGCCGATGCCATGCAATATGGAGATGCTAGCACGTAAGTAAATCACAAGGATGAGAATAAGCAGTGACTAAAGGCTTTTGAATAGATGGGACCATTATGATAAGGACATGCTGAAACTTCCCGATCCTATGCTGAGAGAAGAAGCTGGCAAAGGAGTTGTATCATACGTCTTTGAATTCATTTCACACATGAAGTAGAACGGACTTTCATCATCCACATCCTCATACATAGTATCATAAACACGTTGCTCCTTCTTGCATGATAAACAATATTCAAAGTTCTGTACAAATCTGGGATCCTTTTGATGCTTTTAAGGAACATGTTCTAGGAGCATGCAACGGTGAAAAGAGCACCTCTGTGCGCCAAGCGATCAGGAGGAGGTGATAAAAAGTATCTTGGCAATGAACCACGGCCATATCACCATAATACATGAAATACCTCACTTGCTCACTCTTTATTGTTTCACATCCACGTTATCTTGTAGTCTTCTTTTATAATTTGACGACTGGTATAGTAATTCCCTACGTGGTGCATCCACCACAATGGCATCCATCATCGATGCTTCTATGTATCTACATGTATGTATGTAATTGGATCACCTTTGGTTTCTTGTACCCCTGCATATGTCGGAGCCTTAGTTAAAGGAGTATCCAGTGAGTACATAGCAATAATGCACGAGACAGATACGTATGTCGATCTAAAGGTTGTTTGACCTGATTATTGCTTTAGATAGGAGTAGTAATACTCATGGCCTTGAACCGTCTGGCCTACCATCATTCATCCAAACAATATAAAAGGAGACATTTGTGCTTTACCTCCAACGTCCCTCATTTACCTATCACATACTTCACAATGAAATTGTTCCTTTCTACCTCTACTGTGATCTTTTGTATCATTGGCGCCATCCAATATGTGGAAGCTGCTAGACACCCATTTGTCCAAGAACTTGTTGAAAGACAGTGTAAACAATATAATCCGCGATGCTCTGCCCCAGATCTCGGTTCACCGACGATCTGCAATCAGAATGATATTGATGTACTCAAAGCTACACGTATGTTGGCCCCATGATTATACGAGCAGGCCATCGTAATCAGAAACTCACAAATGTTATATAGCGCCGCAAGTAGGTGGATTTATTTGCTGTTGCCCACCCCAATAGTCAAGATGCTCCTATACTCTCGTTTAGGGTTCTGTAGCTATGTACCAAACCTTTATCTACTACCATGATTTTATATCAAGGTGTAATTGCATATGCTTGTTGTTCTCTATAAAGTCACGCATGGGGTATATCGCGTACATCAAACATAGTATTACTAACTCGATGACGCAAAGTGTGTTGTGGTTGCCGCATGATTCATGGATACAGATACCCACTATAAAGTTGTCCATGTCCCTTGCGGGGTGTCACGTTCGGTATTCCCTGATCTTTTCTTTCCTCTGAAAACTCTAGCAATCACTAACTAGTTGTTGGTTCACCATCGATGCAGGGTAGAAAGCAGCATATACTTCACTCTCACTCTCACGCTCACCCTCATCATCATCATCATCATCCCGAAACACATCTCATGCTCTATATTCTCCACACATGAGCTGCAAGGTTTTTCGAACAATTACATGTTGAAACCGGTGTTCGTACAATGGAGGTCGAAGAATGGAACATCGTGGTGTGTAGGTTTATTGAGTAAAATATGATAAAGGAACAGGATTTCAAGTTGAAAATACGGTATGGGTGATCACATACATAGAGTCAACGGGTGTCATTATGTCATTGTATCCTTGGTTGCTGCCATCATAAGCGTACTCATCCTTAATACCAAAACAGCTGCTGTATGGTTTGACTCGAGTATCCACTATCCATCCACGGTCATCAACCACCCTTCGTCAAAGGTAATCCAATCCACCATCACCTTTAGCCCTATCCATGTGCCATTACCCATCCTTCCTGCTGATGACATGCCAAGTAACGACAACAACATTCCAAGATTCTCATCACTGCACTTGATTGCATCCATCCATCATAACCATTGCAAGTCCAATACATTGATAGAAGGAACCTCCGTTATCGCTGCTCATCTAGATGTTGGTCTGCCTCAATTGGTCATTTTCTATCGTAGCTCAACAAGGTGAAGATTGCCTGTATGGTTGATATGGTGCCATCGAAAGTAAGCATCACGTCCCAAATAGCCCAACGGTGACCAACCCAATCGATATCCATATCCATATCCATATCCATATCCATAAGAACTCGTATGTATTGAAAACAAGTTGCTACACGTAAATAAAGCTGCTTCTATATGGTGGCTACCTGCTGCTCAAATAAAAAAGGCTGCAAGGCAAGTTGCTGCAAGTAACTTGAGACAATGGAGTAAAGAACTTGCTAATGGTATGCGACTGTTACGTTTGGTCGTGCAAAGGAGTGTGCAAGACAGCGTGTAGCATCAAAGAAAGACTCGAGTGTTGTAGTAGTGACATGAAGGTTGTGTACACGTCATGGACATGCCATTCAGCCAAAGGCAATCGGATCAAGAGACTTGTAGCATTGGCATGATGGGCTGAAGCAGGACAATCGCTCGTAGGTGGTAGTTGTATACTTGAATGGGGCCAACAGTTGAGAATGGGAGGAAGAGAAGATAAAGTGGAAGTGGAAGAGCTGGAAATTAAAGTAGGTTGGGCTGCCCTACAAATGCATGAACGTTTGTACATCAATCCTTGATATTGAGATTGCCCTTCTTGAACATGTAATTATCACACAAGGTGCCCTTGGGCATGCTGATCAACATTGTTCTCATAAAGCCTCCACACGTCATTATGAGAAAAAGTACTTTTTATGTTTTACTTGTATTGTAAGAAGCGCGATGGAGTTGTTTGCTGCCAATGGATTGTGTCGAGAACACTATAGCCAAGACGATGAACTTCCTGCATATGTGGCACCTCCCTGAAAGAGTACATGAGGAGCATACATAGCTACCTTTTACCCGTTGTCACTTACAGCACCTTCCACTGGCATTTAAAAAGTTGCCCTTGTCAGCGCCATCACAGCTATTTGATTTTCCAATTGAATGATGCTGTTGCATCTTTCTCAAGTCATGCCAATGATACTTGTTAAATAGATTTCTTCTCTTCTAGTATTACGAATGCAGCATACGCATTTCACAAAATAAGTATGCGCCTTTTATGAGTCGAAATCCCTTCTGCACTCTGTGGATTATAGTATGTATCTTGCCATTGGTTCATAATGGATGTAAGGGTCAGCGATACATGTATATGCACATGTTGACTTTATGTTTCCATGAGCAACCCAAAACTATCCATGGAATGCGATACGCATTCTATTGCATATGGTACTATAAAAGAGGCGATGCATGTATCACAATTTGATTCCTAGCTCTCATCACCTCTCTTTTTTTTACCACCTAATCTACGATGAAAGCGTACCTCTTTATCTCGGCTATGCTCGATTGCCTCATTGGATCTATCCGCTATGCTGATGCCGCGCTTACAGACCCAGCTAACCTAAAGGCATATAATGCGTTTTGTAAGGCATATGACTGTGTCCGTCCATCTCTCGATTCACTGCCCATTTGTAAGGGAAAAAAATTCGTGCTAAGTCCCATATGTATGTCCATTCTACATTGATGTTACATGTAATTTGCAGACAACTCACAAACAATGTGTAGCGAATGCCGTTTGTTGTTGCGCTCCACTCGATGAACCTAAACCTCAAAAGCCTAGAGAACACCACCATTTTTAGCTATCGATTTGCTGGTTTGGCTTAATGTACTCCACGCTCGCTTCATAACCCCCGTAGCTACCAACCTCCTATTAACGCCATGTGCTTTTCTTTCAACCTATTAAAGCTATCCATCGTTTGAATCGAATACAAGTAGTATGCTATCGAGAGTGTGTGTGTATGATGCGGTCGAGCAAAGTAGGCTCGGGGTGTTGTAGGTGCGTTAAGGCAATACGATGAATGGGGGATACACAGTCATCTTCTGTTGCCCCTTGTTGCTTTGCTTCCTTGTTGGTCCTGAAATTCAATCTTTCTTTATGCTTGCCATATGTCATTTTCGGATCCACAGCTCTTTCAGGAAATCATGGCAATTTACCCACTGCACAAAGAAGTTCACCTTTCCCATCTTCCATATCTTTTATTGTCATGCGTTTCATTTTTCGCCCATCTACTGCTATTGCTTCCTTTGATAGAATTACCGTCCACCATGGTATACCGTTTCTGTTGTATACCATTATGTCGCGGAGCTGGTACCCCATCTCGATTTCCAGCATCCCTTTTCATGTGGCGTCAGCATGAAGGGGTATCCAAGGAGTACATGGTGACAACCCCCAACCCCCCAATCCATGCTAAGAATAACTGTCATTTTATGTACACAAGAGCACTATAATGGTAGAGTGATCGTTACATGACTCTGTAGATTCTTAAACTTGCCTACGAGATGATTGCATCATAAGCACAAGATGGGTCTCCTCGCTATGGCAGAGAGTAGTATGGGGAATCCAATGTCTTTTTACATACATACGTAGTACGTAGCGGAATACACATATCTCAGTAGTCAATTGGATATTGGCAACATGCGCCTATTATTGGTTCAACATGGATGCAGGGGAAAGAGATTCCTCGAGCATATTCATTGTATAAAAATGGCAGCAGGATCCAGTAATCAAGATCATCATTATATCCCATCATGAAATTCATTCACTTTGTCTCTGCTACTTTGATTGTTTGCCTCGCTGGATCGGTCCATGCTTGCGAAAACAAGGAACGTGCAAGCGACCCGGCTACCGAATATGTTCAAGACCGATGCCGTTGGGTTGGAGCCTTGAGATGCAGTGCTCCCAATCTCACTTCGCTGCCTATATGCCAAGAAGGTCTTGTGCTTACAGCTGCAGGTATGTTTTATTCCTCAAGGTTGATAAAAAAGAAGATGCCGTTAAGAGGTTAACCACTTGTGGATGATGATAGCTACTGGTGGACCCTCTTGCTGCTGCCCTCCTGCCTAAAAGCCATCATACGTAATGATCGTAGAGTAGATGATTTACCCATTAAAGCTTCTATCCACTCTCGCTACTAGCTACACTTAAATGAAGCCTTCTTAAAAGTGATAAAGCCATTAAAGAATCCAGCAAGTCTCAACAATCATTTGGGGGGATACAAATTGTATATTGGTATGATGATAATGATGATAGTACGTAGCTACTACTACTAATGTTGGCGATTACCAATATCCATTTCCTGAAATACCCGTAGCCATTCAGTGCCTGCTTCTTGACGCATGGATTCAATTTTACGTCTGAACGAAGTGGGAGAAAGAGAACGATGCCGAGCTTGTTTTTCTTGTTCTTCATCATCCGTGACGGCATTTGCTGTTGTAGAGGGACTACGACTACGCCGAGTGCTACGCCGTGAACGCCGAGTTGAAGAAGAAGCTGATTTTCTACGCGTAATGTTGGCTGCTGTTTTTTCCAATTCGGTGGCACGATTCACACGTTTATCATGATTCTCTTTTGCTGTTGTATCCTGTTGTGATGAAGAAGATGATGATGGTGGAGCGGGTGGTGCTGCAGCGGAAGGAGGTAAAGGTGGTACAGGCGGTGGTGTTTCCTCTTGTTGTTGTTGACGACCCAATTTGACAAAACGTTTTGACTTTGCACGTACGACTTTGGATGGTTTGGCCGTTGCTGTTGTGGCGACGGTAGGTTGAGGTGCATGATTTTGATCTTGTAACTGGCGCAATTTGGATGCTGGGGTATTTTCGATACGACGACGTTCAATAAACGAGGGACGTGAGCCATCGAGTTGGATATCATGGTCAGCGTGTTGATGAAAGGCTGCAAAAATGTCGACACGATAATCATTCACAGTGAAAGGATTGCCTGCTACCCACACATCCTCCAAGTTGGGCAAGGATACAAGCCGTGTCAATTCGGACCAATCCTCAATTCGATTATCACGTAAATCCAGCCGCTTCAAAGACCAAAGCCGATCCAGACCCACCAGCATTGTCAATCGATTGCCACGTAAATCAAGTTCATAAATGTTGCCCAATACGGTATTGATCCCTGTCACCGATGAAATCATATTGTGGGCGAGTACAAGCGATGTCAAGTTGTAGAGAAGTGACAAGGCATGTGGCACATCTGCCAACATGTTGGTGGACAAATCGAGATGTGTTACAGTTGCATGGATACGTTGTGTCACCGCATCATCCAAGGTAATCAAATTGTTGCCTGCCAACGACAACATGCGTAGCTGACCAAAGTCGCTTTCACTGGTAATCACCTCCGCAGCATCCTCAACACCTGCTTCACGTACAATGAGTGTGGTCAAGGCATGCGTTGGGATATCTGCCAAGAGTCGTGGATGCACATTGACCAATTCCAAATGAGTCATATGCTTGAAAGGTACCAAAGAAAAAGTGGCGTCGGAAGGTAAGGGTTCTTGGTATCCTTGGATCAGTCGTGTATTTTGCATTTGTAATCGCACGGCATCCACTTGAGCAACCATTTGATAAATGTGCTCCACATCTTGAAACACGGTGCGTTGTTGCTGTTGTTGATCAGACCATTGCCGTTGCCAAAAGTTCCAACCGGTACTCAAGGATAAAGTGGATGTAATGGATCCCACCGACATGATGGATCGTGTTTCATCTTGGTGTGATGTATCCTCTTCGTTGACAATACCATCTTCCGGAACACTACCGAGACGAGCCGGGTCCCCCATATCCAAGCCGACATGTTCAAAATGAACCAACAAGAAATACAAATGATGCATGTCCAATGAAAGAGTCGATGATGGCATATAGCTCGTTGTCCTCAATGCACTCGTAGGCGTAGCAGCTGCCAACAATGACATGTAAGGTACTGAAAGCCCATACAGAGACGCGGGTGTGGTGCTGCTGCTGCTACTCGTACTACTTCTCGGTTGACTACCACTCGTTGTACTCGAACGTCGCTCATCTCGTTTCCCCACTATCAATCGTCCTTGATTGGCATCTAGGTAATGCGACAACGTTCGTATAAATCGGTCTCCTGGAATCGTCGTCGCTGGCATGGTGTGTGTGTGTGTGTGCGTGTGTCGCTTTCAAAATTCCAATGGTCGGTGTGTGTTAACGCGTACACGTTGTTGTGAAAATAGAATGAAGAGAGAAAGAGACAGAGCGGATGCTCCAAATGGGTGTGCAATGGGTTGCAAAGGTGCCTCTCAATGAGAAGACAAGTCGAAAAACAAAAGAGAAGAGGGGAAAAAAGTGTATTATGCAACCTCTTTTGACCACCCAACCTTAACACACACACACGCACAATTATCGCCGCCGCCGCCCGCCCGCCCATCCGCCCGCTTGTTTTTCCCACTTGCATCTATTAGCATGCTCAGATTGTTTAACAGGAGGATAGAGTATATTAGTAATAGAATATAAAGTTTGGATGGTGGCCATAGCGCACTAATAGAGTACTTGTGTGAGATGATGATGATGCATAAAAAAGTACAAGAGAGAGAGAGAGAGGTGTAGTAGAGATAGAGGTAGAGAAAGAGAAAGAGAGTGTGTGTGTGAGAGTAAAAGGAAAGGAGAAAAAGAAAAACGGCCCAGCCGTGTAGTATACATTATGGGTGAGGATGATTGTGAATAGCTGTTGTTTGTGGAGGTGCAAGAGGAGCAGAATGAGGATAGGGTGTATAGCTTTGATAAGGATTTCCTGATGGTTGGTGTTGCTGTAAAGAAGGAGGTGGTGGTGGTGGAGGAGCTACGCCTGTGGGTGGATGATAACCAAGTTGTGGATGTTGTTGTTGTTGTTGTTGTTGTGAAAAATCCTTGTAAGTATAATACTCTGGATGTTGTTGTTGTTGTGATGGTGGTTGATGGAAGTAATCAGGATGATGATGATGAGGATGTGAGGAAGATGGCGTCGTGGCAACTTGTGCTTGTTGTTGTGAAGGAATTGTGTAATTATTGCTGTTGTGTGAAGGTGAAGATGGTGGTGGATAACCTGCAGCGAGTGGAGGAGGATAGCCATAATAAGGAGAATAAGGTCCAAGATCACTGACGGGTGATGTAGGTAAACTCATATAACGATTTGCTTGTGGAGGAGGTGGAGGTGGTGGTAAACGATGATCATTGTTACTACCCACCATGACAGCAGTATGTTGATCTTGATGCGATGGTAATCCAGATGCAGAGGCAGCAGCGGCAGCGGCAGCAGCAGCAACATCACCACCTGTAGAAGAAGCCATACTATTATGTCGATATCGAGTATGGGAATCCGCATAGTGACCAGGACTACGACCCCGTACAACCAATGGAGCTGAATGACATGTTGCCACGCGAATTTGTTGTCCTTGGGTTGTGTTGGCAAACAAGTCAATAATGATCTCATAGTATTGTTGAGCAGCACGTCGTTTGCCATTATTCGCTGTGGCTGTCTTGAATTGCATACGTTCAAAAGTGACAATATGATGACTGGATCCCACCGATGCTAAATGTAGATTGCCTCCTGCACGTACAGGTTGTGGGCGTGGCATCATTTGTGGACCTTTATCACGTTTAGGGGTCATCATCACCAATTCAATCTTTTTGTCGGGTTTGCCAGAGACACATGCGCTTGCCCCAATTGAAAAGAATTCCACTTGATGCAATTGATCGTTTTGACGTAAGAGACAAGGGACTTCAGGACCTTGTAAAAGATAATTGACACCATGGACATCGAATGTGCTGCTCACTTGGAAATAGTTGCGACGATAACATGCCCAATCTTGATCCGCTCGGAAAAAACCCCGGTCCATTTTTGCATGCAGTTGTACCTGAAACCTAAATACACGTGGTTGGTTGGTATGAGGGAAAAAAGGCTCTTGTATATTAACTTACCCATTGGTTTGGTCCAAGCTGACTAGGTCATGGAGTTGCTCGGTGGATGAAAACGAGGGACCCATCTCAAATGAAAAGATCGATTCGGCTCTTCGTTTTCTGATTGGCCCGGCGAATTGATGATATGGATGAGAAGGGAAACTTGTCATGCTCGTGAAACTCGCTGGTCGAGTAGGAAGATTGGGTCGTGCTCCTGCTCCTCCTTCACCACTACTCGTACTATTGCTGGGTGATCGACTACTACTGCTACTAGCAATCGGTGTCGGTGGAAGGGATGTCGTAGTAGTAGCAGTAGTAGCAGCATCAGGTCGAGGTGTTTCAGGTTGAGTCAACGACATTAGTCTAATTATGCATGTAGATTACTATCAGCATAAACACCTTGCCATTAAATCATAACAATGAAAACCAAATTACCCTGGAATGGATACATCGCCACCAGGGGTTGCTTCTGTTGATGCCATTGATACATTGGGGTGTGGAGGTGGAACGTCACGATACAACGAAGGTGGGTAACTGGCATAGCTGGGAACTGATTCCTGAGATGGCGACCATTTGCTCTCTTGCATCTCAAGTGGTAGATCGTCGAGTGGGATAGTTAGAGTAAAAAGAGGAGAGTGAAAAAGAGGATAATGAAAAGAGAGTTAAGAGAGAGAGAGAGAAGGAAAAGAAAAAAATGCGTGGTACTTTTTTTCTGACCGGGTAATGAAGTAGTGGATTGACCTCGTACACATGATCTTTTTTCTGTCGCTGCTGCTGATGTTGCTTTTTAACTAGCGCACACCCTACTTTGGCTTCATGGGTGGTTAACGCTTGCTTGTGAGAATATTTGCTGACACAATGTCATCTCGTATTTTTTAGGACATTTCCCATATGACGCAACCATTACAACTCGGGTTCATTCATAAGAACAGCCTTATGTAGTGGTATCCATGGCAATGCAATTCATGCACTATATGGCATGTATCTTGGATTCTTGGTTGCGAAGCACTCACAATGAACCACGAACCTGTCCTACGGTCACAATTCATTGTACAAAACACCTCCCTCCCCCAACCCACCTTCATGACATCAACCTTTGTTCATTGTTGTTCATTTTCATAATAACTTTTTGCTTCTTGTCGCCATCAATGGTAATAAAAACAAGGATTGTGGGATGGTGATGTTGATGGTATCTTCATCTTTCGGAATTCCCATTTGCGTCTTTTTGTACCTTAAACGGCAACAAATTCCAAGCGCATAGGCAGAGTCAATTGTGACACAAGACCATGTGTCGCATTCCTCAGAGGTCATTCTTGCAAATGTACACAACGAGCATTGGGTAATTGTATACAGCAGCAGCGTCAATGGGATCATAGCACGTGTATGCAGCGATTGACAGGTCTAAGCGAGCTACCATTTACGTATGCTGCAGGAGTATTAGCAACCTTTCTTTGTCATCCTTTACAATGGGGCTCACAACACGTGATACTTACAATGATACTTTCGCATTGTCATCATAACAACGAAATGATCACTGTGGTTGAAAATGTATGTAAGAATAAGACGTTTATGATATGATACATAACCCATCCGGTTATAGTGGACAACAATGGATCCCCGCCATGATGACGATGATGATGCCATCACGTACTTTGAATTTACAAATGAACCGGGTGATGGTATTCGCGCATTGTATTACTACTACCTGCATAATGAAAGATCCACGTACACGTGGTAAAGGCCCCTACCACTCTATCATGCAGCGGCCATGTTAGGAGGGCTTATCATGTGCTCGTGATTGGCACTCACATACAATTAGCTCATCGGGTCTACTACATTGTGATTAAGTTTATGCAATCCCATTCTTTTGGGGCTTACAGAATCTACGTATGTCGTGTAACTTTTACCATGAACACCAAGCCTATGTAGCGTTGTAACGAAAAAGGAGAGGTATATAAAATTAAGGTTGCATTTACAAAAAGGTGAGTGTGCGAGTGTTTATCTTTATACAATGGATGTGTCGTGTGCGCTTTAAAAAGTGTGTGGATGAAGCTTGGTATACAGGATGATAATATGAAAGAGAAGGAACGCAGCATGGATGATGGTGGGAGGCTTGAGGGAGGAACCTGTTGTTGTTTTAGGATGGCATTTATAATATCAAAGGATCAACAACAATAACAAAAAACAAAAAGGTATAGTATGAGGGATGGATCGCATCACCAAAAGAGAATGCACAATGCCCATATCATCATCATCATTCCACCCCATCGTGCTGTTGTTGTTGTAATGATGCGTCTTCTGTTGCTGCTGGTGGTAACATTAATTTCGATAATCCTTCATTTTCGCTGTATACAATGCAATCCCGATTAGGCTCGTTGTTGTGTTCAAGGAAACGTCGAACAAAAGGACAAGTAGGGATCACCAAAAGCTTGGCTGCTTCGGCCCACCGAAACCCCTGAGTCACCAAGAGATCACCTAGACCTAAATCTCGGTATGCCACCGGGATTTCCTAAAAGAGAGATGAGTCGTTTTCTCTCTCTTTTGCCTTCATGTTGAGACTCACCGTATGATAAAACTCGATCATTTTTTGGAATCGGGTAGGTAGATAGCACAAGGCCGCTATTATGTGTGTGAGAATTCGGCATGAGAGAATATACAAGCCCGCTTACCCATCGTTCCTTTTGAATCAAGCGTTATCCGAAACATGCAACAATACATGTCATGAACCACGTCACCCACAGCAAAAGGCGGTTTACGTATCCATGGTTGTTGTTGCTGTTTTTGTTGAGCAATGACGACCATGCGTAATTTGTTATGGGTATCCATAGGTGTAGTTGAATGAGATGGAGGATTAGAGGTAGCGGTAGCTGTGTTGGTGGTGGTAGGATGATCAGATGGGATGGGTGTAGGAAAGGAATCAATGGTAAGAGGTGGTGTGAGTGGACCCACACTGCTGCTATTGCTCACAATATGGGTATGGCTGACGGAAACAGAGGGAGCGGCAAATAAGGGACCTGAATACAATCGTGGAAATGGAAGAGCTGCTTTGAAACTTTGACTGAGCTGACGGGGTATAAAAGGAAAGCTGTTGCGATGGATCTTGGGTCTACCGTTACTGGTCGTTGATGATGATGATGATGATTCAATAGCAGATGGTGTGGAGGAGGTAGGTGATGGAGGAGGTCGCGTCGCCATCATCAAGAAGAAAAAAGAGAGAGAGCGAAAGAGGATGTGTGTGTGTGCGTGTGTGTGAAAGGGGCGAAGGAGAAAAAGAGAAAGATCGAGACTTGTTTAACAAAACAGAAAAATAAAAGAGAGAAAGGGATGGCTCGCCTAAACCTTAAACTCATCTTTGGAACTTTTTTTGCTATGCTTACCAGACACACACATATAAACATTCCCATCATCAGATATGGGTGAAAAAAAGTCTTCCATGCACATGCATGCGTCGTGTCATGAATATGTATCCGCCCGCCCTTTTCCGCAAAGAGGGCGTGTGTGCCTACATAGATGCATGCACCGCATCGAATGCCCGAGCCGATATTGCACATGATATAGGATAATGGTAATGGTGGTGATGGTGGTGCACATTGGCTTGCTGCGTACCTTAAATATTTTTTGTTATACGTCGTATCCTCTAAAAGGAAATGTATCCAAGGACTTTGTCGTTTGATAGTGTCATGCTTATCGCGCGAATACGCTATATCAATCTACAGAAAACACAATATACTATAAACAGCTTGGTGTACTCGCTCTTTGAACAAGTAGATCGACTCTTGTACGCTTAAAATCATGATCACCATCACGGCAAAAGAATACAGCAGCAACCGAGTGTGCATATGATATGATACGACGAGGTTGTGTTGTTGCCCAAGATAGATCACAACACTCGTTTTGCTTTGTTTAGAATCACAAAAATCTTTCCTTCTCGTGTACCCGCATCCACCCGCGTAAATGTATTTGTTGTTTGGTGCATGCACATACCATTATAAGACGATGCTCCGGTTGTGTGTGTGTGTGTGTGTTGTGTGTGTTGTGTGTAGCAACAACTTGATGCCAAACAACCATGAGCCGCTCCGAGAAACAAAATCAGAGAGAAACGCGGGGTCATCATTCAGGGGGGAACCACCGGTGTAACCTGAGTTCTAAAAAGGGTCACGTCTCAGCAACAGTAACCATGAAACGGTATATCGCGATCCATGTGTGTGTGAGAACCCCCCACTCTTACATGTTTTCCCCTCTCTCTCTCATCCCCCTTGCTGTCAACGGAGAGTGAGAGCTTGGTCATGTATGTGTGGGTTCAACATTATCATGGTCTGTGCTTCTCCCAAAAACAACAAAGTTGTCAACACGCTGAATCGTGTTATGCTTTATTCTATTGATTGGGCGTTTCGTCGGTACTTTGGGTCGTACAGCAAAGGATGATGATGACACATGATAATATAGACCATTTCTGCTCCTCTCCTCTCACGCATTTTGATGTCGACGCCTAGAGTAGTAACAAGTGGTTCTCGCCACGATTGTCCATTGTCGAGATAAAATAGCCCAAGGTGATGTCATCCTTTTCTCTTTCTCTTTTTTCTTTTTCTTTTCACTACTACTCCTCCTCCTCCTTTTCTTTTTCTCACTCGCTCTTGCTTTTTGTCATCATTATGCCTGCTCATCCTCCTCCTGCTGGTGGTGGTATTGAACGTACACGCAAAACCAGTCTTACCAAGCGAGCAAGCACCAAAGTGCGCCATTTGCTGCAGGTAAACTTTATGCTGATTTATATATACAGCCACGTTTAAATGGTATCTTATGCGACATAACACATCCATAGCGTAACAAGACACGAGGAAAGAGCAACAGCATTAGTCGTGTGGAAGAATCACCAGCAACAACAACAACAACAGCAGAAAGGGTGATTACGAATAAAACCGACACGAGTGCCGAAAGCATCAGCACCGGGCATAGTAGTGGGAATTATAGCGATCATGACAACAATACCCAACCGCAGCAGTCAACAACTTTTACAACTACTACCACTACCACTACTAGGAGCATCAACAGCGAAAAAGAAAAATCCAGCCCATCTCTTACTTCTAGTGAAGAAAAGGAAGAAGCTCATGATCCTGAGAAAACACAGCATGATAACCAAAAGGAGCCTGATGAATCAGCCGTACTCACACCAGAGCCTAATCCAGCAGCTTCATCATCATCATCATCATCATCACCAGCAGCTATGGCGGGACCCATGTCTACATCCATAGTGATGGTAGATCTTGAGCGGGATGAGGATGGCGGAGCGGAACCTATTATGAACAGCCATGCTAATTTGGCTGAACAAGAAACATACGATACAACAGCAACAACGCATCATGCCACCACCACCACCAGCAACAACAACAACAACACAAACGTAGTAGTGGAACCACCCTCCCCTACCCAACCACCCCTGGTTGCTTATGATTTGAAACAAATTGAGGATATTACAGAGGCAACATCTCGTGTGGTATCATCGGATGAGGAAGTTGAAGAAGAAGAGGAGGAAGAAGAATCATCCTCCTCTCGAGCTGTTGTTGTGCGTCAAGTAGCCTATGATGTGGTGGTGCATCGACACACTGAACGTACCAACATTGTACGCACCTTGTCATGTAAGGCAAATTTGGGAATGAATAGGTCCATTCTTTGATACTGATCATCATACAACATAGCCTTGCGTACCATGGGATACAATTGGCCAGTGGCATTTTCAGCAGCGCTGATTATTCATTTGGGAATTCCTTTCCGATTACACTGGCATTCTCTAGCAGGCTGGATTCAATCTCATGGCAGGTATCGGGATACTGTACGTGGATTGACATTGGGAGATGGTTTTCGTGCTGTAAGAGCCATGGAATTACGAACACGGATGCGATGGTGGCATCTCAAAACATGGTACGTATATAGTATATATATGTTTATGCAATACATTCATCATCTGACATTATGCAAACAAAAGGTTGGTGCATCGTCTACAATGGTTACTGACATTTACAATCCTCCATGATCCAATGCTCCATATGATCACGTTACCATCATTACAACGATTCGGCATACAATAGTAAACATCTTTTTATATTCAAATAAAGGAAGAAAGAATGAGTGATATATATTTGACATGGATTGATAGAGGATAAACATAATGCGGGAAAGAAGGTGATACACAAAAAAGGAAAGGGGAGAGGAGGAGGAGGAGAAAAAGAGAAAAAGATATCGTCCTTGTTGTCTAGGATGCGGTGGTGGTGGTAACGGGTGTTGCTGCTGGTGTTGCTGGTGTTGGTGTTGCTGCTACATCATTTTCTTGTGGTGTGGGTGGTGGTGCCTTTTGAACGATTTCTACATAGTTGGCGGGGAACATGCCCATGCGACCATCCCTCAGTCGACCTCTCCACCATTGACTAGGTTGATTTGTGACGGGATCGTTCTTTGACAGGATGGCGACGATATCACCCTTTTTCAGATTGAGTTCATTGGGTGATTCTGCTGTAAAGTCATAAGTGGCACGAGCAAATTCGAGTTTGGCTGGATCAATCTTTGCAAGGCTCATGGGATCTTGTGGGTTAACACCTTGAAGCTTCATTTGTTCTTGTTGTTTGGCGGTGATGAGTTGAATCAATTTGTGCATCAAGTAAGGAAGACCGATCACCATGAATAAAAAGATGAAGATGGGTTTGCGTGAAAGTTTGGGCTTGTTGGCCATCTTGGATTCGAATTGCTGGAACTCCATAAAGTTCATTTGATCAGGTTTGCCAGGTTCAACACGACCCAAGATCTTGTTGATGAAACGGCGTGTTAATCGGTATAACGCCAGGACGCTAAAGACTTGGCCAAGGTAGTTGCGTAAATAGCCAAGTTGTTCTGCCATGCCGACAATGGCCATAAAACTTGAATGGGTGGCCATAAAGGTTGAATCCAACATTTGTGCAAAGCCGCCAAATGCACCCACGATCTGTTCGATGACTTCAAAGGCCGGTCGAGTGCCCATTTCCATACGTTGTGTAAGGCCCATTTCTCCCTCAGGACCACCGCCCATCATTCGATTGCCATAGCCGAATCGATTGTATCCACCATAGCCGCCCATGCCACCATAGCTGCCATAGCCACCATAGCCTCCATAGCTACCGTAGCCGCCCATGCCACCGTATCGTCCATAGCTGCTGCCATAGCCGCCCATGCCGCCATAGCTGCCATAGCTGCTCATGCCACCATAACCGCCGAGTCCGCCGTAACTAGAACCATAGCTGCCCATGCCACCATAGCCGGTTGTACCATAGCCTGTAGTGCCATAACCTGCCGTTCCATAACCTGTTGAATAGAATTAGTAAGAAAAAAGGAGTTCATGGAGTCGAATGGGAAGGGTAAATTACCTGTTGACGAGTTCAATGTGCTAGCTGCTGCTGCTGAAGATCGAGTTGGAACAGGTGGTGCAGTAGTTGAATCTTGAGTCATTGATGCTGCAGTTGTAGGTGACGTTACTGCTGTAGAGGTAGCTGCAGCAGTAGATCCTGCATTGTTGACTTCCCAGGGTTTGGGTGGAGATGGCATTTGTGTTGTGTTGTAAAAGAGAGTGTTGGGAAAGTGGACAAGGAAGTGTGTGAGTGTGGATTTCTATTTGTCATTTGAATTTACCCTCCACAAATAGGGCCCACCAATCGCATTTTGTGGGGGGATCATCCCTCACTGGAAGCATCTTCGAGTCCATCTCTCACTTTTGTTACATGTCATTATCATCAATCAAGTCGTAGTAATCAATTCAATCCATTCTTGATACTTTAATTCGTATACAAAGGACACACAACACATACACACACAAAGACACAACCTTATTTCTTTTTTCATATGGATACAAAAAAGCACGTGAAGTATGCAAGCCATGTGATTCTACCCACTTTGAACAATAGCACTCAGTAAAACTAGACATAATTATTGCTTTCTTTATTGAATTGTATGTCTCTCCTTCTCCCAAATTAGACCGCGAGTTTACTTGCGAGACTATACGACTCATGTTAGTTACCATGTCTTCTTTAACTAATAAACTATACAATATTACCTTGATCTTCTTGAGGTAGAATTCGAGTTCCTTGCCTTCAAGAATGTAACCATCAGCACGACCGCATTGACCAGGGCGGGAAGAGATGACGGCATAAAGACGACCGGCAGCAAATTGATCATCCAAAAGGGTGTCGACAGCACCGTTTTGTTGACGAGCAGCGACCTTCTTTTGAACGCTCTTGGACTTTTGAGCAACGGCAGCAGCGACTTCTTCAGCCTTGGAAGTAGCGAGCTTCTTCTTGCCGAGGGGAAGAGCATAGTGGTTCTCGTACCATTGACGGAAAGGAGTGGCATCAATTTGGACAACAGCGTTCTTGACAAGAGTGTTGGTACGGACCAACTCGTTGTTGGAGGCGTTGTAGACGACAGTCAAGATACGGGTCTTGCGAGTGACACCCTCAGAGCCCCAAGAGTAGTTGCCAGACTCCAAACGAAGAGCACGGAACTTGGAGTTACCACCACGAGTGCGCACAGTGTGGACACGCTTGGCACCAAGCTTGGTCATGGCAGCAGGACGACCCAACTCGAACCTAGAATTCAATACATGAATAAATCAACCTTGTTCTCTTTTCCCCAATGGCTCGCATTTCGACATTTACTTTCTCTTTTTGCGGTAGGGAGTACGCTTGGCACCAGTTTTCCTAATACGATATCAGTTTCATTCATTTTCTTTTTGTTTTATATCAAAGACACTTACGAGCACTTGCTCAAAGAGGATCGGCTGATACCTATTCATTCAACAATAACGTCAATGGATGAGCCATGGATGGATGGATGCATGTTTGCAATGGATGGATACCATACCCATATTGGTCGATGGATGAAAAGGAGTGTACCTAGGCTTCCAGGTCTCGGCAGGCTCTTAACCATGAAACTCCGCCGATGGATGCTGTAATGCAATCCACCACTTGCTATGATACAGCGATTGAATCAGGTCAACGCAATAGGGTTGCCATGGATACAAATGTGTAGATGTAGGGCAACGGCGTTTTATTTGGAGTTCACCTTGATCCTTACATCATTCAGTAAATACCAGTACACATACATCTCAATAATATCGATACGCACGCTGTAGCAATCCAATCATCTTTTATCCTTAACAACAAGATGCCATTAAGACATGGGGATCATGTGACGAGTAGCAGCAGCAAGCACGAAAACGAGAGAGGATATTTAATGTCATCATTCAAATGGTAAAAGAAGAGAGAGAGAAGAAGAAGAAGAAAGGGAAGCTATGGTACAGGTTATACATATATGAGTGTGTGTGAGTGAATGTGTGCGTGTGTGTGCGCGCGTTTTGTAAATGTAAAAAGGAGGTGGCATTGAGAATGGAATGGATGATGAGACTTTTTTTGGCTATAGGGAGCTCTTTTACAGCGTCGTTGTTGCAAGAGGTTCTGCCCGTATTTGCGATAGATCAATGGCTGTATCCTTTTCCTCATCAACAAGGCCCACCGTGCACCTATAAACATCATTCATTCAGTATCCGTCTCATCCAATGCATTGCTGCTGCCCATATCCATCTACACATACAAACTATCACCACGAACAAGATAAAGGCCTAGAGGTACAACTTCTGTTCCATCCATAGAAAACACTCGCTCCTGACATTTTTCCAGAATCACGTTGGCGTTTTGGTCAGTGCCTTTCAAAGTTCCCTTGATAAACAATAAAACAAGTGAGTCGATTGCGCGTCTTTTTTTTAAGAGATCACACGAGTCAATCGTACCACGAGAACACGGCCATCGAGTGTTACAACAAGCACAGTTTCTGATTCGAACAAGAGGTTTTAGTATTATGCGTATGGGGCAAGGGTTTAGTGAGTACTTACGGTTAAGGAATGGAGACAATAAAGTCATGTTGAGCGTGTGTGTATGTATGTGTGTGATATGTCTACCAAGTGTAAAGAGCAGCGGCAGCTTCCCTCTTCCTCTCCCTGCAAATTAATTTTTCATTGGCAGTCGTCTCCCTCCCTCCCCTCGCAACCTTTGTGATGCTACTGCAACTCATAATAGTACTCAACGATGCAATTTGGCAGAGATCTCATAAGAATAAAATGTTGCTGCTTACATGAATGTTCTCAGGATGCAATGTAAACAATCCATCTGTAGCATTGAATCGGGTCAAAACACGCATGATTGCTATCACAACGTAGTGAAGGATTGGCATAATTCGAGCTTGTTACATACATAATGCATAGGCTAAGGAAATGATTGCTTTATATACAACTCAAGAAAAGACATAGATGTTGCCATTTGACTATGGGCGTGTGCATGAAAAAAGAGACGAGTAGGTTGCTGCGACCCAATCACCCCAAATGTGGCTGGCTGACATGTTGTATATTTTCGCCACTTTCTGGCACTACTTTATTTTCTCTCTTTATCCAATGCCAGTCGCGATACCAAGGATGAACGATCCCTGTTGTCCTCTATGTGGCTATAGTTTGAAACAGTTCCAGATCAATATGGCGTGCCATGTCACAATGTGTGAGAACGTAGAGGTAAGCTACCTATACAAACAACCAACCAACCTAGATCGCTATTGTCCCAGATCCTGATCGCACGATCCTCTTTTTTCATAGTGTCCTTTTCCACTGGATCAACCCGAGATTGAGAGCTTTATCAATATGGGGGAAGGTGCGTTGACAGCTTTGTTGGATAAACATAAAGTGAACGAGCCTTTACCACAGGCCACGCCACCATCGTGTCTTTCAGATATCGAGCACCTGTTCAACGACGAAGAAGACGACAACAATAGCGATACAATGACGCCCATGGATACCCCACCACCCGCCGTGGAAATGAGCTTGTTTGATGGCCTAGATGACATGCTTTCTTATGATACCAAGGATGATCCCTTCCAAGAGAATGCTGAACTTGATCAATTGCTTGGCCTATGACACTCTATCGACATTCCTTGACCTGTAAATACTTGCACGCACTTGATTCGACTTTCGAAATATACATATTCTCCTCCTCCTCCTCCTCCTCCTCTTTCGCTTGGTAGTATGATGATGATGATGATGTGCTTGGATCTATGATTTCTTTCTTTCTTTTTAGCATTTACGACTTGACATTGCAACATGCAGAGTGACTTTGGGATATGGCATGGATGTTGTTGGTGGCACACGCACACACACCACTGCAAGACAAGTGGATGCCGATCTTTTTTCTTATACGGTGGGTGTGATCGTATGTAGGATTGGGAAAAGTGACCAATGTACTTATACATCTACCTAAGAGATGCCACGAGTGAATCCACGGATGGATGGCTGCAGCGAGTTTGGACAAAAGGGTGCATATGTGGACTCAATTTGATGGTATACAAGGATCAAGTTCATTCAGTGGTTTTTATATATGGTGGCAAAACGACACGCTGGTGGTACTTTTTGAACACGGATTGCGCTTGCAGACCGCCTAGATGGCTTTGGGTTCCAAGGATCCGTTTTCAGGTAGGGTGGCACATTGGATCTTCCGCTGGCACTATTGTAGCTGTATGCTCCTTGGCAATGTCCCCTAGATAGAATGAATGCTACAATAAAGAGATGTTGCATTGTTTGCTCAACAACCCATTATGGTAATTGTGTACAACTGCATTAGGAAATTGATCTACTACTACCACTATAAACCTCCGGTATTGCAACTTTTCTTTTTGCATTTTAGCTCTCTCTCTCTTTTTCTCATTTTCATTTTGCAATCATGGCACCAGTAAGTAAACCATTTACATGATGAATCGTTCTTTTTCTTTAACATGGATCCAATGACCAGCAAATTCTTCGTAAAGGCAAATCACGAGGTGTACGACAAAACTCAAACGTTTTTGCGATGATCAATGCACAGCAAATGGAAGAGATGCGGCGAGCATTCTATATGATGGATACAAATGGCGATGGTGTTGTATGTCAGGAGGATCTTGAGACCATATTTGAGAATCTAGGTACTATTTTCATCACACACCATGCATCAACCCTCTGCTAACAACGCAATGCATCTAGGCCAAACGGTGCCACCAGAACAAATTGAAAAGATGCTTAGCGAAGGACCTGGATCTACGATCAATCTAATGGTGTTTTTGACATTGATGGCCGAGAAATTGACGGGAACAGACCCAGAGCAAGTGATATTGGACGCTTTTTCAACCTTTGATGATGATGGTAAAGGCACCATCAATGCTGATTACCTACGAGAATGCATGACCACCATGGGCGACCGATTCACACATGAAGAGGTATGACCTTTCTAATGCGTGTCTCTATGATGCTTACCATAAACATGCAGGTTGACATTATGTTTCAAGGCGCTACCATTGACGATAAAGGAAACTTTAATTACAAGGATTTTGCTCAAGTGCTTAAACATGGAGAATAAAAGAAGTCATTCACAGTAAACCTGCATACTAGCGATATCCATTTGATCTCTTAACGTGGTCTAGCAATTATTATGTACTACTTTAGCGGTTCAATCCACTCAGAAGCCGTAACCTCAATGGCAATGAGTAAATAAAAGTCATACCCATATCATTCGCCTTTGTCGTTAGCACGACGAGTAGTACATGTCAAGCGAGAAATGTGGATGTCCCCCCCCTTTGATAAACGGGGTTGATCAACGTGGAGATTAATTTGGCGGTGTCAAGTTGTACATCCAAGAAAACATAAAGTGCTTAGTTTAATTAACCAATTGCCATCAAACCTTAATTCACATACTAGGAGAGCGTGTATGGCAAATAAAGGTTGCAAGGTAGTAGTATGGGTATTACCTTTAGTGCCAGGTACATTGCATTCTACCTGAGTACATACATGGCAAACGGGAATCACTTTTTGCATTTTCTCCTTCGGGGGTATGCATAGCACAGCATCAAGTCATAAAGTAAAGTTTATGTGAATGGTTTTATGTATATCCGCTTTGGTAAAATTGTTAATCGAGTAGAAATGATCATGATGGCAAAAGTTGGTAAGCAAATGGCTCATTGCCCAAGCGTATAGATGGGAGAGTACATATTTGCTGCATGGTATTATAGTCACACACACACGCTCCTCTTTTTGCGTCCTCCCTTGAAAGGACACGAAAAAAAAGTTATATAATCAGGTCGATAATCCGCTCGCATTGCAAGTCTATATACCACTCGTTGCAAGAAAGTTATTCAGCATGATGCGCTTTTCAATCCTAGTCACTTGTGCAGCTTTTGCTGTTCTTTTTTCCTCTGTACAAGCAGCTCCACTACTAGGAGGATCCCAAGGTGCTTCCCAAGGTGCCCCACAAGGCGATCCGCTCGGTAAAGCAACCGCCGCTGTCGTCGGCACGCTTAATTCAGTTGCTACCCCTCCTGATAGCATTGACTATTGGACGGCCCCCATATAATACCAATCGGATAGAGTACACTATTTACTCCCCATCCCACTTTCTTGATTGTGCGCGTAACTGCGATTTACTACATATTACTCGCTGATTCAAGCATTGTTCGCTAGCTATAGTGATATAGTAATCATAGTCATGACCGATAAAGAAAGCTAAAGTACTTCCATAAACGATTGATCCCTTTCACGTGGGTTGGCATGTAGCCGGATGTCTTCATTAACGGGACAAATGCTGAGGTATTCGATGTTGCGCATCATCCTATTCAAGGCAAGCTGAGTAGCTAACACACATGTCCATGTCATCCACCACGGTTACGAGGGCCGATATATATTTTGCCTATAACATATTGTTGATCCTGTGGTATGTCTTTTAAGGGAACATGAACCTCGTCCAATGTCAATGGATAGCGCACACACAAAGAAAACGCTTGGATACCGATCCTTTTATTATATTTTCATGTACATTCTCACTATCATATTCACTTGTATGCTTTATCATTAGCTCGATGGCTGGGTTGACTTTGATTCTTGTGAATGGCAGGCACCAATGATAGAGATGAATTTTCAATCATGCGGGATGTGATACAAGGACCATTTCTCTTTCGCTCTCCTTGTACATATAAAAACGTCCACCACCAATGAAACGTACACACGACGACCCAGAATCACCACTCTCCTCTCTCGATTCCCAAGAAGAACTCAGCGAAGAAGAATTGGAAGACGAACTAGACGACGACATTGTCAATCCTGACGTGGACGAATTGGAGGAAATTGAAGAAGGCGACGAAGAAGGTGACGATTTGGACGATCTCAGCGATGAAGAAACGCCAACTCCAGTTCCTGAAAGCAGCAGAAAGAAAAAGAGCATGAAAAGGAAGAGACCAGGTTAGCTTCAATGTGGATTGATAATACGACGTGTGATTGATTGATTGATCTCATTTAGTGTATCAAGAACCCAACAGTGATGAAGATATTGAAGAGATGGATGAGGATCAAGAGATGGAAGAACAGCAAGAAGAAGAGGAAGAAGAAGAGGAAGAGGATGATGAAGGAGATGATTTGGAAGTTGTCAGTAATCGACCCTTGACCAAACGTCAACGAGCCAAGTTCAACAATGATGGACCTGAAGAATTCCTCGAATTGCCTATGGGTAAGTTTATTAGCACGCCTCAATGGTCACACGTGAGCTGATTGCATTATGCTTTAGACTCGGGCAAGAAGAACATTTTGACCGAAGAAGAACAAGCATTAAGACGATCCGAGGTAGCACGAAGGCGCAAGAATCAGAGTATACAACGGGCTGAAAAGGATAAGGTAAAGATGCGTGTATGGTGGGTTGGGATTGTCACGTGTTTTTAATTCTTGTATGTGTGTTGTAGGAGGATACCATCAATCGATTATTAAAGAAGCAGGCGTCCAAGAGCCGCAAAGTGATCAAGGATGACGCGAATGAAGAAAAGGACAACCGAGCACCCAAACGAGTGATGCCACCAGATACCATCAAATACGTCAACGATGCCAAAGGCAGTGTGTTAATGATCCCATCGGCTGTCGCCATTGAGCAAGTATTTGGACATCCACCAAGAAAGTCATCATCATCGTCATCATCATCACGGAGTACCTGCCAAGTGGATGGATGCAACGCCTCCAAGAAATATGTAGCTAGCAAGAGTGGAAAAGCTGTTTGTTCATTAGAGCATTATAAAATAGTGGAAGCAAAATAAAGGGATGATCGGATGATCAACTTCAGTCGATGGTGTGATCATGGCAAAGGAAATATGAGAGGATCGACCTTATGCATACTACTTTGATCATGCATATGGCTACATGTCCAGGATTTGCTTATAAGAGTGGAGATTCAGAGCAACTTTATTACTTATAAAGAGGATCTATGTGCCTAGATCCTCGACATTGGGGGGGGGTCATTCATGACCAAATGATTCTTTGTCGTCCTTGGTATTATTAGAAGATGGAAGATCGATAACAATGAAACCATCTATGACCACCAAGTTCAGCGTTGATCCCAAGGGCTTGTAGAAAACACTACATCGCTCTTGCTTACCAACGGCTTTTGAAGCTATCGGCAATCAAAGCGTAACACGATGGAGGAAATAGATATGTGTGGAGTGCGATGGGCGGCGGCTATATGCTTGTTTATGCGTGCATAGTGATAGGCGCGTGAATACCTGTAATCGCCAAGAGTGCTGGAATGGTGATGAGGTGACAGATGGGTGGGGCGCCTTCACCAGTATGTCTTGGTTCTCTAATAAAGACCCTTGATGTGATTGATTGCCAATGCATGAATTGAGCTTTTGAGATGAAACAATGGCAACAAGGTAGCGATATCTATCATCAAACAATGACCCACTTCTATCACAGATCACTTGCTCTGTCCAAATTGAGCGAAACAAGACATGTTCGGGATGCTTGTGTGAATGTTGGTTTTAGAAAAGTTAAAAGTGGCTGCACCTTTTTTGATAGACATGGTGCACATGTATAAACATTCCTTATCACCACCGCATCCATTGGGGTATATAACGCCTTCCATTGATCCGCTATTATGGGATCACCTCTTTATGCCAAAATCGCCCATGGTGATCCAATTGAAACGCCAATGCAGCTTTTACATGCTTGTACTTAATCCGATATTGCATGGGATGAGGATGCTTACTTTAAAGATCTAGGGAGGTGGCGGTATCGGATGTGACATTCCTGTGTGCATAAACTTTCCTTTGCATCGATCAGGGGAACATTTCATACTTGCTAGGATCGACCATCTAACGCTGCTCATACTGTACGTTGTCAGGCGTTCCCTATTGCAAATATGTATGTAACCACTTTTCAATCTTAGTGCAATGGTTCTCACTCAGCATTGTTTTTATCATCATACGTAAGACTATGTATGCCATGTTGGCATATTTTATAGAGATCAAAAGAGCTTGGTTTAGAGCACTACATGTATTTTACCCGAGGATCGGCATAATGTATCCTCACCAAAGCTTATCTGAGATCTCTTTTGCATATGCACAGTAGGAGTGAATCACTCGCAAGCATTTTTCTCCTTTGGGTGGGCGTACGTACTGGCGCAGGTACAAATTCTACAAGGTTAGTGAACACACTAAGTAACTAGATTCTCAATAACAGCTTTCACCATGGAGGTATGTGGATATTACATGCATATTTGTGTTAGTGAAATTGCTAAAAATCATGGTAGAGATGATCATAGAAGAAAATGGTAAGCAAATGTTTATTATCCAAAGGTAGGTGAATTGTAGTAGGCACGAAAGAATTTCCCGTTCTAGCTCTTTCTCCTGATTTCAGCTTGCTCCTGCATAATATTGTAGCCACATACTTGCATTTGTCTCTCTTTCTCTGTTCGCTTTGGCGTCCTGTATTGCTTTGAGTCATGATCATGTTAGTTAGCTCCTGTTGCGGACCATGAAACAAACGTGAGTCGCATGGAATAAAGGAGAGAGCGAAGGAGAAGAGGTTCATCACTGCGCTCACAGACAATTCTACCAACTACAATAATCTAAATCAACATGGCGCGCTTTTCAATCCTTGCTATGTGTGCAACAGCTTTCGTCCTTCTATCCTCTGTACAAGCGGCCCCCCAAGGAGGATCTCAAGATACTTCCCAAGATACTTCCCAAGGTCAAGGATCTCAAGATGCTTCGCAAGATGCTTCCCATGGTCATGGTCGTCTAACTCAATTGGAATCAGCAGGCAAATTAATCGGCCAAGCGTGGGGTGCAATTATGCCCGATTCTGTAAATCAAGCTGCTATTGCGGGAGCAGCCGGAATGTAGTCAATGCAGTTGAAATGTATTTTCAGCTGGATATGCACATAATCGCACTTTACAGTATTGTTTTTTTTGCTTCAATTACTTTGCCAATTGTAGTGTTGTAGTAGTAATAAGCACGACTAATAAAAAAGTATGGGCTACATTTCTCTTCACGTATACTGTACAGTGGCGGTAGCCAATGTTCAATCAAAAACTAGGCGGCGTATGCAGATATAGCCAATGCTTCCCATGATGGATGCATATTGTAAATGAGGCAAACAAAGTGATCAACGTACATGTTGTTCTATGCCAATTAGCAGTACGCTTGTTCGAAGCAAGCATGACTTGATGCTGCGAAACCTTTTATTCAATCATTTCCATGGACATCGTCACTACATATTTTCTTGTCTACTTTATCATCACCTCGATAGTTGGTAGGTTTGATTTTGATTCTTGCAAATGGCAGGCACCAATGACAGGGGATGAATTTTCAATCATGCGGGATGTGATACAAGTCCACTTCTCTTTCACTCTCCTTGTACATATAAAAGTCCACCACCAATGAAACGTACACACGACGACCCAGAATCACCACTCTCCTCTCTCGATTCCCAAGAAGAACTCAGCGAAGAAGAATTGGAAGACGAACTAGACGACGACATTGTTAATCCTGACGTGGACGAATTGGAGGAAATTGAAGAAGGCGACGAAGAAGGCGACGATTTGGACGATCTCAGCGATGAAGAAACGCCAACTCCAGTTCCTGAAAGCAGTAGAAAGAAAAAGAGCATGAAAAGGAAAAGGCCAGGTTAGCTTCAATGTGGGTTGATAATACGAGGTGTGATTGATTGATTGATTGATCTCATTTAGTGTATCAAGAACCCAACAGTGATGAAGATATTGAAGAGATGGAAGAGGATCAAGAGATGGAAGAACAACAAGAAGAAGACGAGGAAGAGGAAGAAGATGATGAAGGAGATGATTTGGAAGTTGTCAGTAATCGACCCTTGACCAAACGTCAACGAGCCAAGTTCAACAATGATGGACCTGAAGAATTCCTCGAATTGCCTATGGGTAAGTTTATTAGCATGACCCAATGGTCACACGTGAGCTGACTGCATTATGCTTTAGACTCGGGCAAGAAGAACGTTTTGACCGAAGAAGAGCAAGCATTAAGACGATCCGAGGTAGCTCGCAGGCGCAAGAATCAGAGTATACAACGAGCTGAAAAGGATAAGGTAAAGATGCGTGTATAGTGGGTTGGGATAGTCACGTGTTTTTAATTATTGTATGCGTATTGTAGGAGGATACCATCAATCGATTATTAAAGAAGCAGGCATCCAAGAGCCGAAAAGTGATCAAGGACGATGCGAATGAAGAAAAGGATAACCGAGCACCCAAACGAGTGATGCCACCAGATACCATCAAATACGTCAATGATGCCAAAGGCAGTGTATTAATGATTCCATCGGTTGTCGCCATTGAACAAGTATTTGGACATCCACCAAGAAAGTCATCATCATCATCACCGAGTATCTGCCAAGTGGATGGATGCAATGCCTCCAAGAGATATGTAGCTAGCAAGAGTGGGAAAGCCGTTTGTTCGTTAGAGCATTATAAAGTAGTGGAAGCAAAATAAAGAGATGATCGGATGACAATTACAATAGCAAACAATCCGTGTCACGAGATATCAACAATGGGCAGTATGGAATGGTGGTGACGATGTATGTTGTATGCAATAATAGAAATGAAGTGGCAAGGTCAATAAGATGCAGGAATCGTTGTTGGTGCTCGGATAATGTCATGAATGTGTCACAGAATGGAATCCGGATTATGATATGACTTGACCGGAGATCTCTCGGCCCTTCACTTTATCGCATCACAGGTGTCCTCCCTCCCTCCCCCCAGCTGCAAACAATAACAAGAGCACCAGTTGTTCCTATCCCTTCTTTGTTCTTCTTTCGCGCATAGAATCCAATCATGAACCATTCACCACCACCACCACCCGATAACCCCAAACACGACTTGCTCGCTACCACCAACACCATCCATGCCGATAGTAAGACTTGTCTATTGACTCTGTTTTATTATATCTATTGACGTGCCTCATTTCAAGGACCAGACAATTCACCATTGCTTAAGGCTGATGCATCTCACGAGTCTATTTACAAAATGGAGCGATCGTATTCTGAAATGTCAATTGAGCGAGTACTACCACCCTCATCGGCACTGGCGCCGACACCCCGAGATACCGACACTGAACCTATTGCGAGTGATGAAGACGAAGAGGAGGAGGATGAAGAGGATGAAGAGGAAGAACTGCAATCGATGATGGCAAACGAATCCACCACGTCAGAAAAGATCAAGGAGATGTTTGGGTTACCAATGCACGAGCCGTTGCTGGGAGGTTGGTATAACAATGGGGGTGGGTGGTCGATGGGTATCGGGGCATGTGCCGATGACTGATGTTTCGCCGCATAAATAGAATTTCCATGTTATCTACTCAGATTGGTTACTTTACCGGGATGGTTGTACCTGACGACCCATAATTTGTGTTTCTATGCGTCATTACCCAGCAAAGAGGTAAACCATATGCTTGTAGACTATGCATGTGCAATGAATGACATTCACTCTTTAATATAGGATGGACCAAGAAAGTCGGGCTACCTCTACAAGAAGAATCACCGGGCATCTCCACTATCCTCCCGATATTACTTTCAATTGCGCAACCATGTACTATCATGGTACGATTCGGCAGAGAATACATATGAACCCTTAGGCAGCATCCATTTACGACATGCAACCGATATACGTGAATCTCGAACGCGATCATTTGCTTTTCAAATTGTCGGCAAACGACGTCGTTGTATGCTCATTGCTGATTCCAAGGTTTCTCAAAAAGAGTGGCAAGTATACAAAAAGTGGATGGTTGGATGCATGCAATGATGAGCTTACAGGGGTATTTGCTTCTAGGATGGATGATCTAAGACGAGCTATATTCATGGCAAGGAATTCGGGGAATAGCGTTCGTATTGTGCTTCCATTTAACAAGATGGCCAAGGTGAACAAGACAGCTGCCTTTCGATTTGCAGAGTACATCCGAATCAAAGTTGCTCAAGTGAATGATGCTGAGGATACCAGTGATGAGGTATGTGTGTGCGTAATTCATGCACAATGGTCCTCATTGTTTATCTTTTTATAGTATTACTTTGCTTACTTTGCTGATATCAATGACGCCTTTGGAAAAATCGAGAAGCAATGGCACAAGGAACGCTTGTTGGATCACAATTCAGAATCAACCTTGAATACGATGAGATCCAGCGAAGATGGCAATCATTTTGATGCAGCAGCTTTCCAGAATGCGTTTGGCAACACATCCTCTGGTGTATCAGCCATGTTAATTGGTGCCCTTGTGCAAGCCAAGTCATTGGGAAACAACAACACTACCGAATCAGATACAAGCACGCATTCTCGTAGTAGCAGCACAATGACCAGTGATGATTTCAAAAATGCATTGTCACCACCATCTCAGGAGAATAAGAACAAACAGCGCAACTCGTGGACATTTGGATGGTTTTCTTCGCCACAATCACCCACTTCTCCTGAACCTGAAAATGATACTACTACGGCTCCATCACATAATGGCACTCCACTACCACCACCAATACCATCATCAAAGCCCAGTATACCCACACTCGATATCGCAGCTGCTAGGCAGGAAGGTATGATGTACTTGGTTGATTATTGCATATGATCCTAACATGCATATGTATGTTACAGAGAATGGGTCTCCAGTATCACCCAAAAAGAAGGGAGGACGTTTTCGAAGCTCATCCACAGCATCTATTCGACAACTAGCACGTCAATCGTTAGGATTCACATCGCCAACATCATCAACCACTGGTAGTCCTCGTAGCGAAGCTGAACATCAACATCATCTTCTTTCACCCAACACGCTTCTTGAGAAATCAAAACCACCTGCTCCTCCTACCACGAGCGATGTCACAGTCAATGCTCAGATACGTCGTCCTCGATCAAGCAGTTTTCGAGGTCTTATCAAGCACGCTAGAAAACATTCACAAGACAGCAATCATCATCATCATCACCCATCTCCTATATCGAGGAACTTATCATGGTGGATCAACAAGCCTTATCGTCATGCTTTGCAGCAAGCAGATGTAGCAGTCAATGATCTTGATGCCGATGATCATGAGCAACAAGCGTTAGCCAACGAGCAGCTGCATAAAACATTTCCTATGCTGGGTGATTCCGAAAATGTATTGGCAGGTAAGGAGGGGGAGGTACATGTCTTGATCATACATCCAATGGTTACGTACTTATGCCTTTTTCTTGTTTAGTATTCAACTCTGCATTCTGGCGCACTTTACCTTACTATGGGCGTTTGTATTTTAGTCAGCATTACATTTGCTTTCATTCGGGTGTATTGGGTGGACGACAAAAGGTAGGTGACAATGTTGTTGTCATGGATACGGTGGTTGGTGCTTATCGGTTTCCATGGCAGCTGGCAATCCCTATTGCAGATATTACTCATATGCGCCGACTCAAGAGTCGTGGTTATTATTTGCTCCATGGCATTGGTATCATCACCAAGGACATGCCTGAAGAGGTTCGTACCTATATTGTTGATGCAAGCTGTACGTATCATCTTTGATCAACACATGATGACTTTTTTCCTAGATTTACTTTGAGTTTTCCTCCGTTGATATGCGAGACCGTTGCTATGCACTCTTTTACATGATCAATACCGATCAACAGGATGGCGAAAAGTGAGCATGACTACCTTCATTTATACTTCTTACTGATTTTTCTATAGTGCTTCATTTGCTCGTCCAAAGTCCATCAAGCTGAGTGATATTCTTGCCAATGCTACAGAGCATGCGCTACCACCCGTAGAATATGGTAAGTTATTTTGGTTGGTTGCTTCATTCAAACGACTCATTGTCTTTGGAATAGGTGGGCCTCCATTGTTATCGACCTTGTCCTCCACTGAACCTCTTTTGGAACAAAAGAGCATGCCGCGGAAAAGTATGCACATTACTTGCTTGACCATTGGATCCCGAGGAGACGTTCAACCCTACATTGCCTTATGCAAGCAGCTGATAAAAGATGGCCATCAATGTCGTATTGCTTCACATGGTGAATACAAGTCGTGGGTCGAGGAACATGGTATCGAGTTTCGATCCATTGGTGGTGATCCAGGAGAGCTTATGGTAATGTAAAAGGTGGGGGATATCGCTGATGTTGAAACTAACCATGTATGTAGAAACTATGCATTGATAATGGGTTCTTATCGTATTCCTTCATCAAGGATGGTGTCAAGTTTGTAAGTGGAATGCATTCTTGTACAAGAATCTACGTCTCACATGATGGATAGTTTTACACGTGGTTTGAGACGCTTCTCAGTACAGCGTGGGAAGCCTGTCAAGGCACCGATGTCTTAATTGAGAGCCCGAGTGCGATGGTGGGAATACACATGGCCGAGAAATTAGGCAAGTATTCATACACACACGCACACGTAGTGTTGTTGCTAATGATCAACGAGAATAGGTATCCCTTATTTTCGATCGATGCCTTTTCCTTGGACACGCACGACACGCTTTCCTCATCCATTTGCCATGCAAAATTACTACACTGGGGGTCGATTGCTGTATAATGATATGACGTATGTCATGATTGATATGGCATTATGGACCGGTACGAGCAAAACGATCAATCGATTTCGGCGCAAAGTGCTTGGATTACCAGCCACCACCCTTGAAAAGCTTGAGCTTTGGCGAGTACCACATATCTACTCATTTAGTCCCACGGTGCTACCACCACCCAAAGATTGGCCCGAGTACATGCATTGCACAGGCTACTGGTTTCTGGACAATCCCAATGTATCATGGCAACCCAAGCCTTCTTTGGTGGAATTTTTAAAGGCTGAGAATGACCCACGGCCGATTATTTACATTGGGTTTGGCTCTATCATTGTCCCTGATCCTGAGGCTGTGAGTCGAGTGATTGTGGATGCAGTGCACAAGGCCAATGTGCGTGCTATTATTTGCAAGGGGTGGTCATCCAGAATGAAAAACAGCAACAACAAGCATGACCATCATGATGAGGATGAAAGCTCCGCTGTATTGAATCGATATCCAGATACCATTTACAAGATTGACTCTATACCTCACGACTGGCTATTTCCACAAATCCAAGGCGTGGTGCATCATGGTGGAGCAGGGACTACAGCAGCAGGACTGCGTGCGGGTTTACCTACTGTGATCAAGCCATTTTTTGGTGATCAGCGGTTTTGGGGCCAGCGTGTGGAAGAACTTGGCGTGGGTGTATGCCTAGTGAAGCTTACAGTGGACAAGTTGAGTGATGCACTGATGCTAGTCACACGCAACAATGCAATGATCAGCAAGGCGAATGTGTTGGGAGCTACGATCCGACAGGTAAGAAAAACGTTTAAACGGTTGGATCACGGAGAGACAAGGAAGGTATTTTTCGGGTTTTCTCACGCAGGGTACAATAAAGGAAAATGGTGTCAAGACAGCAGTCGAATGTATCTATCGAGATTTAGACATTGCCAAACGAACAAGGCATCATCATCAACAACAACAAGATGAATAAACTTTTGACATCACAATCCCGGTCGCCGCCCCCCTATTTACCCCACTTGTATAGGAAATTCACATGACGGCTGTTGTGGTAGAGAGGTCAAAGCAAAATGTTCTTTATAAGCAACATGTGCGGAGTGACTCCGCTTGTTTTAAAATTGGCAACCGCCCGCCCTTGATTCTTATCTCGCATCTCCTCGTTGTAGTGTGTGTGCGTACCTTTCTTTTCCACTCTTTCCCAACAATGTCATCCGAGCAAGTGTCCATTCCCGTTACTCCCAAGCAAGAAGTCAAGCCTGCTGCTGCTCCTTCCACTGCTGCTTCCTCGACCGCCTCTTCCGTCAAGTCTTTCCTTGCTGGTGGCTTTGGTGGTATGGCCTCGGTCATGGTTGGGTAAGTTGACTCATGAGAGAGGAATGGAGGAACTCCCAATGCTTACCATGGCCTTTAGTCAACCCTTTGATCTTGTCAAGGTCCGTATGCAAACCTCCCATGGCTTGTACAAGAACACCTTTGATTGTTTCAAGCAAATCATCAAGAATGATGGTATTCTCGGCATGTATCGTGGTATGGCTACCCCACTCGCTAGTATCACACCTATCTTTGCTGTCAGCTTCTTTGTAAGTGTATTGGTGGGAATGGATGATGAAAAGGAGAAGGGATTCACTAACAAGGTATGTCATCATCATGATGTAGTCTTATGATCTTGGCAAGAAGATTGTGTATGCTGCACGCAGCGACAAGAGCGATAAGTCACCCATGACTCTTGCTGAAACAACCTTTGCTGGTGCCTTCAGTGCTGTCCCTACTACTCTTTTCATGGCTCCTTCTGAACGTGTCAAGGTGTTGATGCAAATTCAAGGTCAAGGTGGTGAAGCCAAATACAAGGGCCCATTGGATGTGGTTGCTAAGCTTTACAAGGAAGGTGGTTTGCGTTCCATTTTCCGTGGTACGGGTGCTACTTTGTTGCGTGATGCTCCTGGTTCAGCTGCCTACTTTGTTGCCTACGAGTTGATCAAGAAGGGATTGACACCTGCTGGTTCTAAGCCTGAAGATCTTAGCTTGGGTGCTATTCTTGTTGCTGGTGGTACCGCTGGCGTTGCCATGTGGACCATTGCTATTCCTCCCGATGTCTTAAAGTCGCGTCTTCAATCCGCTCCTGCTGGTACTTATAGTGGTTTGCTTGATTGTTTGGGTAAGACTATCAAGGCTGATGGTGCATCTGCCCTTTTCCGTGGTCTTGGTCCTGCCATGTTGAGAGCTTTCCCTGCCAACGCTGCTACTTTCCTTGGTGTCGAATACTCTAGAAAGATGTTGGATGCCGTCTTTTAATCATCACCCTAGAGATTTTCGTGTAAATACCCCTCCATCCCACTTTTAGATGAACTGTGTTAGTATGTATAAAAATCATAAAGAGAATCATTTCCGCCTTTTTCCGAAAATTTACTACCCCATTGTGATTACGTTATACACGCATAAATTGCTTGTGGAGATTAGATTTCCTTGATGATTGGCAATGATGGCTGTAACACCAATTGCCATATCATGGTGGCCAAGGGTGTGTATATTCTTAGATGTACATAACATGGATGTCTCTTTCTTGCTTACTTTTGGTGGGGCCAATCTCATTCATTTGATGACGCTTTAACGTTTGACACTTTGAATCGAGTAAAGGCCCAATTTAATTATCGGCGACAGCAATCCGAGATCCGATACATTAACCCTATGTCGACTACCTTTACGTGTGTCTTTCAACTTTGCAAAACCAAATGAGCAATGGCCCTTCTTTTGATATGAGAAGCATTCCGTTCATCTTGACAAAGCAAGGTGCGTATGTTTTGGGCACCCTTGGTATATCATATGGGTGATCAATGCTGTAGTAAAGTAGCAAGCCCCCAATGATGCGACGGTATTCAATATCCCAAGCCATGTATAACATGCGTACATGATCCTAGTATATGCAAGGTAGTTTTATTTACGTGACATTTGTACAAACAGAAAGTTTTTTAAAAGATGATGGATGTGGTGGAAATGAAGTTAAAAATGCACTTATTTCTTGCCAGCCTTTTGGGCAGCCTTGGTAACCTTGCCAGCCTTATCAACCTTCTCAACGGCCTTGATGACACCGACAGCGACGGTTTGACGCATGTCACGGACGGCGAAACGACCAAGAGGAGGATATTCAGTGTAAGCTTCAACACACATGGGCTTGGAAGGAACCATCTTGACGATAGCAGAGTCACCAGACTTGACAAACTTTGGTGAATCCTCGAGCTTCTTACCTGTTTTGAATGAAATGGAGAGTGTTTTGGATTAGCAAATGATAAAAAAAGTAATCGAGAATGATCAAGGAAGAGGATTTGAGGCAAAATCAAGAGATTAAGCTCAACACCTATATCCAAAATCAAAAGATTTACTTACCAGAACGACGATCGATCTTTTCAAGGAGCTCAGAGAACTTGCATGCAATGTGAGCAGTGTGACAATCCAAGACAGGAGAGTAACCAGCACCAATTTGACCAGGGTGGTTCAAGACGATGACTTGAGCGGTGAAGGAAGCGGATTCCTTGGCGGGATCGTTCTTGGAATCAGAGCAGACGTTACCACGGCGGATGTCCTTGACGGAAACGTTCTTGACGTTGAAGCCGACATTGTCACCGGGAACACCTTCAGCAAGTTGTTCGTGGTGCATTTCAACGGACTTGACTTCGGTGGTGACGTTGGCGGGAGCAAAGGTGACAACCATACCAGGCTTGATGACACCAGTCTCAACACGACCAACAGGGACTGTACCAATACCACCAATCTTGTAAACATCTTGAAGAGGAAGACGAAGGGGCTTATCGGAAGGACGAACAGGGGGATCAATGTTATCAATGGCTTCAAGAAGGGTCTTGCCGGTCTTGGCACCAGCCTTAGTCTCCTTGTTCCATCCCTTGAACCAAGGCATGTTGGTGGACTCCTCCAACATGTTGTCACCATTCCAGCCAGAGATAGGAACGAAAGGAACGGACTTGGGGTTGAAACCAATCTTCTTGATGAAGGTGGAAACTTCCTTGACAATTTCATTGTAACGGGCCTCAGAGTACTTGGTAGAGTCCATCTTGTTGATAGCAACAATCAATTGACGAACACCAAGGGTGAAGGCAAGCAAAGCGTGCTCACGGGTTTGACCATCCTTGGAGATACCAGCCTAAAAGGAATTTCTTAGAACCTTATAAAAATTTTTACATGCAGCTTTTGTTGCCCTTACCTCGAATTCACCGGTACCAGCAGCAATAATCAAGATACCGCAATCAGCTTGGGAGGTACCAGTAATCATGTTCTTGATGAAATCACGATGGCCAGGGGCATCAATGACAGTAACGTGGTACTTGGGAGTCTCGAACTTCCAGAGAGCAATATCAATGGTGATACCACGCTCACGTTCAGCCTTGAGCTTGTCCAAAACCCAGGCGTACTTGAAGGAACCCTTACCGAGTTCGGCAGCTTCCTTCTCGAACTTTTCAATGGTACGCTTATCAATACCACCGCACTTGTAGATCAAATGACCGGTAGTGGTGGACTTGCCCTGTAATAGGATATGAGCAAACAACTTCACTAAGCATAACAAGTACCCTCTTTTATATACTTACGGAATCGACGTGACCAATAACGACGACGTTAACGTGAGTCTTCTCCTTACCCATGGCGAACTAGATGATTCAATAAGTGACATGTACATACACACACACATACGCATACGACATACCTAGTTGTATCAAAAGTAGAAAAGGGAAGGAATCAAAACGTTGCTGGGTTGAGTCCCGCTTTTAAAGTGGCAAAAAAAATTTTGCTTGTCCCACTGTGCAACCAATACCAAAGCCACGGCGGCATGAAAAAAAGGAAAAGGACGATTTGCCAATCGGCGTTAGAATCCGCACGCTAATGCAACTCTTCAAAACCTTGATCCAGGTTGCACACGCACGAAAAATTTCCTGGCCTTTTGATTCACCCATTTGTTGAGTGCTTTGCTTGCTTCCTTCACCCATTCTTGAACGCTTCAACACATACGTTGATCGGATCACCTTTTTGATTGATTACCATTATCGACACTCTCCTATGGTTAGTGCTATGCGAGTAGATGGGTGCAATGTGGACGTATACATGCAACGCAGCACAAGCGAGAATGACGTGCATACGTATACAGTGAATCCCTTGGGGAACTCATCAAGGGGGTTGGTTGATGAGACACCAAACATCATGCCTTTGGTATTGGGAGTAGAGTGAGCAGCATACAAAAGGTGGCTGCCTCTGAAATGGTTGTGGATGCATTTATAGCGTGTGTGTGTGCGTGTGTGTGATGGAAAAATCAACGATACTAAAAGAGCAAGGAAGCAAACGTGTGGACGTTTACAGGTGGTGGTGGATAATATGGCCAAGGATGATCATGCCATGTTGCGATAGTGAGCCCTTACTTTGCAGTGGTGATGTGAGTCTGAGAATGTAAAGTTGTTTCCACAGTTGATCAAGAATGGTGCCTTGCCAAAGTGGCATTGATAGAAAGGGGGTTTCAATAGTAAGCTTCTACAAGGCTCATGGAGCTAAGCTGACACCAACGCCAAAACAATCAACTACCATGGTACATATGATCACACAAGGCCATAGCCTATAAGCCACGTGATTGATGATCCGGCTTACTTTTATGAAGATGATTTCATTTTCCCTTTGCTGTCATTGATAAGGCTGCCATATTGAAAATTAATCCCTTTGTGATATTGCGTTGTTCATTACGTACTTGCTAGACTCACGTTGGTCAATTCATGTTGATTATGAAGAACGCTTTTCATCCATGTTGATATTTTAATCATTACATTTCTCAAAAGACCGGTCGGAGGTATGTAGAGCAATGATCCGGCTTTTCTTCATCGTTGAAAATTCTACCTCTCCACCATACATGGGTTAATCAATGCTTATAGGGTGATGAATAATAAGGCGCTTATGGAATCTTGAGCATACACTCTTTTGTGTGAATTAAGATCCTCTTGGAAAAACATCATTAGCAATGCCTGATCCTGCCATATTGTAAAACATCGGTGAGAGCCAACAAAGAATGAAAAACGGTGCTTCCCCTGTGATGCGTGTATACATATCAAGGATCGTGAAATGACGGAGATCAACCCATGCCCAGCTGTTGTCGGCGGCGCCGTATAATGATGTATCTTGACGACCAGCCAAGAAACGTTCGATTTGAGGAGACAAGCCAATTGATTGTTAAGATTCAGCCATGCACATCCTTTACTTTTGTCTCCACGAACAAGAGTATGCGTGGACATGACAGGAGTCGTCGGCGTTTCTATCTCATGGGCTGTTTATGCAGAAGAGAACTTGCTACGATCTCCCTAAACTCTAAAGCTGGGATCCGAAGTGCTCTTGCGCATTGCTATGTGATATGAGCTACGTGCCGTACATGCCGATCTTGACACGCAAATCAGCGTGGATCTTCAAAAATGAATGGTCCGTTACGGGATAAAGAAAACCTGCTGGCAGAATTGTTACTAGTATACGCCATACGCAATGCCACCAGCAGTATCATGATATCATTCATGGCCAAGAAGCTATAGTATATACCGTCGTGATCAACTTTTCGTGAAAATACGGGTACTTGTTGATGATTTTGAATGCATCATGCATTCACACATTCTATGGAAAAGCACGAAGGCGGATCTCAAGTAAATTTGGCTAGTTAGAAATGATCCCATAGAGCCACAAGGGGGAGAGATAGAGTCAAACATCATGGAGAGCATATTTGATTCGATAATTTATTGAGCGTCTTGTCATTCTCCCCTTTAGCAAAAAAAAAAAAAAAAAGATGGCGTGAACAGCACGGGTAAAGAAGGAGGGAGGAAAGGAGGGAGGTGTAGATGTTGATAATAAGGGGAGATACCAAGGACGACCCCTCCCTTCTTTTGACGCTCATCATACACTACAATTTTTACAATATACGTAAGGTTAACTCTGAAAGAAGGAGATGCCTTCTTGTGAAATCCTGTTAAGGAGGAGGTATAGCAAAAGGAGCAAGCCAAAGAGATCAGGAGTCGTCGTAATGGGATCATTACAGAAAAACTTATATAAAAGCAAGCATATTTTACTGGGCATTTCAGTCAATCACCAACTTTTTCTTTTTCTTTACAGTCTCACACACACAAGACATACGTAATAATGCGCTTCTTCGCTTCCATTTCTATTGCTGCTCTCTGCTTCGTGGCTAGCATCCAAGCTGCTCCTGCTGGTGTAGGCGCCCCAGGCCTGGACCAAGCTACAGGGGCTGTTAACGGTGTTGCTGGCAAGGTCCCAGTTGTTGGTCCGGTCATACAAAAAGCGACTGGTGGTGCTCCTGCTGGCGGTGCAAATGGTGTTCCAGGTGCTACACCCGGAAATCAAGGTGGTGTCGGTAATGGAATTCCTGGCGCCGATGCTGTCATGGGCGCTCTTGGCGGCTAAAAAGTCGATCCAACAATAAGAGTGATACCAATAGCTAGAACCAATTACACACAACCCCAACTAGTTACTCTTGTATGGACTTTTTGTTCACATTCATTATCCTGTTCAATATAATGAAAATGGATTCTGTTGAATTTTCAAGTTCTTTATATACCCTGTGGTCGTATGGTACATGTCTTTCGATTGCTGATTACATTTATGTCCCAAGGTGTACATAACAAAAGTGATGGGCTTGGACAATGTCTATTCTCGTCAAGCTGTCATCGGAGCATTGTGGTTGATCATCCTCAACAGTGGCATTCATATCTCTCCAAAGGTGCACCTTCAAATATGGTAAAAGATGGGCATACGTTTATTGCTTTTCAATTGATCCTCTCTTTAGAAACGATCTCGTCTTCCAAAAGGCCTGTCATCTCTACGGAACGATCCACGATCTCTTCCAAAACGACCACCACCGCTACGATCACCACCACCGCCTAATCGATTTCGCATGGGACCACCACCTTCTCTAGCACCCCAATCGCTGCCTCGTCGTGATACATGTTTTGGAGGACCAATGTAGATAGCGACATCCAAATAATCGCCAATAAAGAATCGGCAGTCGTCAAGGGTCTTTTGTTGATCATTGTTGGCTTTGGCGTTCACAACACGTCCAATGTCTCTCGATCGATACGTGGCTCGTTGGCTGTCAAGGTATATCAGTCGAAATGCTACACGAGCATCAGGATGTTGTGCGTCAGGTACTACTTCTTGAATCAACTGTGCTAGTTCCTCCAAAGTGGCATTCATCCTAAACAATCAGCCCATCCATATTAGCATATATCCAATACCCCCAATAAAAGGCGAACCCTACCAAGTGTAAAGTTGCAACTCGTCTGTTGATGGCACAGAGTCAATGGTATACTCATGATTTCTATGTGTACGTGTGTGTGTGTGTGTGTGTGTGCGTGTTCGTTAGCAATGGCGTGCATGGGGGTGAATCTTGCAGCAGTCTACTTACGCGTGATGACCACCCACTCGTGTAAAGATACGCAACAAGAAAGGGCATTCCTAAAACGACCTTGTGTTAACAGTTGTCATAGTAGACATTCTTCCTTGTGGTTATACCTTTTCACGATCGATCGTTGTAGCCATGTTAGCGGTGTGTTTCTGAGTCAAGAGAGAGGTGGAAATCATTCATTCTGCACTCCACGCTAGCCAATCCATCCACGTGACGGTGGTTCATCTTACGCAAACATCTCTTTCCCCACTTGACTCTTTACAAAGATACTTTTGGTAGACTCGCATCGTTGAACGCCTTAGCTCGATACATCAGTGATAGCATTTATAGCCTGACAGCATTCCTTGGTGCTGGTTCAGTGATTAGTCCTTAGCAAGGCATAGCGTTGGAATAACAATAAACAGCCGACTAGACATAGCATTTTAAATATACATTGCATCGCTTCATCCATAGTGAAAGAACAACATGATATGGGCATGACACTTTTTAGTAGTACATCGTAAAGAGTAATGCAACAACCAATATAGCAACAGCCATGGGTAGTACGACTAAACTAGTAGGCGTAGAAGGTGCGACTTTGATTATTTCATCCAAGACATGTTGCATTTGATCAGCGAATGCAGGAAGTGAAAACATGGCTTGTACATGTCGACGCCCTTGTTGCCCCATGGCCTTGGCATCATAACGACCAGAAATGATATCCTTGATACCTTGTCCCCATACTTTAGGATCCGATTCCAAAAGCAACCCTGTTTCCTCATGCTTGACTGTTTCCAAGGGACCACCCGTATTCGTGGCAATGACAGGTAATTCGGTATACATGCCTTCGACAGGTGTAATGCCAAAATGTTCATTCGTTGGCGTGTACAACATCAAAGTCGAGTGGCGAAGAAGATAGGTGCGTTGCGAGTCGTTAAAAGAACATAGAAACACGACATGTGTATCCGCTGGTGGGGTTTCCAAAGCATTGGGATAAAGGATAAAGGTACGCAATCCAAATTGTGTTCGAGCCAACGTATCCAATTCTTCAAGGTATTCCACATTTTCACTCACACGACGATCATAGCCACCTACGTATACACTTGGCTTAGCACACATGCACACTCGCCAATAGAATCCATGCTTACCTGCCAACATGAGACGATACTTTGAGAATGTCTCATCATCCACGGTGGACTTGAGCGATGCAAAAGCACGTAGCGCCAATTCAACATTCTTTTTACGTTCAAAGCGATTGATAGATAAGAGTGTATTCTTGGATCTAAGAAGGTAAAAGACCAATTAATCATGTTTGTTCATGGTGTGACATGACAAGATCTCTACTTACGAAGCAAGGATCTGCACGGAAGGATCATTCTCATCAACCTGGCGATCATAGGCTGTAAAGTTGATGGGTGGATAAAGGACACGTAAGGCCTTGAGGATGGTAGGAAATGATTGTCGCGTGACGCTGGCTGTATATTCGCTATTGACAGCAATTGTATCGGCCATCGCTATCCATATCCATACGTCAATCATGGCTGCATGATGATGCCCCATCCCCTTCCTTACCTGTAGTCATTTCCTCAAACCGATCAAAGGGGGCACGATACAACTTTTTGAGACTCGTTTTCCGATCCGTCAGGAGCTTATCTGGATGATGGCAGTAGAATAAGATCTATGAGATGATACCACATTAGGTCTATTCCACCCTCACCATCCACTACCCCCCTCCACTTACCCGTGATGAGCTGCACAGCTTGAATAATGGAATACATGCGCTCAATTGATCAATGAATAGAATATCGTACGAGTTGCGTTCATGATAAAGAAGCGTCATGGCAAGGACAAGTTGACGTAGGATGGCACACACGATATAGAAACGACCCAAGATAGTACGTGGTAGGAAATCGCCATAAACATGCACTGGTAACGTTCCTGCATACTATAATGTTCAATTGATGCATGGTCCCTCTCGTTGATATAGACATACCATTGCGTGTTTCTTCAAAGCAGTGCTTGGGGTCGTGATGACTGGTATACATGGCGACGTGATGACCTTTGGACTGCATGGCAACGGCAGCATCCACCACCAATCGCTCAGCACCACCTACCATACTCTTCCATGAGCAACGCGCCACACTGTCAAATGTGAAATGGAGTTACCAATGCCGAGATCAGGGTGTATGAACGCGATCCTCAATCGCTTGTCGGTCATGGTCTTGGTGAAACCTTGGTTGCCCAATTCAATGCTGGAGGTATTTACAAAATGGGATCCCATCCACGTGATCTAGTAGAAGAAGACGTTGACCTGCTGGATTTATTAAAAGAGAACTTTTTGGCAACATGTAAAAGTGATGTCTGCATATCATCAGTGAATGGAAATGAGAGAGAGAAAAAGACATAGGAGACTGTGGTCCTTAAAGAAAAAGAAGCATGAAAAAATGTGCATAATATAAATTAAAAAGGGCTAGTTGTACGTGGTGGTGAGTGCGTGTGATGATGTGAGTGTGAGAATGTATGTGGTGTTGTTGTTGCTGCTGTGCGTGTCTGTACAAAAGTTGGAAAGAAAAAAGAGAAACTTGTATATGCAGAAAGGGGTCCTTTTTTCACGCTGCTGCATGATGATGAGGATCATCCTACAGCAAAAGAGGTTGTCCTTGTCTGGTTTCTTCACGGCGTTGATGTGTCTTCATATGCTGAGAAAGGTTATCCGATCGTGAAAATGTCTTTTGACAACCAGGGTAATTGCATGAAAAAGGTCGCTCAAGGGTATGGATACGCATGTGTCGTTTCAAGTGCTCGAGTCGCTTAAAAGGTCGTTGGCATTCTACATGAGGGCATACATGGGATCGAGCATGCTTATCAGTGCTACCCTTGCGTTGCTTGCTTGTGCTGCTTTTCCTGGATGATGATACCATAGTCGTAGAAGGAGAGGAAGATGGCATATGGAAAGGTGAAGGTGAGGCGATGTCGGGTAAAGGAGGTGGTTGTTGCAATGGTGAAGTAGTGTAGCCTGGATGGTAATAAGACGAATGATAATCCAACGATGGCAATCGATCCATATACCCAGCCGTGTCTTGATCATTGCTGCTCAATAGACTTGTGGGTGGAAGCAAAGGCTATCCCACATAGCATCATCAATATCAAAATGGTCAACAATCATTGTCTTTTTACATACCTCAGAGACAGCTGCAGCAGTCGTTGTTCTTGTGATGTTGCTGCTTGATGATGAAGAAGTATAATAGTTGTCATGATCCTTGAAAAAGGCACTACTACTTGTGGGTGACTTTTTGCTGTGTGTGCGACAATGTGCCCTGAAATTATCGGATCGACTAAACGTCTTACCGCAACCAGGATATTGACATGCAAAAGGACGTTCACCCGTATGCACAAGCATGTGGCGTTTGAGATGCTCATAGCGTTTGAAACTCCAACCGCAATATGCGTATTTGCATACATGCTTATTAACGCTGCCATTGTTGTTCTCGTTGCTACTGCTGCTACCTGAGGATCGACGTCGCGAAGAATTTCGTCGACTTGCCGCCTCCTCCTCGTTGTTTGGCACATGCTGCTGCTGCTGAAAATGAGATGTTTCAAGCATTGCATCGTATTCATGCATGGTGCGATAGGACATAGTTGCATGATTGTTGTTATCTGAAGATGGATCCATCATCATATGACTTGTTGCTGCTGAGGATGCTCTTCTCGCTGTTGTAGTGCTATCATCCATGACATGGTGGTTTTGATTCGAGATGCGTAATCCAAAAGGACCAACATCAGCAGCTGAATACCTGCGTTTGTTGTATTCCATCCAATCCACAAAATACGGCGATGATGATGCTGTAGTAGGTGTAAGAGGTGGAGAATGATGATGATCAAGAGGATGATGATGCTGCTGGTGGTATCGTGCTGCCATCAATCTTTGCATGTCGGTAGCCGATACTGCTGCTGTTGTTGTTGTTGTACCAACATGTGAAGATGAAGGTAGCGTTTCAATAGGATTGATGGATGAAACACCCAACGATGGAAGAAGAGTGATACTTGGCAATTTATCAACCTGATGATGTATCGCTGATGCTGGTGGTGGTGGTGGCATGCTGGTATGATCGAAACGCGACATGGTGGTACTACAGCGTTACAATGGATGGGTAAAACCGTGCAAGAAAATGTGCAAAAGAAAAGTTTAAATATACCGGGAATCTCTTTAAAAAGAACACATTGACTCGAAATGCATTTGCCAATTTTTAGATCGTCAACAACAAAGGAGATATTGGGGGAAAACCAAGATTCATTCTACTACTATGGCTCATTATTATCATGGAGTCACTCATTGTTGTTGCACGACGGCATGCACAATCGTGCATCTAATAATATCGCATTGCACCTTTTGACATGGATCCAATCATCTTTTTGTTCTCATTTCTTTCTTCATCTTGATTCATGCCCTCTCGCAACTTTTGCTATGATAGAGGTGTGGGGTATACCCCCCTTTCTGGATAGGAGGTTAGCACACGCCATGATCCAGGGGAGAAAGAAGAAAAGCCTCGCACACATCTTCACCCACCACATGCAACTTTTTACAGTAAATCCGCCATATGGGATAGTAGGTGCTAGAGACATGAAGTTTTTCCAGCACATTGTGGTCGTCAATGCATTGGTTTATGTATATCACCATCCTTGTAAAAATAAGCCTGCCCACGTGTCTAGAATGTATACAACCTTTTAATTGCTGCTATAGGACCATCATCATCACTGCATATGTGCTTGCATAAACAATAAAGGCATATCGATTTCAACGCCCTCCTTCTTGTATAAATGTAACTCCTTGTATATAGAATCCAGCACGTTCATTGTGTTGAGACTCCACCTCCCAATCGGGGCCTCCGCAAGAAAAAAGGAGTGTAATGCCATGCTCTTTTCCTCGTGCTCTAACATGACCACCCTTATTTCTACCCTCTACTATACACCCATTGCTGTACTTTTTAACTCCTAAGGCAGTACTCACAGTAACAGGATCACTATTTTAGCAATAAGCTGAATGAAAGCGGTATGGCCAATATCATCGATTGCATGTAAATCCGAACATTGTATTAGGATGCATGTAAAATAGTAACAACCCTAATAGATGCCACGCAATATGCATCTACCGGAAAGCTAGGCACCAGTCTTCCGATCCATATGTACATCCGAATTGCGTTCCGGATTCTTGCTAAACATGGTAAAAGCAGTGCTCATTATTACGCGAGCAAAAGAGGACCCTGTGCTTCAGCCCACCTCCTCCATGATCATCCCTTTTTTCAAATAGCGATAAGACACACACACACATTTCATTCTTCTCGTGATCCATGAATCATTCCATATTTTATGTTACAAAAGAAAAAGAAAGACTACGTATTTATACAAAGAACGCTCAAAGATCGGCCACCTTGACGATTGCTTTACCCAAGTTTTCGCCACCAAGCATATCGGCCACGGCCTTGGGAGTATTTTCAATGCCTTCTGTAATGTATTCTCGGTACTGGATCTTGCCTTGGACTATCCATTCTGTGACTTGATGTGTGAATTCCTTCTTCATTTCGGGAGAGATATCGTGAGCGTTGATGGCTTGAATCCTTAAGCGCTTAGGCATCATCATGGAAAGGTTTGGCACCGCACCTCCGTTGGCTTTATGACCACTGGTTCCACACATGACAATCCTTGCCCAATTGTTGCAGTGAGCAATAGCTGTGTTGAGACTATCGCCACCCACGTTTTCGTATACAAGATCAATGCCATTAGGACAAAGTTCAGCGAGCTTGGCACCCATGTCGGACTTTTTGTAGTTGAATGCACCATCGTAACCAATTTCCTTGAGATAGGCAACCTTCTCATCCGTGCCAGCAGAGCCTACCACATGCAATCCTTGCAACTTTGCCAATTGACCCACCAATTGGCCGACACCACCTGCTGCACCGGAAATAAAAATGGTCTCGCCAGCTTTAGGTTTACCATGTTCGAACAATCTATAATGATATCGATGAGTGACATGTTGTGGATCAAAAAAAGATGTATGTATAGTAGTACAACTTACCCGTAATAGCCAGTCATGCCTGCAACACCTAAGACACCGAGATAATTGGAAAGTGGGACCTTGGAGGCCTTGGCATCTTCCAGGAGTACTTGATAATGGTCTTGTTCAGATTCTTGGATGATGGAGTATTCGGTAAAGAGAGCTTTAGCAAATCCGGAAAGCACAATGGCACCTTGAGGATACTTGGGATTGGATGAACGCAAGACGACACCCAATGCGACACCACGAACCACTTCGCCGAGTTGGAAGCCCCAAATGTTAGGGGGAAAGTTGGCGAGACCATGGCGGAAGTAAGGATCAATGGAGAAATAAAGGTGTTTGACGATATAAGCACCATCAGCAAGGGGAGCATCAAGATCAATGTCGGATGCAAGGACTTGAAGATGTTCACCAGGAACAGGAATAGAGTTCTTGCAGACTTGAGAAAAGATAACTTGTTGGTTGTTGCGAGTCATATTGTCGTTGATATTGAAGATTGAAGATGGATTGAATGATGTTGATTGACGATGAATGGTGATCCCCTTTTATATATGATGCAAATCGGCTGTAGGACTAAAGCGGATAATATGTACGAATTGCGACATGGCGTGCATCATTGCTATGTTGCATAAAGTGGCGAAGTATCGGATAATTGCATGGATCCGATTGCCGAGATCAGGGACGTGTCATTGCCTTTTTTTGAGATGCGTGTGGCGAAGTAACTTGGCAGGCTCGGTACTGCATAAAGTCCGATATCCGAATGAGCGCGAAGTGGTAGCTGTGGTCCGTACAAGCGCGTTGGTAGATCAATCAAGCAAGCCACCCATCTGGATTGCTGGGTTTATGCTTCAGTTTGGGGCTGCTGTTTCATACCACACCACACCACACACACCACACCCTTCACTTTTTCACCTTGACAGCACTTGCACATATATACACAAATGGCTTCTCTTCCTACCATTGCCGTTCTCATTTCAGGCTCGGGCTCCAATTTACAAGCTCTTATTGACGCCATTCAGTCGGGTGCACTAAAGGCCAACATTGTGGTGGTGGCATCCAATCGTAAAGCGGCTTATGGACTTGAGCGTGCAGCCAAGGTGGGCATTCCAACGCGTACATTTTCATTGAAAAAGTTCAAGGATGCTGGCAAGACACGTGTGGACTTTGATATTGAGTTGGCAAAGACGATCCAAGAAGAGTATAAACCCGACCTTGTGGTGCTCGCAGGGTTTATGCATATTCTGTCACCCGAATTCTTATCCTTCTTCCCTCGCAACAATGTCATGAATCTTCATCCCGCCCTTCCCGGTCAATTTGATGGTGCTCATGCTATTGAAAGAGCCTATGATGCTTATAAACAAGGCAAGATCCAACATACCGGTGTCATGGTCCACAAGGTGATTGCCGATGTCGATCGTGGTCAGGTCATCTTGCAACGACAAGTGCCTATTCTTGAAACAGATTCATTGGAGGATTTAGAAAATAGGATTCATAGTGTTGAGCATGAGATCATTGTTGAAGGTGCACAAAAGTTTTTGGACGAGTTAACACAATAAAAAAAGGAAGGATTCCCGGGAAAAAAGTGATTCATTGTTGTTGGAATGGGAGGGTTATAGGTGTTGGATCATACAGGATGGCATTCATTGTCTATGTACTTCTTGTGTGCTACGATAAGCAAGCATTATCTAATGCAGAGCCACGTGGGGGAGAGGGGGAGGCAAGAGTTCATTCAAAAAAACAAAATTTCATTGGCTCAGCGCTATTCTCCAACTCAATGCTGAAATGGGAGGGAGGGGGTGGGACCACATAGGCAAATCAAGCGTGTGCGCCATAGTAGATCCTCCTCTTTGAACCAATCCATCCATCATGGGTAAGTAGAGTCAATGCATCATTTATCCATTCATCTTTATACATCCATCATGATAGAATATTAATAGCATCTTTTTTATAGCTGTTGGCAAGAACAAGTAAGCTAACCTCCCCCATTCACCATGACAACACACACCCATCCAGCATAGATTCGACATGGCACTAAATTTTACACATTTGAAACGATAGGCGTCTTAGCAAAGGAAAGAAGGGCTTGAAGAAAAAGGTGTAAGTGACAATGGACCCCACATGGGGGGAGGTGGATTGGATGGATGCTCATAATGGGACTATAGCGTGGACCCCTTCACCCGTAAGGACTGGTACGATATCAAGGCTCCTTCCATGTTTGAAGTGCGTCAAGTTGGCAAGACTTTGGTCAACCGCACTCAAGGTCTTCGTAACGCCAATGACTCTCTCAACGGTCGTGTCGTCGAAGTTTCGCTTGGTGACTTGAACAAGGATGAGGCTCGTGCTTTCCGCAAGATCCAACTCAAGGTTGATGAAATCCAGGGCAAGAACTGCCTTACCAACTTTTATGGTATGGACATGACCTCTGATAAGCTTCGTTCTATGGTCAAGAAGTGGCAGGTAAGGAAGGATCTCATCATCATGGGAAATGTATATTCATGTGGATGTGTGTGTAGACTTTGATTGAAGCCTTCGTTGATGTCAAGACCACCGATGGCTACCTTGTTCGTCTTTTCTGCATTTCTTTCACTGCTCGTCGTCGCAACCAGCTCAAGAAGACCACCTATGCTCAAAGCTCTCAAATCCGTCAAATCCGCAAGAAGATGTTTGACATCATGACTGAGGAGACTGTCGGCTGCGACTTGAAGGAACTTGTTGCCAAGCTCACCGCCTCTGCTTCCAACTCGGCTCAAGATGCTATGGCTGTTCGCATTGAAAAGGCTTGCCAAGGTATCTACCCCTTGCAAAACACCTACATTCGCAAGGTCAAGATCCTCAAGGCTCCCAAGTTCGATGTCTCCGCCTTGCTCGCTCTTCATGGTGGTGCTGCCGCTGCTGGTGATGTTGGCACCAAGGTCTCCAAGGACTTTGTCGAGCCCCCTGTCTTGGACTCTGTCTAAAGCAATAAACATATCAACTCATCCTTTGCTCGCTTGGTAATTTGTATGATGATAATGATGATGGAGGTGGAGGTGGAAGGAAAAATCATGTGTGGGATGCATAATGTGCATGATAGGTCGCTCACGTGGTGTGCCATTGAATCCATAGTCTACTTTTTCTATTCCTTGATGAGAGTAATAGAACCCCGTTGTAAAGATGATTCAAGTAAAAGCTATTCATGTTGAACCCAAAAAATCCTTTTTATGCAAGTCGGAGATTTCACTACTGGCAACATCCACCATTGTTGTAATAATGCCAAAAAAGAATCAATCACATGGCTGTCAATTTGGGCCGAGGCATACACTGAATCGTTTCATGCACTCTTTTTCTCTTTCCTTTCTCTCTCTTTCTTTTACACTTTTTCTTTATCCATATGACAGTGGACGATCCGGTGGATGCGCTTATCCTCCAGCTCCCTGATGAACTCCAAATCAAGATCCTTGGTTACTTACCACCTACGGAACGACTAAGGGCAGCAGGGGTACGTATACCCATTTGATAAGGGATTCGGTAAAAGGCATGTATATATATACTAATATGGGCCAGACAAACAATTACAGGTTTGTCAAAAATGGAAGCTGTTGGCGTTTGATGGGACCTTATGGGCGAAGATTGATGCGAGACCCTTTTATCGAGTCATTCCATCCGAACAATTGCTTCACTTGGGTATGGCAGCCGGCAGGTTTTTGCGAGAAGCCAACTTTAGGTAAGCATAAAGGATGAACAATGTGTGAAAGAGGGAGTAACATTATCACTACAACAGAGGTTGTCTTCAGCTGACAGGGCACGGGCTACGTACCTTATCCAATTATTGTCCAAATATACACAACCTGCAGTTGCGTGATTGTCGTAGTTTATCCACCCATAGCATTGCCTGTTTCCTTCATTCAGCGACACAGCTTCATGCCCTCGATTTATCATGCCTCGATACCGTCACCAATACAACGCTTATCAATTCAGTGGCTCAACTACCTTTGCTTGAACGACTCAATATTGCTTGGTGCCGTAATGTTTCGGGACATGGTGTACAAGCCGTAGCTCGTTCGTGTGTGCACTTGACGATCTTGATTCTTAATGGATGTTCACAACTCGATGAAACCACCATGGCCACGTTGGGAAGCTGCCTAACCCATATTCAACATTTAAGCGTGGCATCATGTATCAGCCTCACGGACCAAGCGTTGCTTGCATTCCTGCAAAATGAATTGCCGCATCTATCCCATCTCAATGTATCCCAATGTGCAAGGTTATCGGATGCATCTTTGAGGCATATTGCTTTGCATACCACACCACAGCTTTCAAAATTAGAGCTTGCAGGCTGTGTGTTGTTGACCGATCAGGGCTTTTGTTTCTTAGCACCTCGTGTAACATCATTGGTGCATTTGGATCTCGAGGACCTGCAGCAAATTACTGGCACCACGGTGAAAGCATTGGCTAATAATGAACCTCGTTTGCAACATTTTGGTCTTGCCAACTGTACTCACATTGCTGATGATGCCATTATCCACCTTGTTCTTTATGGTGTGTGTCGTCACTTGTCTCATCTTGAGCTTGATAACTCAATGATCACGGATCGAGCCCTTCACACCATTGCCATGTCCCTTCGTGAAAGAAACGATAATAATAGGACGACGCTACACATTCAAGTATTGGATTGTGCCAATGTATCTGAAGAAGGCATTAAATCAGCCATGTCTACAGCAGGAGCTGTGTTATTCATCAAGAGCTTTTATTCATGGCAAGATATCGTTATACAAGATGATGATGATGAAGATAACGAAGAGCAAGGTATTATGGCAAGACGAAGATCTCGACGACGTACATACAACACAATCGGTCATCAACGAAGACGACCTGATGCTGTAGGACATCCCAATACGATTAATTGCATCATTCTATGACAAGGATTTCATTCATTTATTATATGCATTTGTTATCCAATATACCGTATATACCCAATAGACTTAAGAGGTGGGGATGGGGATGGTGAGGGGAATTGTCATCCATCCATGCAACATCATCTGCTCTTGAAATCCACCTGTTTTTCACCTCTTCCTTCCCGAAATAATTTTCTTCGTCTTTTGTCCCGCACCTTCCACCCCCATTTCGCCATGGCCCAGGTCAAGAAGCAACAACAGCAACAACCTCGTCACGGACGCAAGAACAAGACGCTTCAAAAGAAGGAGGAATTGGAATCGATCGAGATCAAGGCTGCACACCCTGTAAGTAGTAGCCATTCCCTTGACAACCATGTCACTCAATCGATCTACCTTTTTTCTCTTGCAGGAAAACTACACCGAGACGCAATTCTTTGACGATCTTCCAATCACTGAAAAGACCGGCAGTGGATTGAAGCGAGCCAACTTTCGACAATTGACAGATATTCAACGCAAAGCGATTCCTTTGGCACTGGCGAAGCGTGATGTGCTTGGAGCAGCCAAGACTGGAAGCGGCAAGACATTGGCATTCCTTATTCCAGTCCTCGAGATATTGGAACGAGCCAAATGGACCCGAGATGATGGCTTAGGTGCCTTGGTGATTTCGCCCACACGTGAATTGGCAGTGCAGATCTTTGAAGTCTTGAAAAAGATTGGAAGGAACCATAGTTTCTCGGCTGGTTTGATCATTGGTGGCAAGGATTTCCAAGCAGAGAAGGAGCGTATCGCCTACATGAACATCTTGATTGCTACACCAGGTCGATTATTACAACACATGGATCAATCTATTGGTTTTGATTGTGACAATTTACAAATGTTGGGTAAGTAAAAGGAAAAGAGAATAATGGGCATTCATGAAAGCTAACGTCTTTGTTTCCATAGTGTTGGATGAAGCGGATCGTATCATGGATCTTGGTTTTCAAAAGACGATCAATGCCATTGTTGAGAATTTACCACGCAGTCGACAAACGCTCTTGTTTTCAGCTACACAAACTCGCTCTGTAAAGGATCTTGCACGCCTATCTCTCAAAGATCCCGAATACGTGGCCGTTCATGAAAAGGCAGAGCACAGCACGCCCAAAAAGTTGACGCAGCATTATGTGGTGTGTGAATTGCCACGCAAATTGGATATCTTGTGGTCGTTTATCAAGACGCATTTGAAGCAAAAGACGATCGTATTCATTTCGAGTTGCAAGCAAGCACGTTTTATCTTTGAATGCTTTTGTAAATTGCAACCTGGTGTGCCATTGTTACATTTGCACGGCAAACAAAAGCAGCAAAAGCGAGTCGAGATTTTCCGCAAATTCACCACTTCTCAATATGCGGTTCTTTTCTGTACGGATATCGCTGCACGTGGTCTTGATTTCCCTGCTGTCGACTGGGTCTTACAATTGGATTGTCCAGAAGATGCTGATACCTATATTCACCGCGTCGGTCGTACCGCTCGTTATGATGCTGAAGGTCATGCTTTGATGATGTTGCTTCCCACCGAAGCTGAAGGCATGCTGGAGGAACTTGAAAGGAAAAAGGTCCCTATTGAAGAAATCAAGATTCGCGAGAACAAGAAACAATCCATCCAAACACAATTACAAAGCTTCTGTTTCCAAGATGCTGAAATCAAGTACCTTGGTCAAAGAGTAAGTCATGATGCTTTTCTATCTTTGAATTTGGTCTCACACTATTTTAGGCTTTTGTATCCTACATGCGATCAGTATACCTCCAACGCAACAAAAAGATCTTTAAGGCGACCGAACTTCCAGCAGAGGAATTTGCACATGCCCTTGGTTTGGCTGGTGTGCCCAAGATCAAGTTTATCACTCAGGCACAAGCTGCAGAAGCTGCCAAGGCCAAGAAATTGGAGGCATTGAAGGAACCTGCCGAAGAGGATGAAAAGAAGGATGAGGTCAAGACCAAGTATGATCGTATGTTCCAGCGCAAGAACCAAGATATCCTTTCAGAGCATTACAACAAGTTGGTCGACTTTAACGATGCCATTGGCAAGGATGAGGACGAGGACTTTTTCACCGTGAATCGTGCCAACCATGACTTGAGCGGTTCAGAGGATGAAGCCGAAATGAGAGAAGCTGAAGCTGAGAACTTATCCAAGCGACAAGCCAAGATGACCAAAAAGGAAAAGGCCAAGCGTGCTCCCAAAGGTGAACGTATTGTCTTTGATGATGAGGGCAAGGTAAGCAAACTGTGACAACATGGATGATCAAGAACAAGTCATACTAATAGCTATCATAGCCACATCAATTGTATGAAATGGTGGATGAGCAAGATTTCTTAAAGGCGGGTGATGCCAAATCACAGCAACAAGCTTACATTGATCAAGAATCCAAGCACATGCAAGAAGCCGATGTAGCAGACAGAGAACTTGCAAAGGAAAAGCGCAAAGAAAGGAATCTCAGACGCAAGTTACGAGAGCAACAGGAGGCTATGGCAGATCAAGAGATGAGTGAAGAAGAGGAAGAGGAAGAGGATTATAGCCAAGAAGAAGAAGAAGACGAGAGTATGGATGAAAGTGAAGTGGATGAAGAACGTGAAGAATTCAAGCGGAAATGGGCAGCAGCACAAGAAGAATCATCGGATGAAGACGAGCCAGCTAGCAAAAAGAAACGCGTTATTGAAGTGGATGAACCCCAGTCCCTGCGGGATCAGGAAGAGCTTGCTCTCAAGTTGTTGGGAGCTTAATCATGATCTTTTACAACATAGCATTTTTTAACCATTTACATTTTGCATTCTCCATTTTCCTCCCTTGTCAATTTACCCGTAATGGGTCCTGTGTAATAATAAACATGTTCTCATCACCAATTCTTTACGATGTGATCCAGCCAATAATCATGCTAACATGCGATCCTAGGTCATTGGGCAACATCATTACGGTACATAAGATGTATGATGCAACGTGCTATACCATTTGACTCGTCATCCCTCGATATCGTACAAGAGCATTGTTTATGGAATTAAACTATGTACAATTTATTTTGTATGCATTCATGCTCAACGCCCATGGACGCACGGACTACAAGCAACCGATTTTTGGGCAGCTCATTGTATCCAAGGCCACATTATCACAAGTTCCGCCTTCGTCTCCATTCACCCCACTTCATTCATTGTCGTCTTTCTGATTGAAGGCTCAGCGACCTTGTTTTCTTGGTATGTAATAGTTGACCAAAACGAAGCCAAGGCCGTTGCGTTTTTGGTTGCGATTACCCTCCCTTGTAGTATTCCTGAAATATACATACAGCTTCTGAGCTGGATATGACATTCGCCGAAACATGATCCGTACAGAAAATAAACACCATGGGGCATGCCTTAGGCATTCTTCAGACTTGTAAAGCATAGGATATCAATCGCTGCATGAATGCATCATTGACGACGGGTTGCACCTCGAACAGCATGCGAGGGTGTGAATGCCTTGGCATGTCGTGTTTCGCGCTATGAGTCATGATAAAACGTCAACGAGGCATATTCACATACGATGATTTAACCTACCAGTTGCATGCGATACACATCATTTGCACGTTTTGTCATGCATGTGTTTTCCGATTTTCGCAAGGGAAATCCTCCAATTCGCTGGAATGGAGCACCAATCGCACAGCTCCAAAATCGGCAGCACCGATTCCTTCTTGAGTCCAAAGGGATGAGGATGTTGTCTTCGGCTTCCGCTGGCCTTGATACACCCCCCTTTGTGTTCTACGATGATATTTTGGGACTCAAACTTGCTGCTCACCGGTTCTTGTTTACGCTGGATTCTTCGTATCTGCTTGCAGCTACATATCGCGTTCAAGGATTTGTCTTGGTAGTACGCATCTTCCACTGGTTTCTTGATCCGACTAATTTGTTGAAATCGAGTTTTACATGGTCGACATCCATTTCACACGACCTCCTAGATGACTTTGAGCCTTATGATCAGAGGGCTTATTTGGTTGGCGGCAGGACCAAATCCAATCTTTACAAATTCATCACAAAAGGTGGCTACATCAAAAGAAAGTACATGAACAACATATGCTTTATGAAGAAAGATGATTAGATCTTACCTCATTCAAAGCCAACACCGCAATGACAAGCAAAGTAGGATAACAATGACACACTAATGAATGGACCATAAAGATCAGCGCATGTTCACAACATTGAAAAAGGCTATTCAATATGACATGTACTTACATCAACTTGGCTTTGAGGTTGTCAGCAATCAAAGAGAGATATGATGACAATCGTTCGCAGGTGGTAGTTGTATACTAGAATGCACCAACAGTTGAGAATGGGAGGAAGAGGAAAGGTGGAAGAAGTGGAAATTAAATAGGTCGGACAGAAGATGTGTGGGAGTAAACCGATGGGGCGACAACATTGATCGTGTTTATGTATGTGCATGGTGGGCGTGGGTGTTTCTGTAATACAAAGAGGAAAGAATGATAAATATTTGTTGGGGATGATGCATGAGCTGGTAGAATGATTGATGACATGATAAAGTGATGGGTCGCCCACACTAAGAAGATCGTTATCGAAGAGCCTACATAGGAGGCGTGATGATGATGGTCATGCATAAATGGAAAACTTGGCGTTGACCAAATCAGAGCATGTGTCTGGTGAGATGGAAGGCATTTTTGAGGGTAAGATATACCAAGGTGTAGCAGCACCTCGTTGTTTTGCAATGAATGCGATATCGCACTTGATATATACAATGACGGATTCGACAAAGAAGGAACTCAAAGGCATGCGTGACTTAACAACAAACGTAAACCTACAAAGGTCTTTCTTTTCCTTTTGTTTGCAAACGTATGGACTTCACATTATTCGTTGCTATCTGCAAAGGTGTCTTCCTTTGGTGGCTGGCCATATACTTCACACATCCGCTGATTCGAAAATCGTTCTTGTTGCATCATCCTAGCTTTTATTGCATCACTTTTACCATCATTAAAGACCTGATTCTATCATGTATATGTATCGTTTGTGTTAGCTCATAGCTATAATCTGCTATACGTAAACCAAAGAACAATGCTGCTAATACTTAGCCCATTAAGGTCAATACGTTGACGAAAATGGTTGCCCAGATGTGACCACGAGGAGGTGATTAGCAATCCACATCCAAAAGGATACTATAACACTTGCGAGACTAAAGTAAACAATCGCCATAAAAGTCGCCTCCATCAAGGACATCGTAACATAAAGACGCCCTCCATCAAGGACATCATATCATAAAAGACGCCTCCATCAAGGACATCATATCATAAAAGACGCCTCTACCAAGGACATCATATCATAAAAGACGCCTCTACCAACATCGACATAAAGCCGACAACCAACGTCGCCATATAGACGAGACTGAGGATACAACAGCAATGAAAACAAGGTGGGAACCACATCTTCAAAAATGATGAACCTGAAGAAAGCGTCTCATGGCTGACGCGGTTAGCTTTTTATCACCAACACAATATCCGAAGTGACCAAGAGACCCGAGTTGCCGAGCCCCGAGTCAACTTTGTACAAACATGATGATGACGAGCATTTCATTTTATAGTCGTTACTACGTATTAATGAGGAGTACATTATAAGGGGATGGTTGATGAATGGTGAGCATGATTATAGAGAGGCTACAGCTATCCATAGTGGATGAAGCAATATAGGATCGGTTTATTATGCCGTACAAGCTGCTTTCTACTTGCATTGCTTTTGAACACCGAACGCCGTACCAGCTTGCTTTAAATCCTCTTTCTCATCATGCAGTCATGAAGTTGTGATAGCGCAATGCATCCCAGACGACTCGTTAAGCTCACTTTGCCCAGGTTTTGTCGGGTTGAGTAGTTGGTATATGTACTTCGGTAGGTACGTTCGGTCTGTTTCCTTATAAGCCTCAACATGATTTGAATGGCGTTTATGTGTTGATGTTTGGTAAAGTACACAATGGGATCCCGTTGTCCTGGGCTGTGGTAGTGGGGTATCTCAGACGCCAACGTCTACACCATTTCAATCATGCCTCCTAATCCATCTTTGCATATGCATCTCGGGAGGTAGCTATACTAAAAGGAACATGAGCATGTGCTTCATGAAACAAGATGGCGAGGTTGTACCTTAAAGTGAGCCAAACATCACAATGACAAAGGAAGCAGGAGGATTAACAATGAAACAACGCTAGAAAAAGGTCATACCAAATATGAGTACATGGATCACTCACAAAGAAGATCATCCGCCATAGCACTTACCAGGGGCTTTGAAGCTGTCAACAATCAGCGAGCGATACGACGATGGAAGAAGGATATCTCGGGAGTAACATTCTTGCTTAACATCCTATACTCGAGAAAAGAGCGATGAGTTGATAGATGGATGACAAGTTTATATCACTGTAGTACCTTGGTTGGCATGCTGATGATTCAGATCCACCGTGTTAGTTGCTTGCTGATAACTAACATACACAAGAGCTGGCGGTTGTCCTCAAATCTCCTGTTTAGATAAGGATCAGCTGCTCCAATGCCATGGAAACCACCTCCCTATTACACGCTACTGCTTACAATTCGTTTCCACCCATGTTTTCGAGTTGGCGATTGTAGAGATATGTTGATATTGGTGTATGGCAATTTACGCTTACTGTTGCGTTGGGTGCTCTGAAGGCGATGCAGGCAATCGAAACCTTGTGCCCAAAAGAGAGCAGCGATCATGGTCGTGTCCATTTTGTTGACTCGTTACGGTTGAATGTTGCAATGGCACTCGAAGTCGGCATGCTGTTCAGCATTGAGAAGAAGGAATGCAAGTGATGGAGGAAAGCAAAGATAAAGAAGAGACAAGTGTAACGAGTGCTGCATTAAAATTGGCGGGTGTCTACAGCTAAATTGGCCCAGTGATCCACCTACCCCCGTAGCGCACATGCTTCCATTACGACAATGATACAATCATTACCACACAATAAAACCATTTACAAGTATGCTGGTGAAATAGCAAAGTAGAAATGTGCCCAAAAGAGCCATCGGTTTCCATTTACAGCAAGAAGGGTGCCTAAATTTGGCTTTTTTGACTTGTGGATATGTTCGTATATGGTTTCCTTTAATGAAGAGCATAGTATGAGCGTGCTTTGACGACAAAGAAAATGGGTGCCAGTGGTCTACTGTGCGGAGATCTGGTGATAATAGGATGGCATAAAGTACATCCACCACCATGATGTTGCATGAAAAAGCTTTTACATACATACATACTCAGTATGACTCACGTGTTCCTGAAATCCAGGTACATGCGTTCTCGTGCATTAGAGTGTTAATCACACGACCTTCTCCATGTCTTTATTATGGCTGTAAAAAAAGATCCTAAATGAGTAGTATCAACGCCATAAAGTGAACACATGGGACAATCCTTTCCTCTCGTCTCCGATAAAGCCTTTCAAGATCTTGTTTCTTGACTAACGGGTCGGGGTACTACATGCCTGCATAGGCCGCCTTGCACAAAGCCGTCGTACACCTTTCAACGATATACACCGTCATGATAAAGCGCCATTTGCCATTCGCTGATAATCCCATCATCTCGAAAACAAGGTGGATTACGTACTTAACCTTAATTACTAATGGCAGCGAGACGGATCAAAGCTCCTAAAGTATGGACGAAAAAGGAAACTTTCTCCGTACATACACAAAAGCAGCTGGCCATGGCGTACATAATTCGCTTACAGCCCATTTTTCGGTTTCCCTTTTTTCTTCTTGACTTTCTCTCTCACATCAAACATAAAAACAATGTCTCAACCAGACGATAACGGGGATGCATCGAGACATCATCATCGTTACAATGAAGTGGCTGTGGAAACAGATCCCCTTATACCCCCAACCAACACCAACACCACCACAAACACAAAATCCGCAGCAACAGGAACACAACAAGGCAACATTGTACTTGTGTTTTTAGGTTTACAGATCGCTTTATTTGCAGCAGCTCTCGAATAGTATGTTACCATTTGCTGAATAATCCCAAATCATGTGGCTTATTGATGATGTCCATCATAGCTCGATCGTGTCCACGGCACTGCCCCGGATAGGATCCGATTTAAAAGCGATGGGTATCTCTTCTTGGGTTGCTAGCAGGTACATGAAATTTAGAATCCTTACTTGTTATATACTCACAGGCGTGTAATTCAGCTATCTTGTAACTCAGAATGCATTCAGTATGTTTGTTGCTTGTTTGATTGTTATGCATTAACACCAATTAACGTTCCCACGTTTTCTGCAGACCCCGTGTTGGTAAAGCTCTCCGATATCTTTGGTCGCAAAAACATTATCCTTTTCAGCATCTCCACATTTGCCGTTGGATCATTCCTTTGCGGTGTTGCACAGGTATGTGAGACATTGTGGCTGAGTGGTGAAGAAAAGAGGCATCCATTGATATCCTATACGCCCATTATGTAGTCCATGATATGGTTGATTATCGCTAGAGCCTTCCAAGGCATTGGAGCTTCGGGTGTAAGTACATAGATAAACCCATCTTGCTGTCATTGATTATTAATGCATATTCCCAATCGCTTTCTTGATAATAGATCGGCCCTATGGTAAGCATAGCATACAGCATTCTATGTATGACGTGATTCGATTGACATTGACCGTGCGCAGATCCATATCATCATTGCTGATATCGTACCATTGCATAAACGTGCCAATTATCAAGCGTAAGTATCCACCATCACGCATATTACCTATGACTCTAAAATGGATTCTACAGACTTATCGATGTGTGCTTTACGGCAGCCACTCTTACCGGTCCTTTCATTGGAGTAAGCACATGGCTATATCATTTACGGGCTTCAGCTAATGGCTTCATCGCTACTAGGGAACGTTGACCGACTATGTCAGTTGGCGTGGTGTTTTCTTTGTAAAGTAAGTGATAAAGAAATGTGCTCACCTTAATGCTTACATCAATCAAAAGTATTCCTGTTTGCTTCATATCCATGGCCATCATCACCGCCACGCTCCATTTACCTCGAGTGATCCAAGGTTTAAAGGCACAAATGATGCGAATCGATTATGCAGGTACAATGTGACACAAAAGCATATGGGACTTGACTTTTAAAATGATACCACCCAACTTAGGAAATGTGATTGTCCTATGTGCTAGCGTGTGTTTGGCACTTGCTTTAAGCTTAGGAAGCCAAGACGAATCATGGGATTCACCTCTTGTCATTGTAAGTGCATACACAAGCGAACGTCTTTTTTCTTGTTACTTACGCAAAGTGGTAGTCGCTCTTTTCTTTAACAGCTATCTTGGCTGGCTTGTTGATCTACGTTGAAAAATACGTGGCACTCGAGCCTGTGATACCACTTCGGCTGTTTACCGATCGAACCGTTGCATCTTTGCTCATTTACAGAATTGGATGGGGTATGGCGTTCTCCGCTTATGCTTATTATCTTCCATTGTTCTTTCAAGTTGTAAGAGGAGATTCGGCCATGCTTTCAGGGCTTCGATTGATTCCTGTCGAATTGGGCTCCGTCAGTACCACCTTTATTGTGGGAAGAATCATCACACGCACTGGAAGATACAGGCCAGCATTAAGGACTGGATCAGCTTTGTTTTGTATTTGCTTTGTATTCTTTTGGTGGTTTAATCGCACCATCAGCTGGTCATGTAAGGGGATCGTATGCCTTCCTTGATCCATGAGCAATCATCATTGACGCACCACAACCATCATTATAGATATTTACATGGCCCTTTTGCTTGAAGGCGTGGGTATGGGTGGTGTCGTGGCATCGAATATGATTGCTATTCAAGCATCAGTGCGTCATGAAGATATTGGTAAAAGATGAACCACTTTGTATGTATACATGTTTATTGATTTATCCTTTGCTATAGCTGTGGCATCAGGTCTTGGGGCCTACTTGGGTATCCTTGGTGCCAACTTTGGTGTTGCTACTGCATCTGCTATTCTCAACACGTTGCTCAAGAGAAACTTGCCGCGCGTGATGCCAATGGAGTATGCCCAGCGCATCTTTGATTCACCACAATACGTCTACAACGGCTTGCCAGCAGAATACTTTGATGCTGCTATCGACGTCTATACCACATCATTTACGTACTTGTGGTATACAGTCACTGCATGTGCTTTTGGAGGTAAATCTTACATCCATTGCGTGGCCAACATCCCTTTAAACATGCCTCCTTTCTATTCGAATAGCATGCCTGTGTTCGCTTTTTGTCAAGCAATATTCGTTACGAGGACCTCAAGAAACCAAAACAGTAGCCAATTATCAGGCCGTTGCCGTGGACGACGATGCCCAATCTCTCGGATCGGATGAGACATTATCAGTCACTTTGAGTCGTCATGGAGACTAAAATTAGTGCCCTTCATGGAGCACTCGTTTATAATATGAAGTACCCTATACATTGAATATATACATGCTATTACATTTCATAAGCACTATTATGAATCTGTAGTCGATGATGTCGGATCACAATTGAGCATTCTAGGTTGTATCTCGATGCTGAAGATGCTTAGCAGGCCTTATGGATCATAAGCACAAAGCACTATCACTTTTCTCAACCATGACTTGTATGTGTGTAATCGCGCATGCGCGTTTTACAATCTCGTTTTATATACATCTTGATTGCTTTTAAAGTTTGGGGGTAACAAAAGCTAAAAAGGAGTTGATAGATAGGTCTATTGAGGGGTGTCGGCTATATAGTTGATGAAAGCGTCCTGCTGTTGCCCAATACATACACCCATACGGCCACCGATATGGTTTGGATATTGAATTACGCGTGGTGAGGAGGCTACTGATTCAATTTCATTTTGGTGTTGCACCGTTAACGAGCCTTTCCGCATCAATTTTGAATAATCTAATACAATGACAAATAAGCTCTCTCTTCTCGAATCATGGGCCAAGTCTCAGTCAATAACATACGTAGACCACAAGCATTGCATAGCGTCCGTGCTCCATCAGGTCCTCTCCGCCACTCGGGTGTTTCTGTAGTATGACATGAATGACACCGTTGCCCTACACTAAACGTTGTTGTTAAAAAGTTGATTCTAGGTTCAAACCCCCTTAAAGATACTTGCGTCGTCTTCTTCTAGAAAACAGGTGTGTGACATTGTTGTTAATAAGATTTGAAGATGCATATCTTGCCCTCCCCCATCCTCCCCCTTTTGTACTTACTGTTCGACGTCGATAACTCCCACGAACACCATCTTGTAGATTTCGTGCCCTCCGAATCATTGCATATTCAGGCTAATAACAACATCAATAAAAATTCTCATAGGAAGCACTATTACTACTTACTTTTACGTCATCTTGCTTGAGAACATGTAACAAGGTATTAGCTTTGGTTGCTATTTGCTCCAAAATGGCCGAGTCCTGGCAATCGCGTCTCATCACCTCGATGTCCTGACAAAGAGATGTGCACGTATTGATAGCCTATGGATATCATCCATCAGCATGATGTGTATTATAAACGTGTGTGTATGTTGAAGAAAGAAAAGCACCTGAGTCAAATTAATGGTGGTGGTGGTGGATGATGATGATGGATCTGAAAGTGATTGCATGACATGCATGGTATTGTTGCCGCTACTACTGCTGCTACTGTCAATTGATTGCTGTTCCATTGCTGTGGGTCGAGGTTGTTGTCCTGTGAGATCATGAATGGATGGAAGTCGTTGTTGAGTCGATTGTCTATCAAAATACATGTCAATAACCCATGTGCATTGTGTAAGGAAAAAAGGGAATAAGGCTCAATAAACAGGATGCATCAAGCGTGCCTGAAATACGAAGACACATTTGCTCTGCCCATGCTGACAGCCACCACTGGAAACAAGGTTTACACGCGTTGTTGTTGACGAACGATATATAGAAAACAAGGCAACGTACTCATTCATGATTACATCGGAAGCTGGACTGCCTTCATCTGAAGACATGCACAAGTCAGAGACGTCCATGGAGACAATTGCAAAACAAGGAGGATGGAGGAGAGAGAGAGAGAAAAGAGAGATAAAGTAAGCTGACAAGCGAGAGAAGAAAGCAAAAAGCAAAAGAAAAGGGGGACAAAGGGAAAGGGGAGAAGAAGAAGAGGAAGAAGAAGAAGAGTGAAAAGAGTGAAAGAAAAAAGCAAAAGCACCCACACCTATATTCAATGGTTCACATAAAAGGGCAACACGGGTCTTTTCAATCTCGATTCGATCTCCCTCGTGTCATTGGCTGTCCTACAGAATCATCCACTCTCTTTCCTCATCCATTGCATGTCGTCTTATGCTTTAAGGGTTCTCTCGTGCATACATTACTCGGGCACATGAGCAATCACATTTCCCGAGACATTGCATTCAACTCTCCAAAAGTAATCGTTTTAGATGAACACCATGAACAATCAACACGTTGTATTCTACCAATACAAGACACTTTTACAACGTATCATCCGCTGCGTTGATTTTGAATGGGGTTGCTCAGCTGTGTGCATGCAATACATACCATAGATCGGCAAACCTTTGCTATTTAAAGGAACTCTGATGTTACCCAAACCTGCAGATCCTTGCCCTGTGGGATATGCTGCGTAGGAACTTAAAGCATTTCTCGAACTGAAAAGAAGACATCCTACTTGATGCATAACCCCTTGACTTGACGTCTTTATGCTATTTGACAATGACGTTCCGCACAGATCAATATACCCATCCTTCCACACTCCCTCGTTGCACAAGTAAGTAGATTAAGCTCAAAGGGAATACATATGCAGACAACCACCACCAGCACGTAACGTTTCATTAAAGTCAGCATCATTGGCTCTGGTGATGGGCTGATCTTGCAAAGAAAAGAAAGATAGGCGATGTCCGCCGATACAATCAATTGGGACACAAGAGTGATAAATACGTGCGATTTAATCATAAATGGGGTGAGACTCAGTCCCTAATCGAGATGTGCGATCACGAGCATGACACGACTTAGGGGCCGTCATGGTTTATTTGTTTGTTTGTTGGGTCCTGTCCTACAAAATAAAAAGGCGACATCGTACCGTACATATGGATCTTGCTTGCTCAGTGGGCTTACTGGTCATATTCATGTGCAAACATAGTACACTTGACGAGCCAAGATTGTGAATCTGGTCACTGTGAGACATCCAGATCGCGATACGCTGCCCTTTAAATCACAGTAAAGTTTCTCGTAGTACCGTTCATGATCTAACCTTGTCATACTACGCTCAACCGATGTTTTGGTCCGCTTCAGGAGAAGAAAAAAAGCTAATGTTGACTCCTTGCTCATGGTAAAGTGTCTAGCTTGGTCTTGGCAAAAGGATGCAATTCGTTATTGAAATAAGCGGTACGATAGTATAGAACAACTTGCTCTAGTGGGAAATCGTAAAGCGTATACACCCAATGTTTGAGATCTCGTGTACATCTCTTCCCTTGGCATTGGAGCGCATTGTTCCGACCCTCTTTCCCACAACCACCCTTTTTAATCACACCCGATGCAATCCTACTCGTTCTTGCAACATTATGTGCCTGTAATGGATGCCATAATTCACACATCATGGATCATTGTATAAGCTCAAGCTCTTGTACTATCATTCCATGACCCCTGATTTGGGGCGTATAATATATGCAGCAGTAGCCTTTTACCCAACAACATTTCTTACAAAGGGTCCGATCCAGGAGAGATAGACAATCATTTGTCATTTTCAAGCGCGCATGTGACAGCCAACCTTCTTGTTGAATCGTATGTTGACTTTTACATTGGGACGACTGCTGGCATTGCGTACGTACATGGAAGATGAATCTTGCTATTGTTTGCATTATCGCAAAAACCCCGACTTGTGAAAAGTTTCCCATATCGATTTGGTTGATGAACAAGGCCGTCATCTATTTCATTCAAAGGACACTCGTTTAGTCCTTGATCCTGATATACACTCACCAGCACGCATGAGTACATTTGTCGCATACATTTAGTGATCAAGAATGTGCATGAATCAATGCCCAGATTAGTCATTTATGCCACACACAGCATCTCTTCCAAAAGGATTATGGGAATCCAGCACCTTGTGTCATTAGGCATTTTAAGAACACTGATCTCTTTATTCCGCATTTGATTGTGTAGGCAAGGGCCTGTAGTTGGGGAGATTTAATCTGTTGCCAGGTGAGCTCACTACCCGAGGGGATCTTAATTTGGGAACCAAGCAGCTCCACGGCTTGAGATACAAACGCTTCTCTTGTGCTTACACACACTCCTCTCCTTTTATCCCATTCACGACATCCCGTGAAGGTAATGTTCATGTACGCTATGGTATTCATATGGTGCTGAATCTTCATAGGTAGGGTGTGTTCAAGTGCTATTGTCAAGGTGATTTCGTCGCTCTTTTTGCTCGTTGTTATGCCGCTCGCCACGTTTGGGTGCAACAGGTACATTCAAAACCCCCAATGGAGTAGAAGAGCTTGTTCCATTGACATGTTAGCTTGTATAGACGGCCGAGATTGGATCGCAAAGAGGTTGGCTTGTTTGGTTTTTGAGGCGTCTCGACTACACTGTACCATGGCTTCGGTTTCCAGCAACGCAACAACAAAGGTCTTTATGCATATGAAAAAGGCAAGTGCAGTGAACCAAGACAACGAAAAGGCGTATAGTGTAATGATGTATGATACTATTATTGAATAGGTTCTTGGTCAGGTAGTGCAACTTTGGGCATTATCTTCCGTTGGGTTCGACTCCCAGCCTGTACCTTTTGGCTTTTGGAGATTGTTGTCAATGCACATAGGTTGGTGGGCTATGTACTCCGTGTGGATTGGGAAATTGGGTAGGGTCATTCTTTCTTTGTTGGAGAGGATGAATGAGAGCAACTATGAACCCCTGGTCGCTATGGGAGGGATGGCATCGATGATGACTTGATTATGTGATTCCTGCAGAGTTGCGTTCTTTTAGTTATAGAGACGATGATGCCACCTATTATTACAAGACTCACAATGACACTGACAAGCTTGGTTTACCCTTCTCATGGCAAGATGATGTTGCTTGATGGATTCCTCATATCCCATTTTTCTATGTGTGCCTTGGATGGCAGTCATGACTACGGCGACTATGATGGATGAAGACGACCATGGCAAGGTAGCAAGAAGCATCGTTCTTCGGATAATTGCAATTATCTATGTAGTTTATTCCTTTCTTATTGTTGCTTGTGGATTATAGCTTAGATGATGGGATAATAAAAGTGGCTCTGTGATCGGTCTTGTAATAAGGATAAGCACTCCATTTTTCATCTGGATCAAGCACAATGATACAGTAACTTAATGATTGATGTGGGCAGCTGTTCCACTTGGATGATTTTAACAGCATTGTGTCTTGGTTGCAGGATAAAAGTAAAGACTTGGTTACATATAAAACAATGCATGGAATGAAACTTGGTAATGATGGCATCGATACCACGACAACATGGATTACATCACTAGGATCGTGAGTTTTCATTTCAATTTACGTACTTGATAGTGCGTTACAGTATCAGACATGCAAAGACAAGAATGTATGTTAATCAAAGAACATGGTTTATTAATGATTACGATATGTACTAGAATAAACAAGTAGCTGTTGGTTTCCTAAAGCCAAGGCTAAAGTACTCACAGGGATGACCAACGAGAAGGTCGCTACTCAATTATCCCCAACCTCTACCTGTAGGCACCAATTCCAGGTCGACGAGGCCGCTTGTACATGCCACTTTAAGGTGCCGGGACTTGACGCGCCAAAACCTCGTTTGGAAGAAACCATGCTTGTGTCTTTGAGATAGAGAAAAGTGTAGCATGTTTTTGGTGAGCGAGAGCAAATAGGTGAAAGAATACTTATCTTCCCTCCTAGTTTCCTTCCAATGAATCCTTTGGCATTACCCAAACAAGAGCCACTTGTTGGTATCTTTGGATAGCGGTCTTTTATTAGTGCACCCTGGACACTGCTACCGGTCTGCGTTTCGTCCTCGGCCAAACGCCCATACAACACGCCGACACGTAGTGGGCAGCCAGTTTACGAGGAATGGCCAACATCCTCGCTACCTCCGTATCAAGATCTGCTGGGATTCATGGAAGCCTTGTGTGGAAACCGGGCTGGTGAGGGGCGGCAAAGAGTTTCCAATGCACACCATTAGGTCCCCCAAGTCGCTGCAAACAAGGCACGGTGAGTATTACAAGCAACACAACGAAAAGATAGAAACAACTTACTTTGGCCAAAACATCGTGATAGTAGGAAAAGCACGCACGCCATGCGAGTCGATCGATTGAGTTGAGAGCAAAAAGGTGGAGGTTGCCAGGGTGATCCGCAGTAATTTGTCCCTCGTCGCGACGCAACTGAACTTGAAATTGAGGCGTCTCCATTGGCCGAATGCTTCCTAATGGCTAAGGCGCCAGACCTTTGAGCCGGGAGCTTCCATACAATACCACTTACCCCAAAGTCATAACGTGTTGCTCTTGTATGGCTATGATGAATATGGTTGCAGTAAAAGTATAGGGTATTCAGGAATAAAAACATCGTTAATATACATCATCATCGTGTACTGCTGCTGGTATTGTTGTTGATCCAGCATTATGTATGTGGCTCTCAAATAGCAATGCCATGCCCATCCAACGAATGCATCATGAATAAAGAGTGATTTGATCTCTGCTTAAAGCAACGTGAATTCTACATTACCAATCAAACACATACCCATACACTATAATGTTTTATTTCATTATGCATGCCCTCGTAACTTTCTAACCCGGCTGTGAAGGCATCAAGCATGGTCCGTGCGCGTCACTTTTTATGCAGCTCGACACTCCCGCAGAATCCAAATGCGATATGGAGCCATTATTGCCATACACAAACATTGACACACCTTCACTATTGGATGTTGTATACTTACTTACCTTCCTCAAGGCAATCATGATCATGATCCATGTGTGCAATAACCTGTCAAGGACGTTCGTGTGTAACTACCACGTGCCATTACACTCAGCAGCTCTTCATCTTTCTGTTCATGCAGCCGACACCATCCATTAGGAAAAAGTAACTCCATCACGCTTACAGCATAGGTAAAACATAAAGGTGTCTGTACCTCTAAACTATACAATCAAACATGAGGTCTTTGATATGTTAGTGATGCTCATGAATGCATAACAAATATATATATGATAAGGTGGCAAATTAGCTTCCATGGAAACCCATGTACTGACAAGGATGGCCACGCGAAGGCTTTGCCGTCACCCTCTCCCCTACGGTGCACCAAGCCGGATAACGGGGGCTGCCATTGTAAACAACAGCATCTTCTATAGGTGCTGCTCGAGCCAACATGTTCGGTCTGATAAAAGGATAGCATCCCACGCCCACAGAGGCCGACCCATAAGAGCGAAAAGCAATACATGATCCCATATCTACCACAAGGCCACTGAGTAGCAGTCTAACTTCCAACGGCTAAGGCAGTAATCCTCAAATGCAATTGATAGGGCCATGATAGGGCTGACCACACTGTCGCAAATGAATCATAGCTACCAACGATGCTTTACACAAAAGAGTATGTAAGGCACCATCCCGTTCTACCCATAGCAAATAAACATCCGCCATATCAGTAGTAGCTGCCATCAAGCGACCTTCTTGGGTAGGCGTCACGAGAGACGCATCATGCCCTGCAACAAATAAATCCGGTCTTGATGAAATAGCACACACGATGATATGCCCAAAGGTATCCGTACAGGTACTTGAAGAATGAGATCCACCATGGCACCGATAAAAACATTGCTCTGAAGATCCACCGATAAAGAGACGACTTGCAGGTAGCTGATTTCCAAAGCCATGGAAACGGTATCCTTGACAACCACAACTATAAGATAGAGATCGCTTGCTTGCTTCTGAGACACCCACCCAAATTCAAATGTTGATCTTCGTCTTCCACTCAATAGGATTCGCCATTGACAGCTGTAAGGAGAGACTTTGATGGCACCAAAGAGCATGCGAAATTATAGCTTGATGGAATGATGGGCCTATAAAACTGCATATCACTAATTTATCTTTGAGGTAATGGTAACAATACTTAGCCAGTGTCATATGAGAACCCACGATGTTTGACGCTACCCAGTAATCAGAACACATTTCCTTGCTGTAGAGATGTCGACACAGTGACCAATTCTGATAGCCGTTTCTCCAAACGATACTTGATGATGAATGCCATGAGAGATTGGATACACCTTGACAGCACCAAAAGGACACGTAACATTGTTGTTTGTTGCTGATGTGATACATCCATAAGATACGTGCGGTGAAGATGGCTCTTGAAATCAATTGGCCAATAACAAGAACACCAGAGGATCAAATAAATGTTGTTGACACTAAAGATGTGGGCTCTGTTGCTCATTGCTGCTTCTTGCTTGTAGCTGATATGATCCACCGATAACAGGCATGCGTAGCAGGATATCCATTGAAAGGGTTGACAACAACTAGGACCACAATAAGACAAGATAACACTTGGCGACACCAAAAGGTATAGAACTTGTTGCCTTGCCGCTGCAGATGCTTATAAAAGGAAGTGTCCAATAGGTGGTACAGTAACGAAAACCATCGAACGATGTAATAAGGCAAGCTGACACTGAAGGATGCTCTCGACGTTGCTCTTTGACCCTGACATGATTCACCTATGAAAGATCCACCGTAAACAGTTTCCCGAATCCATAGAACGATTTAGCAATGATAGCTGCATCCATGAATATTCCAAAGGACCAAAATACAAGTAGTTTGCTGAATAGCCCACATACTATAATAAAAGAGGGGGTTGGTTGAGATTGAAGCCAAAAAACGGGTCATCCACTATTTACCAATGAAAGCCATATGAATAAAACCCTGTCGACATCCAATGATAGCTGCATCGATCAAGAATCCAAAGGGAACAAGACAAGTAGCTCGCTGAATAACCCATATGAAAGAGGGTGTTAGTAAGCATTGAAAGAAAGAATGGATCATTATTCACCAATGACAGCTGCATCCATAGAAATCCCAATGCACCAGAAGACAAGTAGCTTGCTGAATATCCCACATACTATAATCAAAGAGGAGGTTGGCAGGCGTTGAAGAAGAGAACGGATCACTATTTACCAATGATAGATAGCCATATGCACGAAAACATGTCGACATCCAATGACAGCTGCATCCATAGCAATCCCAATGCACCAGAAGACATGCAGCTTGCTGAATAGTCCGCACACTATAATAAAAGAGAATGTTGGTAGGCATTGTAGAAAAGAACGGATCATCATTTACCAATGATAGCCATATGCACGCAATCCTGATGATATCCAAATCCAGCAGGTTCTTTGCAATCGTCCGCTTGTTGATAAGGCCCGATACGGTGGCACTCGGCTTGAAAGCGATGGAACGATACTTTATGGGCATATGCAGTGAGAAGGTTGAGTAATATTGATACCACCAAAGATAGCATACTTACATGATGCCGAAGAGCCCTTACAAAGAGAGACAACGAGACAACCCTTGCTGCCCAACACCACATGCAAATCGAGAAAGCATTGTGCATCGAAAAGCCCAAACCAGATCCTAGCTGCGGAGTGACGTACATATGGCTAAAGAGCGATGTGAATGGCAATCGTTTTTCATTGGAAATCGAATGCAGCTTGACGATGAATGCCTTGAGGAGATGCATAAATGACCTTGGTAACACCAAAGATGTCAACGCGGGCTCTCATTGCTTGTTGATGACATGATCCATCCATAAGACGCGTATGGTTGTAGAGATCCATCAAAGGAATCGCCAATAACCAGAACCACCAAGAGATAGAAAGCTTGCTGATATCAAAGATATACAAGTTGTTTCTTGCTGCTGATGTGATCAATCGATAAGAGACCTTCATTTCAGGATGCCCACCGAATTGCCGATAACGAGAAGAACCAGAAAGCTTGATATGACACCAACGATATGGATGTTGTTACTTGTTGCTGATACAATCCACTCACAAGAGACTTGCATTGGCGGACACTCTTCAGAGAAATCGCCCGTTGCTTGGTAACCAACCACCAGAAATGAAATAAAGATTGACGACACCAAGAGATAAATGCGGTTTTCCTCATGGCTGACATGATCCACCTATAAAAGATGCACCATAAACAATTGTCTAAACTCATCCAACAATACTTAGCAATCATAGCTGTGATCTTGTAAACTCCAAAGCACCAAAAGACAAGTACCTCTCTGCAATGGTCCCTCTAAATAATAATGGTAGGCGTTTCAGCAAAGGTCCCCAAAAAGCATGAGAGTCATACATACCTGAGCCATGGTGATCACAAGGAATTGCAACCAAATACACCATCCGAAGGCAATACAATAATCAACCTGCAGCGTCAAGGTATGCCACCATATGTACCATACTCTCATTGGATCCTGAAATTGGCATCATAAGAGATATCCACCTTCTCTCTGTAGGCAAGGAAATCAATAGCCGTACTTGGATGGAGGCCGTGTGCACAGCGGATGCCTTTTCAAATTGGCCTTGCCATCGCATCTTGAGTCACACTGTTTCCGGGCCAAAATTCCCCAGGAGAGCACAGTACTATACAATGACATCCTTGACATGCAGCCGTGATAATAATAGTATCGCCGAAAGAGGCTCTGCCACTGTAAGGCGTTTGGTAAGTCCACTTGAATCACACCAATCCCACAATGAACACTCTTACCTTGTGGTATTTCTCAATAGCATCATTGCCTCAAATGAAACCGTATCTCCATGTCATCCATATTATCTTGCTGTTGTTTCACTGTAAGTCTTGTTAATTAACAGGTTTCGCTTTGTAGATCCAATACCACGCATACCATTGAGCCAACGTACAGCGGTCTTGCTTTGATATCAATGTCTTGTTGCTGCCAGAGGTACCATCATCCAACGTGTCCAAGCTACAGTAAATGCAATGTAAGGTAACAACGATAGCATTCGCTTTTCATGTCGACATACCCAAAGTAACAATGTGTTGGGACGTCTCCTTGATGGCAACCATGAATAGAATACACACGACACACGACGACCCCTTTGAATCTCGTATGAACGCGAGAACAGCAAACTACACGTGAACTTTAGAACCACAATGCCCAACTTGAATAATAAAGGAATGCAGCGATGGAACGTACATGTTGTATTGCAATGGAAGCTTGAGTCATGGGCAGATCGCGCGCGTACTTGTTGTTGAATGTCTGCAACTGGACAGTGTCGCCATTGACCACATGTTCACCCCAATGGACGCTGTACATTGTAAGGAATGCCAACAATTAACGCGTTGTAGTTTGTAAATGGAGAAGCTTACCTTTTTTTGTGAAGTGGAAATGAAGAAGAGTGGCCTCTTTGTTCCTCGTGTTCTCTCCAATTCGTGCACTCCATGCCACCCCGCTTGCTACAGCTATTACTGTTTATACGTGCCCTCAACAATGTCCTATACTCTTAGCTCCATAAGAATGATCAATGCTCAAGAGTTCAATTGAGAACAGCCCTCGTAATAAAGCTATCAGGTCTGTGCGCATCACATCAATCGGTTACTTAATGCAACTCCACTACTGAACCAACTTGTGTAACCCATTTGTTTAACTCTACCAAACATATGATATCCGCGTATGTATCAACCTTATCTCGCTCTCCACCCTTCAAATTTGCTGCCTCCCTTTCAATGCAGAAAACAACCAAGTGATCCACCCCTTGCACATCTAAGCTGATCGTACGATACCCAAAGTATTATGTTGAATCCAACTTTCATTCAATAAAAAGTCGAAGAACACGTAGACACGGCATTGTGGACGATGTTTATCAAGTAGATACATGATACATAAGGCAACAATATAGCCAAATTGAATAGGGTACATATGGGCGAAACATATAGAGTCATTAGGGATAATTGTATCATCCTATACTTGATTGCTGTTGTCATGATCACCCTTCATCCATGATTGCAAAATAGGTGTTGTATGCTTTGGCTCGAGTATTATTCCAGTATCATCCATAGCTGTGAAACACCTCCTTTCGTCAAAGACACAAGCCCTCTCCTCAATTCCACCCGAACCATCCTCCTCCTCAGCCGTATGCATAGGGTATGATTCATCGTTCCTATTGATGACGCGCCAAGCAACCAAAGCAACATTCCAAGACTTCTCATCACTGCACTTGATCGTATCCTTCCTTCCATAACCATTGTAAACCCAATATTGCTGCCGATCCTTTTCGATCTGGCTGTTGGTCAATCCCTTTCTTGGTCATTTTCCATCACAGCTCAACCAGCTACATAAAGGTTACTTGTATTGTGGCGTAGTTGATGGCTGATAGCGTGTCATCCAAAATAGACATCACGTTCCAAATGGGCCAAGGGAACCAAACCAGACAACGTATACACTTCCATCCATCCCCATATAGCAAACCAATATTCAGATCCATATCCGTATCCACAAGAAGTCGTATGTATTGAACCAAGTTGCTACATGTAAATAAAGCTGCTTCTATATAATGGCAATCTGTTGTCCACGTGAACAAGACTGTAAGGCAAGTTGCTGCAACTAAAGAACGCTGTTTGAGACAATGGAGTAAAGCCCTTGCTCATAGCAATTGCTGGAATGAATGCTGTTACGATTGGTCGTGGTAGAGGAGTGTGCAAGAGAAGGTTTAGTGTCAAAGGACTCGTGTGTTGTAGAAGAGTGACAAGAGGGCAGGGCTGTGTACACGCCATGGATGCATGAACATTACCCTATACACACCATCCACCCACCCACACAACTCACCCATCATCCTCATGATAGACAATAGGTACACGTAAATAAAAGAAATGACCCTCACGTATAGCAAAAGGGTGTGTGTCATTTTACACTTTACATGATAATGATGATCCAACAACAGCCATTACCTTACTACCAGGTTAGCTCGAATCATGAAAGTTGAAGGATAGGCATGATGGGCTGGAGCAGGACAATCGTTCACATGCATTGTATTGGGCAACAAAGGTGAATGGGAGGAATGGGTTATTAGCTGGCATTTTAGGAACTACTCCTAAATAGTGTACAAGTATCATGCTTCGCCTGTGCTGACTGACTCAAGTTACACAACACGCCCCTCTGCATCTTTGGCACTATTATAGTCATACCACTTGACAATGAACAACGACCTCTTTCATATAGCATCACGCTTACAGCATATGTAAAACATAAAGGTGCCTGTATCTCTAAACTTTACAATGAAACGTGGGGGCTTTAATAGAACCATGTTGCTCGGCGGGGTGAAAGCGATCTTGTGTCAAACTATGAAGTTCATCGTGGCTAATCCCAGATTTCGCAATGTCGCCACCAGCCAAACTGGATCCCGGGGTCGACCCCTTGAACTTTTTTCGACGACCAAAAAAATATTTTTTGGGCTGTTTGCGACATTGAACGCGAAACTTTCACACAAGATGCTGTTGGCCAAGCCGAGTCCATTGCTCTATTCAAAACCCCACGTTTCATTGTAAAGTTTGGAGATACAGGCACCTTTATGTTTGTAAGCGTGATGCTATATGAGAAGTGGTCTTTGTTTAATGTACAGTAGCTGGACCCTGGCAGAGCAAAAGATGCAGAGGAACCTCTTTGTGTAACTTAGCTACTTTGCATGAATGGAAGGATGGAAGGATGATACTATATACTATTGACAATGGCCCATACATTGCAAGCTAACAGCAATTTTCTCACAATCGGCACTGTTGTCCCACTCTATGACATGTGAGCATTCTCCTCCTCCAGACATTCATTTCCATGATTCAATTATGTTGATGCGAGCTGATTTGGCTGAGCCACGGTCAAAGAGAGATTACATCAATCCATACATCAGCATACATTCGAATGTCTCAGCTCATTAATCCTTGTTCGACCGTAACTCAACCAAATCAGCTCGGATCAAGCTACTTGAATCATGGAACTGAATGTCTGGAGCAGGAGAATCGTCCATCTACAATAGAATGCACAAAAGTTGGGAATGCACAAAAAAGGCCATTAGCTGCCAATGTATGACATAAGAGTGAGGGTTGCGTACCTTTCATGCATTGTCCCTGAAGTCCTGACTTCTTAGCTGAGTTATCCAAAGAGTTCCTTCTGCATCTTTTGCTCTGCCAGGGTCTACCTACTTGACAATGAACAAAGACTACTCTTCATATAGCATCACGCGTACAAACATAAAGGTGCCTGTATCTCCAAACTTTACAATCAAACGTGGGGTCTTTAATAGAACAAAGCTGCTCGGCTGAGTGAAAGCGATCTTGTGTCAAACTATGAAGTCGATCGTGGTCGATCCCAGATTCACCCAATGTCGCCACCAGCCAAAGTGGATCGACCTCTTGAATTTTTTTCGACGACGACGAAAATATTTTTTGGCTGGTAGCGACGTTGGGTGAATCTGGGATCGGCCACGATCGACTTCATAGTTTGACACAAGATCGCTTTCACTCAGCCGAGCAGCTTTGTTCTATTAAAGACCCCACATTTGATTGTAAAGTTTAGAGATACGGGCACCTTTATGTTTTACATATGCTGTAAGCGTGATGGCATATGGAAAGTGGTCTTTGTTGATTGTCAAGTAACTAGATTCTGATAAAGCCAAGAGTTGCATGAGGGGCCACCTGAGCGGGATGTAAATTTGAGAGAAAGTGAGGTGCACAGGCCACGTTACGCATCGTCTATAGCTCACACTAGCAATTGTAAGATATTACAGGATGCTGTCATTCCCAAAGTGATGGTGTGAAATAAATCCCATAACGCCAAGTGAGAAAGCAACAAGGGTCATAGGAAAATACAATAGCCAAATGAATCCACTGCATGATGTGACATGTAGGTGGTGGTGGTGGTGTTCCTTATCAATGGGATCGCTACCATGCACGCGTCGTGATTGGTCGACAGCGATAGTAGGAACACCTTTTGTCAACAACGATGATCACCCTCGTATCCTAGTTTCCATATCTGATGACATTGCAACAACAACAAACAAGTGCTAAATATGGTAAAGGCATTCTATAAATTGGTTGAGAAGATCAAGTGACGTTTTGATTGTATGGTTGATACAAAAAGGAGGAGCAGGTTGCCTGCTATGAAATGGGTAAAATGTTCCTGAGGATAATATGGATCGCATCATCCACTCGTACCATAATTGAAGAAAGCCAAGAAAACGTGCAAGCAAATTGCGATGATAGGTAAAATGGCTGTGTTGCATTAATGAGCGTATCGTGTGCGTTGGTGGATGGAAGCATACATATACTTTAAGGTTCTACAGCCAAGAGGCAATCAATAGGGATATACGTAGAAGGTTTGTTGTCTTGTCAGGGTGCGCACACACGCAAAGCATTGTGATCTACAGTGCTTTAAACATAACCTTATATTGTTGTTATGCCTCTCCTAAATCAAAACCTTCCGGTGTTTCGATATGTCATCGGCGCCGTAACAATCGATGATCGCACCACCTTTTTCATCACATGCAAAGGGTTTTTGGGAATACTGTTACACACATTCCATGAATGGTTTGATACACCCATTGACAAGCAATCTTTAACGGGGATGGGATGGATACAGATAGTAGTAGGTATGATATTGTAAGCGGCTGAACATGCATTCTAATGCAAGGCGCTGATCCTGATCACATCTAACAGAGAGGCAGTATATTCCATTTCTCACCACCACGGCGGAAAAAAGGAGGATGAAAGCGGGTTGTTTCCCCCCTGTGTTTTGTATGTATCATTCAATGTCATGCGAGTATCATCGTACGCTTAAAACATCTATACGCGTATAGAATTCCATCATCTTGTTGAGTTTTTTAGGGTGCCACATGCGCAAAACCAGATGCATGCAGCTGTATGCATCCTTAGCAGTTATTAGGAGTAGTGGCCACCATGTAAGTTTTACTTGTTTTTGTGAGAGGATTGGGACGAAGAAGAAAAACCCGCACACACATGGTGTATGTATGCAGTGCATATCCATACAAGGATTAGCTGCTTGTTGTTATTATTAATAAGACTAATACGATCAGTTTGTTTGCTGACATGATCAAAAAAGTACAAGACGCTAATTATTGGGCATATGAATGATGCTGATAGGGTGGTGGTGGTGGTGCATGTTCCGGGAATGTGCATCATGTACAGCAAGGGGAGGAAGTGTGGCCTGCGCGTCGTCCAATGATGGCGGTATCATAATAATCTCTTACTGCTGCTGCAGCATGTTTGCCTTTTCGCGATAGCTATCCGTGCTGACATCTTCTCCCTCCCGCCGCTTGCCGTTTAAATCATGTTGATTGATCCTGAAATTATAGACACATGTGAAAGACTTGATATTTGGAGAAAATTGATCTCATGTTGAAGATAGCGTGATTGTCAATAAGCATCATCATCATGGTAATAATGCCAAGCGTAATTTTGTGTATGTATGAGTATGGGCATAATGAAGTAATACGTAGAGAAACACCATATCGGTACAAGACCTGCTTGTTAATGAAAGTGCACGGTATGTCAGGCAACAATAATACCACCGGATGGGAAAGTTTACCTTGCTGCAATGCAATTACCAGGGCTTTTTTGATCCTATCTCTGTAATCTTACCCTTTTAAGATTTTTCTCCACTTTCCACACCAGATTATTGCTTCATGCATGCTTTCCTCTCTCTCTCTCCTAAAGGCAAATTTTGTTTCCAATGCATACGCGACTAAACCCGTTTTACGCCTCTGAGTCTCTTTCTCTCCCTCTCCCTTTGTTCTCCCAACAACAACCATCCACATGCTGCTGATGCAATAACTCTATTAGTTTCGGAAGCCGGCTTTATTTAAGGGGGATGCTGAATAGGTTTGCATGAGCAGCAGCAACTCTCTCTCTCTCTCTCTCTTTCACTTTTTTCTTCTTCTTTCCCTCTCTCCTTGTACATTCTCTTTCTATCCATCACCATCAGCAGTAGCAACAACAACAAGAACAAGAAGACCATACGCTTTATCCACTCATTAGAATGACTGAGAAACCTACTACTGAGAATGTAAAGACGCTGACAGTGGAGGAGCTCTATGATAAGGACAAATTTGATCTATCGACCATGGGAACGGATGATGTCTTGCAGCTGTTGCAGTAACGTATCTTCATTTCTCAAAAGCCCCTCTTTTCTTCCAAAGCTGATCCTTTCTTGCATTCACACAGGACACAACCTGAAGGTCTCACGTCATCTGAAGCGGCACAACGTATTGAAAAGTTTGGTCCCAACAAGCTTGAACAAAAAGAAGTCAATCCGTTCTTGCAATTCCTTGGGTTCATGTGGAATCCCTTGTCGTGGGTGATGGAAGCAGCAGCCATTGTGTCGATTGCATTGGCGAATGGTGGTGGACGACCTCCTGATTATCCAGACTTTATCGGCATTGTGTTGCTGTTGCTTGCCAACTCGTTGATTGGGTTTTATGAGGAGAGACAAGCTGGCAATGCTGTCAAGGCCCTGATGGAATCATTGGCACCCGAATGCAAGGTCCGACGTGATGGTGAATGGCACAACATGGAAGCTGCAGAGTTGGTACCTGGTGACATTATCAGTATCAAGCTGGGTGATGTCGTTCCTGCCGATGGTCGTCTCTTAACGGTATGTATTGCATGCATAAAGATCCTCATGTACATAAAGTAGACTCATCCTTTCTAATAGGCTCATGGTCAAGTGTCGATTGATCAAGCTGCTCTTACGGGTGAATCGTTACCCGTTGGCAAAGAAGCTGGAGATGAGATCTTTTCAGGATCCACAGTCAAGCAAGGTGAAGCTGAAGCCATCGTTATTGGTACCGGTCTCAACACGTTCTTTGGAAGAGCTGCCAAGCTTGTGGGTGATGCAGGCGATGACATTGGCCATTTACAAACCATCCTTGCCAAGATTGGTAACTTTTGCCTTGTATCCATTGGTATCTTTGTCGTGGTCGAGATCCTTGTCATGTATGCTGCCTTCCGTTACGAATATCGACGTGGTATTGATAACTTGCTGGTGTTGCTTATTGGTGGTATTCCCATTGCAATGTAAGGAGATGATTCATGCACCTTCTTCTTGCCGGTCATCATGTGATGCTAACCTTGTATGGTATAGGCCCACTGTATTATCTGTCACCTTGGCTATTGGTGCCAAGCAATTGGCTGAACACAAGGCAATTGTCACTCGCATCACCGCCATCGAAGAAATGGCAGCCGTTACCATTCTATGCTCTGATAAGACCGGCACCCTTACGCTCAACAAGCTCATTGTCGACAAGCCTACCATCAAGACCTATGCTGAGTTTGATGGCGACGATATCATTCGGTTGTCAGCCTATGCCTCGCGTACCGAGAATCAAGATGCTATCGATTTTTGCATTGTCAACTCGCTCCCTGATCCTGTATTGGCTCGTGATGGTATTGAAGAACTCGAATTCAAGCCCTTCAACCCTGTTGTCAAGCGTACCGAAATCACCTATCGACGCGTGGAGGATGGTGCCGTGTTACGAGTAACCAAGGGCATGTCACATACCATTCTTGATTTGTGCACTCGTGACAAGACCGAAGAACAAATCAAGGCACTCAATGAAGGGGTTGATGAATTTGCTCGTCGTGGTCTTCGTGCATTGGCTGTGGCAGTGGATGAAGTACCTTCCAAACATGTCGAAGGTGAAGGCTTGGGTTTCCGTTTGGTTGGCTTGCTACCCATTTACGATCCACCTCGTTCGGATACAAAAGAAACCATTGATCGCTCCATTGCTCTTGGTGTACAAGTAAAGATGATTACGGGTGATCAGCTTGCTATTGCCAAGGAAACGGGTCGTCGTCTAGGCATGGGTGACAACATGTTCTTATCCAAGGCACTCAAAGATGGCCCACCTGCAGGATCAGGTTACCAAAGCATTGATGACATGGTGTTACAAGCGGATGGCTTTGCTGGTGTCTATCCAGAGCACAAGTATGAGATTGTTGAACGATTGCAAGCCATGGGTCACATGACCGCTATGACGGGTGATGGTGTTAATGATGCCCCTGCTCTTTCCAAGGCCAATGTGGGTGTTGCTGTAGCTGATGCTTCTGATGCTGCACGTTCGGCTGCCGATATTGTATTGACCGAGCCTGGTTTATCCGTGATTGTTGAAGCCATTATTGGATCACGCCAAATTTTCCAACGTATGCGAAATTACGCCATTTATGCATGCTCCATCACCATTCGTGTGGTGGTTGGCTTTGCGGTCTTGTGTTTTGCCTTTGAGCATGATTTTCCTCCTTTCCCAGTGCTGATCATCGCCGTGCTCAACGATGGTACTATCATGACCATTTCCACCGATCGTGTCAAGCCTTCACCTTACCCAGATCAATGGAATTTACGTGAGATCTTTACCTATGCCGTTGTCTATGGATTGTATCAAGCCGCTTCCACACTTGTCTTTGCATCGGTCATTTATCATACCACCTTCTTCCACGACAAGTTTGGTGTTGAGCTACCAGCTGATCGTAACGACCATGTTTATCACTCGATCATTTATTTACAAGTATCGGTCATGTCACAAGCACTGATTTTTATTACTCGATCACGAAGCTGGTTCTTTATGGAGCGTCCTTCAGTCTACTTGATGTGTGCCTTTGTTGTCGCCCAATTGGTTGCCACTTTTATTGCCGTATACGCTGATTGGGGCTTCACATACATGCGTGGCTGTGGATGGGATTGGGCTGGTATTGTATGGATTTGGAACATTTGCTGGTTCTTGCCCATGGATTTCTGCAAATTCGCCATGCAATTCCTCTTCACGCCAAAGAACACGCTTGCAGAAAACAAGACACCTATGGCGGGTGGTCTTGATTCACGTCGTGCATCCATCATTTCCACTACGTCATCCGCTCGTTACTATGCCAACCGTACTCGATCCCTCCGATCCCTTGAACAACCTCGTAACTTTGGCAAGCGTCTTTTGAACATGAATAAGAAGATGAGCATGGATAAAAAGGAAATGCATCGCTTTTCGCTTGTTCAGGTAAGCTTCCCCCACGTCTATTTTTGATCGTCAAGATAACTCATCTCATGTACAATGCTTCTTTAGGCTAACCAAGCAGCTCAAGTACTTGGAAGCGGTAGTGGTAGCAGCAACAACAACCGATATTAGATATATCCAACATGTGATTTGTAATTGTAAACCCGCATTGTATTATCATACACTTACTTTTTCGTTTGATCGAATATACAAGTTTTAGTCGATGTTTTTCAACAAAGTATCTCCTCCCGATTTCTATATTTCTGCAGTCCTTCATTATCCAGTGTACAATATTTATGCGTAATGTGGAACATGAAAAAGTACTACGTTGTGTTACATGCCAGCCGTCGGGATTGCCGTTGTAAAAAGCTGCACGAAAGCTTGTTTAAACATAGAAACGGGACAGTATAAGGTAAAGGCGGGTTAATCGCCATGGGCGCACTGTCACCGTGCAGCGTGTTTCACAAACCTTTTTTTGATCCGATTACGGTTAATGTGGTTTTCGTGTACAACGCTTGTGCAAAAAAGAGGTCCCTAAATTACTTTTACAACATTTGGTAAATGAACATCATGTTAAAGTAAGTAAGCATGTCCTTTATTTAGCATGTCTAGAGGTGGGGGATAGATGATGATGATGAGGAGGATGAACGACATGTACATTCACATAGTAATAAGCTCTTTCCTTGAGAAGGGAAAAAGAACAACATAATTGAAATAATGCACTAGATAACTGTTTTTCTTTCTTTTTTATCAAAACTATTGACAAAGAGGAGTGAGGGAAGGAGAACCAACACTAGTCAGGGTGGTTTGTATACACATTAGGGCAGGTATCATATATAAAAAACTCCGGCAAGTGCAAATGAGACGGCAATGAGACAAGGGATGTGACGTTTACGAGTGAAGAAGAGAGGTGAAAAAGGGGGGCTGTGGTTTTGGCATAGGTAGAAAAATATATGTATAAGAACGACGACAAAGAACAATAGCGAGAGAGAGACATTTGGAATGAGTAGGATGAAAAAAGAGATAGAGAATATGTGAATAAGAATGGTGTGAGAGTGATGATGATATGTATAATAAATGTGATAAGAATAATGGAAGAAGGGGGGGTAGCCTAGCACCATTAGCATGATGATGATGGCTGGTGGTGAGGAGAGGATGCTAATGAAGATGCTGGAGTGGGAGGTTGATGGTGGTGATGATGGTGTGCTAATTGTTCTTCACCAGAGAGCATGGATCGTAAAAGAGCACATCGTCGTTCGAGAATCACGAGGAAACTTTGCATTTGTTCAGGATTCATACGATCCAAGAGCTCCCTGAAACGTGAATCGGTGTTGTCATCATCCTCTGAAGGCAAAAGTGGGCGACGTCGTTTGCATTGCTGTTGCTGTTGTTGTTGCATCGCATCCAAAGGTCGGCTCTTGTTGTGATGTTTCTGATAAAGGCCACAGGCATTGCAAACGGATTCACCTAGCTCATTTTTCCGCCAAAGAGGTGTGGTCGTTTGATAGCAATTGGCACATTGTTGGCTATTCTCTTGCTGTAAAAACTTTTGCAATAGGCCAAAGTCATTGTCATCTTGCTTTTTGTGGATGTTGGCATCACCATGGGAACGTTTCTTGGATCCTGTGGAAGAAGCTGCTCCTGCTGATGATGACGACTGCTTTTGGCGGATATGCAATGGACGATGATTGCCATATTGTTTGTAATAGAGACCACAAGCGTTGCACAATGAATGAGCACGGTCGGGTGTGCGACGCCACAAAGGGGTTTTCGTGACATGGCAATTGTAACATTCAAGCTGTCGTGGTGTGCGTGAATTCTTTGGTTTTTCCTGTTGTTGGTGTTGTTGATGAGTAGTAGGTGTTGTGGCAGTAGCTGTGGCGCTTGATGCCAATGGTGGAGGGGTTGATTCAAAAGTAGAAGGGGTAGTGTTGATAGCACTAGATGACGGAGGTAACAGTGGCGGCGTGGCAGGTACCATCATTGCCATGTCGTCAAAATAGGGCGTTGTCGACATGGGTTGAGCAACAACAGGCGAATGTGCAAGCTCTTCAGTTGGTTGGTAAAGTGCAGTGATCGACTGCAACACCGACATGGGCAAATTTTGGAACGCATTTGGGTCGAAAAACATTGACGTGTTAGGGCTACTACCGCTGTCAATGGATGAGGCGTTTGATGATGTAGGTGAAGGGAAGCTGAATGTTTGTGTACAATCTTCAGATGGCGAAGGCAACTGGTGTTGCAATAAACTCATCTTGTCTGCATGCACATAATCGATAGGTGTTGTAGACATTGTGTATAGGTGAGTGTGTGTGTGGAAAGAGAGAGAGAGAGAGAAGAAATAAGGAAAAGTGAGAGAAGAAAGTCGTCCAAAAAAGAAACTGTGAAAAGGGATGCAAACTCGGCTGCTTTATATAAACGATGGAGAAACCATTAGAGGACAAACACAGTAGCAGCACAGGCAAATGCACGCAACATACACATAAACACTGGAGGTGATTTCCATAATGAGTCAAGCTCTTGCATCCCCAATAAAGAAGGTTGCGAAAAGAAATCGGGTAATGTCAATCTGGCCTTTTCCCTGCGAGAGTAAAATGGACATCATCTCGATTCTAGTGCTTGTTTTCCCCCTTTTCGCTCCTCTACAGCAACCCCTTTCTTACCTGCAGCAGTAGTCAAAATAGCAAAAAGAGTGAAAAAGTCTGTCTGTAATAAACAACTGCCCTCGACTCCTTTGCCGAATGTAAATCATGAGGCATAAAGTAAAAAAATATAGCGTGTGTATAAATTATCCACGCGGCAAAAAGTTGTGGTACACCCTAAACAATGCTTTTTTGCTTGTGCACGCATACACGGCACACGCACACATAGTCACTCAGCAAGAGACTGATGCCTGGGATTAAGATAAAAAGAATCTTATCGAGCCAATCATTCTCATTGCAGTAATCGAGCCCCAAAGTGTTCAAGGCGGTGTTCAGCTTGCCATCTTTGTCCGATCGTCCCATCCTCCTCTTTTCATTGGCTCGAGATTATAGCCATCCCTTGGTTGATATAACATCTTTATAAAAAGAATTGTAAAGAAAAACCAAAGCGCCTTCCTCCAATAGCAATGCACACCTGCTTCCCTTACTCTCCCTCTTCCGATGTTGCTTGTTTCACCCCCGACAACGGCACACAGGACATAACAGGTGAATGTGCCGTGCTGTTGTTGGATGATTTGCCCAATGATTGGTCACACACAGCCACCTCCATTGCAAATGATAAAAGGTGTAAAGGGGAGGAGCATGATGATATGATGCGTAGTGGGGCGTTTAAAGGGCTCCTCATTCTATTCCCCTCTCGGGTCGGGTTTAATGTACAATAAAAGCATATATATATTTTTGCTTTACAATAAAAAAGAAGCAGCCAACAATGGGTCACCCCGCTTGCACCCGCCCCTCCCGCCCCACACACAAAGCACCACGAATGTTACTATGGTGACCAAACTCTAATTTGTTTATTTGTGGGTCAAATGACTGATGATCCCCCTCTCGTTCCCATTTTCCCGGCTCTTTACATTATACAATAGCATTATTTATATTGTCCTAATTCATGCTTTTTTTTTGTTCTGCTTCATATCCCCCATTTGCAAATCATATTCCTCCCCCTGAAACACTTGTCCTAGCATTGGATCTGCTCCATTACGCGTTTTGGATGTATTTTCCATGTCCCTTCTCAAGTTTAAATCACCCCCTCCACAAAGTGATCGGCATTCTCCATAAAAAACATTGGCATGTTTTATAATGCGATTTGACGCTGTAAATAATGCCGCTTATCATGCTCTTTCTCCGATGCTGCTTGCTGTGTACCTATTCCCTTTTCCATTCACGTTTCATCAGCCCATATGCAACAAAGCACCCCCGATGCATCCATTGACACGCATGTAATGCAATAACAAAGACACACATGTATGCAACCAATACTATTTGACGTGTGCATACATCCTCGAGTGTGTACAAACACGTTTCAACAGGACCATGTCAATCGTATGTAACTACCAGGGATAAGACCATATAGCTTGTAACAGCAGCAACAACAACCACTTTAAGTGCATGTTTATTTGTTCTTCTTGAATGTGGTGTAAGAATTCTTGCATGAAGCTCAGAAAAATCCGTGACGTGCGCTTACGTCTTCATTTGTGTGATGATGGAGGAGGAAGAGAAGGATTGGGGAATTGCCGAAAGAATCGTGTAATGCCACCCATGGCTTTGCCAAACTTGTCGTATCGTTCCACGCGATCGCCGATCCATTTCGGTAGCTTGTTTGAAATGCGTGGGGTCGTATAGCGTTGATCCAAGAGAATGATTGTGGCATAATCATTCTTGTGTCGAATGGCACGACCTAAAAGCAAAATGCATGATGAGCGCCTCATTGTTCGGCTTTAGCCTCTCGTCCCCCCCCCCAATCCCCCAATCGTTGAATTAAGTTCTTTGTGTGATGTACCACTTACCGATGGACTGGTTCACGCCACGCATACACATATTCTCATAATACTCTTTCCCGGCATCAGCCGAGGAAGAAAATGTCTCGCCTTTCTGACGGGCATACTTGATTTTCTCTTGAAGCTCTGCTGAACCAGCATTGGCAAATGGCAAGCCAACCATGATCACACCTCTAAAAACCAAATCCATCAATCAACCAATCCAATGACATAATAAAGGAGGGGGATGTCCCTTCCTTCCTTCCTTCCTTACCTGCCAAGTCGATCTGAAAAGTTGATGCCTTCGGACATTTTGCCATTCACGACACAGAGTAACAAGGCGCCGCCAATCTTTAAAAGGTGCCATGTGAACACAATGTGACCTCACCCCATTCACCTGTCCCACTTGGTACCTGATCTATTTGCATTGCATATTCGCGCAACACAACTTCTACTTGATTACTTTCTCGAGGCTCCTTGAACACCTGCGATCCATAACCTTGGGTCAGCCTACGACTACCACAACTCCTTCTAAGAATCTCCTTGGTTGTTTCATTTACCTTTTTCTTTTTTGAAAGCCGTTCCAAGATGTCCCTGTCAGCCCAGCGTCTGTAGACTTGCTCCAGGTATGTAAAACTCGGGAAAAAGCATACCACACCGTCGGGGATAACATTGTTCAAGTTGACAAGCGCCAATCCAAGTTCGTCCATCTAAAAAAAAAAGAGAACCCTTCATGAATCCCATCCTTTTATCCGCATATGGTTAATATCACTTTCTCTCTACTTACCAGCCTTTCATCCTTACGACTTTCGAAATTGAAAATAAATGGTTTGCCAGCAGGTCCAAGATCAATTGTCATGACTGCCATTTGATTCGATGGTATGATATGGCCACATGAAAGATGACGGATACGTTCAGCAGGCACGCCATTGAATAGGAAGCTGGTAAAATCTGACACCTAATCCATGCATGCATTATTGATCAATGTAACCCATCTCCGTTGCAGTAGTATATTTACCGGCTCCATAGTACCACCCGCTAAAATGATACTTTTGGCATCTCGTACAATCGGCTCAAAAACGTCAGCTGGATTCAGGAGCATGTACTTGACTTGTGGACTGCCATCACCAAATGTAAGCACAATACGCCCATCCTTATCCGGATTGGTAAGTGTCAAAATAAATGCTTCGATTTGCGTCAGGGTTGGTACAACCGATGATGTTGGGGTATCCTTTTCACGTTGTTGTTGTTGTTGTTGCTGCTGCTGCTGTTGCTCCTTGTCGATAAATCCATTCAACTTTTGCGCCAAACGACTCTCTTTGAGATACTTTTCAATCTTGAACATGTTCATGTGATCAATACTGAGTAAATGAACAAATTCATTGACACCAAGTACGCGATCCTTCTTTTGGTCTGGTTTGGGTTGCAAGACACGAATCAGTGCTTTGACAATTGCCATGACCTGCTTGATATAGGCAACATTCTTCCCAAGCAAACGGGCTCGATAGCGTTGCATGTACATGGTCAGCTGCGAAAGGGCTGTGCGTATTTGATTGAGCGTCAACGCCACAGTGTGAATGGCTGTCACCGTTTCGATCACGTTGTGGGCTTCGTCGATAATCACAATGCTGTCCTTTAGCGAGATACCAAGTGATTCGCGCGTACTGGCATGTAAAAGATGTTGATAGGGCAAGACGACGAGCTATTTTTACAATGTGTGAGCTTATTTGGCATGAATGAGAAAACGTTGAATTAAATGTGTATTACCTCGGCTGGACGAAGACTATGGCGTGACCCATAATAAGGACAAGTACCCATTTGTTCACCCATCTTGACTAAATCCTCAATATCCCGAACGTGTGCCTATGATCCAATCCTAGTTAGTAGGGGTGGTTTTATATATAGACATTTATACATACAAGTGCATGATCTCGAAATTCATCCCAATGGAACTTGTCAGTTTTTGGCAGCAAATGAGGACATCGTGCTGTGTCCGTGTCTGTAAATAGAATGCCGTTAATTTCCTGCAGCAATCAACCTTTTAATATAACTTACTCTTCTTTTGTAAATCCAAACATGCGTCATTGATCCGTTGTACGCTTTTCAACTTTCGGATGTCCTTGTGGATGCACATGTTTTTGCGTGATCCTAGCGAGATGCTCCAGAGATCATCGGCGTACGACGTCTTGTGGACTTCACGTACAAATTGGGATAGCTGAGAATGGGTTCTTGAAGCATAATAGATCTATTATGCAAAACGCTTAGTGTCAAGGTTGCATGATGTCATGGGGTTTTCCCGTACCTTGATCGGTCCAAAGTCCTCATCTTCTACTGGATCATCTTGTGTCGTTTGATTCTTGCCTTCCTCCATCCTATATACGTAATCAATTTCCATGTACTTTAGCCCAGCTCATCGAAAACTTACTTTGCAAGTAGCTCACGCACTTCTTTTGAGAGATTGCTGTTGTCATCCTTCATCGACGCTTGCTCTTGGTCGCTTTCATATTCATCCAGTAAAAACTCATCATCATCGTCGTCACCCTTCTTTGATGTTGAGGATGCCTATGTCCATTATGAGAGAGCTGTATCATGAAGATCATTTCATTATGCCACTTGCCTTACGTTGACGTTTCCTTGCCAATTCTTGGGCTGATGACGATGATTGATTCACCTTGGCACCTTGTCGAATACGTCGAATGCGTTCACGTAATGCTTGTCGCCGTTCCTTTATCAGTTCTTGCTGTCGCTGCTCCACTCTATTGGTCACTTGGAATTGGCGCAGCCAGTCTGGTTCATCGCTATCAACATCCTCATTGACTATACAGTGTTGTCAGAGATACGGTGTGGTATGGTGAGCGTAAGGGGTGGATGGTACCTTCTTTTGCCACGGGTTGTTGAGCACCTTGAGACTCTTGATCTTTTAGCCATCGTAGCGATCCACATATCAAGCTAAGCGATTTGCCCTGCATTACGTTGTGAGTCTTCAAGGTTGATCGATCGAGGGGTAGATCTCGAACGTACCGTGCCTGTGGGACTTTCAAAGATGCCGATTTTGCCTGCTGAGAGGGTCTCGTATAGAGCAGCCATGAATTCATTCTGAATGGGGTACGGCGTGTAGGGGAACTGGAAATCAAGAGGCTCCATGGTCAAGACAAAGAGGTGTGTGTATATGTCAGCTTGCCGCACCGCACCTCTTTTCCCGTCAAATAATGCACGCAAGTCCTTTTGTGTTACACCATTGCCATCCATGCCTGGTATCCACTGTTTTATGTAGTATCATTTCCTTTCAGGTTACGGGCCATAATAAACGTAGCTTTGCATAAAATCATATTTTGCTGTTACTCCTTGCTCACGTGATCAGCTTTCTATGCATTATACTATAGTCGTTTTATATCAAGCAGATGTTTTGAGCAAGCGACGTGGTCTTGGTCATCGTAGAATATAGATTAGAATGACCCTTTTCATTATGCTCTAAAAGTTCATCATCATGTGTCCGCACAAGAGGCAATGTTCATAGGATTTAGGTTATGTCTCGAGGGTAGATGAGACGATCCTTCCAAGTAGTAGTGTGTAATGCATCCATTTCCTATATCCATCATCATGCCAACATTCGATTTGATATGCACTTTTACTGTACAGGCTATTAGCTTGTCTTTATGTATACATCAGTATATCCAGTAAAGCACGTGTCAATCTCGCGTCTAGTATTTTGTGATGCCGCCCATGTAGCATAAGAAACCCTTTACTTTGAGGCGGAGAGTTGGGGGGGGGGTTGTATCTTGGTATCTGCACACACACACCCACACGTACAGCGGGCTCTTTTTCTTTTTTTACTATTACTACTGCTACTACTGCTACCACTGTTCTCTCGATATGGCTACCGCTAAAAGTGCATCTTATGACTATTTAATTAAGCTTCTCTTGATTGGCGATTCCGGTAAGGAGAACAAGGGACTCTTTTTGAGATGACGGTTATGCTAACACCCCCAGCTTAGGTGTTGGAAAAAGCTGCTTGTTGCTTCGTTTCTCTGACGACTCATTCACCCCATCCTTTATCACGACCATTGGTATCGACTTTAAAATCCGTACTATCGAGTTGGATGGCAAACGCATCAAGTTGCAAATTTGGGATACTGCCGGTCAGGAACGCTTCCGCACTATCACTACGGGTGAGTACCCAAAAAGGGCGTTCAAGGTGGGATACAAGTTTCTTACGTGTTCTATTAGCCTATTATCGTGGTGCTATGGGTATCTTGTTGGTGTATGATGTTACCGATGAACGATCCTTTGGAAGTAATGTATCACATCCATCCTTCTTCCCCTTGTACGCCACCCCTGTCACTGGGATCTAACATTGAAACACTTGGTTAGACGTGAGAAACTGGTTCTCCAATATTGAACAACATGCAAGCGAAGGTGTCAACAAGATCCTTATTGGAAACAAGTGTGATATGGAGGAAAAGCGGGTATGCATTGGAAATAGGGTCAGCATAAGGATGATGGCGACTCAATGGCTATATACGTAGGTGATCACCGCCGAGCAAGGTCAAGAGCTTGCCAATGAATTAGGTATTCGCTTCATGGAAACCAGTGCAAAGGCCAATATTGGTGTAGAAGAGGCATTCTTTGATTTGGCAAGGTAAGTAAAAAAGGGGAGGGGAGTCAAAGATAGGATGGCTAGTAGTGATCTAAATGACCTTGTCTCGGTTGCCAGGGATATCAAAAAGAGATTGATCGACACTCAACAAGCTCAGCAAACTCGCCAAAGAGAAGAGGTTAGATTGGACGCTACGACACCTTCAAAGAGTGGCTCCTCGTCAGGCCCTACCTGCTGCCAATAAAGCATCGTTTCCCCTTATGGATACCAATACCATCCTTTTCTTCAACCACCCATGCAGCACAAGACGCACAGACGGTGCACGCACAACATATATATACATATATTATCTCCCTTACACAAAACATATGAAACATCTCGAGACAATAATGCCATGGATTCAATTTATGCGTAAACAAAGATCTTTTTTGTACTACTTTGGGGCTGTGAAAAGTGGAAGGTGGAAGGTATATCGTCGTGATGGTCTTCAGCACCATGACATCCATGAAGTCATCCTCGATCTCTTCTCAGGATGATCGTTCTTCACCCTTTGTTATGTAATTCGTTCATTCAACGTCTTTTCTACCATATCGCACACCAAGCCATATAGAATACGGAGCGGAAGGAAGGTAACTGCTCTTGGTGATTAGGATCGATAGCAATGTATATCCTCGTCAATCATGTCCATAAGCAAAGGAGTCATTTTTAAATCTTAAAATGGATGTGTGAGATGATGAAAGCGTATACAAAAGATTCCTCGACTTACGTCTTTGTACATAACCACGCATGATGTATTCATACAAGTGGGAGTGCACCCCATTTTATCTTGATCCTTCTGTACCTCGTGTTGGTGATGATGCCGACAATTTGACCAGCAATGTAATTGAATCTTTTCAAGAACAATACATGACGTTCATCCTGATCCATATCGTCAAGTGTATCAAGGATGTCATTGATCCTATGTTGCCGGTATCCTTGATTATTGGATCCAAGGCGGTGCCGTACACCTTACTTAGTACTATTCTTACTGCTGGAAGTCTGCCACCTCTACCATCCTTGTCTCTCTGCAGTAGGAGGTCACATGCTTGTAAAGACAATGTTGGCTTGTAGGTCAATCGCTTCTACTTTAGCTCTTGTACCACATAGACACCTCCCAACTGGTCCCATATGTCATCCTCAAAAAGATCCCAAGGATCTACATAGGACCTTGTTGCCTGTATCATTGGGACTGCGAATAAATGAGAGGAATCGACTAATAGAGAACAACATAATTTAGAGCGCTATCCCATCGTATACTGAATGTTGTACTCACTGCTCTTTTTGACTGTAAGCGCCTTGTCGTATTCGTATAAAGCATCTTCCACGCAGTTGCTAGTTTCAAGTTTCAAGCTTCCATTTCTAATCATCATGCTCTTGGTAGCCCTCTCGCTTGGAAACCATTATATCACCCCCATGCGGGCTGTACAATATGCCACCTAATCCAACTTTTTCAAGTGCATTTCGCGAAGTAGCTACATCAAAAGGGACACGGTATGTATATGAATACATGCTTCATCAAGCGAGATGATTAGGTTTTACCTTAATAAAGAGCCAAGCATCACAATGACAACAAGGAAAATGAAAGAACTAGGATAACAATCAAACCTTAGCGATCATTACGAGCACGTATTAGCACATAAATCGCTTACAAGAGAACTCCCATTCATGATACTTACAAGGGCTATTGATGGTGACAGCAAACAAAGGGTGATGTGATGGAAGAAAGAGATGTGTACGGGGGACAACATCTTGTTTATATCATTACGCAAGGTGGGCGTGGGTATTTAATCAATATGAAAAATGTTTATTGGATAGATGGTTGGGTCGCCAGAACAAAGAGTGATTGATTGTTGTCATTGCATTAAAGGGAAGTAGAATTTTCTCACGTGACACATCTGACTTTGAATCGGTGGCGGTTGGGTGGGTGGAGAATGGATGAGGGTAGGAGTGGTAATAAGGAAGGTGTATGCGATGGCAAGGTTAGGCTCCCTCCTTTCATCCTTGTCGAATCATGGCTGCTGAAAACTCTCGGTATGGATTTATTAACGATGGATGGATGTATGAATAGAATGGATGGATGGATTGATTGATACGATCGATATACGATGATATAGTCTGTACGCCAAGGGCCGTGTCTTGGGTTTCGCCCGTTCCAAGCACAACCAGTACCCCAACATTTCTCTCCTCAAGATTGAAGGTGTTCAGACCACTGACGATGCTCGCTTCTATCTCGGCAAGCGTGTTGCTTACGTCTACCACGCCAAGAGAGAAAAGAACGGTAGCAAGCTCCGTGTCATCTGGGGTCGCATTGCTCGTGTCCACGGTACCAACGGTGTCGTTCGTGCTCGTTTCCGCAACAACTTGCCTCCCAAGACTTTTGGCGCTGCTGTCCGCATCGTAAGTGTCATTGTTGTGTATATACAAAAATAGGGACATTGGGTTACTCATGGCTATGTTTTTTCCCTCCATTTTAGATGCTCTACCCCTCCAACATTTAAGTATGTTTTGGAATAAACAACCAGCACCAACAACCACTATCGACGCATACATTGTTTCATGTTGTATATATTTTGTATATTGGAAAAAAGGGGGTATTGGGGGAAAATGACATCGTTGGAACTACTACTGCTACTACGATTACAATGGTACTTGACACACCGTTTCATTGATACGATCTCTAAGAGCTTCGACTGCACCTGCCTTTTGTTCCAAGATCTCATCCAATTCATGCAAATAACTTTTGAATTGCATATTGCTTTCAGGTGTCGTTTCTTCTTGACTTGAAAGTTCCAATGCCATCTTTCCAACAAGCTTAGTCTCCAGTTTGGTGCATTCAGTGACTTGTCGTAATTGAGCTCGATGAAGGTTGAGAATAGTTTCCATTTGTGCAAAGTCAAAAGGTGATGAGGATGATGAACAAGAACCACCACTCGAAGAAGAAGTCGCTGCTGTTTTACTGCTGGTACTCCATGGATGATGGAGATGATCATCGTCATATGGCTTTTGTTGTGAGATGGAGGATTGTAGTAAGGAATAGCTGCTGGAATTAAGCAAAGCATCTTGCTCATGTGGAAAGTCAACGTTAAAGATATCATCGTCGGCATCGAATTCTTCGTCATCAAGTATATCCGATTCGTTGCTCAAGTAATAATCGTCGTCTTCAAATTCATTGTCACTGGAGGTGGTCGTGCTGGGCGTTGTGTTGGTGGTGGCGGTGGGGATGGCGGAAGTAGTAGTCGTGTTGGTGGGGATAGTGGGGATGGCCTGATGTTTACCATTGCTTCGAAGAGCTTGTCGTTCTCGTTCACCTTTGAGTTCTTTCACACTACAAGTAAATAAACCTACTTGTTAGTAATGTTACCTTGCTTTGATAATATCCAACATACCGATCAGCATATCGTAATGTGTTTAGCGTATGCTCACTACTGCCACCACCAGGAGATATGGTTGCAATCATACATGTACGGGAGTTGCCAACAAACGAGTCTTTCAAAACCTATATTTCTCTTATCAATAAATGATATCAAAGATCCCTCCCATCCAACCCAATATTACCTGAGTAAGTTTGCTTTGTCGGAAAGGTGTATGTCTCTTATCTTGATCCAGTGCTCGAATACATTCCTTCAATGCAAGCAAGCTCTTGTTGATTTCAGCACCTTCCATTCTATATACATACCAAGTCATTAAATGGGATGTTTCCTCTTGTCGTCAATGACCTACCTAGTTTTGGTATCTGATTCACCTCGATCTGCACCACGTTCAGAGCCTGCCAAGTCAATAAAGCTGAGCTTGCCATGGATGGCTTTGCGATTCTTTCTTGGTTTGAGTAAGATTTGGAGAACAGCATGGGATCGAGAAGAGGTATCATTTGCACCAGTGGAGCCTATTCAACCCATTAGATGTCATCCATCACCCATCATCATCATCATCATCCCTTACCTGTACTACGGATTTGGTTACCATAGGCAAACACTTGTACAAGGTTATCAACATTGTTGATGGGGTATTCTTTCAGGCCGGAAATGATCACATTGCGCTTGCCATCTTCGCGAGCAAACAGCTTTTTCCGCTCATTCAGCAAATCATACAATTGGCCTTGATAAATCTCATATAAACCGATCCAAGCTACGAGATGCTGATATTCGGGCGTCTTGAGTTTGGCGAAAATGTCTCTTGCTGCAAGTACATACAATCCACGACGAGGATCAAGCATAGTAAATGTCTTTCCAGAACCCGTTTGTCCACTATCATCATCATGTATAAGTCAACTAGAAACAGCATGGCGTGGCACGTATACTTACTATGCAAAGCAAGTCGCTTTACCACCTTGGAAAATGTACTCGACCAGTGGAAGTGCAGTGCGTTGATATAGTGCACTGTTGTCAGCATTGGCATCAAAGACATCATCAAAAGTAAACGTATGCTGTTCAATGTATTTTGACAAATCCAATCGTAACCTATCATCATCATCATCGCCATCAGCAACACAATTCGACTCTTAATATGGATCGCTCTTACTTTGGTTCATTGATAAGGATGCTTCTTGTCCCAATCGTCTCTGCGATATCCTTTTCACATCGCTCCGTTTCCTTCTTGTTGAGTGGGCGTTTACGGACACAAACACGGATTTTTTGATCGAGATCACTGGGAGGCAAATTGTCAAGGCGTGATTGTTGAGCAGCAGAGGCGGACTTTAGGGCACCGATGCTTCTTCTCGATTTCACAGCAGCAGCAGAGGATGATGTAGGCATACCATAAGCATTCAACATAGGAGCGGATGCACGATAACGTCGAGGAGCCATCTCTTCTTCATCCTCATCCTCTTCATCCGAAGAAATGGTGTTAAAGTTGGAGATGAAAGAATCAGGTGCAAGTACAGAGCGACGAAGATCGGGTTTACGAGTGGTTGTTGTAGTGGTTGCAGAAGGTGTACAGCGTGGTAAAGAAGATCCAGCATCCGACATGGTACGACTTCGCACGGGACGAGCAGGTGAAGAGGGAGGCTTATTGGGCATTTGGACTGTACTTTGTCGACGCATACGAGTATATTGACCATGATCCATGCTAGGGATATTACTTTGCAGCTGTGGCAATCGACTTTGCATTGGATTGGGTGATGTAGGTGAATAAGCAGCTGATAATCCATCTTGATACGTATTGGATCGGTGATAGTAACTTGTTGGTTGTCGAAGCCCGCTGCCACTATTGCTGCTGCTCGTTGTCATGGTGGATGCTGATGTCACGAGCCTCAACCTTTCAGGACCACCCAACGATTCCTTGCGTAGCATTTGGATCAACCCGAAAATCTTTTTGCGATCACTGATATCGGTGATGCCAAGAGCTGCATAGTCTTGCACGGATAACTAGGAGAGAGAGAGAGAGAAGATATACATCTTTCAGGTACATGGAACGCGAATAAAAAAAGGGGGCCTTGCTTTCTACCTGAACCAAACTTTGTAGTTGCGTAATACCATGTGAGGAGAACCTGCAACGAGCCATGTCAAAACTTCAAGTAACAATGACCAGCAGCATCACCACCCTGTGGTCTCTCATGTTGTCTTGTAAACTCACGTCGAATAAAACTATCACCCCACCCCCACCATGCGTTAGCTCAATGGAACCTTCGTGTAACACGCATGCCATGCACCAACTCTCTACCTGATCCAATTCGTGCTTTCGTAAAGTGTCGATAAATGCAGAGCTCATCAAGGGTAAGGAAAATAAAAAGTTGTAAAGAGACGACGAGATAGCAAAAGACAGCGCGCGGAACTGCTTGCGCTTTTCACTTTTTGTGGAACCGGATCGCTGTCGGTGTGATTCAAATGAAACATCCCAGCTCATTCATTCTCCATGTCACTCATTGTTTCGTCAAATACAATCATCCAAGATATAAATTAAATAGAGAGGGAAATTGGACAAGGTTGTCTTTGTGCTGCTGCTAGTATTATCAAATCACATGACACTTGCATCCTATAGTGTTCTCTATGATAATGAGCGTGATCCATATTATATGACTATTATGATGGGTGGAGTGACCATGAAATCGAATGATCTACAAAATAGTCTGTGGTGGATGTTGCAGTTGCTGTAGATCAAAGCTACTGTAGCCGCTTAGTGATGAAGCCAAGCCGTTGTTAAGGCTATGGGTTGTGTATCGAGAAGTTGCGGTCATCACGTATCTTATGTATACAAAGTGCATCGTATGATAAAATATGCGATGGAATATCCATTATGTAGAAAAGTGCATATTATAGCGTAGATGGTCGAACAAGAAACGTTGTTCCGTTATCGCTCTATTTTCATCTGGATCCAGCGTAAGGTAATGCATAATGCAAAAGCTACTACTAGGGAAGCTCACAGCTCTCATTCCGTTTATCTATATTACACGATTTATCATTATGGGATTAGATGCAGTATCGGGATATAGTAGTAAATGAATAGTCATGAAGCGGCAGCTAACATGCACTTCCTTCCAATTGGTGCTGTTGCCGGTTCTACGACATGGGAATAATGCTCCTGATCCAGACATTCATTTCCATGATTCAATTATGTACATTGATCCGAACCGATTTGATTGGGATACGCTCAAACAAAGAAACATCAATTGAGGTAGATAGCTGATACATGTAGTATATGGGCTGGTGCACTCCCTCTTTGACCGTAGCTCAGCTAAATCAACTCGGATCAAGAAAGTTGAATCATGGAAATGATGGGCGGGAGGAGGAGCATGGTTCACATACAGTGGATTTATTAACAGTTTAAAATGGAAGGAAGAGGCTATTGGCTGCCAACGATGCCCTGTTACTGATTAGTGTATAAAGCATTATCCATTCCAGTCATGCAAAAGTGCTGAGTTACACAAGCACGCCCCTGTGCATCTTTGGCTCTATCAGGGTCATACTGCTTGACAATGAACAAAGACCTCCTCTCATATAGCATCACCCTTACAGCATATGTAAAACATAAAGGTGCCTGTATCTCGAAACTTTACAATGAAGCGTGGGGTCTTTAAGAGAACCATGTTGCTCGGCGGGATGAAAGCGATCTTGTGTCAAACTATGAAGTCCATCGTGGCCAATCCCAGATTTCGCAATGTCGCCACCAGCCAAACTGGATCTGGGGGTCGACCTCTTCGACGACGACGACCAGAAAAATATTTTTTGGGCTAGTTGCGACATTGAACGCGAAACTTTCACACAAGGTGCTGTTGGCCAAGCCGAGCACATTGCTCTATTCAAAACCCCACGTTTCATTGTAAAGTTTGGAGATACAGCCACCTTTATGTTTGTAAGCGTGATGCTATATGAAGAGTGGTCTTTGTTCATTGTCAAGTAGGTGGACCCTGGCAGAGCCAAAGATGCAGAAGGACCTCTTTGGGTAACTCAGCTAAAAAGTCAGGACTTCAGGGACAATGCATGATAGGTACGCAACCCTCATTTTTATGTCATACATTGGCAGCTAATAGCCACTTTTGTGCATTCCCAACTTTTGTGCATTCTATTGTAGGTGGACGATGCCCCTGCTCCAGACATTCATTTCCATGATTAAAGTAGGTTGATCCGAGCTGATTTGGTTGAGTTACGGTCGAACAAGATTACATCGGTTGAGCTACATCGAGCGTGCTCTATGTCCAGAGTGATGTAATCTCTCTTTGACCGCAGCTCAGTCAAATCAGCTCGGATCAACCTACTTTAATCATGGAAATGAATGTCTGGAGCAGGGGCTTCCTTCCCATGCAGTGGATCTCGCAACAATGATGATTGGATAAAAGTGGCCGTTAGATAGCAATACATGCCTGTTCCTAGATGATCCGTAAAGTAATTATACATTGACCCTTTCATTCATGCAAACGTAGCTGTGTTACACAACACGACCCTCTGCATCTTTTGCTCTGCCGGGGTCCACCTACTTGACAATGAACAAAGACCACTCTTCATAGAGCATCACGCTTACAAACATAAAGGTGCCTGTATCTCCAAACTTTACAATGAAACGCGGGGTTTTGAATAGAGCAATGGGCTCGGCTTGGCCAACAGCACCTTGTGTGAAAGTTTCACGTTCAATGTCGCAACTAGCCCAAAAAATATTTTTTGACCGTCGTCGTCGAAGAGGTCGACCCTCGGATCCAGTTTAGCTGGTAGCGACATTGCGAAATCTGGGATTGGCAAGCTTGATCATGAAACTTGCACCCAAGGTGCAGTTGGCCAAGCCGAGCACATTGCTCTAATAAAAACCCCACGTTTCATTGTAAAGTTTGGAGATACAGGCACCTTTATGTTTGTAAGCGTGACGCTATATGAGAAATGGTCTTTGTTTAATGTAAAGTAGCTAGACTCTGGAGAGCCAAAGATGCAGAAGGACCTCTTTGGGTAACTCAGCTAAAAAGTCAGGACTTCAGGGACAATGCATGATAGGTACGCAACCCTTATTTTTATGTCATACATTGGCAGCTAATAGCCACTTTTATCCAATCATCATTGTTGCGAGATCCACTGCATGGAAATGAATGTCTGGAGCAGGGGCATCGTCCACCTACAATAGAATGCACAAAAGTTGGGAATGCACAAAAGTGGCTATTAGCTGCCAATGTATGATGAAAGTGAGGGTTGTGTACCTTTCATGCATTGTCCCTGAAGTCCTGACTTTTTAGCTGAGTTACCCAAAGAGGTCCTTCTGCATCTTTTGCTCTGCCAGGGTCCACCTACTTGACAATGAACAAAGACCACTTCTCATATAGCATCACGCTTACAAATATAAAGGTGGCTGTATCTCCAAACTTTACAATGAAACGTGGGTTTTGAATAGAGCAATGGGCTCGGCTTGGCCAACAGCACCTTGTGTGAAAGTTTCACGTTCAATGTCGCAACTAGCCCAAAAAATATTTTTCTGGTCGTCGTCGTCGAAGAGGTCGACCCCCAGATCCAGTTTGGCTGGTAGCGACATTGCGAAATCTGGGATTGGCCACGATGGACTTCATAGTTTGACACAAGATCGCTTTCACCCCGCCGAGCAACATGGTTCTCTTAAAGACCCCACGCTTCATTGTAAAGTTTAGAGATACAAGTGCCTTCATGTTTTGCATATGCTGTAAGGGTGATGCTATATGGAAAGTGGTCTTCGTTCAATGTCAACTAGCTGGACCCTGACGGAGCCAAAGCGACGTCTTTGTGTAACTCAGCACTTTTGCATGACCGGAAGGATCAATGGATGATACTGTATTCGATAATCCGTAACACTCATAACTGGCAGCTGATAGCCAATTCCTCCCAGTCATCTTTGTTTCCCAATCCAATACATGTGAACGATTGTCCTGCTCTAGCCCAGCAGCTCATCCTTCAACTTTCTTGATCCGAGGGGATTTGACTGAAAAACGCTCAAACACAGAAGTATCATCCAACACCAGCTCAACTCATTTTAATTTCCACTTTTTCCACTCCCAACTTCTTGCCCCTTCCTCCCGATTCTCAACTCTTAGCCCATTCAAGCACAATTACCACCTACGAACGATTGACCTGCTTCAATTGACCATGTCAATCCTACGATTGTCTTGATCCGATTGTCTTTGACTGACTGGCATGTCCATGGCGTGTACACAGCCTTTTGGGTCACCCTACTGCAACACACGCGTTCCTTGATACAACATACGCTCTTGCACACTACTCTATCACAACCAAGCGTAACAGCATTCATTGCAGCAGTTGCTATTAGCAAGTTCTTTACTCCATTGTCTCAAACAGCTTTCACAATCTTGCCACTCTACTACTACAACACACGCTCTTGCATACTCCTCTTCCACGACCCAACGTAGCAGCTGTTGCTATTAGCAAGGTCTTTACTCCATTGACTCAAGTTACTTGCAGCAACTTGATTTGATACATACGACTTCCAATGGGTGGTGTCATGCCAGCTATCAAGTACGCCGCAACACAAGCAATCTTCACCTGATTGAGGTGCGATGGAAAATGACCAAGAAAGAGAATGATCAACAGCCAGATGGAAAAGGATCAGCGGCAATATTGGATCTGCAATGGCTATGATGGATGAATGGATGGACGCCGTCAAGTCTAATGATGAGACAAATCTTGGAATGTTGCTTGGCTACTTGTCGTGTTGTCAGCAGGAACAATGGATCATATCACGTGGATACGGCCAAAGAGGATGGATTGGATGGATTTGGTTAAAGGTGTTTTACAGCCATGGATCGTATTGGAATACTCGAATCAATGCACGCAGCAGCTATTTTGCAATCACGGATGAAAGATGTTTATGACGACAGCGATCAAGAATACAATGACACAATCATTCTTGTTGACTCTACAAAAATCGGCGAAGCATGCAAATGATATGCACAGCGTGCAACTGGTAGGTTATATCATCGTACGTGAATATGCTTTGTTGATGTTTATTATGGCTTGTAGTGGGACGAGCGACATGTCGGGTCTTTACTACTTTGATCCAGGAACCACAGACGAGGCCAAGGGGTATGCTTTTGTCACCTACAAAAAATCGCCTTTCAAGTGGCAGGTGGATTTGTGTATCAGCAGCTGTTGATTTTCCATCACTTCGACTTGGTACTCCAAGATGCTCGATCACTTATGAGTTCGATCCATCATGGCAACAACTCCCATGCCCACTCATGTATAACCAAGGCTCTTTGCACCAACACTATCATACGCCCTTTCTTTCTACTTGTATGCACATCATCATCAATGGCCTTTGGTAAGTCTCAAGGATAGTCTTCATGTGATTCCCAAAACGAGGGTATTCACGATGCGTTCATCTATGTAGTTCACTTCACTTGGTATACTCATTGGTGCCTAATGGCATATGGCTGTGTTCCTTGATGGACAATTTGTGGTAGGTACAACTATCATTTATATAGATCAAATGGTCGCCTAGTCTGATAGGAATTTGGAACTCCCTTGTAGGTGGCAAAAGTACATGGAGCCAGCAGCGAAGACTCAGGAATCTCTCAAATGGGTGAGCAGTACAATTGGTCACAAGAGCAGTCGTTGGATGCCATGCATCTACTTCAACACGCCATTAAGATGTTATCATCATCGCAGTCTCATGTTCCCCATAACAGTGACAGCTGCATGCGATCCATCAGGTACGTATGCCATATACCTAGTTGTGTGACATCCTTTGCATTTATAATGCCTCACACTTTGTTATAGTACTAGCCGCCTGACTCCATAGGAGATACATTTATCACCATCTTCAAATGTCCAAGCCGAGAATAGGTGAGCGTGAAAAGAGAACAAACCAGGCATCATCTGCAATGACGTAAGTATGTGTTGTGGGAGCTTGTTTGGATCCATTTTCATGAAGGCTCATTTCTCTCTTAGTTAGCAACACAACCTTGTCCACCTCTTTGGCCGATGGAACAAGTAGCATCGAGGGCAGGTATGTAATGTTTTCATTGTTGTCTTTACAATGGCCCAATGCTGATATACATTTGTCCCTTTATGAATGCCAGAGTCAGGATCAGCAAGCGGATTGCGTCGAAGCATGAGAAATGCCATACCTCCCAGTAACGAAAAGCGATGATTACAAGTGTCATTCACATACCACATTGGATACAATTACATATCAACACCACCCCAAATCACATATCAGCTTCCAATGTTTATATTCATTTATACCTTCAATGTATCGTTGTATGCTTCTACTTATTAAAAAGGTTCTCTGTATTTCGTTAATATCATGATGGGTATGAATAGATAATAGCGATGTCATGCATTAATGGACATAGTTGGCAAAGGATGTGATTAAAAGTGGACCACTCTTGAATTTGGCATGACAAAAGGACAATCCATGAATGTTGCCGATTCACGTTTTTTCATCTCCCAGGTCACCCGCGTAGAGTATAGATTGTCCTTGATGTTATGAATGATCGACAAGCGACATGCACAAACTCTGTTATCGCCGCCCACATGAGGCTAATGCAGGGGCAAAGCATGTTCTTAGAAGTTCTGTGATGATGTCGGAAGACCCTTCAAAATTTGGCAGGTGTCCCTAGATATGACCCCGTTACACACATGTACGCCATCTGTTGCAAAATGAATAATGTACATCACGCACCCATACATCCTGTTTCGCAATCATCATTCATGCTACAGCAGTACGTAGCAATTCACCTAACGATAATAACTTGAATGAAGGCCCCAATTGAATGTCATTGGGTAGAACTAATTTGCATACTTCCACTTGAATCAAAAGTGGAATCCCAACATTTGTGGTATGCTGTAAGTAGGATGCAGCCAGGACATCGCATACTGCATTTCATACAGTATCAACAACGGCCATGACGGCTATAATGAGCATGGCCCCTCGGATGGCTCTTTCTTAGCAACGTACCATTGTATATGAGGGATGATCTCCGAACAGCGTCCATAAAGAGATTATCCCCATTACTTTCGTTTGAGGATATGCGTAGTTTATCGTTGTCGTGGGTCGATGGCATTTTTGAAGCATCACGCATATGCATGTACCTGACCACTGGTTTAATGTAATAAGGTATGCTGTAGCATCGTTCCTGCTATAAACGTGCCTAATGTTCAAGGGGTCTGCAGTAATCACGGCATACAATATAGATGTTGTACATAAATGCACACTAAATCCAGCTACATGTAGCTTTCAGTGTGTATGTTGACATGAGGATGGATGTTTCTTTTTTCCAAAATTACAGTTTACAACAACTTAGTTGCATAGTGTAGGAACTAACATCGACGAAGCGACGTTACGAGGCGGTTTGTGACTGATAAAGAGTATAATTATATAAATGATACGTACAATCTTTTAAGATCATATCATCATCTCACCCAACATCTACCAGCAGCAATTACCTCTACGTGATGAAATTCAACCTGAACCTCTTGCCTAGCATTTCACTCTTGCTTGTGCTTCCGTCCCAGTTGGTGATGGCCAAGCCATTCAACCCTTGGGACCCCCAGGGTTCACTCAATGCCATCAAAAGTAGTTGTTATGGCCCGAGCGGCCAATGCACGACCTACAATGATTGCGAGTCTAGCTGTAAGTAAAGTCCAGCTATGTATGAAACAGCATGGCACTAACTGCTATATACTCCCTTCCTAGTTGGTTACGACCGTTGCTGTTATCATGGATCATGCTATCTGGCGCCGACGCTATCCGTCGCATCCTGGGAATTTACATGTAGTATCCCCAATATGGACCAAGGCTGCCCATCATCGTAAATTATACACATTGTCATTCTGTCACCGTTGACATATCGTACCATGGAAATAAAGCCCTTTGGTCTACGACCGATATTAGCCGTTTTGATGAAGACGATTGTATGACCAATATGATTGACTAACGAAAGGAGTGGAGTTGTTGTGTGATGAGGGATGAATATAAATCACGTGCATGAACATGTATGTATGATGTATAATTTGCTTAGTTTTGGTCCTTGCTTCGCCTTCCACAACACACAACGCACGCAAGTCCCAGAACTAATGCAAGAACCCATATCTCATCCACCATCTATGGCACAAGACATCATCTCTAAATAAGCTCTCATCATCTACACTCATTTCCCTATCCTGTTATCGATACATAGTACCCATCTCTCTCCCTTTTTATAAAAATTGATGTTTTAGATGTACGATCGCTGGTGGATTGTTGATGCATGCCAACGAGTATTTATTTACAACGACAAATCTTTGTGGGTGCTGGTACAATGATATCATCAAGAGAAAAGAAAAGTGGGATTGGCCATTGTTCAACATGCATGAACACAGCAGCTTTGGTGGTGGTGTGGGGGGGGGACGATGATTGATAACTCAGTTGAGTCGCCAACAGCATACACTACGACATCCTTTCTCCACCAATGTCAGCTACGCAGTCCGAGCTATCCAAAGGACACCGAGCACTACTCGACCTGGAAGGACGATTCAATGCCAAGTCGCATGGCATAGTTTTAGGCATTCAAGGATCCCAGATCGAGGCACTCGCGTCGTGCATTGATATCTTTGATCAGTTCCCTTATCCTGTCATTATCAACGCAGCCATTCTCAAACTCGCTGACTGGTTTCGTCTCAGGTATGTGTGGCATGTGCATGTGTATGCGTCAAGTATTGACTAACTCTTCTCTCTGCAGCAATAATGTGATCAAGTTTTATGTGTATCGCGTATTCAAGCAAGCAGCCAAGCAGCATTTGAACAAGGTCTTCAACGTCGAAGAAACGGTCAAACGCGTTATGCCCGTATTAGGAAGCAACGATCCAATCGCACGTGCCATCACGCTTCGGTAAGCTCTACAATCAAAGTAGATATGCATTGGACTCAATGTTGTCTCTTTTAGGATCTTGGGATGCATGTCAATGATTATTGCCGACAAATTGGATGTTCATCATGCGTAAGTCGCTGTCTTCTCTTTCTACTCAAGTTTGCATTCTAAAAAGAGAGATCATTTGATAGGATCCTGCAACGACTGGAATCTGCTACGGATCGTCCCGAATTGGAGGCTGCTATATGGGCAGCAGATCGAATTTGTGCCGTTTCGCTTCGTTTTGCCCCGTTTATTCTTCCACGCATTGAGGCCAAGTTAGATGGTAAGTGAGATGGATGGTCATACACGCCATTTCTTTACTCATCCTTCGAATTTAGATACCACGGTGTCACTCCACACAAAGTTGAGATTGGTCAAGCTCTATCGCCATATGCATCAGGATATGAGCATGACACGAAGGGTAAGTCGCACATGAGTGAGGGGGTAGCTCTCCTAAGCATCCAATGATCCTCATTTATTCTCTTTAGGCACGAGAAAGTTGCACGAATCTCTTATCCAATCCTGATCTCGATGAAAAATTGACCATCACGACATTGAGGACATTGAGCATGTTGTTAAAGGAAGCTGTATTTGATCGTAAACAACAGGTATTCTTCTTTGACCATAGAGATCGAGGGATGGTTACTAATCCATATCATCCGTAGATGGAGCGTCTATTTGATTATGCATTGAATGATCCTCGAGAAAATGTATCCATTGAAGCCCTTGATGATCTTGTTCTTTTGGCACACAATGATATTGCGGTGGATACGTCTCGCGTGTATGTAAGTTATTTCCATCCCCCCACCCATCTTTTTTTCTCTTTTCTCATCTATGGAAATGGCAGCGGATTCTTGAATTGGTGACCATGCAATCGGGAAAAGCATCCACAATTGGAAGACGCTACGTTTGTGCTCGCTTGATGCTTCGATCCTATAGCCAGCTTGTAGGACAAAAGTTGGGCTCCATATGGTCTTCAGAAAGCCATCTCATTCATCAAGTCTTGGACACATGTGAACGCAACTTGCAGGATGCCATTGCCAAGAAGAATATCATTTATTTGATCACTTTTGCACGATTCTTGATCACTTTTATCGAGATTGGACAACAATCAGCATCCACTCACCACTTGGATGATATGCGAGCCGTATTGAATGAAGCAGCCATTCGCCTCAATGGACATTTGAATACCTTATCGATCGACGACCTTGTGCATACCCTACGTCATCGACGTAACATGTTGGATACGGTAAGTACATTGATTCACTCCATTGTCAGTGTGTGTGTTACTCATTGCTCGCCCTGCAGGTGACCCGATTTATGAGATTGCGAGCCAACACACTGCTTTTGATTGAGGAATTTGACTTTAACCGTGTCTATGCGGATACGTTTGATACCATGACAAAAACAACCGATGGTGAGTGAAGTTGATCCACCAGGAATCCAATTTGACCTTGTGAATCAAAATTCAACACTAGATACCATCATTGATCGGCTGGTTCCGTTTTTGACTTTGGTCGCCACACGTTGTGCAGGCTTGAATGAATGGTTCCCTGACAAGGCGTTCAATTGCATGCGACACAATTATTCTCGGCCATGTTTATTTGTATGTTGACTTTCTTTGCCTCTTGTTATAAGAGACTCATGGTCGTCTATAGGTAAATACAGTGAAGCTTCTATTTCGGATATCCAAGCAAGCATCATCACATCAACGAGAACACTATTCCCAACAACTTTTACCGCTTTTGAATGCATTTGGTGGATGGGACGAGGTCACAGGCAGCTACAAAAAGAATACATGGCCTCTTTATATTATTGCTCGAGAAGCTGGAAATCATGGATGGCACAAGATTATGCACCACATCCTTCAAAGCTTGAGTCAAACGGTATGTTGTTGTGATCATCCCTATACACCATTATCCTGATTTTGTTTCCTTATAGATAGATTCAGAAGCCAGCAAATACTGGTTGTTATCCTTGGCGGTGTTTGCAAACGCTGAAGCTGTCTTGGCAGAATCCGATCCAGGTTCCTTATCCACCGTCAATGAGCTTTATCTTCGCAGCTTGACACAGTTTCAGGTAAGGGCGATCCTATGATGTGATAAAAGAATCTTGTTGTTGATCCTATCCTATCCCACAACATGGCAGGCATTTCGATCCTTGACGGGCATGAAAGTTTTTGGACTATGGTTTATGCAGCTACGCAAAGAAATGATATCCACCATCGATCAGCTTCATCAACGCATGTGCCTTTCGCGTGAAACATTAGCACAGCGTCGGAAAATGACAAAAATGGCAAGTTCATGTTCCTGATTCTCGTCATTTGTTTGCTAACCTTTTACGTTTAGGTCTTGCATTGTGCAGATCGTTTCCGAGAGTTGGCGTTTCGATATGATTTTCTTACCCGGTCTTTCTTTGGCCTTGATAAGGAGACAGTGGGTTGCCTGGATACATTCAAGACATGTGCCTTGCTATATGAACTTGCTATACAAACGGCATTGAATCGCAGGTAAGAAGAAGGGGGAAAAGGATAAGGATATGGGATGATTTCTGATTTCAGTGGTAGAGAGGGCATTGACCCTTCCTTGATCCCTCTTCTTGGAAACGACAATGGCGAACAAGATGTGGCTTTGTTATCAACATGCAAGAGTTTCATGCATACCATTATGGAATGGAGTGACACACATGAGTTTTCGGTGGGTATTGGGAGGATGGGGCTTTTGGGATCCACAGTGGCTAATAATATCAATTTAGCACAGGGAACAAGATATCCGAGAATTCAGCAACAAGATTATTCGACAACCATTGCATTTACCACGTTACTTTTTCCATGCCCAAAGGAATCTTACTGTTCAGGTACCAGTGACATTTTAAAATCCACCATGTTCTTTTTACTCATCCTATATACATAACCCAGCTTACAACCGAGCCACGTCTAAGCGATCAATCGGATTCAATCACACTTAAAGGAAATGAAGATCTTGTCATCAACTTTGAAGGCTTTGTCCAAAATGAGATTCAGGAGAAGGGTAAGAAAGGATACTGCGCCTTTTATACATGCCACCATTGACCCCCTTTTTCTCTTTAGATACAATGCATATATTCACCAAGGCGTCAATTGTTTGTTATGTGACTCATGAGAATGCACGTCATTTCCAAGACCAATTGGGCATTGATATGATCTTATCCGATCCACCAGAGACCTCAACACATCCATCCAATGGGGTAAGTAATACTTTGGTTGTATCAAGAGGGGGATGCCTAACATCGTTTTTCTACCTAGGTCACGTTTCTTCAACCACCTACCACGTTTACTGCGGATGTCGTCAATTCCTACTTTTCTTGCAAGGGGCTGTTGCATATGCCATCCACTACCACCACCAGCAGTGATAACACGCCTCGCATACCACGTGAAGGATGGCTGAATGTGTTTGTGAATATTATCGATAAGGATTTGAATGTATGGGCGATGGGCCCTTGTCACTCGGGACGAATTTCATGGATCCAATAAATACCAATAACGCTTCCCGATATGGGAATGTAAAGAAAAAAGCAAATCGTTTTATTATATTATGTGGCGCAGTGCTCCTTTATTTGTATACGAATCCAGATATTTGGTAGAGATGTCAGCTTTTATGGTGATTCAAGATGATTCAGCGATGGTTATCTTGGCTACTACATACATGATGGTGGTTCCCTTCAACACATACATACACAGCCTCACTTTTGTCCCATGTGTCCAATGCCAATGCAACAGCCGCAGCAGCAAGAATGCCTAGAAATGATGATGCAGCCAGCGAAATTACGTGTGCTGCGTGACGACAGTCTAGTAGTAGCATGGACAAAAAGAGACGTTTTGACCTAAAACAGCAACGATGAGGGTGCGTGCGACATTGTTCCGCAGCAACGCACATGCCATTATATATTGAGAAAGCACTCCCATTTCTTTTTACATCCTTCCTTGCTTTTCGTGACACACACACACGCACACACACACACGATGGAGACTTGTAGTCTATCGGTACATACACACATTGAATGATCCACCTCTATGTCATGGACACCTTGCCTCTAATACTATTATGTACTCTACAACACCTACCACCACTACAGGAGATCTGGGATGGCCTGGATTTCTCTCCATGCTTTCGAGCAATGTATGTGTGATGATAATGAAGATGGCACCATTGTTGTTGTAATGACCCATTGTTTTCTCTTTCATTTACCAGGGTCATTGATACCTTGATACCCATTGTCTTGTTGCTAGGATCATTGTCTTTTATTTTAAAAGCATGGCTCCGTTCACGACGATCTTCTTTTCATTCCGCACTTTATGCACCGCTTAAACAACATGCTGTTACTTCCTATGGCACCACTTCTCCGTCCCTTGACGACAATCAACAAGATGACCAAGACGACAATGACACACCCTCATCCTCCACCATTGCTTCCAATCAGTCATACGAGGTGCCATTAAAGCGATGGTCCATTTACAACCTCACACGATTAGCAGGCACATTGCTTCAACTCGCAATCTCTGCTGGTGCATTACGTACGCTCTTGGCCCATGAATACACTCTCGATACAGCAGTCGAAGGCTCAAGTTCAAATGTATTTACATCATCCATTGCAGACTGTGTATACTGGGTAAGTGTGTTGGGATGGTGAGATGGATTACATATGAAAAGGCTAATGATGATGATGATATCGTAGACCTGTTTGCTCGTATTATCAGTGGGTGCCACCTTTAGCAACAGCTCGTTCATGATGGCGACCATTACCAAGCATGTGGATATCTTGCTTCTCACGAATCTGGTGGTCCAATGTGTGAATATGAGATCCTTTTTCCTGGTGCATTACACAAACATTGATTCGATCGGCTACACACGCGCCATTGTTTCCGCTTGTGTTACCCTGTTCATGTTGGCGATCTTGATCCATGAAGAACGCGGTGCTCCTGGTCAACCTATCATGACAGACACGGTAAGTCACTTTTCCAGGAACACAGGATGGTGACTAATTATTTGTGTCTACAGGGCCGCCCCATGTCTACTGAAATGTGGGCTTCTACGTATTCCAAATTCATGTTCAGTTGGGTGGCTCCCATGTTGAAAGAAGGATACCAAAGGACATTGAATGCAGATGACTTGGTTGAGCTGACACCACAAAACCGAGCCAAGAACGTTCTGCAAAAGTACCAGCATCATCGATCACCTTCCTTGTTTTGGGGCATCATCCGTACTTATAAGAAGGAATTGGCAACACAAGCTGGATGGTGTATACTTTGGAATGGTAGGTATTATTCAAATGGGCATTTACAAGTACTAATGACCTACTCTAGCTTGCTTGTTTGGACCTCCCGTGTTCCTGAATAAGATCATCAAGTACATTGAGAATCCACACCCTGATGAGCCACCCTCCATCGCCTACTTTTATGTGCTCCTATTATTCCTTTCTGCTGCCTCTCAAGCCCTTGCACTTCAACAAGCATTGTACATTGGAAGGACGCTTGGTGTTCGAGTGCAGGCCATTATTGTCGGTGAAGTCTTTGCCAAAGCCTTGCGTAAGCGTGAAGGGGATCGTGAGGAGGAGAAGAATGACACCACTACTACCACCACTACCGAGAACGAGGAGGGCAAGGATGAGAAGAAATCCGAAGGCAACGTCAACAATTTGCTATCCGTGGATTCACTTCGAATCAGTGATTTTATGGCCTATTCGTTTCAATTGTATGGTGCAGCCATTCAAATGGTCGTCAGCGTCGTCTTGCTCTACAACTTGCTTGGCACAGCAGCATTATGGGGTCTTGGTGTGATGGTCCTTACACAACCTGTGGTGATCCTTGTCAGCCAACGCTTTGAAAAGATCCAAGACCAAGTCATGTCTGCCACCGACAATCGTATCAAAAAAGTCAACGAGTTGCTATCATCCATTCGCATCATCAAATTCTTTGCATGGGAAAAGGAATTCAAGAAACGGGTGATGGATGCACGAGAAAACGAGCTCAAGTTACTTCTTGCACGTCTCTACATGCATGTGCACATCACCAACACCTGGTTCTTTATTCCTATCTTGATCATGATCACAGTCTTTTATGCCTATACAAGAACCTATGATCTCACGGCAGCTACGGCATTCACTGCTCTTGCCCTTTTCAACATTCTTCGCTTTGCTTTGGATGAACTACCCATGTTTATTACTTGGGCTCTTCAAGGACGTGTCTCTGCTAAGCGTGTTCAAAAGTTCTTGGCCGAAGATGAAGTAGCCTCTCCTCCTCAGCACACGATCATGCATGCCGATATTGGTTTTGTGGATAACGCTGCCTTTGGATGGGAAAAGGATAAGCCTATTATCAAGAATCTCAACTTGTCATTTCCTCGTGGCAAATTATCAGTCGTGTGTGGCCCTACTGGATCAGGCAAAACCACCTTGTTGGCAAGCTTGCTTGGAGAAACGTATCGCATCCGTGGCAGTGCACATCTTCCTCGTACTGTTCCCACCAAGTCCAAGACCCCTGTTGGCGGTGCAGCATCAGGCATCGCTTATGTCGCACAAACTGCATGGCTTCAAAATCGCAGCATTCGCGACAACATTTTATTCGGATTGCCTTATGATCCAGAGCGTTATGAACAAGTGCTCTATATCACAGCTCTCACAAAGGATTTGGAAATTTTTGAGTATGGCGACTCTACTGAAATTGGCGAAAAGGGTGTCACGTTGAGTGGTGGACAAAAGCAAAGGTACACGTTTGTTGGATAGTTGTAATAGACACACTTGCTCATTGTTGATACGTACTTTTAGAATGGCCATTGCAAGAGCTGTGTATTCTCAAGCTGAGACCGTTATCCTTGATGATTGTTTGAGTGCTGTCGATGCACATACAGCAAAGCATTTATATGAGCATTGTATCACAGGAAGCTTGAGTAAGTATAGCTACATTCAATTTCCACGATACAAGCTCATCATCCATTATAATGTGCATAGTGAAAGGTCGAACGGTTATCCTTGTGACACATCATGTTGCTTTGTGTCTTGATGGTGCTTCCTATGTCGTTGCTATGAAAGATGGCCAAGTCCTTGGTGCTGGTGATCCCTCCACCGTCTTGAAAAGTGGTGCACTTGGTGAAGAGCTTGCCAATACCTATGATGAAGAACGCAAAAAGGAATCTGGTTCCTCTGGAGAGAAAACGGATGGCATCGTACCTGTGGTACCAGAAAAGGTTCAGCTGGCCAAGGAAGATGGTACAGGCAAATTGGTCAAGGAGGAGGAACGCGCTGAAGGATGGGTGTCATGGTCTGTTTACGAGGCCTATATTCGTGCATCAGGAGGCTATGCATTCTGGGGTATCATTTTGGTTGCCTTTTGCTTGAACCAAGCCGTGATTTTCTCTCAAGACTATTGGATCAAGATTTGGACAAGTGCTTACGAGACCAAGCGTCACGATTTGGGTGTCTTGACGGCTCTCAGTACACATTCATCTCTCTTGCTGAATTCCTTGTCGCTATCAATGGATGCACCACCGCCTTCAGAAGACGCTCCACAGCAGCCGCAGCACGTCAACGTGACCTATTACCTTGGGATCTATGCTCTGATTGGATTTCTTGCTCTTCTTGCTACCACAGCTCGATCACTTATCATTTACTATGGATCAATTCGGGCATCACGTCGTCTTCATGAAAAGCTGTTGCAAAAGATCCTTCGTGCCAAGATTCGATTCTTTGACAGTACACCTCTTGGACGTATCCTCAATCGTTTTTCAACGGATATGGAAGCCATTGATCAAGAAGTCTCACCCATGGTGGCATTCGTTCTCTTTTCCATTGTTTCCATGTTTTGCATGTTGATTCTTGTATCCACGGTGCTTCCAGCATTCCTTATCCCTGGTACATTCATTGCCGTCGTTTTTGTCTTTATTGGCATGTACTATTTGGCAACCTCACGTGATATGAAGCGATTGAATTCGGTGTCTCGCAGCCCCATTTACGTTCAATTCAGTGAAACCCTCAATGGTGTCAGCACCATCCGTGCCTTTGGAGCACAACCACGCTTTGTCAAGGAGAACTATGATTTGGTGGACAACAACAATCGACCCTTTTTGTGGATGTGGGCAACCAACCGCTGGCTCCATTCACGTATCGAATTATTGGGTTCCAGTGTGTGCTTCTTTACCGGCTTGGTCATTATGCTAGCACGCTCATGGATTGATCCTGGTTTGGCTGGTCTTTGTCTAAGCTATGCTCTTCAATTCACCGATCATATCATTTGGATCGTACGTGGCTATGCACAAAACGAGATGAACATGAACTCCATTGAACGTGTACAAGAGTATATGGATATTGAAGAAGAGGCACCCGAAAACATTCCTGCAACATGTCCTCCAAAGAGTTGGCCTGAAACTGGAGCTGTCAAGGTTGAGGATTTGGAAATGAGGTATTCACAGGATAGCCCTGCTGTGCTACATCGCATCTCCTTTGAGACCAAACCAAGAGAAAAAGTGGGCATTGTTGGAAGAACTGGAAGTGGTAAGTCTTTTACTTAAAGGGAGCATTTTCAATGTGAGCTTATAAGTGTCAATAGGAAAATCGACGTTGGCACTCTCTATATTCCGATTCATGGAGGCAAGCCATGGCAGGATCTTGATTGATGATGTGGATATTGCAACGCTGGGCTTACAAGATTTACGTTCTCGGTTGACTATCATTCCTCAAGACCCTGTTTTATTCTCGGGCACTTTGCGCAGTAATCTTGATCCCTTTGGTCAACATGATGATGCAGAGTTATGGGCAGCATTGAAACGATCCCATTTGATTGATCAACAAAAAGCCGGTGATGGTAGCGGCAGCGAGCAAAAGAATATCACCTTGGATTCGGTTGTCTTGGAGAATGGCAACAATTGGTCGCAAGGACAACGTCAGCTGATTGCACTTGCACGAGCTCTTGTCAAGAAATCCACATTGATCATTTTGGATGAAGCAACATCATCGGTTGATTTTGACACGGACCGCAAGATCCAAGAAACCATTCGAGCTGAACTCACGCAATCATCACTTTTATGCATTGCCCATCGTATTCGCACAGTGGCAGATTATGATCGTATCCTTGTATTGGATCAAGGCCGAGTGAAGGAATTCGATACGCCGTACAACCTTATTACACGAGAAGATAGCGTTTTCCGACAAATGTGTCAACGTAGCGGTGAATTTGATGAGTTGTTGGAGATTGCCTCTGCAAAACATGCAGCATAGCTTAGCATACCTATGATGATATTTGAAAATATAGACGTGATCATTTTATTGCAAGTGCATGTGGGGATGACAGAAGTTTGGTTTATGCAGGCCGAGCAATGTCTAATTACCATTGTGGAAGGCATTATGGCAATGAAGCAGTTAGAGTGTACCATCATCAAAGTGAATGAAATGCATTTGGAAAAGACGAATGAGAGCACCAAGTTTATGTTAGCTCCACATTTTCGTGTTACACCCACCCACAGCATTTATTCTCAATTCCTCAAATTCAGTAGGTGTCTGTATACATCAGCAGTATTCTCAGCTTTCTCTAAATCAAGCTGGTGTGCACCATCACTAATTGTCATATACAATACATAATCGAAAGTTGCCATGGACCTCAGACCATACATATCCATATAAGAATCAAGCTTGGACAAGAAAAGCCGCCATACTCTAACTGGATCGCTCATCCTTGGCATGCTGATTTGGAACATCCCGAGGACACCATAAACATAATCCACAGGGTTCATACAAGCCCTACGGCAATTAGCCAATGCCTCAATCAGGTTGTAGAACTCCCTTGATGTCTGAATTCCGATACGTTGCTTGCTGAATTTTCTAGCATACGATATCTCGCGCATCCAATCGTTTAATTCCGATAAAAACATCCTTCTTGAGGGACCAATATGTCCTACGCAATAGAGGTTAACAGTGTTTACCCAAAATAGCCCAAGCAGATTATGGCCTACCAGCACATCGTCTCTCAAAATTTAACGTAAGGTATGGCACGTCTCCAAACTTGTTCAGTAGATCATCCACAGTGATTGTGCTGCTTTGAGTTTGATGAGTGACCGTTTCCGCCATTAAACGCACCTCTCCAAAAGGTAGAACTATCTCTTGCCAAGTCCGCAAAAGATTCCACCATTGGCATTGCTTCAAATCGGATAGTAGGGACACCAAGTGGGTTAGCTTTCGAAAACGATATTGGTGGTCTTCGTCTGAAAATAGCCCCTCTTCCATTAGTGGAAAGAGCTCTGGTATCAATGAAGGGCCACAATCGAGCAGTACAATACATTCAAGACAACAAGAATAAATGTCGCCCGTTATATCCAATGACGTATCCGTACGTGCACACAAGGTGTCGATCCACCAATAACTGCCAGGATGATCCTTGAGCAATAAAAGTAATGAAACGCGTTTTTCTGGTCGCACCGAAACTGGTTCCATAGGACATCCTTCTTCGTCATCCACGTAGTCCTTGATTTCATCCCAATAATATTGGCTGTCTTCTGAGGAGAGTTCCATTCCCCAAAGATGCGACAGCGTATAGTAAAACGATGGGATGTCTTTCGATTCGTTAATCTTTCTTTTTATGCGTTCTTGATGATATGCATCGTTGGCAGGTCGTATAACTTTCATCTTGCCATCATTTTCTGGCACGTAGAGAAGCAAAAAGCGTGGGTCGGCTAAGAGTGCATTGAGCCCTTTTTCAAAGAATCGTTTATGCTTGTTGCCTTTGTCAATCTTTATCTAAAGACGGAGCCTCATGAGCATAACCTTAGTTGAATACCGAACTTGCATACTTTGAAGAGATCGTCGACTCCATCAGAGTCGCTTGTCATATTGAGAAAGGAAAGAAAAGGCTGAAGGAGTGCAGAGACTACATTCCTATTATTTGTACGTGTATGTTGTGTCACAATGCAAGGCGGTGATATGAGCACACGACCCGTTTTATCTTTACGTATCGGAAAGACGCAGGGAAGTAATTATGCTTTCTTGGTATAGCATACGAAACAAAGGGTATGTCAAAAAAGGAAAGTGCCACAAACGATTTGGCGTCGTCGTTGTGGCACCTTGACTTATCATTTGTACTTGATGGCGATGACCCTCACGTGTATTGGTATAAGCAATCACCCATAGCATCCTCGCTTATGATAGAGGTCCTGGAAGAACCATCAAACATTTATTCCCTGTCATCGAACGTTGAACTCATTTCAAGCAGATCTTTGTAGACGTCAGTCATATTTTTAACTTCCAGTAAATTGACTTGAAGTGCACGATAGCTGATTTTATAAGAATTGCTGCTCATGCTGTCGAATGTCTCCTCAATCTTAAAGCCATTCTTTTCCATATAATTATCAAGCTCGGACACGAAACGCCGCCAAACTTGAACCGGGTCGCTCATCCTTTCGATGTTTATCTCGAACATCCCGAGGACACCATACACGTAATCCACAGGATCATAACAATGCCTCTGGGACTTACCCAGTGCGTCAATGATATTGTAGAATTCCCGTGGTACCTTAACTCCAACACGTTGCTTATTGGATTTTCTAGCAAACGCTATCTCGCGAATCCACTCGTCTAATTCTTGTAACTTTGACATACCAAAAAGCCCTGCTCAATGGATTAGTCGAGTTTGTTGAGAAGGTATACGCACCTTAGATAGCTTACCGATGACATCCTTGCAACGATACTCTATATTTAGTGTAAAGTATGGCACATCTCCAAACTTGTCAAGTAGATCATCCACGGTGATTGTGTTACGTTGAGGTTGATGAGTGCCTTTTTCTGCCATAAGACACACTTCTCCAAAAGGTAGAGCCATCTCCTGCCAAGTCCACACACGATTCCACCATCGGCTTTGCCTTAATTTGAATAGTAGATGTACCAGCTTGGATAGCTTTTGATAACGATTGATGTCGTCTTCATCAGAAAATACTCCCTCTTCCACCAGTGGAAGGAGTTGTGGTATCAAGGTAGGTTCACAATCGATCATGGCAATACATTCAAGGCAACAAGAATAGATATCACCCATAATATCCAATGGCGTAGATCTACGTGCACACAAGACATCAATCCACCAATAACTGCCGGGATGATCTTTGAGCAATGCAAGTAATGGATCGCGTTTTTCTGGTCGCATGGAAACGGATTCCATGGGATTTCCATTTTCGTCATCCACGTAGTCCTTGATTTCATCCCAATAATATCGGTTGTCTTCTGAAAGTCCCCAAAGATGCGACAACGCATAATAAAAAGATGGAATGCCTTTCGCTTCGTTAATCTTTCTTTTTATGCGTTTTTGGTGATATGTATCGTTGGCAGGTCGTACAACTTGCATCTTGCTGCCTTCATCTTCTGGCACGTAGAGGAGCAAAAAGTGTGGGTCGGCTAAGAGTGCATTGAGCCCTTTTTCAAAGAATCGTTTATGCTTGTTGCCTTTGTCAATCTCTATCTAAAGAGGGAACCTCATGAGTATGATCCTGGTTGTAATACCGAACTTGCATACTTTAAAGGGATTGACGATTTCATAAGTGTCGCTTGTCATATTGAGAGAAGGAAAGAAATAAACTAAAGTAGTGCAAAGCTACATTCCTCCTACTTGTATGTGTACATGTTGTGTCACGATGCAAGGCGGTGATCATATACGCCCACCAATATCGAAAAGTAAAGCATTCATGTAAATGAGCACACGGCCCGTTTTATATTTATTATCGGAAAAGACGTAGGAAAGGAAATTAGTTTCTTGGTAGTATAAAGAGCACTATACGAAAGTGTCATTCCACCCAAAGAAAAAAGAAGGGCGTTCCAGAAAAAAAAAGTGCCACAAACGGCTTCAAGGTACTGGTGACCGGATGCTTTCCGGGTCTACATCATCACCGAAAAGGAAGGATCAGCTCTAATGCTATGCACGTGATCTATCGCTCATACCTAGCATATGCACAATAGGATGAACAAGGTGATGGTAATGTGTCAAAAGCGGTATTGCATACCGACCATTGTCATCAAGCAGGGAGACCAAGGGGACACAGCCATTATCAAGATGGGCGCATTATCTGATCATGTCGGACTGATCTGGATGTTGCAGCAGCGTATCTCATTCTTGTTATCTTTGCCCGAGACACACCCATATGCAATCACCTCGCGATCTCCTCGTCCTTTACGGTTCAGAGACTGGCTGTGCCGAAGATGTCGCCGAACGCATTGGAAGACAAGCGAGACGTCGACGATTCCGAGTTCGTGTAGTTGCCATGGACGATTACGACAAGGTATTCATAATGGATACTCCCCCACCCCAAAGGCTCTCCATGTAATAACCTGCATGATGGTATAGAATCTACTCATTGAGGAGAAGTTGGTGGTGTTTGTGTGCTCTACCACAGGGCAAGGCGAGGAACCCTACAACATGAAGGTAAGGTATCTGCTTGGGACTTTGCTATACTGGACTCTTATATGGGATGCTATATAGAAATTCTGGCGATTCCTGCTACGCAAAAACTTGCCTCATGATATCCTTTCCAATCTCGATTGTGCTGTGTTTGGTTTGGGTGATTCATCCTATGCAAAGTAAGGAGGGAGGAAGGAAGAGGGGGAGGATCGAGATAGGTATTGACAGGTCTGCATACATAGATTCAATTATCCTGCCAAGAAGCTTTATAAGCGATTACAACAATTGGGTGCCAACGTGATGATTCAACGTGGAGATGGTGATGATCAGCATTATCTTGGGTAAGTTTGGTATATGAAAGTGGAGGTGATTCCATATCACTCATTGTATATTGGTTTGGTGACAAGGTTGGATGGTGCATTGGATCCATGGTTACAATCCTTGTGGGAAGCGATTATGGCAAAGTATCCTTTGAAAGATCAAGAGATTATTCCCGAAGAAGTCTTGCTTGATCCCACTTTTCGCTTGGAGCTACTACCTGAAGATGCTAGCAACGAACCAGAGATCAAGACACTGCAAGCACCGCCACCTTTGCGGGAGGATGAATTCAATGTTGTTGTCAAGAGCAATGAGCGTATCACGGCGACCGATCACTTTCAAGATGTGCGGCACCTGGCACTCGAATGCGACTCTGAGAATATGAGGTAGGATGGCAACGGATGATGATGGGTGGATGGTTATAAAAAGGTTGACATGTACATGCGTAGATACGCCCCAGGCGATATCGCTGTCATCACACCCAAGAATCTGCCGGAAGAAGTAGATGCATTTTTGACCATGATGCAGTGGAACAACCTTGCCGATAGATTGGTTCGCATTACACCAGCATCCAAAGGTAAACTCACATCATCATGGGATGATGGCTATAGCGACCAACCATGATTTTAGATTGCAAGCTTCCAGCACATTGGGCATCCGTCATGACTTTTCGGGATTTGTTCGTCAACCATCTTGATATCTTTGGTGTGCCTCGACGTTCCTTTTTTGAAATGCTGGCTCATTTCACAAAGGATGAGAACCAAACGGAGCGTTTGAGAGAGTTTGCTTCTCCACAAGGACAAGTATGTATGAGGAATGGCATGAAAGGTGGCGGGAAAAGGCTCACTAGGTGTTATATATAGGATGACATGTTCAACTATTGTCAACGTCCCAGACGCACCATTGCCGAGATCATGTTTGATTTTACACCTACAGACATCCCATTGGACTATATCTTGGATGTGTTCCCCATCTTACGACCAAGGTCATTTTCCATTGCATCCAGTCTTAAGGTATGAAAGGGATTACGCTCATAGAAAAGGTGTTCAAGACATGTATTGACATCCATATCCATAGGCACATCCTGGTCAAATAGAGTTATGCATTGCCATTGTAAAATACAAGACCAAAATTAGAAGGATTCGTCGTGGTGTATGCACTAAATGGATCTCCACCCTCAAGCCAGGTAAAAGCACACAAGCACTTTATGCGCCCAATCTACCACCACCACAACACCACTCACAAACCAATCCCCTAGGTGATTTGATCGAACGTGTCCGTATCAGTAAAGGCACCATGCGTTTACCCCCATCGCCTGAAATTCCTCTTATTGCTATTGGCCCAGGTACCGGTGTAGCACCTATGCGTGCTTTCTTGGAACAACGGATCTTAGAGGGTGCCAAAGGCAAGTCAATGTGCTGGGGTTTTTATTATGTTCATGTCATTAATGGGATTGAAATAGAGAATGTGCTGATATTCGGTTGTCGTCATCGTGATAAGGATTACCATTATCGTCAACAATGGGAGCAATATGAAAAGGATGGTCATCTCAAAGTGTTGCCGGCGTTTTCAAGAGATCAGGTAATGCGTGTGTGTATATATATACCATGTGATTTATACAGATATTGAATGGAGCAAATGATAGGATCAAAAATTCTACGTACAAGATTGTGTTCGACAACAAGGAGCAATGATTTGGGAATTGATTGATCATAAACAAACAAAAGTCGTTTTGTCAGGGTAAGGATCGGATTCATGGGGGGGTATATATGTGTACAAGTATTGAGTTGGAGTTGTTGTTGTGTAGATCATCCGGGAAGATGCCAGAGCAGGTAGCGTTTGCCATGAAGCAGATTTTCATGAAGTATGGCAGCCTGGATGCCGAACAAGCCGAGCATTATTGGAATACAATGAGCAAGACAGGTCAATACCAAGAAGAATGTTGGTCATAGAAGATAATTTACCTTGAGAATAAACGCATCACCATTCTTCATACATCATGTCTTCATATTCGAGATACATATAGTCATCTTCGTTCCATCCTTGTGAATCCATCCACGATTGTATGGTCTCCAGTTCAATTTGATCCACTATCATTTGCCATGTTCGATCCACTCTCATGCAAGTACGAAGTACACTACGGCTTTGGGCCTGATCCATATAAAAAGTCCTGTTGTATCTCAACAAAGTACCCGAGCGCATGGATTCAACAATAGCCTCCACGGCTTCACGATACATGTCGCATTTGTTCAAGTTCAGATGTTTTGGCGGTCGGGTCCTCAATAGGGAACAAAGGTCCGTGGGATGGGTGCCAAAGATAGAGGTCTCGTAGTTGTGGGCATTCACTTGTTCAATGATCATGTTGTTGATGGTGGTGGTAGTTGGTAAATAGCGCATCAGGGCATCAAAAAAGCGGCCACTGCTCAACATGCTCTTGCATTGTATAAAAGCAAGCTTTTGCAAACCGACACAACGAGAAAACAAGGCTTGCAATGTGGATGTACTTAGCACAGATTGCTCCATTGTCAGTGTTTGAACCGCCAGGGGTGTTGTATCTTCCACTGAAATGCCCAAATCGTCCATGATGTCATATTCCACTTGTTGATCATTGATTTCAGCTGACGGATGGTAATAAGATTTGATAGTGATTGCTGTCAATTGAGGACAAAAGATGGCTGCTGCTGCGAAAAAGACACGAGGCGTACGGATAGCTGATGAGATGGAGACCCTTTGCCAAGTGGATCCAAGTTGACGCATTGCCATGACTAGTAAAAGATCATCCACACGTACAGAATAGCCCGTGATATCTATAAAAAGAAATAATAGTAATTAATGCATGCACTTTAAAAAAGAGGTTAAAGCAAAGTAAGTACTTGCCCAATTCGCGAATATTGCATTGATTCGATCGCATCAATACGCCAAGCGTGCGGTCACACAAGGATACTCTTAATTGGTAGATTGTGCCCAAGGATGAGAAGTTTTTCAATGATGCAATGACGCTTTGTTGCTTGTGAACGGCTGGATTTCCAAAATCAATGTATCCCCACAGAGCCGGAATGCTGATTAACGAGTTGCGCCATGTGCGTGATACGGCGATACAAGTGACAAGCGTGGTGAATGGCAAAAAGGAAAAGATGAGGGTGATGATCTCAGCTGGCAATTGGATCAAATGATTGTATTCGGTGCTTTTCAATTGCTCGTATGCATCCTTCAATCGTACAAGCTCAGGATCATCAAAGTAAACGCGAAAAGTTGCTGTGCGAAGGAGTTGGATAGCTTCATGGATTTTGCCTCGGCTCAAAAGGTGGTCTTTCATCATCAAGTAGGGTTCAACACGATGGGGCTCGAGTCGGATGCAGCTCTCGATATCGGCTTCACATCGTTCAGCCGAGCCGAGAGCTGCCCAAGCCGTGGCTCGCAACTTCAAGGCCTCAAAGTGACAAGTGTCGAGAGCCAACGCAGCATTCAAACATTCAACGGCATTCATGTACTTGCAGTCCTCGAGATACAAAGCGGCACTCTCAACATTGGAGTCGATGTCCCATTGCTGTAGATCGAAATTGTTGACGTCGGTCATGGGCTGGTGGTATGGTTGTGTTGTAGTGGATAGTGAATAGTGAGTGTGTAACACGAGGCGGGTGGATGGTTTTGGTAACGATGCTTGCTGCCACTAAGGCTAATAAAGTGTGCTACGTTTTATCGTGTGCTTCTTTGACTCGCTTCCTTTCACCTCTTTTTCTCTCTTTATTCCTCATTGACGCAATATGCTCATTGTGGGGTGATTCTTCTCATTCGCCATTCTGTTCACCATTCAAGTCTCTCCTTTCCACGCTATCACTATCGACAACGACTTGAACGCTTTCTATTCGACCAGCACGCACACTCACACTCACACAACACAACACAGCACACTACAGGCTCCTCAGTTCAACCCATTCGCCCCTTAATACTGTAGCAGCAATCATCAATTCTATTTCTCAACCCCCTTTTTCCCCTTCTCTATCACTTTTTTATCCTTCCAACAACCGACAACAACGCCGCTTTAACTACATCGCCCATGACTTTGAAAGAGCTCAAAGGACAACTCGTTGTTGTCATCGTTGCCCTGTTGACGACCTTTATCGCCTACACATCACAAATATTTGTCATTTGGAACTTTCTTGGAGGCGCCAGCTTGCACACGCTCTTGATCCTTATCCCTCTCAATGTATTCATCATTCTACTGTATATCAACTATGCACTTGTTTGCTTGACCGATCCTGGTTGTGTGCCAGAAAATTGGGTAAGCTCCCACAACAAGAGGAGGAGGATGATTCGTGTTGATGCTAAATGACACCATAACAGGTGCCGGATACTCAAACACACATGGAAGTAAAACGGTCAACACACGAGCCGCGTTTCTGTAAAACATGCAACAATTACAAACCACCCCGCACCCATCATTGCAGTACTTGTGGTCGATGTGTCTTGAAGATGGATCATCATTGTCCTTGGATCAATAGCTGTGTCGGCTTCCACAATTACGGCCACTTTATTCGCTTCATCACCTATATCGAGATCAGCGCTATTTACCTCTTTGTCCTCCTTGGATGCAGGCTGGCCCAAGTCATCCATCAAATGAATGAGGTGAGATGATACGAAAACAAAGAACATAAAGAAAGTCTGCTCATTCATCAACCGGTGTTACGTAGTACAATGTACATCCACCCACCCTCGAAGCGGCATTTCTTGCAATCAATCTCATTCTCTCTTTTGCTGCCATTGTCACGGTCGGCATTTTGAGTGGATACCATGTCTATTGTCTCACTACCAATACCACCACCATTGAAGGATGGGAAAAGGGCACTGCATTAACCATGAAAAGTCATAGTGGCAAAATTAGCGATGTAAGTAGTACTACTACAATCCGTGGCATCGGTACCATCATCATTGACCTTGTTTCTCTATACACAAAAAAAGGTCAAGTATCCATACAATCTCGGTTGGTATCGCAATGTGTGTGCGGTGCTTGGAAATCAACCCTTGTTTTGGATGTGGCCACAGCGTATGCAAGGTAATGGCTTGTACTTTCCCATGCGGTTACAAGAAGGAGGAGAAAAACGAGCATCGACCCTTATGCATGAAGATACGAGTGAATTTGCCACACTCGTTCGCAAGCCATCCAGGCTGCATACGCGTGCTAGTACAAGCAGCAATTTACGCGTTCCGACAACACCTGCATCCGTCCTCACATTCAATACCACATCCACCCTTGTCGATCCCCTCTTTGCCGCAAAATTACCGAGCTCCTCCACCAAAGAAACTGCCATCGAACTCCCTTGTCGGTAGCAATGGGGATTATTGTTCCGAATTCGGAAGTATATATATATACACATATATAATGTAATAATAAAACGTTGCTCTCTTTCATTTCTTTGCATTCTTGGTGGACTCCTCCTTTATCAGCATGAACAATGGCCATCCTCACATCATGAATCAACAGCAACAACAACGACAACAACGACAACAACAACAACGATCCAATAATAATAACGGCAATGCTCCTTTCAATCCTCTCAAACCTGTATATAAATTACTCTGCAGATACTGCCATAATATGGTGTGTGCGCGTGGCATGCGGGCCATTTTATTGGCTGATACCAACATTGAGCTTTACAGCACAGACATCCCAGCCACTTCGTATGGATCGATTCCCCCTTTTCTTTGCTTGACAACGACGACAACAATGACTCATCACATTCATCATCATCATGTAGCATTCAATTGATGGACAAGGATTATCTTACTCGAACATGTCATTGTCGGATACGTGATGTAGCATGTCGTGAATGGTACGTATCATAGCACATTTACAATACTCGTCGTAGTCTAACACTACCTACTACTAGTGGTAACATCATTGGATACCATGTTGTTGCGCCATGTAGCCGATGTCTTCAAGCTTGTAACAATGGTCATTTTTGGATGTTTCATTCCGATGCATGCCAGCCAAATGAACGGAAAGATATCACAGGTAACGAGGCAACCACCCCCCCCTGCTATGTAGAATGAACATGGATACCAATATCCCTTTATTATACTACTAGGCAAATGTACGATTCTATGGAATAATCTACCGCGTGCCGAGCAGGATTTCGATTTCATTATGGGCACCACCATACCATACGATCAAATCTGCCGTTAGACCACCACTATGTATATTTTCGCCCAACACTCACCTCTTCAACATTACGCAATGTTGCCCACCAACAACTCCTTGTCAATGAACGATCGCAATGTATACATTCCTCGCCCCATCGCTTACATAAAGATGACTTGTAAACAATAAGCTGTGTGATGGCTTGGTGGCGTTGGCTGGGATGATGCAGGGCGGGATTATCGTTTCAGCAGCGGGCTGCATAAAAAAAGAGACAGATCATGTACATGTCGGATCGACATCCGAGTAGTACGACGACGTGCGTTTGTTCACCTTATGACATAGTGTGTGCCTTTCATCGACACCTTACTGCATCCGGTATCTTCATGTGTCCAATACAAATACAATGATTCATATGTCTCGAGAAACTATAGCTTTGTGTGCGTGCACAGGTACATGTAGATATATAAACATGTCATTTTCTTCTTTTCGAGAAACAAGCCATTTCAATTTCAAGCCCCCTCAATGATGAGGATGATGTTATCATCTATAAAGTTACACCGAAATCATCTCCCCCATCCATCATCACCACCACCACCTTTTATAGATAAGGATGTTTATTGTCATGGAAACAAGTGGGAGGTGAAGGGTGTTGTTTTGAAACCAGGAGCTTTTGTGTTTTTTGGTCATGACCCAAATTGGGTATTTTGTTTACTGTATCACGTCCACATGGTTAACTCGCCTCAGCTGTCCACATTTTCACACCTTTCTCTCTTTTTTCCCTCTTTCTTTTATAAAAGAGGAACCCCATAATCTCGCATGTTTGGAGGTGGACGATCTCGACCACGCCGTTCATACTCGGGGGATTCACATTATTACTCTGGTTATTATCAACAGCAACAACAGGCACCTTATTACAACAACGCATCAGCTGAACAGCAACAACAACAACACAATATGATGGCAGGTCCAGGTCAACATGCTGCTGCTGCAGCGCAGCAGCAACAGCAACAACAACAACAACAAGCTGATATGGCAGCAGCAGCAGCACAACAACAGCAACAACCACAAGCAAATCAACAAGTACCGACAACTCCACCTCCTCAACAACAGCAACAACAACCTTACCAACAAGCAGGACAAGCTGCTGGTGGACAAGCAGCAGCAGCAGCACAACAACAACAACAACAAGTGCCACCCCAAGGTGATCCTGCTGCTTATGGTCAAAGTTCAGGTGGCATCTTTGACGCGTTACGTCGTAAAGTACGAGAAGCTGCTGGTCGAGGAGGAGCTGGTGGACCTGTTTATGATCCATATCAGTATAGTCGATATGCAGCCATGATGGGAGCTGGTGGTGCAGCTGCTGGTGGTTATGGAATGCAACAACCCATGATGATGCCTGGTGGTGCTGATATGATGATGGCCCAACAACAGCAACAACAACAACAAGCGGCGATGATGGCCCAACAACAACAACAAGCCGCCATGATGGCAGCCCAACAACAACAAATGAATCCCATGATGATGGGTGCAGGAGCAGCAGGTGGATTCATGGATCCTACCACGTTGGCGATGATGCAACAACAACAGCAAGCAGGCATGATGCCACAAACACCTTATCCAATGTCGATGCAACAACCCATGATGGGTGGTATGGGTATGGGCGGTATGGGTATGGGCATGCAACCCCAAACACCAATGACACCGGGTGCAATGATGAATCCTTATGCACAACAACAATCCTATTTCGGAGGTGCAGGCTCCATGATGATGCCAGGTCAAAATCCATACATGATGATGCCTGGTCAACAATATGACCCTTATGGCTACGATCCATATTCCATGTATCAACAACAAATGCCAGGTTATGGTATGGGCGGCTATAACCCGGCAGTCATGGGTCCAATGTCCATGTACGACCCCACCTTTGGTCGTCGTCTTGCCGAGCCACGGTTTGTACCAGAACGAAATTATATCAGCTCAGTCAAGGATCTTTGGCAAAGCAGCCTTTATTAAGCCATTTTTGTATTATATATCTTTCCTTCTCGCATCATCATGTCATCTACATTCTTACTACTACTACGAATTGTTGTATATTCAAACACACACACACACACACACACACACACACACACACTCACGCACACACATTACTATACAATAAAATGTCATCGTCATGCTTTTTGTTGCAAATTGCCATCGATGGTATGGTAGGGGTGATACATTCTATTCCTTTGTCAGATGATTGTGCTGTATTTCATGTGAGCATGACGTATATTAAGGAATCAGAATAAGCATTCTTGATCGGTGTTTCCGATATTGACAATGCGAGGGCACGCAGTAATTCTTTCCAAACTGTGAAACCCAAATCCTTCATGTGACAAGTAAATGGATGCAAAAAAGCATAGCTAGCGTACATATTATGTATCATTGCAAAACTACATAGAGGAGGTTGATGGTGATAGCAATAAATATCCTTAGCTACTAGTACTTTGATTGGCATTTTGCTCCTCTTGCTCTTGTTCATGGTTGTTTGTCGCACCACCAAGATCAACAAGTCTCTCTACTTCGGATTCCTTGATATAGACGACAAAATAAGGGTTCGCTGTGCGTCCTGTGGTATTCTGGAAAATCTCATTCTCATCCACCTAGTATATCAAAGTCAATCCCAAGTCCCCTTCCCTCATGTTGCGTTTACGTACCTTGGTTACCAAAGAGTCATTGTACTTCCACCATTGTTGCTTTTGATGATTGTAGATATACACCCAATAATGACCATAGTTGGCTTGACCTGCAAAAAAAGTAACTTAGCATCCTCATCCACCTGAACAATAGCCATCGTACATACCTTGATGGATAAAAACGGCGTGTAAGCGATACGCAATATCCGTCAAGTCTTCATATTGTGCCCGTATCCGTTGCTGGAGTTGATCAATGGTTTCTCTACTCTCTATAAAATAGGATATATGAGTCATCTCCTCCCACTCTCGATTCAAGTTAAAGCATACTCACTTTCAATGGTTTTCCTTGCTGTATCCGCCTCATCTTTTAGCAATTGTAATGCTTGTTCATGCAGCTGGGCCAGTTCCTCGCTTTCTTGATCACGATATTCTTCCAATATAGCAGCGGAGGCTTCCAACATTTGGGGGATGGGCATTGGATACGCCTATAGTAAGGCTACGTTTAGTCTACTTTGACGTTGCTATGCCAACCACCATCACCATGTACCTTGTTTTCTGTGAGCTGTTGAATAATTTCCTTGTTGGATTCCACCTCCTTTTGCCATGCAGCAACCTCAGCACGACGACCCGCCAACGCTTCACAATTGGATTCACTGTAGCGGTCCAAGTAGATCACCTTTTCCAATTTGATAAAAGCATTGCTCTTGTAAACATTGGATGTCTCTCGATCAAATTGCACTCGCTAAACATGAAAGGTGATTAACATTGGGCATGCATGTACGTATACAACAAACTTGCCTGTACTTGGATCTGCAATACGGGTGGAAATGTACTGACAGTGACTTCACGCGTAGCTCCTCGTCCACCATGGAAGTTTTCTACCCGTCCAGCAAAAAAGTACTCGTCCAATCCATCATAAAGATCCTTGCCTTCAACAGCATCCACCATCACGTGAGCAAATTCCTCATGCTGCTCCTTTCGCACATTGCGAAGCGTTTGGGTATCTTGGTAGGTAAGAATTTGCCTGGCCTTGAAATAAAAGAGGTCTCGCACAATATCTCTGGTCTGCTCGTCATTTTTCTTTTCCAAAGGCTTCAAGGCTGCTTCAATAAGAAACATGACATTGCTCATGCATTCTAAAATAGAAATGTTAGGTCCATGTAAGGCTCCAACAACTACAAAAGGACATCCCACACTTACCAGTGACATCTTGTTGCTTGCCAAGCATCATGTTTGCTGCACTAGGTCGCCTACTAGGCAATTCGGGCTTCTTCTCATAAAGGATAAGAGCACCACCATTCGAATCCCCTTTTTCTTTTTCCTTGACAACTTGATCATACGAGGGTGGTAGTTCATTTTCCTTGTCAGCATCTGGCACAATCGAGTCGTCATTGCTGTTGTTCTCAGAGATAGGAGGTTTCTCAGAGGAGGGCGTGTCTGAAAGTGGAGCTGATCCATTGTTGTTAGAGATGGTTGATGGTTTCTCAGAGGATCCATTGTTGTCAGAGGTGGTTGATGGTTTTTCAGAGGAGGCTGCGTCTGAATCTTGAGCTGCACCATTGGCTGGTAACTCATCCTTTTGCTCTTGTTGTCCATTGGATGTTCTATTCTCCTTTGGTTGTTCTTCCAATGCTGATGTATTGTTATCTTCTGGTTGCTCATGTTGCTCCCCATCCTTTTTCGCTTGACCATTCTCCTGCTGCTGTGGCTGTGGCTGTGGTGGTGGTGATGGCGATGGTTTTTCATCCTGCTGCTTTTTTTGTGTTGCCTTATCTTCAGCTTCCTCAAGATCCTTTCCATTCAAAAGAGCCATGTACGCCAAATCATAGGTCGGTGATATCGCTCTAGCTTTGGAATTGCCAAGGTTGACAAACAACTCTCGAAGATTGGTAACAACTATCATCAAAGTGAATGAGTAAATGAATAGCATCACTTTGGCAATCCCACTTACACTTTTTTGCCCGCTGCACTTCTTTTTGATCCACCTCAATGCCACCGATTCTTTTGGGTGTCCAACCAGGCTGTGTTTCATCCTCCACAAAATCATCCATGTGTACAATTGTCTCACGCAATGGCACCAGCGTATTATAGTACTATATACGTATATCCCTTCTTGTCAGCCGACTCTAGATCATGCCGTTCATAAGAGCTTACCTGTAATAAGCTATTCAGATAGCACGTATTACCGATATTGTTCAATCCAACAGGACTATATAAAACGGCATCTTAGATCCTTGTCAACGCCAATCCATCAATGTTGACTTACCCTTCATGGCGAGGAGGTGGCGGTGGAGGTACTATTTTGCACATGATCATCAACATACATATCTTCTTGTTTACCCCAAAGATAACGAACCTGATCCTGTTGTTGTCTTTTCAGTCTTTTTCAAATGTTCACGTAATGCATTGCTCATTCGGATATTGGCGATGATTTCCAAGGCGTCTCTGTGCTCCTTTGTAGACTTTGGTTCTTGTTCCATCTATAGTTAAAAAGTTTAGTTTATCCAATAGCATCCTTCTGTAATAGCATTTACCTTTGAATCATACAAGTCGATCAAAGCCCCTTCATCCACATCCATTGCTTGAGGATCAATGCCATAGTAGCTGTATGCCTTTTTGATGTCGGTATCGCCCAATTGACCTTTACTGGATTCCAATGCCACCTCGGTCCATAACTTGTCGCTTTCTCTCCTACGTGCTTCCTTGGCCAAAACATCGATATAAATGTGTGCCTTGTCAGGTGTTTCTTGGATGAGGCGATGATATAACCAAACCAACACGGCATCGGTTGCTTCGGCCACGCTTCCCAAATAGAGTTCAGGTTGATCTTCCTCGGTAGGTTCAGCATCAGGCATGAGACGTTCCTTGGATCGATCGACGCCGATGGTATCTTGTAATGTGGGCATGGCTCTTTTGACGGTAGGGACAACATTGAGCTGGGTGGTATCATCATCATCGTTCACTTGATCTTGCAATGCATAGAGACAGACCAAGAGTTCATCACGAATGCTGATCCAGCGACTGCGATCGGATGATGTGATTTGGGGTGCATCGAAATAATCAGTCTCCGAGTTGAATGTGTATCCAATGCATGCCATGATGGATTTGCTATGCAACGACAACGACGACGAGTTTCAATAATCCATTGCTCTACTACTACCACTACTACACCCATTGTTTACCTTGCATCATCCAATCCAATACGTGCTTGAAAATGAGGATTCTTGCTATTGATGCTTCGTTGATCACCCGCAAGCAAGTTCTTCACATAGGTCAAGAGCAGCTTCAATGCGTCAACCATGTTGGGTGCTTGAGCTTGGTCCTTTTCAAGGTGCATACGTCGTCCTTCGAGCAACTGGTGAAATAGCTCGGGCTTCATAATAGGATCGGCCAAGGTTACTTGCATGGCATAGCGACAGCCACAGCATTCAAAACGAGGTGGTTGTTGTTGCAAGTGGTAATGGTGTGTTGGGCCGGCACTGCATATCGATGCTTGGGTTGTTGTTGTTGACAATGCCTTGACAACGAGACGCTTATGGCAAATTTGACATAAGAATGGTGGATTCGCGTCTTGTTCAGCTGGACATGCAAGGAATTCATGGGGATGGGAGTCGCGATTGTTGTCACTCGAGACGCGATCGTATTGATAGTACAGGAACGAGAGAAGACCTGCAGGAGTAAAACGAGTCTCCACTGTGTTGCTGATATCCGGTGGTTGAGTGTCGACCGTTGTCGGTGCAAAAGACGCCGTATCCATGGTGCTTTAAAGTGAAAGAAAAGAGAGATCAATGCGAAATTTCAAACCAGTCGCTGGATAAAGTGCTACCACAATGCTGGTTGTGTGTGATGGGAGGAGTCACCTACTACTATGTCCATCATATCCCTTTCCTTTGATGATAATATCAGCAACGTCGCTTCAATCATTTACAATGAGTGATTGATCATGTTGATTGTTGAATAGGTAACCAACCTTAATCTTGGTTTCATCACCCACTCAGCCTCTCGTCAACCCACGGACAATAGATCACATGTCTTTTCAAGTACACCATCACATGCATTATATATAGACGAACCAAGCAGTTAGGTTATCAAGTGTGCCAAGAGAATTAAATATCACCAGCAGGTGTACTTTTCATAAGAGAGAAGAAGAAATAGCAATTGAATGGAAGCGAATGTGTGGGTGATTGAATCATGGCTTATACTTGCAAAAAGCAAGATGTCACTTATGGATGAAAAACGCCAAGAAGCAGCACACCAGGGGTAGGGTACAAAGGACCATTTTGCATAAGCGGCATTTTACAACTGATTCCTCTTTTCCATACATACACACACGCAATATGAGTTGGTAGGATTGGATAATGCTATTTTATCAAGAAGAGTGACTCATTCATGGCTATGTAGGAAAGGTGTCACCAAGGCAATCTCTCGTCTTCCCCATCAAATGATGGCACGTAAAGCAGATGGTAACTCGTTGTCGCGCACAATGTTGACTAGGAGTCTATACTCATTGGAAAGGTGTCTATAGCCACGGTCGATGAGGATTTTGTCAGACTGGAAAAAAGATTCAACGAGCTGGTCAAGGAGATTGACGTCTTGCGACAACAAAGTCATGCGTTTCGTGATGCCATTGCAGGTAAAAGGGTGTGGGTTGGGTGCCTGTGTTTATGTAAAGCGTCGACGTTGATTCCCGTTTTAGCGCTGTTGGAGCACCAAATGCATTGTGCAACCACATTGGAGGAAATTTATGCAATGGCAGAAGATCAACCAGAAGAAACGATTCAGGCAACTCAAGACTATGCTACTGCAATGACTTATTGTCGTGATGAAATATTACAGCAGCTGGTAACTATATATATTGTCCTTGCTTAAAGTATACTCATGGAGGTGAATACTGTAGGATCAATTGGATAGTAGTGTGGTACAACCAGCTGAACATGTCCACGCATTGACCAAAGCCATTCAAAAGACCATCACAAAACGACAACACAAGTTAATCGATTATGACCGCCATCGCATCTCATTACAAAAATTCAAGGCAATCCAAGATCGTAGTCCATCCGAGGATAAGCAAGTCTTTAAGCTGGAGAATCAACTTGCGACGGCAACACAGGATTATGAATACCTCAATGATATGCTCAAACAGGACCTTGTTCGATTTTTACGCCTTGCTGCAGAATGGATTACACCTATTCAGACCTCCTTTTTCCATCTACAATGCTCTGTTATTGGTGGCATGTACGGTCGCATCTATGAAGTGGTTCAAAGCACTCAGCATTTCCCTACCATTGATCAACCCATGGAACAAGGATACAATTGGCATGTCAGCCAACGGGATGTGAAGCATGAATTGGAATCTCTGGAGATCTTGCAAAAGGGCGTGGGGAGCATGAATAGTAAGTGGGCTTTGGTCTTGATGGATGTGTTGCATGATTTAACTCGTGCTTTTCAATCAAGGTGTTCTTCGACCCGGCCAAGCAACTCTTCGTGAACGAGCTGCTGCAGCGGCTGCTACTTCTTCCAACGAACCACAATACAATACTGAACCATCACCACCCCAACAGCAACAACATCCTGAACCAGCCATTCAGCAAGCAGCATCTTTTCGTCGTCAACCTCCACCGCCTCCACCACCTCGTTCCAGCAACAATACCAGCTTTGTCATAGCCTTGTATGATTTAGATGCTCAACAAGAAGGTGACCTAAGTATTCGAAAAGATGACAAGATTGAAGTTTTGGAGCGAACACAGGATACCATGGATTGGTGGAAAGGTCGCATTGGTGACCGCGTAGGCATGTTTCCAGGTAAGATACAGCTCATGGGCACACATTTTTTAGATGGAATGATACACTCAACACACATACACCAACCTCCCCTCCCTCTTCAGGCAATTACGTTCAAGAAATATAGCACTACTAGTTTACCCCCACATCTCTTGTTTTTACCCAATGGAATTAAAAGGAATCATCGTTTTGATTTATGTTTTTCAGTAGCAATAGCCAACAATTCATCGAATTCACCACTACGTTCACATAATTGTCGAAAGATGCCTTCATGTCGGGTAGTAGTAGTAAGAAGATTGTATGGCGTATCGAATTCCTTGACACGGCCTTGATCCAATACAAGGATACGATCATAATCTGCCACTGTACGAATGCGATGGGCTATGCATAAGAGCGATGAATGCGTGAGCTCAGCTCGAATGGTTTCTTGGATCTTGCGGTCCGTGTCAAAATCAACTGAGGATGTTGCTTCATCCAAAATCACAAGTGAGGATTTCTTGACAAGAGCACGTGCAAGTGCAATCAGCTGACGTTGTCCTTGAGACCAATTGCTTCCATTCTCTAATACAATGGAATCCAATGTAACGTTCTTTTGCTCATCATCTTGTTGTTGCTGTTGATCAATCAAATGGGCACGTTTCAGTGCAGCCCATAACTCGGCATCATCATGTTGACCAAAGGGATCAAGATTACTGCGCAAAGTGCCCGAGAATAAAACAGGGTCTTGAGGAATGATGGTCAACCGAGAACGTAAATCTTGTAAACCTAGCGTAGCAATATCCACATCATCAATCAAGATCCTGCCATGGCTTGCTTCCATAAATCGGAATAGAGAGAATGCCAATGTTGATTTTCCTATTGACATTTATAAGCTCATTGCTATACGTCCTTTTAATAAAAGACTCACCACTTCCAGTTCTTCCAACAATGCCAACTTTTTCTCTTGGTTTTGTCTCAAACGAGATGTGATGTAGCACAGCAGGACTATCATGTGAATACCTCATTTCCAAATCCTCAACCTTGACAGCTCCAGTTTCAGGCCAACTCTTTGGAGGACATGTTGTTGCAGGCATGTTTTCGGGTGCTTCTTCTTCCTCCTCAATATCCATATACTCTTGTACACGTTCAATGGAGTTCATGTTCATCTCGTTTTGTGCATAGTTGCGTACCAACCACAATACATGTTCAGTAAACAAGAGCGTGTTACTGAGACAAAGACCTGCCAAACCAGGATCGATCCAATCACGTGTATAGATAATAGCAAAACCTGCCCAAAAGCTGACAAAGACACCCAACAGCTCAATACGTGCATGAAGCCATCGATTGGAGGCCCACATCCATAAAAAGGGCCGGTTGTTGTTATCAACGAGCGTATAGTTCTCATTCAAAAAGCGAGCTTGGGCACCAAAAGCGCGGATTGTAGCGACACCTTGGATGCTTTCGCTGAATTGCACATAGATGGGGCTACGAGAGATTGAATTCAAACGTTTCAAATCACGCGATGTTGCCAAATAGTACATGCCAATAAGCGTGAAAGCGATAGCAATTAGGGTGCCAGGAATGATAAAAAGTGGGAGCACAATGGATACCAAAAGAATGACGGTGATGGTGGACATTAAGGTGATTAAAACGAAGGCCATTTGAGGAGCAACCTCTTGGTCAATGGTTTGCATATCCATGGAAAACCGATTGATCACACGGCCAAGCGGTGTGGTATCAAAAAAGCGGACCTTGGCTCGAAGGATCTTGTCGAGCAGTTTTTCATGCAAACGACGTGAGGCGTGAATGGATACAGTGTACAAGATGAGTGAGCGCATCGTGCTAGCAATAAGCGTGCAAAGACCAATCAATGCATAGATGCCAAGGTAGTACGTCACATTCACCTCTTTTTGTTGTCTTGATTCCTCCTTAATATGAGGTGCCGCCATGGTGATGGTATCATCATTGCCATATGCATTGGTCCAGATTTTGATCCAGTAGTCTCGGCAAAAGATAGCCACTTGCGCCAATACAAAAGCTGACAGGATCACAGCCCAACATAGGTATCCTCCTGATGCTTGCACGTATGCCTTGTACACTGACCATGGAACATGTCCCTCAGCGCGCTCCTCTTCTTTGACTAGCTTGCTGTCATGCTTCTTTTTAGAATGGTTGAACTTTGGTATAGCATCGTAGGACGCTACTTCCTCGTTTTGTTGCTGATTGGATGTAGTAGAGTTGCTGTCTTGATGTTGTGTGTTTGTAATCTCTTCACCAAGAATGCCATTTTGCATGATTACGGATGGATCACCAGCACCAGCCACTTGGCCATCTTTGAGAACGACAACGTATGAAGCGCCACCCAAGCACAATGCAACATAATGGGTGACGAGGATAACAGTGCGATGGCGTACTACGACATCATCATACATGTGGTTAGCAGGGCTCATGTTAACAACTTCTAATATACCTAAGTCTCCTTTGATACAATGCTCATATAAATGTTTTGCTGTATGAGCATCTACAGCACTCAAACAACCGTCGAGTAGAATAACATCGGCTTGAGAATACACAGCTCTTGCGATTGCTACTCTGGAAAGAGAAGCGTCATTTTAGCAAAAGCATCTTCCTCCTCATCATCATCAAGCACAACGACCCACTCACCTTTGTTTTTGTCCTCCACTCAATGTAACGCCTTTCTCACCCACTTGTGTTGCATCACCATGTTCGAAAATCTCGAGATCTTTAAAAAGAGCCGCCATGTATAAAACTTGCTTGTATCGATCAGCATCATAGGGCAATCCGAATAAAATGTTGTCACGAATGCTCTTGTTTTGAATCCAAGCGGTTTGTGCGACATAGGCTACACCTGATGGTGCACCACCACCTTCTAATGGGTCTTTATGCCTGGTATCATGCTGACGAGCAAGATGTGCACTCCCTTGAAAGCAATGCGTTTCACCAAGCAAGCTTGCTAATAAGGTGGATTTACCTGATCCTGTAGGACCACACACCACAGAGAGCTTCCCACGTGGAAATGATAAATCAAGGTCCTTGAGAATGGCTTTACTTGGATCCTCATCCCACCCAAATGTGGCATGATCCACAAAGCCAACATGGATACCCGTTGCCATGGGTTGTTGTTCTTGTAGTGGTGATGGCTCGTCCACTTCATCCTCATGAAGAAAATCTTGAATACGCTTTGCAGAAACACGACCTTGAAGTAACCCAGTAATATACGCTGGGAACATGTCCAATGCTGTACGTAGCAAATTAAAAAGGGCCACCGCTGTAAACGCCGTGGCTGCTGTCAATTCATATGTTCGCGTATATGCATAAAACACCGTAATCATGATAAGAATAGGGATAAGGAACCAAATGTTGGTGGTGTACATGTTGAAATAAAGACGTCGCCGCAACCACTTTAGCTCGTTTTCTCGTGCATCGTTGACGCGTGCTTTAAATTCCTTTTCCCATGCAAAAAACTTTACACTGCGTATAGCACCCAAGAGCTCGTTGACCTTTTTGATTCGATGATCGCTGGCTGTCATGAGGTTCTTTTGGGTACGCTCAAATAGCCGCCCAATGATGACAGGAAAAGGTTGCATCATGATCATGACACACAATCCCCAAAAGGCTGCTATGCCAAGTATCTTCCATAACAAAGCCATACATAGAATGATTTGCAGGGCATACGAGTACACATGAAAGAGGTATGCCATGAAGTTGCTGATTTTGAGTGAATCCACCGATAACAAATTGTTGACATTGGAGTCGGCTTTATCATCACCATCACCATCACTAGAGCAGGATGGATGTTCCCGTCTTCGTAATGCCTTGGCAAAGACTTCACCCACAACAATGGCTTGGATCCTCACACTCAATGTTCTTCCAATATAAAGTGCTTGCTGTGCAGCCAATGTTTGGATAGCCGAGCTCAAAACAAGCATAAAGACATAAAAGTAGGCAACAACAACCGGCTGTTCAGGATGCGGATCATCAATGTAACTTACAATCTTGTTCAAAAAGATCGGAGGTGCCAATAATCCAGCTATGTTGTATGATGATGATGAGTGCACATGTACAAGACGCTGATCCATCCATCCAATGTAAGTACTACATACCATTCCATGCCATAGCGTAAAAGAATTGGATCGTGAATTCTCCCTTGTAGGCTCTGAGAATGCCCCAAATCAGGGAAGAAGACTTGTAGTTTTTGTATTGCACTAACACATGCTTTGCTCGATTTTGTGGTAAGAGCTCGATCAAATCATCCTCATTCAGTGTCCTTCGATACCCCTTTTTCATCATGGGAGCGATCCAATTAAACATGAATTTGGAGTAAAGCGAGGCCCACATCTCGGTTGACATGGGGCGGTCCTGCAATCATATGTAATGAATCATCTTCTTGTTATCATAACCAGGATGTTGTTGTTGTTGTTGCCTTACAGTGTCCGAAAAGATAGGTTGAGCAGGAGCTCCACGCTCTTCATGGATCAAAATGGCAAGCATGGCAATGGTGATGCAAGCGCCAATAATAGAAAGTGCATATCCAACCGGTATCTCATCTGTGTAATGTACCACAAAGAACGAATAGATATCCACAAGATGGAATAAAAGCTTGGAAAGAAGCAGAAGATCCACTTCTTTGGGGACAATAGTGGTCACCGATACAAAGCACATGGCAGTGATGGATAAAAAGAGTACACATAGCTACATAATTTAGCGTGATGAGCTATATGCTACGTCCTCATACTACCGGCCGCTTACCCAAAAAATGCAGCTTGTGGAGAATGCAACGATAACATCGTCTATTGTACCCTCGACCACTGTATCCACGTGATACCGACGTATCTCAATTAATACTGTAGCAGACATAAAGAGTTGGATCATCGATCCCAAAACTCGTGTCAAGTTGAAGATGGACCAACGCTTGAACAGCAATTCTTCCGGAGGAATATCCGTCGACGTAGCATTGGAAGGCACTGGGTCATGAATTGGCGTAAAAGCATAGAATCGACGCCGTGCTGCATAAATGATCGGTGGTAAGCAGAAAATCAATGACGATAGTAGTGGTAGCAGTGGTAGCAAGCTATTAGTGATCCTGATTCACATAGAAAGCGGTTACTTTTGATCACTTGACGATGAATGCAAGATGAGAAATGACATTTACAATGACCGAAAACATGGATAAAAACCCTGGCCATTCGAGATCTCCTAATACGTTGTATATAGAATAAGAACCTTATACAACACCCTGACAATAATGAACAAGCTACTGTAGCTTACCGAAAAGTTACAATTTTCTTCCATAAAATTGCTTTTCACGGGAAGAGCAACGACCAATTGCGTTTTCCTCGCCCCTTTTTAATTCAATGAACGGTCACCACCATCATCATAGCAAGCAGTGGGCTTAGTCCAATGGAATACGAGTGAAGGGATAATACCTTATTTTATGTCCTATAAAGGAAAAAACAGACCGAAATTGTGATGGTCATACGGCTTCAAAAAAGGTTGCACATAGTAAGGATGTTTCATGGTTCTCCAACAACAACCCTTCTTGATCGCGTTTTCAATATAAAGGCCCTTTCTGTTATGTTGGGGTTGGAAGGTGTCTTTCTTAGTCAAGTGTGCCCTCTCGGGTTATGTTGTGGTACAGTAGTGCCATTGTTCCTCCTCTTAAATCATTGACCCAACTACATTTGACAACCACCATGTATCTCATGCAAGACGACATGATTTCATTGTTCCTTAACATGTGCAATTGTTGTTTTGGCAATGTCACCTTTCAGCTATCCCCAAACTCCCACCACGATCCACATCAACCCCGTCTTCTGCATGCATTTCATATCCCCCCCCAACGCAAAAAAAAAGTCTCACTATGGATGCATTGTAGTAGATGGATGTAGGGTCCAAACGGGCTTAGCGTGGTACCTGTATCACCCAAAACAGCAACGACATGTTCACACAATCACCACAGCAAAACTTTCATTGGCCATAGTAGCATAGACATCTTTTAATTTGAGAGAGATGATATATTGTACGTGCGTGTAGAGGTGGTAATTGTGACAAGTGGCCACGCCAGATGTAGCCGTGTGTATATAAAGATGGCTGATACAATAAAATTGAACAAAGTGAAGAGGAGAATAGTCGTTGTCTGAAATGGAATCATGCATAGCGCTCTCTTGTGGAACGGACACCTTTTCTTACCTTGACACCAATGAGCACACGATCCATCCGCTGGAATCCAGTTACTGGAAGCAATCGTTAGCCATCACGAAGGACGATCGTGCACACAGCTCCATGCTACACCAATTCAAGACTGACATTGACGAACCGATCAGCAGCATCTTGGCCTTCGCGATCCAACATCCCTTGACACACCAACGACCTGCCACGACAAAGAACATGATGATCCAACTACCCATGGTTTGTGTCTGAAGGCGTTTATCTTCAAGCGGCAGCATACTGAATAGGATGATAGCATCAAGGTGTCTATTGGAAGGGGTGACGTGGAACAACAGCAGAGCAACAGGCACCTTTTTTTCTCATTTTGCATAACAAGGACATGCTTCTTTCATTGCGACCTACAAGTCATTCTCCAAGGTACATTGATCCATCACGTGAAGGCTTCAATAACAACATGCGGCTAATGATGGATGATGCTGATAGCTATGAATCCCCATGATCCCATCCATCTCCAATACTGTTGATACGACCATCGACTTTTTGTCACTCATTGGATCCAACAAAACACAACATTCGACATTTACATTGCAACCTTGACTTGAAGCCATTCGCTGTATACAATCCGAATCCAGCTAGTAGAGCAACAACATTATCCCAAAGTGACAGCTCTTACGACCTTTTTTCTCCTGGCATCATATCATATCCTACGTCTTGAACATTTATTGGCTATATGCAATGAGCGGATGGCGATCTTGTACCCGTGGCATTGAAAACAACCGAGAAACAATGGGGTCCATACGTCATTGCGCGAGGAAGCGGTAGTCATTATTGTGCAACCTGGTAAATTGATTGGCAAGGTTCCGCCACCGTTTCCGTGGAAGCACTTTATCCGCTGGGCACTCTTTTCTTTCCCCACCACACCACCACCTCCACCTTTACCCCGCAAACTCCTGCTATATAAGCGATCTTTATCTCTTTTCTCTTTTTCTCTTTATCTTTATTATCATTATACAAACACACACATGCATCGTTCAGTCAACAAGGCCAAGGGAAACATTTCTTCTGTATTTGCTCATTTGGGAGCATCCAAGCAAAAACTGGAGCCGCGTTTTCAAGAGCTCAAGCACCAAATAGCCCCTGCCAATCCCGAAGTATTACGCCGTGCCTTTGATCGTCTCTTGGAAAGCTTTGAAAAAGAAAATGCCGAGATTCGTCGTCGTGGTGCTGATGTGATTCCTCAAGTTTCCTTTGAAGATATCAAGGCGAATGGAGGCCGTATGCCATCCAAGCTGATTCCAGAGATCCAAAAGCGGGGTGCTGTTGTGGTCCGAAATGTAGTGGATCGTGCTGTTGCAGCCGAGTACAAGGCCTCTATTCAAGAATACATTCAACGCCATCGCGAACACCTGACCGGATTCCCGGAAGATAATCCCCAAGTGTGGGAATTGTATTGGACCAAGGCACAAACAAAGGCACGTGGTCATCCCCACTTTAACACCACCGCCATTGCTCTGAATCACTTGTGGCACACCAACGGCAACAAGAATGTCCCCATTGATTTCACCAAGAATATCACCTACTGCGACCGGCTACGTATTCGAGAACCCAGCGATGGCCAATTCCAACTCCAAGGTCATCTTGATGGTGGATCATTGGAACGTAAGTTATGACAAAAACAAGGATCATGGAATGAAAAAAACTAATGTGATTTTAATCAAGGTTGGGAGGATCCTGAATACAGAGCTTGCTATACAAAGATTCTCGAGGGTAAATGGGAGGTAAAGTATCATCATCAATTGGGAAGAGCACGTGCTCAATGGGTGTGCTACATCATGTAGGAATACGACCCATTTGATGTGACCCATCGTGTTGAAGCCAATATGGATTTATATGATTCGCCCGGTGGTTGTTCCATGTTCCGCAATTTCCAAGGCTGGCTTGCTATTTCAGACATCACTCGTGATGGTGGTCATTTACGCGTTTCTCCCTTGATCAAAGAACCCACTGCCTACTTTATGATGAAGCCACTCCTTGCCGAGAATCTTGATACAAGGTACGTCTATCATTGCATGGCATTTTCTTTGTCATCCATACTCAACGTCGCGTTTTTTAGTGACTTTATGGGAGCATGGCCAGGTCGAGGTCAAGATATCACTCCTCACGATCATCCTCATATCGTTGATAGCATGATTACAATGCCTGATGTGGAATGTGGTGATGCTGTCTTTTGGTAAGTAACATGGAGACATGGTGGATCCCATTTGAAAACTCACACTTGTAAATTGTTGTCAGGCACTGTGATCAGGTCCACGCTGTTGAACCCATGAATCAAATGAAGACCGATTCTTCTGTACTCTATATTCCATCCACCCCATTGTGTCCTCGCAGCTCTGAATACTTGCGTCGACAACGTGCAGCATTTGAAAGTGGCCGGTAAGCTATTATAGAGACGCCAAGGATTACAAGAAATTCATACAATGTTGTATTGTAGCACACCCCCTGATTTCCCTGCCAACGACAGTGAGGAGCACTTTACCGATAGAGCTACTCCAGACACGTTGAACGAAGCTGAAAAACAAGGCATGGGTCTCCTTCCTTTTGCAGAGGATGAAGCTGGATTGACTGCTGGTCAGCTACGTGCCATTCGTGAACACAATCGCATTATTTCTTCTTGAATAAAAAAAACATCATCATCATCATGTAACAATGGATCATTCTATCACCGAACATGTCCTACTGCTGAGCAATGACACATGGAAGCCGCTGTTACTACGTTGCACAATCGGACCTACATATACACCTGATCCCAAAGGGCATTAAGGTGAGAGAGCAATTTCTCATCGACTAAGCACTTGTTCTTTTTTCTTTCACATTTATTATGGCAGCTCCATCAGGCATAGGATTCCCAGTAGCAATCTTTATTGTTGTCCTTGTCATCTTTTTTGGAATTGTTGCATTGGGCATTATCAAACGAAAACTCAAAAAAGACGAACAAAGAAGGGAGGAGCAGCAGATACGTGCAGCTGCTGCCCGTAGAAGGGAGAATGCTAGAAATATTGCAGCAGCCGTTCAAAGGGTCACAAGGTCACCACCCGCTTACGAGCCTCCCACGACAACAACAACTGCAACAACTACAACAGCACCAGCACCAGCACCAGCGAATGGAGAATCATCATCCACCGATAATGATCACCTATCAATAACGATACCACCACCTGCATACAAAGATCACACACAAGATAGACGCGTCCCAGTGTAGCAGCTGGATACTCATTATAGAAGAACCATCAAACTCCCATTTTGTATAATAACACTACTACTATCATCTTTTGTACACATTATTACATCATGTTTTATGCTGATGCTGAGCATCAAGCTCTTTAAAGTTTGCTTGATTTCTTAATACCCCATGATTGGAATGCTACAGTATAAGGACTATTATTGTCATCACCGTCATTTTTCAGAAATGTATATTGAATAGGCATGCTCATCATTGACGGGCCATGCCTGCATATCACTATTAGTTCTGCAAGCATCCACCATGGCTATTGTGTTTAAAACCCAATATCGATTCCTCTTTCTCCCTCTTAACATCATCCTACAGTATTCTTTATTAATGAAAAACAAGATGCTGCTAATAATGTATCTTTAGGGGTGAGGGATCATCAAAATAGGATGTAGTAAAGTACATCTTTTGTTCCCATGACAACCAAGCACGCACATGGCAACTGCTTTCTGTGGGTGGAGACGTATTACTGGGGATTGGGGAACATTGTCAAATTAGGCTCTGTATGTGTGTGTTGTGTTGTGTGAATGATCGGCTGTTGATTGATGAGCACCGACCACATGGCGCAGCAGCAGCATTAACAACAGGTACCACCCACAACCGATGGTTTGTCATAATAGGCAATTCGACATGGTACATCAAGTCTGTGCACTGATTAATAATAGTAAACGAGCGTATTTTTGGGAACACCTCCGCAGCCGGGTGCGCGCCACCACCACCCCACCCCAACAAAAACGATTCATGCAAAATGATGTGACAAATTGTCAATGTCGTATCACCATGCTTGCGGTGGTGGAGTCAACATGGTAAAAAGGAAAGTCTACAAACATGGCCGGAACCAATCTGAGTGATGGAAAATGATCACGTAATTGTATTTTTATGCATGTTAAAAGCACGTCATGTACACAATGAACGGACTGGGTGATTGTTTGGGTAATAAAACAAAAGGGGATATGTGGTGTGCGGAGCATAAGCGTAAAAGGGGAAAGAAGGGATGATGATGGTGGATTGTTTATTGAGGAGGAGGGTGTTGGTGTCTATGATCTTTTCAAGGATATATACAACATGGAGAAGAAGAATGATGGTAATGATAATGATGTATGTATGTATGCATGTATGGAATACTGTTGCTGTTCAAAGAGACATTCTTGGGTATGGATGATGGATCGTGCAAGTAGAAGTTGTAGCACAATGGATGTTTCCATCGTCATGTTCTTGTGCTCCTGCTGCGGAGGTAGAGTTTAACAATGGCCATGATGATTGTTGCTCAGCTGCTGCTGCTGCATCACCCATGTTGCTTTTGTCACGATAGACATCGTTCAAAGCCTGAAGTAGAACAGCGTTTTGCCGACGTAAATGTTCTAGAGCTTGGCGCATGTTTTTGTTTTCTTGGCTGCGTTTAGCCCGATACTTTGCAGAAGCTATCTTGTTGCGTCTTCGGCGTTCTTCAAGCGTACTATCTCTTGGATCTGGAGAAGGAGAACGACTACCACCACTACTACTACTTGAGGAGTGTTGCATGAAAAGAGTCTTGTCAAGAGGAGGGAGTAGCAATTCATCATCTTCATAATGATGAGAGGATGTTGTTGTTGTGGTGGACGATGGAGAAACCATGGGAGGCAAAAGAGGAGGAGGTGGTGTAGTAAGAGAATCTTGCTGCTGCATAAAAGTGGATGAGGCATGATGATCTGAGGATGGTTCCAAAAGAGAAGAAATGGACATGATGGGATGATGATTGTTGGTGGTGGTATCAGGAGCAGAAGATGCTAATGATGATGATAGCATTGTTGTTGTTGTTGTATGTACAATTGTATAAAGTAGAAAAATGACGAGGGAGCTGTCAAAAGAAAGGCAGATGACACCTTTTATATACGATAGTGAGTTGCCACGTGCCTGTGCCAAGATTCTTGGATGAGAGGCCAAGGTTAGGTTGGCATCATAAGCGCCACATTGGTCATCCGCGGATCCAAGGAGGGGAGGCTGGAAGGGGAGCAATTGCTTTATCCAGCATTTCACGCGCGGAGGGGGGAAGCCACGCCACGGAATGTTACACGAAAATGATAAAGTGGGATGCTTTGTATTTGCGCAGCTATTGGATACCCTACTCACTCACTCGCTCTTCTCTTATACACTCTCTCTCTTTTCGAAATGCTTTCTCGTGTCCTTCATTACACAGCTGATGCCATTCTTATTTCCACTGCACTCGCAGGTATCAAGCGTAGCACGGGTCTCACGTAAGCTTCTTGCCATTCCCAATGGGACCGACACAATTGCACCATCCTGAACTCAACCTCCTCCTCCTCCTCTTCCTCATTTAGCCCGGCAGTGAACAAGATTGAACACGAAGATGTACGAAGCTATGCACAAAAGTATCTCAACATGGGCGAATGGATTATGGATAACAGCATTGTGTTTATGAGCAACTCGTCCTATTTTGTTCGTAACAACGGCAACAACAATGACCATTGATTTTCGATTCCCTATACTTTTTTACACCTGACACCACATGTTGCTTATGCACCGGCTCATCACCGAACCTTATTCTTTTTTCCCACCCTCCATCACAATTTTATGCATGTACAAGAATTTGTCCGGTTCTTTTTAATTACAATAGTGGGTAGCAAGAGTAGTAGCAGGGTATTTACAAGTTAATAGAAAAAAAAAGGTGTCGTCGTTGACAATGAAGATGTGAAGATGAAGATGATGATGATGAATCATGGAGCAAAACAATTGGCTATGCCGCTGTGTGTGTGACTTAGGGAAATGGAGGGAAGGATGATTCTTGATCAGTTGTGCTGTTGGCAGTTGAATCATAGGACCATGGAGAATAAGTGTCGTCGTCTTGCAAGGAGACCCTTTCGTAGGGTGGAATGATGATATGTGCAGGCTTGTTTCTTCGATTGAGAGGAGGTGTGCATCGAGTAGGTACAATCAGGACTTGAGTATGAAATTCGTTTTCTTTACGCAACATGTGTTCTGGATAAATGATGATGGGTTCACTGGATGGCTCCAAAGTAGAGCCAGCGAATCGAGGAATAGTAAAAGGCATTGACATGGTGGATGTATGTATGTATGTGATTGAGAAAGAGGATGTAGGGAAGAAAGGTGGAAAAAACGGAACACGTTTTATAGGACACATGCATTAGTGCTGCTGGCTGTCTTTTTGACTCTCATATGAACTCATAACTGGTGCACCGACAGCATGAAACCAAGGCACCCCACTTTGGCTTTTTCTCTTTTCCTTTTTAGAAATCGCATGTTCCAGCTGGCCAATCAATGACGCTCCTCTCCGCTTTGTTCCTAGCGATCTTACATCACCTTATCCTTGGGCACCTTGTTTCTAAGCATGGGTATTAAGAAAGCACGCGTTTTCGGTATAGGATTCGCCAATCATGCACTGACAGCTCCCTAACTCGGGAATTTGCAAATTTTCTTGCCAACGATGGCCGGCTCAGGGTCCCCTATTGCCTGGTGACTCCGGCATGAATTTCAGCTGCTTGATCGGCCAAATTCGGGTCCTTTCCATTATGCTTGAACCCGGCATGCTCCGATACAATCCCGCCGGAAAAGACATGAAAGAAACTTTTTTTTGCAATTCATATATGTACAAAGTATCAAAGAGAGAAGGAAATGGGAGACATGTGAAACTAGTCGGTTTTGGTATAATACTAAAGAGATTCAGCGTATGCATGTGTGTGTGTGTGTTGGTGGGTGTGTAAAGGTGTGTGTGAGATCGGAATCAAAGTGTGGGTTGGTTGATATTATTATTGTCTCTCTCTCTCTATCGTTCCATTGGCTCTCGCTCCACCATAGGAGAATTGCATCCATCAGAGGAAGGAGAAGGGTATGCTGTTACTGTCGTTGTCGTACTACAAGAGGAAAAAAATCCCATGTCAGATCCGCATCACCGCCCCCGCCCATTGTTGTAGTCATCATTACTACTACTACTACAATAATGCACATTCCCTTGCTCTCTTTACACACATACCTTGTTGGATAATAATTACATGGAGATGGTGTACTACCCATAGCAATCATTGCAGCTGCTGCAGAATCACGACGCCTTCGTTGATGGTCATCCTCATCATCTTCATAAGAGCTGATGGATGATGTACGTTTTGATAGAGCAGAAGAAAAGTCATTGTGTGTGGAAGCAGCAGCAGCAGCAGCATTATGCTGACAACGTGCAGCCAACTGTGATTGGACCCACATTAGATCGAGCTCCTTGGCTTTTAACCTTGCCTCCGCCGTATGTCGTTTATCTTCTTCAATTTTGCATCGAAGAATCAACTTGAGCATCTCAGGCTCAGTGTCGTATTCAGCAAGCACTTGTTGTAGATCCATGCAAACGTGTTGTAGCTGTTGTGTAGATTGATGCTGCCGCCTGTTCTTAAGCAATGGGTTGTTGTTGTGTCGATTGGTAAAAGACAAAGGATAATGATGTTGTGTTTCGGATGAGAATGACATGCCTTTTTAAATGAATACAAAAGACAAAGGGAAGAAGAGTAAAAAAAAGAGTAGGATGGGAAAACACGTATATTTCGGATGGAAAACGGGAAGCTTATAAGTGAAGATCGGGGTCGGGTGGTTTGGTTTGTCTCATCATTTTCCAGCCTTCCAGCAGTAGTGCTTGTTGATATCCCTTACAAGTGGTGGGATGTTCAAGAAGCTCAAGTACCCACCCCTTGGGAAGGTCATTTCTTTGATTAGAATCACCCTCAAGATGAAATGATAAGTGGGATGGGCAAGCATTCGAATCATTGAGGCAAAAAGCGACACCGCCATTTGGTCATCCGTATTTTACCACGGTTAGCAAAAGGGATATATAACAAGCTTTGTGGGTGTGTGTTGATGTGATTCATTTGGCATGTTTCCCGATTTGCAGTATCTTCGGTTCAAAACGGCAAGACCCGATTTTTTCAGACATTTACCAGAATGTCCCTGAAAGTGGTTTCTTTTCCCTCTCCTCTTCTCCCATTTCCAGAAGCCTTGGAATCCAGCCGATCCCGTGATAGGTATTATCATCATTGTCTGGTAATGAAAATTTTCATTGCCATGGTTACATGAAGCTATTGGGGATAATGAAGCATCTATCGTATAGGGGGATCATCCATGTGTGTTGGTTGATGCGCGGTATTTGCCATAGTGAAGAGAAAAAGTAGGCTCACGGGCCAACTAACCAGCTGGGCTGGAAACCAAATGTGAGCACGCAGCCACCTTATCGGTTCACGTTTATCCATCGTTGATTAGAGATTACACATCATCACTCACTGATAGCGTTCTTATGGCGGATTCCGACATGCAAACCGGGTCCTTTATTACGTACGTGCTTGGATCGGGATGATACGTCTCATTTAATGCTCGTCGTCATGGGGCCCATTTATCGTTTCTTCCCCCACCAAGGCCATGGATACTATAATTATAGTTGCAATAAAAAGACATACGATGATACCTGTATGTGTGGATATCCCCAACCCAAAACCTTTATTCATGTTCAGTATGCATCTATGTGTGTGTATGTGTATGTGTGTGTAGTGTAGTGTATAGGGTGTGCGGACCAGTAGTAAACGGTAGCAGCCAGCCAGCAGCCAGCATCAGCAGAGCTGAAAATTCGATGGGAGTGCTGTGCCCTTTGGTCTTGTGGTGTTGCTCCTACCACAACGCGTGTGTGCCCCAATGTCAATCGACAATTTCAAAACCAACATTTATGAATACCTCGAAACGCTACCAGCCTTCACGTTCCTGAGATTGTTCCAAAAGCCTGCGACATGTTTGGCCATCTTTCGGTAACGATGCGTGGAGCGATCTGCTCCCCCCCCATTGACGATCTTGGGCAATAACACCAATGCTTCGATAGATTGCTTCCGAGCATGGGACGACAGATTGTAATGTCTTTTCTCTATGTGGAGACTGATATCATGGTTGAGGATGTGAATAACTGGGTCAATAAAGATGGACAAAGGTATGCAGCTCACGTCAATACACATACATACATACAATGACTGATGATGATGATGATGATGATGATCCTGCGTCTATTTGACACGTGCCCCTCCATCATTAGAAAGCTATCTGAAGCTCTACACAAGCTGTCTCGATTACGGATATTGGAACGCAAAGAGAATACACTCGTAATGAATGATACGTTTCGACAAGAATTCAAATGTGCACTCACTGGAGGGTACGATCATCACCAAATGAATGGATGGATGGTATGGTATCTCATATTGGGTATATGTATGTAGAGGCACGCAACAATCATTTGGTCTTCCTTGTTCGACACCTGATAAGCATCCTGTGGATATTGGGTTCTTGGATCAATACGCAGCACAACAATGGGAATCGATTCTACATTACATGGTCGGCACTGAGCTCACAAAAAAACCAAGCCGTGGTGTACTGAATCTATTAGAACGAAGTCAATTGATGCAACCAAGGTAGGATGTTCCTGCCATTGCATGATGATACATGTAATGACGAGTGGTGTATAGTGCTATGGATCCGACCCTATTACAAATCACCAACAAGGGCTTTCAATTTCTCTTGCAAGATGTGAATACCCAAGTGTGGGCCTTTTTATTACAGTACTTGAACATGGCAGAGGTATGAGTTGGGATACAGGTATACCAATGTAAGAGGTCTTACAATGGGATAGGTGTTGCAAATGGATCTTGTTGAAGTCTTGAATTTTCTCTTTCAGTTGGGATCCCTTGAATTGGGCGAGGTAAGTAATGCATGTATTCATGGTTTCCGATTTATATACTTATTCTATTTTAGAACTATTCTGTCGACACGCTTACACCCACCCAACAACAAATGCTTGAAGATTTGCGTGATTATGGGATTGTATACCAGCGAAAGCGAGGATCACGTCGATATTATCCAACGCGACTTGCAACAACTTTGACATCTGGCAATGCTGCTCTTGCTGTTGCGGCCATGAAAAGAGGAGGCAAGGTTGAAGATGATGATGAGAGTGATCAAGGCTTTGTCATTTTGGAAACCAATTATAGAGTCTATGCATACACAGGTATGGGATCCAAAACGTGCAACAACACGAAGACGACGACGACGACTGATGTCATTATCTGCCAGAATCTCCTTTACAAATCGCTGTACTTAATCTATTTGTGCAACTCCAATCACGGTTTCAAAACATGGTTGCTGGTGTCATTACGCGTGACAGTGTACGGAATGCATTGATAAAAGGCATCACAGCTGATCAGGTAAAACCCCGAGATAAAGTATCCAAGGCTGCATAGGATTGACACCTTTCTACATTAGATCATTTCCTATTTGCAAACGCATGCACATCCACAGATGCGAAAAAAGGTAATACAAAGGATGGGGGTGGTGGTTGCGCATTCACGACTCTCTCTAACACGTTTTGGAAAATAGAAACCAATTTTGCCTTTGACGGTTGTGGATCAAGTACGGCTTTGGGAAATGGAGAGATCTCGACTCAAAGCGATGCCAGGTAATAAAAGATGGATGATAATGGGGATGCACATGGCTAATGATTGTATGTGTATTTATAGCCTATCTCTATCACGAATTCAACCACCCAGCCGATTTCGAAGCCGCCGTCAAGCATGCCCAGGATCTTGATGTGCTACTCTGGTCAAACCCAAAGAAACGATCCATGGTCATCACGCAATCGTATGTATTACAAAGACAAAGGATCAATGATCATGCATGTCCTAATGAACGCATCTATTCTCTTTATTATAGGGGTCACGATTCGGTCAAGGGCTTTGTTAAACGCAGGCTGCAAAGCAAATCACAATAAGATCAGGCCAAAGGATATAACAAGAAGCCATGATAATACCACGTTCTATAGTTTGACATCCCTAGCTATATATTACACACGCACACAACACACGACACAATTTGTAAATACAAGCGAGTTCTTTGCATGCAATTGAGAATAAGATAATCTGAACTTACTTTGGGCTCCTTATCACCTTAATTCTGCATATGGGAGATTAGCATGCGGAATGACGTTTCGAGATATATAGCAAGGGAACAAGCATTCTGTAATCGAGGATTATCATCATCATCATCCTATGTACATTTCCCAATACAATGTATCCACTCATCGTGATAGATCATGTATATGACTTTTTACGACCATTGAGTGCTGAGCATATTGTTGACAGGCTTCATGTATGTTTTGTAATTAATCCAATGTCGATCACCGGAGCTATCAAAATGAAGAAAAAGGAGAAAGAGCTTAAGGTAGCTCTCGCTCTATAATACAATTGTGGACATCGCTACTGTACTATAATAGTCAAGGTCGTATATACGCTGTATTGCAATTCAAGCAGTCTTGTGACACCTCCACTCCCCCCTTCAACCCACCTTTACCCTGCTCGCAAGTCAAGGGAGAAATCGAGGCGCCTTTTTTTTAAACAAGAACACACGATCGATTTCCCCGAGTTGTATGGGTGTGTGTGTGGCACCATGCCATTAAGCAAGAAACACTTGACGTTTACTATTTGTATTCTTGAATGTCCATGTAAAATCAGCTTGTTGACGTTAAACTGATATAGGCGATGATCCCGTGGGGGTGGGGGGTTTTAGAGAGAGGGTAATGTGCGTGTGTGTGTGTCTCAAATGGTGGCACTCCATAAGAAAAAAAGAAGCTTATACTCCCTTCTCATGATAAATGTCGTGCATGAACATACATTGCTCATTGCCATGATAGTAGAGTGTAGCCAACTCAAGGGAGTTTGCTGCATGACATATAGGGTGTGTGTGTGTGTGTGTGTGTGTGTGTTGTATGTTTACAGGCATTTTCTCTCCTTTGGTTCCATGTCGACCCAAGCAGGGATAAATGCGCGCGCCTTCACTCTCACTCACTTTCTCTCTTGTCGTTTTGTTTGGATCACCCGGGTCAACAAAGCAAAAAGTGAGAGCAGCAGGTTTCAAGCTAGCCTAATCAGTCGATGTAAACGGTTCGTGTAACGTAAACCAAACGACGCTAGCCAATTGTCCGTGAACTCGGTTGTTACACTGAGGCCTTTCTTGTGCATACGAGGATGCGTGCTGCTTATCCCCCTTCTTTGGTCCTCCCTCCTTTTTCTCTCTTTCTCTTTATATTTCGTTTCCTCATCTCTTTTCTTTTCTTCATTCTTTCCATCCTTCGTTTCATTCACCGACTCCAAACAATGACCATGTATGATAGTTCATGTAAGTTGGTTACTGTAAAAGGGAGAAGAGTAGCTACTACAATGGGCAAAGAGGTGACTTAAAGTGCCAACATGCTTCTTTGTGTGCTATGCGATCCATCTTTTCAGTGACAAGACTTGAGCTCTTCAAGACCCAAAACGAGCTTGCTCGCAACTTTTACGACGATTTCGAATTTTGTCCCGTGCTGTGCATGGACGAGGTACGTCTTCTACTACCACTACTATTACTATCCCGGTGAAAGGGTTGCCAACCAACTCGAGTGTAGGTCTCTGAACATCGAGAACGAATCCAACAACGAGGATCTCCTCACTCTTCACCTAACACTTCACCACCCTATTCATCAAGACGTATACCCATCATTGATCCAGAAAATGGTATTCCAGTTTCATTTCCTAGCCCATCTTCGTCCTCTTCAAGTAGTTGCTACCAACAACAACATCATCATTGGCCTGCTCTCTCAAGCAATAGCAGCAAAAAGTCCTCACTAAATGCATCAGCAGCAGCTTACAGCTACCGGGCAATACCGGTTGTAGATCCAACAACGGGTCAAGTCGTTCCGGCAGCACATCATCATCCCCAACAACATCAAGAATTTAACGCCTTCCATGGTCTTTCCGTACGATAAATACGCAGCAGCAGCATTCTAGCATCCACATCCAACTGCATCTTCCCCCCCCCTTTGACACCAAAAAACATACGCACATATTTATCATCTCTCTTTTTTCTCTTTTCTCGAGTCATTTTTTGTCTACATTTTGCAGCAGTAGTAGTAGTAGATCTTTTTGTTTAATATTCCCCTATCGTTGGTGTATATCTACGACATGAAAATGAAGGATTACTTTATATATATATACCTTGAAATTACAAGCCGCGGAATGTGTGTGGTGTGGTGTGATGGGGTGGGGGAGAGAGATAGGCCCACCAAATGTACATTGACATTTTTCGACCGTGTGCGGGTTGATGATCTTTGGGCTGCGACAAGATCTCTCTCTCTCTTCAAGTTTGTCCCGAGGGAACACAAAGGTCCGTGATCATGCTCGTCACGTCGTACTAGAAATTTATTGATTCAAATTTATGGCAAAGCTTGTCATGCAAAATAGGGGGTTAACTCTTTTCGGTGCTACGTAGCAACATCCCACTACAATACTGCTACCATCTTACCTTAATGACAGGTATAGGTGAAGCTTCTTAAAACTGAACATAGAATCACACACTGCAGGTCATATGAACCTTGGCGGGTTGTCAAATACGCTACTGTGGAGACCCCCTTGACCCCCGTCCTTGCAGCAGCAGCATGAACCTTGAGTAACAAAAAAGTAACAACGCAACATCACAATGACGTTTCTTTCTTCATGGATGCTGCTTTCTTTCACTCTGCAAATACAACATGGATCGTTTGTTGGCTCAATCATGACAAGGTATAGCTTCAAAGCAAAAAATGGTTGCCTACTTCCCCCAAGACAACAGCCAACTTTGGACCATCATAACAAGAAGCACAACCCGGGTAATATCGAACACCGCTGAGTCACGGGAAAGTCGTTATACTTAGAGTAGACTGTGCCACCTAATCCACCTTTTACATATGCATCTCGGGAGGTAGCTAAGCAAGAGGATTAAGGTTTTACCTTAGTAAAAAGGCAAAATAGCATCACAATGACAATGGAAGAAAGACATAATGAATGATCACAACAAAGATCAGCCCTCACAGCAGGTTGCCAAAAAAGACCATTCATCGACTTACGTCCCAAAAAACTTCATTGGTGTTCTTGTCTCGCAAGAAGGTCGCCCCATGGTGATTTTATTCTAGTTGACAGCAGCAGAGAATGACCATCGACATTAAGCCTGAGAGATTTTTGGCATTGCAAGATGTTTTTAGATGCGCTGGCCATTTCTGGAATACTAAGCATGCCATGTTTGATTGTGCGATCTTGAGGTATTAGTACGAGTTGGTTTTCTTATTGGGTGAGAGCGTGATCGGTACATGCATCATGCAAAGTGAAGGACTCTTTATGCTAGGGACAACGTCGAGCATACCAGCAAATAGGATGCAATGGCTGTTGTTGGATCATCATTATCATGTAAAGTGTAAAATGAGACACAACCTTTTGCTATACATGAGGATCATTTCTTTTATTTATTTACGTGTACCTATTGTCTATCGTGAGGGTGATGATGACGATGGGTGGATGGTGTGTGTGTGGGGTCATTGAGTGGCCTCAGTGTCATAGCAGTAGGGGATTTAAACTTGGGGGACAGCAGCTCCACGACTTGAGACAACGCTTCTCTTCTCTTTCTCCCACCTCTGCTTTTATCCCATTCACGACATCTCGATCAAGGTAATGTATTGTAAAAGAGTGCTCTTGTTGGGTGTGAGGTGTTAATGTAGTTCTGAACATGCATTGTCAGGGAGTGAGCGTGTCCAAGTGCTGAGGAATGAGCGTGGTAGGTGGTTGGTTGTCGCCATGGCGATATCGTTGCTTCCTCTTGTTCGTTGCTATTCCCACCTTACGCTTGGTGTCAACAGGTACATTCAGAGTCCAATGTTGCAGCTGAACTGGTTCCATTGACGTGTTAGCTTGTATAGAGGGCAAGTTTGGTTTCAAGACGTTGGCTGGTTTGGCGTTTTGTTTCGGCTCAACAACACCACTTCCAGTAACCCACACTTTTTACAATGGAAAGAAGAGCCATATTGCCAAAAGTTGATGGATGCTCCCAGTGCGAGTAACCTGGATTCGCGTGGTCTTTGTCAAATCATCCGCACTCCAACCATTGAGCCAAGTCTCTACCGACCAATGCAGCACTATGACCTTCGTGCAACTGAGGACATGCTTATGTCACCTACAAAAAGATCACCTTTCAAGTGGCAGGTGGATTTATCAGCATCACTTCGACTCAGTACTCCAAGATACTTGACCACCTTATCAGTTCGATTCATCATGACAAGAATTCTCACGCCCGCTCACATTTAAACAAGGCTGTTGTCACCAACATTATCATACGCCCTTTCTTCCTACTTGCATGTATATCATCCATGGCCTTTGGTAAGTCTCAAGGATAGTCTTTATGTGATTCCAAAGATGGGGGTACTCATGCATTCATCTAAGTAGCTTACTTCATTGCTTTACCACTCGAAGGCTCATTATTGGTGCCTAATGACATTTGGCTGTGTCCCTTGATGGGTACTTTGTGGTAGGTACATTTGTAGGCAAAAGTTAACCTCAATCTGATGGGAAGACTCCTTTGTACGTGACATAAGTACATGCTGCAATTGAGCTTATTGCTGGCCGCTAGAGCGACCTTATGTGTTTCCCCAGGGACCTTTGATTCTCAAATCACAAGATTTAATGATCAAGTATCATGAACATGGTAAGTAGTCGCAAAAAGGAAGATATCATGATCGCACTAATAATCTTTCTTCGTTTATGGTAGAAGTTGAGAGCAATGGAACCAAGTGGCACAAGTGATGCTGGTTGAATTCGCTGGTGGATTTGGAAAGCTCGATGAAGACAAACACAAGCGCGATACTGCGAAAGTGTGTATCAGAATGCTGCAAGACTTCTCAATCTACGACCAAGCAGCAACATCAATAAGCCCACGCATCTTTATTGCTTTGACCCACGACCGCATAAGATATACTTTGAATCGTTGACGCTGGCAACCAACCTGGCATACGTGCGCACTCGAGCTGCAGAAGTACATGGGACATACTTTTGTCATCTACAGAAAATCACCTTTGAAGCAGCAGGTGGATTTATGAGTGTTGATTTTCCATCACTCCTCCAAGATGCTTGACCACTTTATCAGTTTGGTCCATCATGACAACAATACCCACGCCCAATCATATAGAACAAGGCTCTTTACATCAACATTATCATACGCCCTTTCTTTTTACTTGTATGCATATCAACATCAACGGTCTTTGGTAAGTCTCATGGGTATTCTTTATTATGTGTTCCCCAAAACGAGGGTACTCATGCATTCATCTTCTATGTAGCTCACTTCATTGCTTTACGCTGTGTTCCTTGATGAGCCCTTTGGGGTAGGTATAACCACCACTTATATAGTAAAAGGATGCCCGGACTGATGGGAAAATTGAGACTCCTTTGTAGGTGACATAAATACATGGCTACTTCGGTTTCGCTTCCACCTTTGCCACTCTTAAATGGACCTTGACCAACTTTGGTAGACGCGTGCTCTCAAGGATGCCTTGGAGTCAAATCGTGACAAGGAAGCTGCTGTCAATCGCGCTCTGAAGAAGTTGGAAGTAAGCTGGTTCTCTTTCATTCTATAAGCTGCATGTTGAAAGTTGTAGTTGATATGATATGTTTTGTTGTTAGCAACGTGATAACATTGAATCAGCGTATCAAGAGTATGTACCATTTTCGCCAGCTGGGCTAAAGAAGGCAATGTTGGTCATACCTGATGTCTTTGCTGGGCGCGACACCGTCATTTCTTCGGTTGAAGAGGCACCATACCCCAATCACAATACCCAATCATCTTGACACTTATACCATTTCTACCACGTCCTGAGTATCATGACAAGATCACATTTCTAATCGAGACATCACCAGTATATTGAAGAACAGCAACAACCTCCTTTTTTTGGATATCGATGGTCATATCAAGAAACTAATTGTTCCTCGCCAAGATCGCTACCGTTTAATCTTTATCTCAACATCTTCATTATTCTGACATCCTGTATTCCCTTATTGCTCCTCCTTTACTTCATTCCTTATCTGAAATCCTCAATAAATCGAAGCATAGCTTTCGTATTATACATATTCCTCGTCTCAAAATGCCAACTGAGAAAGATGCTATGATGCGTTTATATACCGGATACAGCGATAGTGGCGATGAAGAAGAGGAAGGAGATCTGATCGATGGTTTTGGTAACAGTAGCATTGAACTCATTGATCTGGGTGATTTGAGTGACGACGAACAAGTCAACAACCATAGTATGGATGATTGTGGTCCATTTGTAAAAGAGGCTTTTGTATGGAGAGCACTATCATCATCGTAACATCAATCATGCACTCGCTGAAGATTTCAAATGACACGACTATTTGCTGGATTACACGCTCCACGAGATCGTCTGTGCGTTGAATAATACCATTCGCCGATATCTGTTGTACGTTGAATGCTTGATCAGTGTGATGCATCGACGTAAAAGTGCCATGTCCACGAATAGCTGCATCTATGAAGTCGTTCAACCATAAGACGCGAACAGCCATCCATCCGTTTATGTACCCTTCCACTATTTTCAAGGTAGCCTATGCATGTCGAATCAACGCCATACAACGCACGCCGAATGAACAAGTACTCTCCGCATAAATCTTATAGCCCCCCCCCCATCATTTTTCACTCTTCTTCCTCAGTCGACTTTATTCTTTTTACGTGGACCTCCCCCATTGGGCAAATATGGAGGCCGATATCTCGAATCTCTATGATCTCGACGAGATTGAAGCGGTGGACGAGTTGGACAAGGTGCGTTTTAAAAGGAGTGCCATGAGCTTGCAACTAACGAGCAGTGTAACAGGAACTCTCGGCTCATTATACCCAATATTGTCAATCGATTAGCGACAAGTCAGAGTTGGAGATCCACAACATTCTACAACAAAAGGCATGTTGACGAGTACGGTGTCGTTGTCCATTGGTTAACCTTGTCGCTATAGGCCTCCCAAAGTCGACGCGATTACACAGAGATCGTGTCAGCCCTCTTGTATGGCGCTTTGACGGAGCCAGAAAATGCCCAGACAGTATGTTATTCCTCTTTGCCCTACCTTTTGCAATGAGAACTTACAATGAGATAGCATTTTAATAGTCTCACTCTGGTGAATCGTGATCAATTTGGCATTGTCATCAATCGAATCCATATCCTTGCCAGCAATACAAGGTTTCATTTATTAAAGCCGCGTACGCGAGATCAGGTAGGATGAGGGATGGATGGGATGGGATGGGAGATGATCAACATCTAAAGGGGGAATGTGTGTTTCTTTTTAGATGCTATGGTTGATCAACGAACTCACGACATTGGATGTGCAAGCGATTGAGAATATCTATTTGAGTCTACTGCGTCAAATTCGATCCGGCGATATGAGTTCCAACAATACCAACTTTTCATATCAGCTACTCAGACTATGCGAACATCATCGACGATGGCTTCATCTTCATCCAAGAATCATTGCCATTGCTGTCTACACCTATCTACGTCAAATTCCCGATCACCGCACGGGCCAACTGTCACAATTGCAACAGCGAGAGATCAAATTTGTCACCAGCCTAATGCGAGAAAAGGTGAATATCACACGCGCGATACCCCCGGCATCTCTTGGCTAAATGGATGACTCTCTTAGTGGATGGCATGTTGTGTCATTGGACGGGATCTCGTACGCCTTTTACAAGATGTCTCCTCCATTCCAGAGTTTCAGCAGCTATGGCATGATCTGTTGAATGAACCACAAAAGCTTTCGCCCATGTTCAAAGGTATGTATGTCCATTGTCAATCACTTTTCACAACAAGAGGGGATCCCTGATGGTGATGGCCGTACATAGGTATTACCACCTTACTTCAGACACCCACGCCTAGGGAATATTTACGTTGCAGGTTGACGCCTGATATGGAACACAAGCTATTGTTTATTCTCCAGAATGTAAGTAAATGTACACCTTTGTTGCTAGGCAACGCGATTAAACTTTATTCTACTAGCTGCGAAACGGCCATTATCAACGCAACCTTGGATGGTTCATGCAACGCTATCTCCTTACAGCCGAATCATTCTATGTCGATGTGATCCGTTACATTGTGGCTGGATGGTATCCTTCAAATCAAATCTTGCAAAGTGATATTGTGCCACGCTATGTTGTCATTGGCAGTTTGCTCCGAGCGATCAAGGTAACCAAGAAACATCTGTTTGTGCAACAATGCAGAAATTCATGCAACAAGCTTTTCTTAGAATCCAGTGGTCGCTGCCAATGTCAAGATTGCTTTGATTTATGACTGGCTTTTCTTCAAGGAGAATGATAACATCATGTTTATTGGTATGTGCAAGCAGCTTGTACGTTATGGTGTTCTGGATGCTGATTATACATGTATGTATAGAGCCATCAATGCTTCTTATGGAACGATCGGCTGAACGCTATCCTTACATCACCGCCATCATGATGGAATTCCTCAAACACGCTGTGGATGAGTACTACCCGCCATTGAAGGATTACATGGAAAAATGCGTCGCTTGTGGTATGCGTGTCATGTTGGAAAAGGGCGTTATCAGGCAAGTGCTTTTTGCTATATCGCGTCGTGATGGGGGTTGTTATTCATACTATGTAATAGGAGCCTTATGCCGATCTACAACTGCTCATTAACTGAAAAGTCGACACGTGATTGCATGCAAGCACTCTTTTCGCCTTTCCTCACATCCAAAGAATCGACATCAGCAAATAACAACGCCTCGTCATTACCACAAATGCCACCAGCAGCTTCCATATCCAGCCCCATACTCCAATCACCCTCCATGTCTTCTTCTTCTTCCAACACGCCGACGTCTCAACGACCCATTCCAGATACCACCACGATTAAGACTGAGGAAGAACAACAACAGCCATCTATCAATGAAAATCAGAATGGTGCGATGGAAGGATTAATACAAGGAGATGATGATGTTGTTGTTGCTCGTTATCCTTATGGTGAAAATGGTATGGGTTCAAGTTTTAATCGTGCATGGCATCAAGTATGATTCACCCTTGGCTCTTTAGACACGATGGAAAAGGAAAAGACACCTCCACCTAGCGACCACCAACCTGCAGCAGGAGAACCAATGGTGATTGAGCAAGGGGATCAAGATGCCCAAGTCATGGAGGGTGTATCGACTGCAGAAGATATTCCACAGCCAGTGATCGTGACAACAAGCAAGGTGATGGATTCAAGTCAATCTTATATGATGTTTGGCGACTCTATTGTTCGATTCCAATCGGCCTGTTCATCGCTCGTATCAGGTCTTGAAGATGAAGAAGAAAAACAACTCCAAATGACCATTGCAAAGCGCAGCTTAAGAGAGGTGCTTGATGTCTATTTACGCATGGTATGAAAAAGATTCTCTCTCTCAATGAACATTGCATCTCATCCCAACAATCATTAGTCACTTTCTGGAGAAGCATTGGCATCGAGCATGGCTGAACAAATCTACCAGATATCCGACATGACCCTTTTGGAGCATGCATTTACAATCACGAGTGACAATTTGGATGATGTGATCGTCGATAGCTCACAAGATTTGATGGATGTTCTCATGACGACGCTTTGGTCTGCACACAAAAAAGAGGATACGTCAGCTCGCACAAAGATGATGGATCTTCTATCAGCGCTTACAAAGTCAATCAATAACAACAATCGACATTTGGTTGGGATGCGTTGGTGGTCCTTTTTTGCAAGGTAGGGTTGATTGATAGATTTTAAATATACAGGATCAATGGTTGTTAACATGCAAATGCAGTCGACTATCACAACAACAAGAAGCAAACACTTGGATAGCAAGTATGATCGACTTGTATCGGATATTGGTATCGAAGGGATATGGCATGGCGGACGCTGGCTTGTCTGAATGCTTGACACTCGATATGCAGGTAAGCCAACATCATACACGACACACACACACGCGTCATGGATCCGAATTGACATGTTTTAAGCTTCTCGCAGAGGTGAATACCCAGTATACCTTTGACATTCTACCCTTATTGTACGAATACATGCCGGCCTATACCATTGGCAACGTTGAATTAATCAAACTGCTGGCAGCTATGATTGTTCCGGATCAGGTAGCATTGAACCCTATGTGGGTGGGTGGGTGTGGTGGAATTTCATGGGCTGACATTTGTATTATATAGCTTGGGAATATGGTATCCTTCATTCAAGCAGGGAAAATACAATGTTTTGGCGAGAGTATCAATACCAGTTTCCTTGGTAAGTGGTGGATGGAGATGGCTTTTGGAGAATACCGCTTACTAACATGATGATGGCCGTAGTGTCATCATTTGCCATGGAGACCTATGAGACCATTACGATATGGGAATTATTATCAGCAGAATTACGAGGACGTCAGGAACGGATAGAAGAGTTTCTCAATAGCCCCGAAACCATTAATCTATTCCACACGCAAAGTAAGATTGGATGAGACACATTGACAAGGATCTTATCACTCACTCACATGCTATACCATCTCTCTAGATTTGAATGAGATCATGCCACAACTTTTATCATTACTAGCGACCGCACAACCTACGAGTCTACTTGTTGAAACATGCCTACAGCTCATTCCATCCTCCTCTCATATCGAACAACGGAAAATCAACATACAACTTGTCATCAGCGCATTAAGTTACTGGTACCGGATCGACACAACCAATTCACACATACAACAAGCGATAGAAACACTTTCCAACATGACACGAAATGATCCTGATGAATCGATACGCCAATTTACAGAGTCTATTACCCGAATTACTAGCTAATGAAAAAGACAACAACAACATGTATACTAGCCAAGTTGTTTTTTATTGAAAAGTATAAAGTGTTTGAATATGTGCAAAGGAAAATGAATTAAGATGTACGGGTTCGTTTGGCAGCAGAAGCACCATGCTCTCCAGCAGTAGATTGACCCGCTCGCTATAATAAAAAAAAATGGGTTGATTAACATGACATGAACACGTTCCATTAGATATATACAATGCCTTCCTTACCTTGTCACCGCCCTTGTCGTGATGCTGTTCTACATATGCAATAAATGATTCCGGCAGGTAGTTCTTTTTCATCGTCTAATAGCCCCAAATGGTGTGTCAGTTGCCAAAAGTAAAAATGACGATCCTTATACTTACCTCGGTCTGTACTGCGCCTGATGGTAATGACTTGTACAATTTGGATTGCAAACGCACAGGCTCCTGGGATACATTGAGTGGCCATGATGAATCCTTACATTTACGATTGATCAACAACGCTGCAAGGTCACTGAGACAATAGGAATTCTAAGAGAGCATCTAAATGAGTACTTTGGTGGTTGTAATCATTGAGTGTGTGTATACGTACCTCGCTTTGTTCGATCGAACGCACGTCTTTTGATAGTTTGATCTTTTGTGTAACATGATACAGGTAGGCGACATTATCAGGTGATGCCACGCATGAGATAAAGAATTGAAGATATCGCATAAAGAGAGCAAGGTCATTGTTGGCTATGGAAAAGTCGGGATGGTGGGCGAGGATATGGATCAGTTGCATAAAGGATGTTTCCATGACCGTTGTTTCTACAAAGCCAAAGAAGAGTAAGATCATGAACAATGGTATAGGTGTAACATCGCGTACCTGACTTGTGTTTGGCAGCCCATTTTTCAATAAAGTATCTAACCTATTTACATAGATGTATCAGTCAGCGTTGAATTGCGTATCACACAAAGAAAAACTTACCTGCTTGAACAACAGGTTTTCTACCTCGTGCGCCATCAAGAACAGGGATGAAAGGTATCGATGATGCACCTCTTTGAGTGTCAAGCCTCGGATAAGTGTGTTTGCATACTTTTCACGGACTTGATAACATGAATCCTGCAAGACCAAGCACATTTGTTCAAAGCGCTCCACGGATAATTGGCTTTCAAATTGGGACATATGAGTCAGCTTGAGAGCACCTTTGACAGCAGCTAATCGAAGATGTGCCAACTCGGCCGCACTGATATCATTTAGTAACCATGGTCAATTCTATCCACCACCTTCTTCATACCTGGTTTCATCAGCAAATGCCGTATCAGCTGAGCTGTTGATATAATCAAACAACATCTCAAAGATCTCCTTGACCAATTCATCCTTGGGTTCAATATCCAATGTGGTGCCCGCCAAATAGTTGATCAGTAGCTCCAATCCAGCCATCTACCATTACCATGTGTTATCGCCCCCCGCTCGTATCAGGAACATTGGTTTTGCTTACCTTTGCTTTTGAGGAATCATCAAGATCGTCATAGGATAACCATTCTGGGTTGGATCGCTTGCTCTATGTAGATGGTGTCAGCACGATTGGGTTCACTCTTTTGGTATAATCCAACATACCTTTTTGGTTTCATATGGCATCAATTTCTCGAAAATGAATTCAGCGACATCGTCGATGCAACCAGCCATGTGAACAGGCATGTATAACGCAAATTGGCTCAGGGATGCCAACGAGGCAGCAATTTCAAGGAATGACGTAGATAGATTGTTGGCATTCACCTTTTAAAAGATCCGTTGAGTAAACCAAAAAGGTCGAATACAATCCCATTTACCTGTATAACATCGGCACAAACGTCCACAGCATCCATATGGGAGAGCACGATACATGCATCCCGCGCCTGTTCAATATCCTGACCTTGTGCAAGGGAGGTAAGTTGATCGAGCAATTTTCTAATAATAGGGGGTATCATGAGTAAAACATCAAAGGATCACCATGTGTTGGAAAACTTACTGGTCATCGAGATCGATCTTGACACCATTGACAACCACTTGTGACAGCAATTCAAGGGCTCCTCGAGCTACAATAGATAAATCAGCCAAGCGGGTCACCAATCATCCCATCCACGACTACTACTTACTGATATTTTCATTCTTGGAATGGGTCAAGGTGCTCACCAAGTTGTACAAGAAAGAATCATACATTGCTGGGAAGGTTTGTGAAATTTCCTAACATTGTTGCAAGTGAGTGAGCATTCCATGCCATGCCAAACAGGATAGAAGCAACGTACTGTAAGAAGTTCTTGTGCCATCACAACATGTTTGCTCTGGGTAGCGGATGATGATCTTCGAGAAGGTCGTTGACTCGATACAATGGAGAATAGATGAGGAATGAGGCCTTTGTTGACAAGAGTAGGACAAGCGCGTCGAAGGACAGGTTGTAATATTTCATGGATGCTCGAACTCTCGTCTTTGAGGCTGGTTGCAAGCTCACGCTGTTTTTTATAAAGTTAGCTTTCATTGTTCTTTTCATGGTAACAAAGAGAAATAGACTTGCCTGGCTCTTGCGGATATCAACATAGTCATTGTTTGGATCGATGCATGATTCAAAGAGTTCTCGAATGTCTTCATCATCAACAAGGATATCCGAAAGACTTTGCATTGCGCTTGACACCTTTGAGCTTTCCGGGAACGTTGCTAAAGACCATCAATGTCAGCCCGTGTTATCTATCGTATCGGTATAAATGTACCTGCAATGCGTGTGGCAAGGGTCTCAATTTGACTACGATCCACTTGAGCATCATCCACTTCCATATCCCCATTCTAACAAAAGTTGAATCCACAATCAGCAACAGGGGAAAAAGGCAATGGAGGATCACTTACCGATTGCTTGCATGCATCAATGAATTTACGGAGTGCTGCCATAAGACTATCCACGTTCATGCTGAGTGATACAGGTCGAATCGTGTTACTTGCCCTATTTACCTTTTCTGCTTGCGGATGATGCTGATGAATCCAAACTTTGATCGTTCATTGACCATCTCCAGAATAGAGACGAGGCGCTTTGTTCGCTCCAAATCATCGTCCATAGGAGGGAAAATATACTCATGCAACGTCTTTTCCACTAGTGCACTAAACTAAAAGAATTAGCATACCTCATTCCCATTTTCTCATCCTTGATGACTTACGTGACAGATACATCATCCACATAAACGCAGTAAAGGATACTTTCGGGAATCCATCCAAGCTTGGAAACAGCACTTTCATCATTTTCTTGACTAGAGTGATTGTTGAGTGACATGTGAATAAATTCTATTTGATTTGACACTTACATTCTGGGATAGGCAGCGTGGTAAAGCGAACCAAGGGTAGACATGGCTACTTTGCGTACAGTTGACTAACGATACATCGCTTAGTATACCCGTAGACCCTCGCAAGACACCATTTTACCTTTTTATCCTTGCATCTCGCTGCAATTTCTTGAAGCAACTTGATATCAACATGATCGATAATGTGGTCCAGGCTCATCTCTCCAATCACTCGACAAGCGACTGCTCGCACCTTTTCTTCTGGATCCAATAGTCTATCCTTAAGGTACTCTAAAAGAAGAACAACTTTTAGGATCCGGCAACCTTGGGGTGTGTGTATATCTTTTTTTACCATTCAAGGTGGCGATTGCAAAGTAATGCGACTCGAAAATGTTGGCAGCGCTCTCGATCCACTTGATACGCAAATGTACCGCCTTGTCATTGCGTCTATAGAGGACACACGATGAGATTCACATACCTCTAAGTATTCCATATGCACTTGCTTACCTTCCCAACCATGTCTTCCATACACTTGGATAACGTTGATGTAAATTGGATCGTTTTTCACATAGCATACCACCGATGGTCTCTGTTGCCAATACACGGACCGTGAAATCGTCCACCTTCATTTCTTCCTCCAATTGTGGCACCACGTTCAACAAGAGATCAGGGACGACGGAATGTACTTTTTGAATAAGTCGATGCACTTTTTGCAATTCCTCGATATCCTCAGTTGATCCATCACTTTTGCTCATGGCCATCAATGCATCTGAGAAATACTATGTATAGATGAAGCAATGAGAAGATAGATGATTTCGGGGGGGGGGAGAGGCGAAGACATTACCTGACAAACATGACGTTGCATGACATCTGTACACGCACGTGCCAAATCCACAGCCATGGTATTATGTGAGTCGGGTGAATCCATTTGCTAATTCCCCCATCTTAGTATACGACATCAAATCAACCATCTCCTCTTTTTCATTACCTTTTGAATCTGCTCCAATGTCATTTCAATCACATCTTCGGATAAGGATTCGCTTTCGTCCACAAGCATCACCATCAATTCTGTCATGCACACCAAGATATTCCGGGTAACATTGGCACTAAGGTTGAACAACATGTCAGCTTCCCACTCACTACCTCCTTCATGGATTATAACACATACTCGCCCAATTCATAAAAGGTCTTGATAAATTGTGTGGTCAACTCTTCAGCATTGTCGAGATCGCCAATAATGATAATACTCTTGACAGTGGAAAGTGATTCGAGAAGATAAAAGTAGCGTTGAAAGTTGGGATCTTCTTGATGCTTGTCAAGATGCCTGATCTCGGATATGAATAATTGAAAGATGCTCTATAAACTACCATGTTAGAATAGAAGAAAGGATAGCGAGGGAAATGATATGTATATATATATACCTTGAGTTCAGTCTCGTCATAGGGTGCATCAGGTGCATATAAACGCAGGATATCAGCTAAGCAACACACTGCCAGGGCCCTCACGGATTCGGACGAATGGCGCATAATCTTTGGATGAACCAGGTCTCTGGCAACCTCATTGAGAGAGTTCTTGTCCACCAGATCTTGATCGAATGCCTTTAATAGCCCATGTAAAGTCTAGAAGGAAATGGGCATGTGTCAGTGGTTGTGGTCGTACATGTAGTTTTCAAACGTGCCTCGAGCTTGGGAATGAGTTCTGCTGTCACAAGTCGATTGGTAATAAGGCGAGATTCGAACACCAATTGATGTCTGTCAATATCCATGTTGCAAGAGACTCGGCGTGGATCGCGGGGTAGTAAGGAAGAAAAGGGGAGAGGAGGGAAGGAGAAGGAGGAATAAGGCACCCTACGCGATTTCGCGTCTGTCTTGGAACTTTACACGCGCCTGGCTGCTGCGCGTTTGAAATCACCTGCCATTGGATCGGTATTTTGACAAGGTGCAGCTCATCCATTTGAATCATGACCCTACTACTATCGAGTTTTTACATAATTACAACCAATGCTGTTTATTTAAGAGAGCTGTATAGAGATGTATGTATTCAACATTATTGGCATGATGATACAAGGGTACAATTGGATAAGGGAGAAATGCATTGATATCTACGATGATCGTTGTTTTCTTGTATCCTTTCCAAACTGGACACGAAGAGTATTTGTAATTCGCCATTTCTACCTTTTTGCTCTGGGCAAGCATTCTTTCCAGCTCATTTGTTTATGTTGAGCCTCTCTTCGTTTCTTGAATCCTTTGGTAAATTCCATGCCAGCAATAAGGGCTTGATTTAATTGGCATGTCATCATCGGAATTGCTGCACACTTCTTCGTTGGGTTGATCCTCGTTCAAAATACCGCTGTACTTTCTTTTTAAAGTTTGATATCGCGTTTGCACGCTTTGGGTGGCATTACACAGAGTATCTTTTGGTTTCCTTGGATGAGTTTCTGCAAGTGGTTGAACTCATGTTCTTGAGTCTCTAGTGCCGGAAGCCATTAAATCACCACCATGGGAATTTGAGGTAGTTCCCCTGCACCATGTCAAATGCACAAAGTCAAATTCAGCACGCGACGTATGTAGACCACGGTACCGAAACCAACTTTTGCAGATGCTTCACGGAGAGATAGCTATATCGAAAGTAAGAAGGTAGCGTGTAAGAGTAGTGGCTCATCAAGCAACATGATCAGGCTTTACCTCGTTACAAGAATACAATATCGCAATACAACGATCTCCAATGAGAGTATAGGATAAAAATGAAAAGCACTATATATGAAAGACCACACTAGATCAGCGCTTGTCCACAGGTTGCAGGAATTGGGGATACGTACAAAACCTTGGTGATTTGACCTTGTAAGCAATCATGAAAGAGAGATGTGAGAGAATGGTGGGCGGCGACAACATCCTTTTATTGTGCATTGTGGGCGTGGGTATTGTTTATTAGATGATGCATTGATAAATTGATGCATGAGCTGATAAAGTGATGGGGCGCGCCTAGGTGTAATGTTGTCTACGTATACATCGGCCAAAATAGGGCAGATGATAAGAAATCTATCAAGGAAATCAATCACTTGTACGCCGAATACACATCCCCATCATTACAAAGGTGACTTAACCATGTTGTCAACCTACTCTCAATATTGGGTATCAGCAATCATGCCTCATCTGGCATAGCTGTGCATACTAACTTGCATGGTGTTCTTTGTTGTGAGGACGATGATGATACAAGGCATGAAAAATATGCATTATTGTATTCGTAACAAGATAGCATTCTAATTTGGGGATACTATCTAATATCAAGTATACCCATTGATTCAAATGGATCAAAATACCGATCCAATGGCAGGTCATGGAAGCCGTTAAATCACTTGGTGTGATCCTCTTTATTTCAGCATTGCTCATCGTCTAAGGATACTAGTTACGTTACTCTTTGAGGGTCCCATTATCTTCCATTCATTGGCAATCCTCCAGGGGCATGATTTTCGGGGGAACATCACATGACCATTGTGTCAAAAAGACTTGATGGGCGGGAAATCGTTGCAGTCACTTTCTTGTCTTACCATGTTTCTTTCAAGGACAACAGCAGCACGTGGACTCTTACGGCAACGACCACCATGTGGTGCATTCACTCGACGACGTGGGATGGCATCAGCACCCGCTCCTCCTCAATTCACGACCAATCCATCGGGTGCTGCATTCAAAAAGCTTGGGTCACAAATGAAACGAGCAGCTAAAATCAGTGGCATTACGGTGGCCTCGTTGACATTGGCTACGGCTATTGCTTGGCAGTCCTATCACTTGTATATTGAACACTATCTACAAGAGACACCGAGTGAATTGACATATACGGCACGTAATCTGTTGCATGGAGCTTATATCCGAGAGCATGTATCACCTGACTATGAAATGGCGGCCATGTATGTACGCGAAGTGCTTCGTATCGCATTGGAGGAACAGCATCTTGATGAGCATTCGGATGTGGTGATTCGATTACGACTTCGATTAGCCGAGGATGAAAACCGTGCCGGCAATGTCCTTGACAGCATCACTGAATATACACGTGCATGGATGCTTTTATCTTCCCAATCCACCAACCAAGACGACGATGATGAGATCAAAATGACCACAGCCAAACAGATTGGCGACTTGTATTTACGCATTGGTGATTACAGTGGCGCCGAAGAGTTCCTTGCATGGGCATTTCATAAAGCACAACAACAACAACAACAAAAAGTGGATCCATTCCTGCGTGTAACCATCACCTGTTCCTTGGCAAGTCTGTACGCCATGCAGCATGAATTCAAACTCGCCATGCCTTTGCTATTATCAGCACTGAAACAAATCCCTGAAGAAGAAGACTCCTCCTCAAGTCAATGGACGTGCATGAAGGGTATCATCCAGAACCAATTGAGTGAATGCATGTATGGTATGGGCAAATCGGAAGAAGCATTGGGTTGGGCACAAGCATCACTTGAATCATGTACAAAGGGTGAAACCATGGATAAGGACGATAAACCCAATCGTGATTGTCAAGAATGTGGTGGTGTTGTCTCCAATAATCTTGGCATGATGCTCGAGGTAAGCATGATGGCTTGGTTCACATACAATCCAATGGACTCATGATGGATGACATTAGCTCAAGGGAGAATTCGACGATGCTGTACGATATTACCAACAAGCCGTCAACTTTGCTGCTTCAGCAGCTGATCTTGCAGGCCAGGATCAATACAGCATGAACGCTGCACGACTCAAGGAACAAATCCAAAATCAAAGGAATGCAGGTGTCACAGTAGCAAGCGATATCACAGCAGCCATTGAACCCGAGCCTACAAAAAAGCCAGCTTCCTTTTCAGCATGGATGAGCAAATTGTGGAAATAAATAATAGACTCTTGCATTTACATATTGTAACTACATATAAACTTGTCTTTTTTTATGTATGATTTGGCATAAAGTGATGAGTGTGCTTTTTCTGTACAGAAAAGACAATAAACAAATAGAGCGCTTTGTACAAAATGAGGAGGAGGGACGATGACAAGGTCATAGGAACATCTATCTACAATAATAATCATATGTCGTGTGTGGTTGGGTTGTGTTGAAAAAGTGGCATATCCAAAGGGAGTAAAAGAAGGTATATGATGTATGTATGTACGAGGTTGGGTGATGATCAAGGGTTGTACGTGTGTTGTGAATGTGTGTGTGTGTATAGGTGGAGAAGGGGATATTTACAGGGTGCCTTTGAGTTCAACCATACGGTTCTTGAGATCACTACAAAAGGGGGAGAAGCGTATGTTCAGTAAACAAGGGAAGGGTGGGGGTCGTGTGAAGTGTCAGCTTACCTTGCACAACGATCCCAGTAATCTCGTTCCGCTTGAGCTTCCTTGAGCTTCCGAGCAAGTTCATTTTCAGCATTCATGCTGGCTGAAGAACTTTGACGACGATCTTGTCGAAAAGTGCCAAGAGCAGTAGCAATCTCTTCCAACTCGCTATTGAATTTCTAAAAGAGAATCCATACATCAGCCTTTGGTTGTTGGTGGGATGTATCCTATATACAACTTACATTGCACAAGGAATAGGAACGCTCGTGATCACTTTGTTCGGTAGCGCGCTATACAATGATGATGTCAGTATGCAACATCATTAACGTAAAACCTTGTATTAGAGTACCTACAGCTTGCAATGATTCACTTAAATGAGCAAGACGATCACTAAGGGAACGACATTTTTCAATCACTTGTTGATTATGGCGATCGTTGCGTGGTGAGGCCGTAGCGGTAGCAGCGGTATCCATGGCAACCACATTATAGGCGGTGTTGGAAGGTCTTTCTTGTTGTTGACTGCTTTGACGTCGCATGGTTCGTTCATTCTTTTGTGCTCGCAACAATTCTTGCACCTTGCGTAAAGCATCAGCATTGCTTTCAGTAAAAGACCCCATGCGTGGTGGAGGCGAATACTATATAAACACGTTAACAATTCATATCCATGTATGCATGTGTGTGTGCGTTTTTACGTTACCTTTGCCGATTCCAGATCCTCAAAGCTGATAGAACTACGAGTGCTATGACTTGCCAAGGTTGCTACGCCATTGTTATAATGATTGGAGAAGGCCAAACTTGGTGTGGATGAACGAGTGCTGCTTCGGCTTGAGGGACGAGACAACGATTCGGCCTCCGTTTCCGGTGAGCGACCACTACTAGCATAGCTACCTCTACGATGCCCACCCATTGTTCTCATCGGATGCACGGCTTCCGATTCCTATTATACAATCATTATGAGTAACCATGTATATATATATACATTTGGCAATGATGGCATGTACATACCTGCTCAAGGGGACCAATACCACGATATCGGTTAGCTTGACTTTCGGCATAGGCCAAGAGTGTGGATGACGATGATGCTACATCTGGATTCGGATACATGGAGATGGTATCCAATGCTATACAACAACAACATGAAATGAGTTTTGGTGGTGGATGGGATCATTCATAATAATACCTTCTTGATGTGGGCTTGACACCATGGAAGGTCTTTGCAAGACCGATTCGGATAAACACAAGGAGGCTGGTAAAGCGGATACCACTTTGCGACGTTGTTGTTGTGCTGAGCCTGTACGATGATGATGATGATGATCAACAGCAGCCATATGCACTGATTCGCTGGAGCTGTTGGTCAAGCTCTTGGATAATGTGGTGGAAGCTGAGCTACTTGTCATGCTGCTAGAGCGAGAACGTGAACGTCGTGTGGCAAAGCCCAAGAAATCTCTGGCACCCATGCTACCACGTCGGCCATTACCACCTCCTGATGATGACGAAGACGATGAAATAGGAGATGATCTTGATGAGGAGGGCTGTACTTGGCTTTGACCACCACCACCACCAGCAGTGGGTGATGATGAGCGAGAATGACTTTTGCCAAAGATACTCGACAAGGTGGGAATGCTTGTTGAACGAGATAAGGAACGGGATCGTGATCGTGATCGTGATCGTGAACGACTACGTGAACGACTACGACGAGGACGTGCTTCCAAATCACCATCATGCACATGGATAAAATCATGGCTGGCGCGTAAATGACGTTCACACAAAACAACTAGACAATAGGGTAAGTAATGGGATGGGATGTTTTTTTCAATTCACTTACTATTGTTCCAAAAGACCCATTGGAAAAGTTGATTTGGTTTGCCATCGGAACCCGGCACTTGTTTGGTTGTAGCAATGGAAGGAATGGATTGTACAATATCACGACTTGGCTTGAGAGGCACTTTGCTCATGATACTAAATCGGAAGCCACCCGGTCCACCTTGTACAAGTGCCACAATCCATGGCGTTATTGGGCGTGCGCCGCTGCTGCGGAATAACGTCTTGAGATTCACCGATTTACCTTCTTCAACATACACCACAGCAATGTTATTCTAGAACCAACGTTTAGCCAAAGGGCATTCATCATTTATAGAAACTTGCTTATACCTTGTAATTGGCTCTTGTGTAGCTGATTGAGTCATAAAGATTGGTATAAACGTTCATGTCGCACCATTGACGGTGAAGCGCCTCATCGCGTTCATCTAAAAGTGGCGTTATTGTAACCCATCTACGTCATTGACATGCATGTTTGAGATGTTTCTCGGCTCAGCTTACCGTAACGACGAACCAATGTTTGGGCGTGTTGGAAATCGTGAATGAAATTTTGAAGGGTTTGCGAACACGTGCTTTCTGAATCTTTGGGTGAGGTGACCTGAAACAAACGAGGGCCTTTGCGAAAGAATGTTTCAAATGATTCTTCTGTTTCCACTGGGCCTGGGCCATGTTGTTGTGATGTCGAGGCACAAAGCAAAAATGAGCTTGGGATATCTGCTGCACCCTTGAATAGCTGGATTTGTTCAATGTCAACCCAACCACGAAACTTTAGGCATTGATCCTTTTTGATGTTGCGCATTAAAAAGCCGTTTTCATTGCGCTTTGTGTTATCCACATCGAGTAGATCAACGCCACGGGTATGATGATTTGGTCGCTCGGCGATCAAGATTTTGTCTGCCAGCAGAAACATGGTAACAGGACGTTTGGGCTTGCTTGTCTCACGATGCAACTCGGTAGCATCCAAGTGGGTGATCAGGGATCGATTTTGATTCACCAAAGAACACTATGTACGTCGTCATCATGTGAGAAGAAAAAAACAAGAAAGCGAAATGACATGATCGTACACACTTACAGGAGAGCTCTTGACAGATTTGTAGAGAACGTGGCACATGGTGGCAAGCTTGGTTGCATCATCATCAGCCAAAGTTGCAATCTCACATGCCTTGACATAGGCATGCGTTAATGGGATGTAATCACGGTGTTGTGGGGAGGTGAAGCGTAAGATGTCTGTTGTTGTGGTGATGGATGAATAAATATGCAGCTTCTATGTATGTATGTATGTACGTGTCATGCATTTGTCTATTACCTTTCATCAACAAAATGTATCGTGTGATGCGCTGGGGTGGTTCAACAAGAAAGTCCAGCAATTGCCGGTCTTCACAACGACGATCACTCAATGCCGTGTCGAGGAATTTTCGGTAATTGTTGTTGCTCTTGAGCAAAGTGGCATGGAACCCGTGAGCACCATGATGCGCAAGCGAGTAATTTCGGTAACAGTCAAAGTTGACCATCTGCCAAACAAGGGGTTACACACATGGCGAAACGTAAATTCAAAAAAAGAGGCACACTTACATGGCTCGCACAAACTTCACCAAAGCATACATCCGTGTTTTGATTTTCGGGTTGGCACTTTTCAAGATCACAAAGGAATCGTTCATTGGCTTCCAAGATGTCTTCAATGTTGAGGAAGATACGTTTATGCTGAAAGCGGTCAATGATCGGAGGTTCACCATTCCTCTCACGCAGCTGTGGATTTAACTTTCGTGCAATGAGCTGAACGGTGATACGAAGAGTGGCAACATAGGTTTGCTCACTCTCGATAAATTCTTGAATAAGGTCATGACGTCGTTGGTCGTTCTTGACAAACTATGTAATAGCAGCAGCATGTTAATTGAGGATGATCTCGAGACATGCGGTTACTCAAACCGCCAACCCCCTTACATTGTATTCATTCAAGTCAGCAAGATAATGTGATTCAGATTTGTCGTCAATTGTGTGAAAGAAACTTGGACCTTGTTCCGAACATGGAGCACCAATGATACTAAGGAACTTCTGATACATCGCTTGGTCGTCTATGATGGAGTTGTGAATAAGTTGCTGGGTCTCAAGTATATAGATTGGGCAATCAACATACGTCGTGATCGCTCATTGTCGAATACCGGCACGATCAAGTCTGCATTTTGACACTATAGAGGATATAGGGCTTAGCTGGGTGAAACCTTGGTAACGTGATAATGATGTATGATGGATATTACCAATGGTTGCTTTGTATTGTTGATTAAAGACTGGTAAAAGTCTGACAGATTATCATCATGCAAACCATCTTCCGTAGCATGTGGCGCTGCTGGCGTTGTGTCATCAGGTACATCCGTATCATACTTGATGAGCTTCCAATTGTATCCATAACCCAACTCTCGTAGTTTGGATTCAAGAGCCTACAAATAGGCGAGCCATGTGAATGAGTCAGCCGTTGGCATATATACACACGCACCACATGCCATCTATCAAAAATGCATGAGACTAACCTTGAGATTATTGGTCTTGGAACTACTACTAGGTGCCATAAGAAAGTAAAGAAAAAGAATAAAGAAAGAAAAAAAAGGTGGATCCGAGATGGAAGAGCACAGGCAAAGAAATAAAAAAGGGGGGAGGGGGAGGATGCCGCCTCTCATGCGCTATTTGTTTTTTTGGTTTCTTTAAAACTGTTTCCTGTGGCAAAATGCATGCTCTTGAGTCGTCCTCTCTCTCTTTACCTCACCAGTGTAACCAACACGGAAGAGACGATTTGCCACAAGTTGTGCTTTCCATTGACCCCCAAAAGTGCTTTCTCTCTCTCCTGCAAAACACGCGACACAAAGCAATCCCGTTGGTGGATCGGATGCCTCCGACATACACGCGTGCTATCCTAACCTTTTTACTGCTCGTTTGCGCCCATCTCCACGAATCCCCCAAAAAAGAAGATTCCTTACACACACACAACACAACACGTATACAAATATTAAGTTCTCTCTTTTTCTTGTCCACAACGGTCCCCGATAGGCGCAATGGCCACATCTTAACCGGTTCATTTCCACCACTCATTTTTTTCGGGTCTGTGTGCCATCTTGTTGACATTGTTGCTTTTGTGTTGTGTACACGGCGATCTTGGCCAGTGCCTCGGAGGTACGGGAAAGCAACCCGATGCTGCACCATTCGATCAGATCCGTGGCCAATATTAACTTTTATAGCCGCTTTCGAATCGCCAATGTGTCACTGTTGATAAAAGGCATTTGCCCACACTCTGTCATGTGTGCGTTTCACTTTTTTTCCTTTGAGACAACAAGGCATCTCATTGCTGCTGCTCCCATATACACACACACGCACGCACATACACATACACATATACACAACACTGATGCACTGACATTTGGGTCTTATCTCTCTTTTTTTGTCGTCTATTATTAACGTCTTTTATCCATCTTTATCTTGCGTGCTCGTTCACGTTTGGAAACGACCGATTGCGAAAATCCTCTATCAGCTTCTAGGTCTATGTCCAATTGCCCTGCCTCTTCTTCCGAACTACTGGATTCCGAATCCGGTGGTACTTGAAGATTACGGCCACTGCCAAAGACGCCTGCTAGTAACTCATTGTCCTATTCATGCGTATTAGCTACACCATTAAAATGGATGCCATTGGCATTGTCACTTGCCTGCATATGTCGTGCCAAACCAGAACCCAAGAAATTTCGGAAAGCAGCGAGCTCAATGATCTTTGCTATTGTAGTAGTAAACATCCAAAAAGGTCAGTTTGCCGATGCTTGTGTGTGAAACAGAGGGATGGTATCACAATGACTTACCCCAGCCACGGAAATACAATGCTCGACCACCGATTTTGAGCTTCTGATTGGGACGAGTACCATCCTCCACGGTTCTTACAATGTCACGGAATGCGCTCTTTTGCTCCTTGCGATCTTGCTTATTGACGCGTCGATTGCTGTCGGTGGCTAATCGTTGTAACATGTCCCTTAATTCATCCATCTCGCCGTATTCAGGCATTTCATCTTCGTCTTCATCTTCAACATCTTGATCAAACTAGAAAGGATGATTCCATAATCAGCCATGCTATTGTCATAATAGTAGTAGTAATGAAAAACGGCAACCTACCATCCGCTTGGTCACATTGACACATTCAAACATGAGCGCAACATTTTCACCTGCAGCCACACGTATATCTTTGGATCCTGATTGCAGCAAGTCAAGATGAGCTGGCATGACCCTGCATTTCCAGAGAATCGGTTAGGTTAGCTGTCATCGTCATCCAGCATCATTATCACCACCCAACTTACCCTTGTGACTCATCAAAAGCATCCTCCCAACTTCCACGTGCATCTCCATAGATGGATGCAAATAATAAACCATAAGCTCGTAGACTGGCGTATAGTAATGGATTCATGTCGTTTTGCGAAAGCTTGTCATCGGGTTGAATGCATTCGCCATCCGTGACCAAGATGTTGTAAAAGTAATCCATACCACCACATGTATCCGATGTCGATGCGGCAATAAAGGTAACCATGGCGAGGGTTTCTATGCACTAGATCAAGTGCCCAACAACCCGCCATTAGCGATCACCCACTCCCTAATTAGGATCCTTTTCTCTCACTCACCTGACACTTGAGCTGCGGATCCGTTGAAGTATTGATGCTGTTCTTGAGTAATTTCAACACCATCCCAAACAAGTCTTCAATTTCACCCGCTTCAATGTCGCCTTCGCTGATAAATGTCAAACCGATGCCTCTGGCAGCTAGGATGGCTTCTTGGGCTGTACCAGGTTTACGTAATGATCGTACGAGTAGCTGTAATAACGCCTCCTGACGAGATGCATTCGCCTCAAAAATAGATCCACAAAAATGGTTGGCAAGCAAACGATTGATCTTGGTCAATGCTGTTTCTCGTGTACTAAGAACATAAGTGAAACATTCAACAATGGATATATGCATACAACCAACCTCGTCCTTTTTTCACCAAGATCGTCCACTGCTCGTCGTAATTCGTCTTCAAGAGTAGATTCATCCAGTAAAGAGGTGGAATCGACGGTACCAAATGAGGCCTCTGATCCTACATCGAGATCGTCTTCGTCTTCTGAAGCGGCACGACTGGAAGCGGGTGTACCCAATGCATTGAGTGCTGCTATACGCGATTGTTGTTTTGCTGCTTTCTTTGCGAGGTTGCGAGGCATGGTTTTTTTGTGGAAAAGCAGTGGAGAAAAAAAGATTATACAAGCCTCTTATCACATTGACGTAAAATAAGGGATCGTTTCACTCATGCAATACAGGTGACACCTCATATGGAAAATCCACCCATCTACCACACTACTCAGCTGAATGTGATGATTATGATATCCTCCCACTTTATCACCCACCACAACCACCACACACACCCCTGTTACCTATCATAGCAATGATCATAAGACTCATAATAATATAATCGATTGACCCGACCCGCACAATGGTTACAAATGTCCGGGGTAAAAGAGTGCTGTTGTTGTTTTAAGAGCGGGGGGTTTGAGTACAACAAGAGGATGAGGAGGCCTGTGCTTGGGCGGGAAGTTTAAGTCCATCACTTACACACCCACACAGAATCGTGTGGTTTTTTATACTTAATTCCCATTATTCCCTTTTCTCTTTCTTTCCTTCTCTTTCCTTCCCACCTTTTTCTTCTCCCAATGATGATGAATAGCCAACCCTTTGAAGCTCCACTTACACCACCTGCTGAGTACCCTTCTTCTCGTACCCATAACACTGCTACTACTACTACTACCACTGCCACTACTCCTCCTACTGGTGCTGGTGGACGTAAACTATCAGTGACATTTGATCTTCCTGAGACTCCAGGTGGCACCAAACATTCTCCACTGAATGAAGATGATCTACTTTCACCCTCCATTTCACGATCCAATAGCATCGACATTAATGCACAAGCTGTCCCTGATACTATCTTGGTAGCTTTACTTGACCGAGACGAGGAGATGCGACACCTGGTTCAACACAATACAGCCTTTTTCAGTAGCCTTCGGTCACACTTGTACCACAATTGGTCTCGTTTTGAAAACACATTGTATTGCCCTCGCTCCAAAATGAGTGATCAAGATTGGATGGGTCGTATCAGCAAGGCGCTTCATGCTGTCCCACCCCTTTTACAACAATTCAAAGACCTGGTGGGCTATATGGGTGAGGATGACACTACTACCACCACCACCCTACAACAAGAAGAACCTTCCTTTATCCATGTGGATTTGGCTCGCATTCGTGATTATCCTCAGCGTGTGGCTCGACTACGCCAAGCTTATCCTCAATTTATCATCAACTGTCAAAAAGGATTATCCAATCCAGATGCGTTCTTTGACACATTGTTTGCACCACGCTCATCCACGATGCCAGACGATATTTGGGAAATGCGCATTTATGATCAGCTGGATCATTCTGGTCATGATTTGCTTGCACAGCTCAAAGAGATCGTTGAATATGAAATTGAATGTGGCATGGAAGATGATCATCATTGATATTTGGGTGAGTATGTATTTACAGAAAATCACCCGCCGCTGCCGCCCTTTTTCTTGACCTCCTGATATATATACCAAATCACACGAAAGGCTTGATGCCACCACCACCATCATCATCATGTGAACCTTACTACTCTTTGTCATTTCCCCCATTCCCCCAAGCCCACATCCTCACACGCACACTACCTGCAACAAAAATAAAGACTAAATCAAGGAGCATCATAGTAGAGAGAGAGAGAGGGAGGGAGAGAGGGAGAGGGAGAGCGGAGGACGAGCGGCAGTCTTAGGTTTCATTTCTTCCGAGTAAGCTTTGTTGCATCCGAAGACAGCTATTGTTCATAGAATTAGGACCATGCTATGTATGTGTGGGAAAGATCCATTGACAACCAAACCCCCTTTTTCCTTGTTGTGATAAACAATTTGTTATGTTGACCACAAACCCAAATCCTTCCTATCATTACAATTAGACCACTCAATGCCCCGTTTAGTAATAAAGTAACTAAAAAAATGATACAGGGTTGCCATCATCACGCCATTCAACGACATGTTCATTCTATGTACTATGGGTGGCGGAGAGGAGTCCATGGACCGACGGATGCATGAGAGCGGAATCCGATGGAAAAACCCGAAATTCTAAATCCTGGGTCATTTGTGTGTGACCACCGCCAGACCGCTGCTGCTGCTGCAAATGAAACCTATTGCATGTGATATGTAGACTTTGGCATGCAGTAGGACCCTGTCATATCATATTTACGCAACAGCCAGCATCCTATTTTGTCTCTAAATGGTTAAAGTTGGATAGTCCTATGCTATACAGAAAATGGCTTGCAAGGCTTTATAGTCATGATGGATGAATGCACACCATGACGCCGATCCATTTTGCATAGAGATGCCTAAGACCAGCATGATTCAAATGATTTATTGATGACTACTCATGCCAATCTTTGTACATAGAATAAGATCAACCAAGTTGTGTATAAGAAAGCAAATGTGAAACGCTTTAGGACGGGCCGCTTGCTCACAAAGATGGTCGCATTGTCATAACGTTTCTTTGTGTTCCACACATTTCTACAAGACTTAAACCACAAAAGAGGAGCGTATGTTACGACGTTATTGACAAACTCATAATCCTGAAAAGGGAGATGAGTAACACTATCAAATTCAGCCTTTGGTTAAGATACAATGAATCAATTAGATCCTTTCTCACTTCTTCCTCTCTTTTCCTTTATCACACCATCAATTAACCCTTTCATCCAACATCACTCATAAGAGACAGCTTAAGATGTATAAAGAATTGCTTCATTTGAGGAGACACATCGGTTTAGAACGTTTCTATCCTTTGGCGATCATTGTTCAAGGTGAATGGATGGACGTGAGGTGGTGATAGCGTGACAAGTCATGGAGTTGGATGATAATGGTTGTACATAGTTGACAGGTTGCACAAAGGGTGATAATGGTAGCTGCTATGGAATACTGTAACGTGGTCGAATGCATCAATCGTTCAGGATGGATGATGATTCATGTTGACATTGGATGCATAAGAACACGACTCATTCCCCACACGTTGTACATATCCAGGTTCTTCCATCCCATGCACCAAACCAATAGTCAGATCCATATCCATAGGAGGTCGTATGTATTAAAGCAAGTTGCTGCATGTAAATAAAGCTGCTTCTATACAATGGCTATCTGCTGTTACACATGACAAAGGCTGTCAGCCAAGTTGCTGCAAGTAAAGAACGCTGTTCAAGACAATGGACCAAAGACATTACTAATGGCAACTGCTGGGATGAACACTGCTTCGCTTGGTTGTGGTATAGGAGCGTGCAAAAGCGCGTGTTGTATCAAGAAACGCGTGTGTTGCAGTAAGGTGAGAAGACGGCTGTGTACACGCCATGGACTTGCCATTCAGCCAAAGGCAATCGGATCAAGGCAGTTGCAGGATTGACATGATGGGTTGAAGCAGGACAATCGTTCGGAGATGGCAATTGTGTATGAATGGGGCAACAGTTGAGAATGAGAGAAAGAGGCAAGGAGCTGGGAGTGGAAGAAGTGGAAATTAAGAGTTGATCTGATGTAGTATGCTACTTCTGTCTTTTAAGCGCTTTTCAGTCAAATCTCATCGGATCAAGAAAGTTGAATGATGGGCATGCTGGGCTGGAGCAGGAAAATCGTTCGTGTGCATTAGATTGGACAACAAAGGTGAATGGAAGGACTAGGTTATTAGCTGGCAGTTTGAACTATTCCTAAATAGTGTACAAGAATCATGCATCGCTCGTGCTGAATGACTCAAGTTACACAACACGACCCTCTGCATCTTTTGCTCTGCCAGGGTCCACCTACTTGACAATGAACAAAGACCACTTGTCATATAGCATCACGCTTACAAACATAAAGGTGCCTGTATCTCCAAACTTTACAATGAAACGTGGGGTTTTTATTAGAGCAATGTGCTCGGCTTGGCCAACAGCACCTTGTGTGCCAGTTTCACGATCAAGCTTGCCAATCCCAGATTTCGCAATGTCGCTACCAGCCAAACTGGATCTGGGGGTCGACCTCTTCGACGACGACGACCAAAAAATATTTTTTGGGCTAGTTGCGACATTGAACGTGAAACTTT